AGCTATAAAAATTAGTACTTTTAACTAAATATATTTAAAAAAGCAATTTGTAATAACTAATAAGTAGTATAAAGTTTTTTTTTTTTTTGCTAGCAGGTCTACTATAAAATCTATAGAAATTTGTAACTAAAACTAGTCTGCTACTAGTAAAAATTATAATAATTTCTGCTGCTTTTTTTAGGATATATAAGCTTTATAATAATAGCAGTTCTAGATATACTAGGCAACGTCTTTAGATATGCTATTTTAGTAATAATTATATTATATTATTTAAAATGTTGTATTTTTTTTTAAGTACTTAGCTAGATTAGACTTATAAGCCTGCTAAATAATTATAGTAGTAAGTAGTTTTTATGCTAGTACTTATATTATTTTTTTTTATAATAAAGTGCTATGCGCGCTAACTGTGCAGTCTTTAATTTGCTATAAAATTTTTACTTTTAGTAGAAAGTATTAGTTGCTTTTTTGTATTGCTTTAAACTAGATATTATATATTTTATTTTAAACTATAGCTTTGTTTTATAAGGCCTGTATATAATTATTTATAAAAATACAGCTTTTTTGCAGCTCTAGTTCAGCTTTTATATTTTTACTACTCTAAGTTGCTGCTATGCTAATAAGTGTTATAACTTAAAATATTTAAAGGGACTTTATTATAATATTTTATTTTTATTAACTTAATATATTTAAGTAAGCTGCTATTTAGCTTAAGCAAAACTGCAGATAAAAGTTATACTAAAATAGTATTTTTGCTTATTTATGCTAGCATTTGCTAAGTGTGCAAAAGATAGTAAAGTATTTTAAATTTTTATAGTTTATTAGTATTATAAATAAGTATTTTATATTTTAAAGTTCTGCTAACTACGCTTTTAAATACTATACTACTATAATTAGCTTTTTATTATAAATTGTGTAGTTTTATTGCTTTAAAGTAAAAGCTACTAAGTAGTATATAATAGAGTATAAAATACTTTTTATAATTTAGAATAAGTATTTTTTTAATACTTATTTAGAATAGTTTACTTTTATAATTATGTTTTTTTTAAAATTTTACTAGGCTAATACTAGCCCTGCTATAAAAGTGTTTTTTAGCATTTAGAAAGCTACCTACTAAGCTTTTTTTTATAAAAATAAAGCGCTTTTTTTTGTTAGAAAATATAGCGGCCCTGCTACTTAAAAGAACTAAAAAATAAAATTTTAGTAAAAATTTGCAAATTCTAAAAACTTTTATATTTTTTATACTATAGTAGGTAGCTTTTATTTTTAAATTGCCTAGATTTTTTTAAAATTTAGGTAGACTGCTTTTCTTGCTTTTATAATATACTTTAGATACTAGACTTTATACGCAGCAAAAACGCACTTTTTTAAATTTAAATTTAGTTTAGCTTTTTTAAGTAGTATAAAAATTTAGCAGACTTTTTTTATATAGTCCTTATAGGTGCCCCCTAAGTATATTAGGACGTTATTTAAGTATACTGTAGCATAATTCTTTAATATTTCTTAAAGCGCTCTATTAATATATTATTAAAAAAAAGTAGGCGCTTTAGTTAGGCCTATTAAATATACTAACTATTTATAAAAGCTAAACTAGGTTTAGAATGCAGTTAAGTATTTATTCTTTTTAGCTACCTATAAATAATAAAATGCTAAGCAGATATTTACTTTTGTAAACTACCTAGCGTTAAATAATATTTAAAAAGTTTTTTTAATAAAAAGCAAGGGGTACTAATTTGCTTTTATAATTTTATTTAAAGCCTAGTAGTTTATATAAAAGCGCTACCCCCTTAAAAGCTTATATACAAGAAAAACAGGTACTTTTACTAAAAAAAAACTAGCCTAGATTTATTTTTTATTTATTAAATTTATAATTTGTTTTTGCAATTTTAGCAAATAATTCTAAAGCATACTATATAAAAGTTTTTATAGTAAGTATAAAGTATTACTTTCTTTAGTTTGCTACAAGCGGATATAATAGTTTAAGTATTTTTAATATAAAAATAGTTTTTTTATTTTACTATTATTAAATAAGTTTTAAAACTCTTTTAGCTCTTCTAGCAATTTTAATTTATTTTTTATTAACTTTTTTTTTAGCAGGGTATTATTAGGGCTCTGTTCTTAGAAGATAGTAGTTAAATATTAAATTATTATTCTACAAAATTTATTACTACTACTAGGACTTTTTTTTTTTTATTATAGTAGAGCTGCGTATATTAAGCCTAAAACTATCTTTATTTTTAGAAATATTTTTTAAAAATAGTTTTTTTTTATTATTATATATCCTGCGTTACGCACAACTAGCTTACTTTAGGCTATATCTAATATAGCCCTTTTTTGGCTTATTTATAATTTTTTAAAAATAAAGTTGTATTTTAAGCTAAAAATTATATATGCTACTAAGCAAGACTACTAATTATCTATATTATAGCCTAGTATAACTAGCTAAGTTATTTTTACACTTAAAAGGGTTCCTATAGCCTAGTTTAAAAATTAGAGCAGAATATTAATAAAATTTATTTTAACCTGCTTTGCTGTTTTTTTGCTTATAGTACTAAAATACTTGCATTTTAAGTTAACTAAGGCATTTATAAACTTTATTTTATTAAAAAAAACTAGTATAAAAAATAAAAGTTTATTTATTTTTTGCTAGATTTTTTAAATTTTTTCTATATTATTTTCTGCCCTAGCTTGCTTTTTTACTATAGTATCCCTGCATCGCCCCTAGTCTAATTTTTAGCTAAAAGCGTTTAGTTTTCTTAATTTTTATTTTTAACTAGTAATAATACTACTACTATAGTTTTAATAAATACTATATATAAAAATACTGCGTTCGCGCAGTCCCTTGCAAAATACTTATTTTCCCTGCAGTATATATACAATTTTGCCTTGCGTTATTATTAGAAAACTTTATTTAGCACTTAGTTAAGTTGCTATAGTTGTAATTTGCTTTTTAAAGCTACTAAGCTTTTTTATTTTTATAATTTTACTATTTCTATAGCATAAATTAAAATTATTTTAATATTTTTATTTTTATTACGCTTTGCCCTTAGTGTAGGCTAGTAGTATAAATAAATTTTTTTTTTTATAGTTATAATTTTAATATTTACTGTAATTAATTTATAAGCTGCAACTACTGTATAGTAGTTTACCTAAGTAACTTTTTAGTGTAGAGTAATAGTTTAAAGTATATAGTTTAAGCAGCGCTAGAATTTATAAAATTTTTATTTAAAATTTTATTTAGCTTTACTACTCTAGGCTAAAAGCTGCTTAAAATAAATAAAAAATTTTAAAAAAACTTTTTTGTTACTTTGCTGGAGGTTTTCTAGTTTAGCCTGCGCCTACTCTTTTTTATAGTTATTTTTATAATAAAAATTTAAATATTAAAAAAAAGCAACTAGGTCCTATTGTTCCCCTTACCCCCTAGTTTTATAGTAAAAGCTAATTTCTTTTTAGATACTTACTTCTAGTTAATTCTATATAAAAGCAAATATATTTTTTTTATTCCCTATAAAGGCCGCATTAGTTCTTAATTTATGCTTAATTATAACTTTTTAAGCCTAAAAGTATACTTTATATTTTAAAAATAGCTCTCCTATTAAGAGAAGCTTGTAGTAAATAATAGGAAAATTTAATTAAAGTATAAGCGCAATAAGTAAAGCAAATACGCCTAATTAAAAGTTAATTTAAAGTTCTAGCAGTACTAAAACAAGTACTAGTTCTGCTTTTATAAATCCTAGCTATAGTAAATAGTTGCTTTTAAATATTTTAGCAAAATTTTAAAGCTTATTTTATATATTTTTGTTTTATTAATATAATATTACTATTGCTGCTATATTCTTTTGTTGTCTTTCTTTAAAAATTTGCAGAAAAGCTTTAATTAAGCTTAAATTATTTTTATTATTAAGCTCTATTCTATCTATTAAATATAAATAACAAAAAGAAGGTATATAAATATTATAAACTAGCTTTAGGATTATTTTATTTTAAGTATAAATAATAGTATTATATACTTTAAAAAGGTACAGAGATTTCTAGCTATTTATATAGGGGTTTATTGCTAAGGTTTGCTGAGGTCTTTAGTCTGCAAATACTAGGGCTTAGGCCAAAGCCCAAGCTATAACAGTAATAAGGATACTTAAAACTAGCTTTGCAATTTATTTAAAATTACTATAAAAAATAAGGCAAAAGTTAAAGCTAAATAGTTAGGCTTTATACTATATTCTTTTTAAGTGCAAAATAAGTTTTTTTATTATAAAAATAAAAGTTTCTGCAACGCGCTTTTAACTAAAAAAAAGTATAAAAATAAAAGTAAACTTTTAAATTTTTAATAGCATAAAAAGTTTTATAGCGCTGTAGTATTTTAAAATTTAAAAACTATTTAGGAAGCTTGCGCGCGCAATATAGTAAAATAATATAAAAATAAAACTAAATAATTTTAAAAAAAAAAAATAAGAAAGCTAAAAGCAGTAGTAATATTATATAAAAAAAAAATTATAAAAAAAGTAAAAGTAATATAGTTACTTGCTAAAAAGCGCGCTATAAAAGAGCGCGCAATAATAGTTTAAAAATAAACTACTATATATATATAAAAGTAATAAAAAAAAAAAGCTATAATTTTATAAAAATTTTATAATAAAATAAATAAATATAAGCAAATAACTTTACATTCTATAAATTTAAATATAGTAAAATATTATTATATTATAGATGCTAAAAGTAGTAATTTAGATATATTATAGCTACTGCAGCTTTTATTTAAAATTACTGCGCGCAGCCGCCAAATTAATTTTTTAAAAAAATTTAAATAGTATAAATTAATTGCAAGCTTTTGTTTACTAATACTTTATAAAATTTTATAATATTAACTTTTGTAAATAGCTTTACAGCTTTATTTTTACAGATAAGTAACTTTAGTTAAGGTGGTTCATCGGCTGCCGCGGTTCATCGGCTGTCCTACCTTAGTAACATTATTGCCGCAGTGTGCAACTTTCCGTATCGCGCGCCTCAGGACTCCCGCAATATACCCATACACCACCAGAACGCGTCGTGAGAATGTCAGACATCCAGCAGTACCTGCTGGACCATGACAGGAATAAGAAGGAAGCTACAGCAACCGCACAACGGAGCGCGACGCGTATGTTCGAGGTTTTGGAGGGGCATCGGCGGCTTGAGTGCTGATAGTGCGCAGGATTAAAGAATGGCGAATTGAAGCTCATAAGTCTGATTACGGACCTTGGAGAGTACCTCAATAGCGAGGATGGACCAACACGGTCGAAGAGTGCGTATATGCCGTCTTAAATTTTGTAGGCTAATGTTGACGTCTGATAGCGATGTCGTACCTCGCGGAGGTGCTGGCTTCCACTCCACAGAAGGTGCTATCCCTACAGCAAAGTACGTTGATTACCATTCCGGCTCTACTTCGACTTCCTACACCCTCTTGCAACGCATGGCTGCCAGCCTGAACGCCCAGAAGACCCCCTCGCTATACTACAACAACGCAGTCTCAAGGGCTTCACGAACACACATGGAACAAGGGTCTCGAGCAGGACGCGGTTGCAGGATTCTGAGGAGGTTTGAAGTTGCAACATGACAGAGCTGACAAGGCCAGGAAATCTTCTCTGCGACTTCATCCTCTCCCGAACCGAGGATAACGAAGGTTTAGGTTCCAGCGCAAAGGCACTACTAGCGTTGGAAGAACTAGCAAAATGGGACGACCAAAGGGTGGTCAGCATCGTCGAGGCTCTTCTCACCAACACACACCCTCTGCGCCAGTTCAAGCAGCAGAGCGAACGGTGCCCGGTCTTGCGATTAATTGACACTTTGATGGCAAAGTACCGCGAAGCGCTCCGAGCTCATCACGAAACCACCCCCGGTTTCATGGCACGCTTTATATCGTACTTTGATGGTGAAAAGGATCCCCGGAACCTGATGATGGTCTTCTCAATTCTGAGAGTGCCTATGACGGAGTGGACTATTGGTGCAGATGCGCAAGATCTGTTCGATGCAGTCTTCAACTACTTTCCCATCACTTTCCGCCCACCCCCTGATGATCCATATGGTATCACCGCTCAAGATTTGAAAGATCGCCTGCGAGACTGTATTTCGTCAACAGCTGATTTTGCGCCCTACGCTTTTCCGGCGCTCCTAGACAAGCTGGACTCGACGTCCATGAACACAAAGCGAGATGTCCTTTCAACTATCACCGCTTCAGTGAAAGAGTATGGACCCCGAACGGTATCACTTTACTCGATAACCTTGTGGGATGCTTTGAAGTTCGAGATTCTCAACGTGCAGGAAGAGGACCTTGCCCAAGAAGCTTTGACAGGTTTAGCCACAATCGCAAGAACGCTGTCGCAGGGAACAACAGGTCCACTCAACGCTTACCTGAGACCGATCATCAAGGAATGCAATGAGCACCTAGAAGATGCACCAACAAAGCAGTCGCAAGCATCAGCACGCATATTGCATAAAATCGCCGATGTATCGCCTGAGGTCACCAACATCCTTCTGGCTGGAGTATTACCCAGTCTCTTTGTGCTATTCCAAACCGCGGATACCATGGCAAAGCGAAGAGGATTACTTGAGGTTCTTATCCAACTTCTTCGAGCAAATATCGACGTTTATGGAGATTGGCAAACGATTGGCCCTGGTGGAGAACAAGTGGGCAACAATGCGCTGGCTCAATTCCGCGACCAGGCCCTAGAGGTCATGCTTAATGGACTCGAGACTGCTCCCAGCAAGGAAGTATCATTTCGGCTGGTGTCTCTTGATGGTTTGATCCAGCTGTCAAAGGCACGACAGCTACTAAGCGACGAGGGTGTCGGACGCATCATTCAGCTGTTACACACCGTTGTAATCTCTGACGAATCGTATGGCAAGGACGACGTCAAGGAAGCAGCAATCAACGGCCTCGTCGAGATCGCACATCAAAAGCCCCAAGTCGTGGTCGACAAAGCCTTCCCAGCTTTCCTGGCTCAACTCCCGGATACTGATGCCGATGGATCACAAGGTTACTCGACTGTTCTGGGGGCCTTTGCTAGGCTCGCAAGCGAGGAACAAGTCTTTGATACCGTCCTCTTACGATTAAAGAATAAGCTTACTTCGGCTGTGAAGCAGGGTGCGTCCTCGGCATACATTGTCGCGCTATTATCAGCAATCTTGTACGCGCTCAATAAAGGTGAAGGCAGGCTATCGCAAAACCCGAATATCTCAACACACTACAAAGACATCGCCCTTCCTCTGCTCAAGCGCATAGCAAGTTCGGATGCATCCCATCCGACAGCTTTCAACGATGAGTCCACACTGGATCTCGTCGGCCGCATATGCAATCTCATCATTAGGGCGCAGCCTACTGAGCTGCAAAACATTGTTGCTGCAGAGCTGTATACACTTTACCGCGATAAGCCACAGACAGAGTTACCACCGTTCAGCGCAAATGCGTCAGCAGATTCGCAAAAGACCATGATTGTTCCTACACACCTCGTCGCCTCCTTCCGGAAAGAGACTACTCTTCCCTGCGAGCTTCAGCTTCTCGTCTCAACTCTTGCAAACTACGCTCAGCAACCTGTTCTCTCACCACACGTCCGATCAGCCACCCTTCGCCAAATGTCACTAGTCATCAACAAGTACTACACCACGTCGGCACTGAAGACATGCATGGACCCTCTTATCGCCGACTTTGATCTCTTCAATCCTGACAAGCTCGACCCGCCACGGATACGCATTATCTTCGCATGCCTCAAAGGCATCGTGTTGAGAAGTAGCCCCGTGCTCAATACTCTTTACCCTACACTGCTCTCATTACTGTCACATCCGAAGTATGGAAGCACAGTCGCGCAGGGTTTCTCGACGCTTCTTCAGCCTGATGACTTACTCACCAAGCAAAATCATTGTCAGATACTGGGTCTGCATAAGCATAAGACCTTTGCACTGCTGGTTCCGAATATCACAAAGGCCTTCAGGGAAGCGACTCTAGAGACCAAGCCAAATTATCTCATTGCGCTTAGCGGGGCATTGAGGTGGATGCCATTTGACATTGTCGTTGAAGAGGTAGACCAGCTCGTTACTCTCCTTCTGCAGTCGCTCGATTTGAAGGGCGTGGATATCGTTAAAGAAGCAGCAATTGGTACACTCACATCTACACTCATCGAGAAGCCACAGGCCCTCGAAGAGCACATTGGGGCCCTTATTTCTCGCTTACTGGCCAACGCCACCGTCAGTAAGAACCAGAGCGCACCACCTCCCCCAGCGGTCCGTGTTGCAGCTCTTAGGTGTCTGCACCTGGCCGCCGAGAAATTCAAGGAGGATCAGATCTTGCGATATAGGAGAGAAGTGGTCAAGAGGCTAATAGCTGCACTGGATGATCGAAAGAGAGAGGTGCGCAGTGCCGCGGTGAGATGCAGAGCTAAGTGGTTGGAGGCCGATGAGCCAGATGATGATTAGGTTTGGTAGCGTCCGGATATCTTTCAGGTCTGGTAGTACCTGGAGGTTTAGTAAATGCAAGCATGTGTAAAGCCATTCAGGCGAGACTTTGGTAGATTGATAACTGATACCATTGACTTTTGAGACGCCTATTGCCTGAGTATCCCAGGTGGTATAACCCTGATAACACCAGAAATGCCCGAACGCCAGCCCATGCAACGTCATCCTTTGATCTTCTTTCCATGATTCAGAACAATTCTAGACCTTCACCTTCTTCAGTGTCGTTGTATCGTCTTGCGAGCCCGCGTCCTCGACACCCACCTCCTCATCATCCTCGTCCTTCCTTGAACGCTTGAGACCCTTCATCTTCCTCGACTGCAGGGTATTGAAGTCCTGCTTGCTCAAGTGAACCTTGCCCGTCTTATCGCCCATGATGTCAGTTTCAATATTCTTCTTCGTCCTTGGTTCGACGCCCTTTGGCTTCTTCATCGCAGCCTTCAGCATATCCGCATCTGGGAACTGTTCGCGGCCGAGGGTGAGATCCATCCTGGGCCCCATCTCCTCGACTTCGATGCGCGGCAGCTTCTGGCCCGAGCGTTTGGTGCGGAGGAGGTAGAAGCGCAATTTTATCTCAGGGTTTGGCCGCTCGTCCGTTGGCTCTTCTGCTGAAACGCTTATCAGGTACTGTAGGCCTTCGACATCGACCTCGGTTGCGTCTTGGCCTTTGAATAGATCGATGAAAAGACTCTTTGCGAGCGTGTACTTGGTCTGGTTTGGATCTTCAAAGACTGTGCCGTGGAAGGAGATGAGCGGCTTTAGGCCAACCGAGGGCTTCTTGTTCTTGAACTGCTGTAGTGTGCGGAACGTCTCCGGGTTGATGTAGATTTCCAGCATGTCGAGTATCTTGTGCGAGAAAGTCCGCGCGATGGTCATGCAGTGTGGGCGCTTTTTCGAGTGCAAGCTGAGGACGAGGAGCGAAGTGTCGTTTTTGAGAGAGAAGAACTCGAGCGAAGTGGCATCGTCGAACGGATGGATGTCATTCTTCTTGGTGAAGCGCTCGACAAAGGGCCGCTTGAGAGTGCATAGGTCGGCAACGGCGAGCTTGAGGATTTGCGACGTCTTCTGGCCCGTGACGAAGAGCGTCGTCTTGGGGTTCTCGTTCTGCTGCGGTTCACGCTTTGCCATTGCGCGCTTGGCGCGGGCATTTTTTGGTTTTCTGAATTCAGAGTTAGCATCGCTGCATCGTCGTGCTTCTAGTAACCCGTTGTACGTACACTTGTTTCAGCATTTTGTCGTTGGCTTGCGGGCGGTTGGGAAAGTTGCAAGCTCTTGGCAAGGGCAGCTGGAACTTTTTCTGTCGGCGCTGGGGAAAAAGGTTTGGCCGCCGAACATCAGCGGCGGTTGCCGTAAGCGCGCGCGGGGTTGCAAGACGGTCGTTGTTCCGCGATTTCGGAGGAGAAAGCACGTCAGAGGCGAGCAGATTATCATTATCATCATCGGATCAGATCATAAAGCCGCACCGACAGCATTGCGTTTTGCGCCCACTCTCTCTCTCTCTCTTGTAACTCCCATTATCAATCCACTCTTTTAACCTCCCCCATCGTCCAAACGACCGCTTCAAAGACCCCACCCACAGTCACGAAAACACAACTTTGCGACGTCGAATAAATATGGCATCTGTACGAGAGATCCCCGACGAAGAGGCCTTCCACGCGACCATCTCTGCGCTACCACCCTCTACACTCGCCGTCATCTACTTCCACGCGCCATGGGCTAAACCATGCGAGCAAATGTCGCTCATCTTGTCGACGCTTGCTAGCACATACCCCGCCAACGCGCCCATCCAGTTTCTCGCCCTCAACGCCGAAGAGCTACCCGATGTCTCAGAGCAGTACGATGTCACAGCAGTGCCCTTTATTGTCCTGCAGAAAGACGGCAGGAGCTTGGAGACTGTGTCAGGCTCAGATGCAGCGCGAGTACGAGCTGCTGTAGAAAAGTACGCGGGCGCAGGCGCAGGCAGCGCGAGAACGACCCTACCACCCGCACAAACGGTTACCCGACCACCAGTTCAAAACGGCACATCTGCGGGAAGCGCGAATAACTTCGGCGCATACGCGCCCAGCGCTCAAGACCCGAGGTCAGCACCCGCCAGCCAACACCAAGAAGGCGAGCAGGAGACGAACAAGGAAGAGCTATTCAGGAGGCTTGGGGAGCTTGTCAAGGCCGCGCCAGTCATGCTGTTCATGAAGGGCACACCGAGCGCACCACAGTGTGGGTTCAGCCGGCAGACGGTGGGCGTACTGCGCGAGAAGGGCATTCGATATGGCTTCTTCAACATCCTCGCCGACGATGAGGTTAGGCAGGGGCTTAAGGAGTATGCGGATTGGCCAACGTTTCCGCAGTTGTGGGTGGATGGAGAGTTGGTCGGTGGACTTGATATCGTGAGTACTCCAGCGTAACCTATGGATAGTCATCGTCAGGGAGCAGATGTAACAGGTGCTAACAATCCACAGGTTAAAGAAGAATTCGAAAACGACCCCGAATTTCTCACCCAATATTCCGTCAATGCATCAAAGGCAGCTTAGAAGGTATCAGTACTACCGCCAGATACATATATGACAGAGGCCCTGACGTCACCTTTGTACTTGTGGTAACCTATGTGGGGTTGCATTTCAGTCCTTGTGCCAAGATATCGATATGGCTCTGATAAGGGATTGATCGCGTGCGGGCTTCGAATGGCAGGAGCTAGCTAGGGTGCAGGGACCAAAAAATGGAGGGATACGGTTAAGGAACCTTGCTACCCCTAAATGGGTAGTTTACTTGATTCGCGCATTTTCTTTAATACCAATAGGTTGTGAATAGGTCCAAGACTACGACAAGTTTAACATTCATTCATTTCAATGGTAGTTCAGGTCTTTGTCTGGCTTTGGGAGAGTTCCGTGGCATGGTCCAGAGACATTGCTGTTGCCCCTTCAGACGGATGTTGTGTAGTTTGAGTATTTGTGATGACCCGATGACGGGGGGAGCCACGGATACGTCCAGCTCTTGTGCGTGGGATACTGACACGAAAGGTCAGGCTCCTTGGGTTGAGTTCTCTCACTCTTACTTCGAGATGCCAAATACTATAATTTATCCCAATGCCTTGTCTTATGGCCATCCAGCTGCTGGTATCTTTCCGCAAACTTTGTCATTGCGAGGCGTTTTGTTCCAAGCATAGGGGTACCTTGACGAGGTAGCAATCGCAAACTGCAATCGAGATGTGAAACCACGTGTGCTTTTTTTTTTCTGGCTGAAGCCCCGACTTCAGAAAATTCCTAACATTTGAAAATCTATAGACTAGATATACTCGTACTGCTGCTTTGCATCTTTGGCTTCTTTGGCCCAAACTCATCCATCTGCACAAGCGACGTCTCATCGTTATCCGTATGCTGGACTTCAAACGTCTTCGTGTACGTGATGGTATTCGGATCCCTTCCGCTCGTGTTCGCGCTCCTTCCCAATCCGCTCGCCACCGCACTCCCTCCTCTCTTCATGCCTTGACTGCGGCTGCCGTATGCGTGATATGGCTGACTGGTTCCTTTGGTTGTGCCGAATACCCTGGGGAAGCAGCGTACGAGTATAACGCGAAGCGCCGGCATACAGGCGCAGATGATTCCGACGTTGACCTCAATGTTGCTCCAGTTTACGACGTCGGTTTGGTCCCAGGTCGCGTTTGTCGACGTGGCAAAGTGCACCAGGGATCGGAGGCGGAGGATGGAGACGACAGTGACAAAGGTACCAACTCCGAACATCAGGGCGACGCTGATTTTCTTGCGCCACGACAATTGTAGGTGGAAAATCTCGTAGAGCGGGAGGACAAGGATCCAGATGTCCAGTACAATGCTGATAATGGCGTTACTCCAGGCCAAGCCGTTGATGTTGATGCATTTCCCTGGCCTTTCCCTGTCCCACGACGTCCAGTAAAAGGAAATGGGTTGACATTGGAAGATTGCCGCAAGGACGAAGGCAGCTCCGCAGAGAACGTTGAGGATGACTGTCCCCCAAAGGAGACGCCTAGTGAGCCGTTTCGGGAAGATCCGTAGGAAGAAGAAGAGTAGTGTGAGTTTTAGCAGTGCAATTTGGAGGAAGTAGAGGACCTCGAGGGCATATAGCCAGCGGACAAAGTTGGTGATGCTGTCGAAAGGCACGGTCCAAACGTCCCGTCCAAGTCCGTTCGGAACCAAACCTCTATCGATGATTATTACGGAAGGGACGCCGGTGATCAATGTCGCCAGGACTGTGTAGTCGTCCCATCCGAGTTCGCCAATGGAGAAGACCGCCTTATATAGGACTCGCGAAAGAGCACACACAGCCGTCACGACGGAGAGTATTAGGTTGGAAATGCGGGCAGTTTCTCCCTTGTAACGTATCGGGGCGTGGCATGCTGTTGAGGTACGGTTTTTTGCGGCTAATAGTGACCACGCGCTTAGTCGACGTTTGTACTTTATAGTGTAGAAGTCACTCACTCAAGCTTTCTCTCAGGCGGCAGGATTTCAACATGCAAGTTTGGACGTCGCTTTGTAGCTGCTCGTTGGTGCAGATGCATGTCGTGTTCTTCACGTCGCAGGGTGACTGTGCTATTGCGGTGCGAAGGCACGGTAGCTGTGGAAGCGAATTAGTATATATCGACTGTGTTGACTCAAACTAGGACGTACCGCGCACTTGGGAAGATGTTCAATCGCGGAAGACAATTCAGCGTCTTGTGCGAATCCAACCGATACCCATGCTAGGAGTGGAAGGAGCAGTTGCAGGGGCCTCATTGTTCCTTGCACTCAAAGGCAAGGTTCATGCAGAGTGGTTAAGTAGTAGGGCAGATTCAAAGAGAGCGCTGACAAGAATAATTCTTCTTCTTCGAGTTTGGAGTCTATCCTTGATAGATATTCGTGAGTATTACTAGCTGGTAGCTAGGGAGACTGTCCTGAGCAGATACACTGTCCAGGGAAGACCAGCACTCATATGAGACCCCGTCATCTCATAGACGAAGCGAGTGGCTGCAGAAGCTTAGCCATCGGAGGCGTCGGCAACTGGTAGCATGTGTGGGTTGGGACTGCTTCTAGCGTTGCCATTCGAGGGTCATGCTTCTTCCGTCCTAGAGAAATGTTATTTCGCAGAGATTATCCCAGGTGCCTGCATTGTACAGTTTGAGCTAAAGCTCTCATCTGCGGTTCCAGCCAATCGTCAGGATGAACTTGCGCCAGAAGAATGAAAAATTGGGATTGCCCCAGACCTTCCCAACAGGTGGGGCGACACTAATGGTATGCAGGACGCAGGCTATCAGGAGCGGAGATCTTACTCTTCGGGAAAAGCGGGTGGTTTCTGTCACGAAGCTACGGCAAAATCTCCACTAATAAATGTCGCGAAAGCTGAGACGGAAGTGCCTATCCGCCCAAAGGACGCCGCGGTCAGCGAACACGATCTGTATCATGACGCTCGGAGGAGGTTCACACACTGATGGCTCCTCAGTCAGCCATCCTATTCTCAGCATGTATTGATAGTTTGCCTCGTCGGGGGGGTACTCGGAAGTTTTTGCAGGTCCTCGGCTATCTTCAAGATGTGTTGAGGCTGGAGAGACGACTGAGAGAAGCGACGTGCGGCTCGGTGGGTGCACAGACCAGGCCCTCAATATGTTCCCACTCCACCTTTTTCCACACACTCATGCAGGTCACCATCGGCGAACTTGCACAGAGATCGTCATTTCATTAGTGGTGGCTCGTGGCCACGTGGAATAGTGACTCGTTGGCCTCCTTGACGATCGAGTTCGTTGCGCACGCGCGCGTCGACGTCGATCCTGCTTTGTGGAGTCTGGAGACTATCCTCTTCACTCGATTAACAAGTCAACTTTTACAGTTTGTTAGTCGGTTATCACAAACACGCCAAAGGCAACATCCGTATCATGCGAGCAGGCGGCGTGACTTCTTTCCTTCCGCGGGCGCTGACGTGTGATGATGCAGCTTAAAGGAGAGTCAGACTGTCTGGAAACAGTGGTCTTACCTGACTTGGAGACGATGCCGACCTGTCAACGGGAGAATTATGGGTCGTTCTGATTCCATCGCCCTTCGCATTTCGCATTTCGCATCTCGCTTCTCGCTGCTCGCTTGACAGCATCATGGCACTCTGGTCAGGCGTTCTGGACGACATCTAGGTCGCCGCCGGAAGCTCAATGTAGCGAGCTGACATGCGACTACTTGGTGGCTGTGGGAAGGTTTGTTCGACTAATGTAGAATTGTTCGAGTCGTGGCAAGCTACGTCCGAAACCTTCTGTCACTTCCGGTCCTTGATACGACGTCTCCGCCTCAGTGATAGCGCGAATAGATGGAGACATTCTGCCATCCCTTCGGTTGCGAGGAAATGACTCCATGAGCTCGTTCGTTGTCTTGGGACACGGTTCGAAACAACCCTGGGACTGCCGTTCAGCCTTGCAGGGTTAATCTGACCCACGATCGAAACATAGCCATGGCGCTTCGGAAAGCGCCGCTGTCGACGCCATCCTCCCTCTCTTCAACGGCCTATCGACCAACTTGAGGCTAGTGAATGGCCTTGGAGTTCGTCGCAAACTTTCGAAGATAGTGCGCACTTGACTCGTCGTATCAACGTGGTTTTGTGCTAATGCACATACTCGGCCCGACAATGAAAGCCCCCAGCAGCAAGCTGAGCCTAGTAGACACATGGCGAGACTACTACTGATTCCATGTGCACATCTGCATGAACCCACTACAAAACCTACAAACCCAGTGCGTCGGTATACTTGCCTGTAGGATACCTCACTAGTGAAACAATATTCATACGAAGAACCTTAAAATAACTGAGAACCTTGCCTCCTAGGGACTACATAGCAGTGCAAAGGAGCTTGCAACCCTAAGACTACCATGTTGGGAACACTATCGATGATGGCCGTATGAACAAGAAATAAGTCGTTGGGGCCCGACTCCATAGATCTTCACTTTTGCCGCCTGCTTCATGCACACGGATTCATAGTGTGGCATCAAACACTCCGTCTACAACTAGAGTCTGTCTTAAGACCTTAATGCGGATCCTATACCGATACAAAATTACGATCGCCATTGACGTTTATGACTTGGCGTCGTTGTGAGTTTATCACGGAAGTCGGTTAGCAGGCCAATGCTTTTTGAGCCATGATCATGTGCTCGTTCGAGGCTGCACCGTTGCACAAGTCTCTTTCGGGGTGGGTAGTTGATAACTAACTACGGCCGTAACTAGTCCGGATGGTATGAAGATCTCGCCTTCGAAGACTATCAAACTCACGCCCTTGAGCGTTTGCTTCGCCTGGATACCACCTCTTTGATATCGAGGATCTGTTGCTCCTCCTCGGGTTCTTTCTTTACCCTCTTTCGCTTTGTTGTCTCTTTCTTCACCACACTTGCGATGACTACATCGTCACCCTCTTTCTTCACTACAACATCTTCCTCCTTGACTTCGGGCTTCGCCGCTGTTCGCTCGGAGAATGCCTTAAGATCAGCGGTGAACAACACCGAATGCGCCCACCCAGCCTCTTTACCCCACAGCTTCCGGAAGTGATTTGCAACTGCGACGTAAGTTGCCGCTGTTAGACTACTATGCTTCCCCTTGCCAAACTTATAGTCGCGCTGTGCGATCTGCCACACGTGCGTATCAACCGGTACAGACTCAGACCAGCCGAGGCCAAACAAGCACACGCAGTCGGCGACCTTGGGGCCTACACCATGCAGCGCTAACAACTCGTCATGCGCTTTCCGGTAGCCTTCGCGACCACCTGGAAGCAACTCTCCAGCCGGCTTCGTTTTGACACCAAATTGTGGGCTCTCTGGGTTACTGAGATCCTCCAGCCACTGCAGGCCTTTCTCTTCAGAAACGATCCTTGCAGTTTTGGCAATGTATTTCGCCCTATATCCAAATCCAAGCTTCATGAGATGCGCCTCAACTTGGGGACCAATAAGCGCTTCTGGGGTCGGAAAGTCGTGGTACGGAACGTCGTCAATGTGTCCGATCAAAGAGCCGTAGTGCAGGCACAGATTATGAACCATGCCCGAGATTCTACTGATGTTGTTATTGCTACTGCATATGAAGCCTATGAGTGCTTCCCAAGCACCTTGTCGCAATATCCTCACGCCGGTGAATTTGGGTGCTTTTTTCCTAAAGTTGGCATCCGAGGCAGCCCATTGATCGTAGAGTTGACCCAGATTCGGTGTGAGGTTGAAGTAGTGCGTTATGAGGGCGAGTGTGTCGTCTTCTTCTGAGGCGACGGAGGGCGCATTGGAGGGTGGCGGCGTTGGAAGGACGGAGGTCACAGAGGGGTATATTGCGCGGTAGTGAAGATGTTCGGCATCTTGACGTAGGGAGATTATGCGACCGTGGAGCGCCATTGACCACTCGTCTTCAGCGGATTTGCGCCATCTGATTGTACAATTAGGAGGAAGCTATTGGCGCTTAGGTGAAGAGTCGTGTACCTGAAGGACTGTCCACAGCGCAATGTCGTGTTGATACACAGCTCCGTCAGACTTGTAGGCAGCTTGTGCCATTCTGCAGCGCGTACGGCCATTGCTAGACAACTAAAGGTTGCAGAGGACGAGTGCACACTTCCAGAGTGAATGTTCCTGAGCTCCAAGGGCTGGGCCAGCAGCAGGCAGGGGTAGGTCTTGCGCCAAGTTGCGCTAACAAACCGTCGACTTTCTCACCACCCGTTTTCCCCGAACGACAACGCCAACTACCGCCAAAGCATCGCGTCCTAGTGCTCGGATAGCTGCTTCTGGTCGAATCATCATCAGCACTTCTTGATCCAGATCTGCTAATAGCAGCTTCGTCAGCGATCTTACCCCTCGCAGCAGCAAGCACTGCGCGGCTGCATTGCCATAACGCGACAGCTCCAGCCTTCACCCAATTGCCCAGCATGAACGGCGATAGCTACTCTCGAGGTAAGCGCTTTAGCTCAGTACACGTACTGACTGGTGTACAGCTCTCCAAGATGGTCTCGTACTAACATAAACAGACGGAGGCCGTTCGAGCGGATCGAGGAACTACGTGAGTGTGAAGACGACGCGCGATTTCAGGCGAAAACTGACCAAATAGCCCCCGAGAGACGATCGCGATCGCGGCGACCGCGGCGACAGGCGGCGGCGCCGCTCTCGCTCTCCCCGCCACGGTGGAGGAGCAGCAGGAGGAGGAGCAGGAGGAGGAGGAGGGTCCCGCCGCGACTACGAGGTTGACACGTACTCCTCCAGCCGAGATTACCGTGAGCGCGAGCGCGAGAGTGCTTACGATCGCCGTGAGAGGCGCGATGATCGGGGCGAGAACCGCGGAGGCGGTGACAGAAGCTGGGGCGACTCGTACTCCAGGCGCGACCGACCTCGAGGAGACCGCGATCGCGAAGATGACCGTGGTGCTCGAAGGGATCGAGGTGACAGAAATGAAAGAGGTGGTGAGAGGTTTGATGGCGGCGAACGCAGGGGACGGGGCGGACGTGATGGTGGCTTTGGTGGTGGTCGCGATCGAGGGCGCCAGCAGAAGGAAGAGTCGCCGCCCTTCAACAAACCGCGCGAGGCTACACCAGACTTGACCAGCTTTGTCAACATCCAGCAGCGCCCGCGCCGCATGACACAGTGGGACATCAAGCCCGCTGGCTACGAAAATATCACCGCTGAACAGGCCAAGATTTCGGGCATGTTTTCGCTGCCTGGAGCTCCCCGCGCTGCCCCAATGGACCCGTCCAAACTGGCTGCCTTTATATCCCCGTCTGCCGGAACCGCATCGGCTGCTGCTCTTGCACCATCCGCCGCCAAACAGTCGAAGCGTCTCTATGTTCATAATTTGCCCTCTGGCGCTAGCTCCGAGAACATTATGAATTTCTTCAATCTCCAGCTCAATGGCTTGAATGTCGTTTCTAGCAACGACCCCTGCCTGTCTGCACATGTTGCCACTAGTAAGGAGTACGCTGCGCTTGAGTTCAAGACGCCCGAGGATGCGACTGTCGCTCTCGCTATGAACGGCATTTCCATGCGCGACGATGCGGGAGGTCTTTCGATCCGCCGTCCAAAAGATTACATCACCCCCGCTGCCGACGAGAACGCATATCCTGGAGACGAAGTGTCTTCGGTCGTCAAGGACAGCCCCAACAAGCTCAGCATTGTCAATATTCCTGCATACATCGAGGAAGAGCAGGTGCGCGAGCTCATCGAGACCATGGGCAAGCTCAAGGCTTTCATTTTGGTCAAGGATACGAGCAATGACCAACATCGCGTAAGTAGCTCATCTCTCTCTGTATATCAAGCTGACAATCTCTCTAGGGTATCGCTTTCTGCGAATACGCAGACAACGAAATCGTCGATGCTGTCATAGAAGGCCTGAACGGCATCCCGCTCGGTGACACCAACCTGAAGGTCTCTCGTGCGACAGTGGGCCTGCAGCAGACGACTGGCTTGGATGGCGGAGTTGGTGCCATCTCAATGTTGGCCGGTGCCAGCGCAGCCGAGAACCACGAACATAGCCGCGTCATTTGTCTCATGAACATGGTTACTTCGGACGACCTTATCAATGACGATGACTATGAAGGTACGTCTATCTATACGTTCATATACTACACCCTTGCGCCCCTCCCATTAACGGCTTACTGACACTACCACAGAGATCAAAGAAGAAATCGAAGAAGAATGCGTCAAATACGGCCCCATCATCGAGACTAAGATCCCTCGTCCTGCAGGAGCCCGCGTCAATCTTGGCGTCGGAAAGGTCTACATCAAGTACCAGGATACTGAGTCTGCACAAAAGGCGATCAAGAGCCTTGCCGGCCGCCAATTCTCAAGGAGAACGGTAGTCGCGACAGAGTTTTCGGAAGAAGGCTTTGATGTTGATGCTTGGTAGTTTATACTCGTTATAGCGCTTGCTTCGGCATCTCGTTCGTCATGGTGTGTATCAGGTCTTTGGTGCAGACATCTCCTACGAGTGTGAGGATAGTAAAAACAGGGGGAGTTTTGTACACTAATTTGGTCATAGGCAAAAAAGCAAGCATGAGCGTGGTGACGCGCTGATTGTAATGCTCTTGCATCGTTGGGTAGGAAAGCTCAATTGAGATCTAGCTATTTTTCTTGAATACCATTACCTGCACTGATAACATATCCATAATGCTATGCTGTATACATGTGTCCAGACGGTACAATCCGTGGAATCCTTTGTATTTCCCTGTTACTCGATATTGGGCTCAATGCATCCTAACTCAACATTAGAGCTTGAGCAGTCGACAAGGCACCCCAGGACATGCATGCCTATGTGAGCTCAAACGACGAGATCGAAGCAGAGTGCTGACCAAAGGTAAACCCCGTCTTAGCGATGACAGAGCGTAAACCAACGTCGTCATTCTTCAACATCACATCCTCAAACTCAACTTCAATTCTGCCGCAGAGGCTACTTCAGCACAGTCATTAGGTCTGCAATGGCGAAACTGCGTGGTATCCTGGGTTAAGCTCGTGTAACTCCACCAACAAAATGATCCTTCCGGGCAGCCTTGCGCCCTAGGGTCACCGCACGCCAAGTCGCGTCTCTGTCAGTCTTTCATGCAATGACAAGGCTATATAGGCTGATATACGAAGCTCTGATTGGCGCTCCAAAGACAGTTGACAGTTTATGGGCGGTCTTGACCCTGTAGTCATGTTGGAAATGGTTTAGTAGAGTTTATACAATAACGGTGCTCCAGCGAGCTATATTCGTCCGTTTACTAGCCATATAAAGGATAGTAAAATGCGGCGTGGAGCAAAACCAATGGTAGATAAGACTCGGAAACAAAAGATCTGGCAGCGCCTAGGATTTAAGTTTGATCTAAACTCTGCTGACGTGTGCTCGGCGTTAAGAAGGTGCGGCCAGAACGCTCGGTGTTAAGAAGGCCAGAATTGAGGAGCGCGATTATATATGTAGAAATACTAGTCCCAGGACCTTAAAGAGTCTGCATTCCACATTCCATAGTTTTGTAAAGAACCACACTTCTAACAGTCAACAGTCTTCCACCCACACAACATCTAATAAGCTCAGCGACTATGGCCGGGCGATTCCTATACTCTCAACTCTTTGTCACACCTCCCAAACCTACCGTCTCTCACGCCGGGAAGACCGTCATCGTCACGGGTGCCAACGTCGGCCTCGGCAAAGAAGCGGCGCGCCAGTTTACACAGCTCGGGGCCTCGACTGTGATTCTTGCTGTCCGGTCACTTGAGAAGGGTAATGCAGCCAAGAACGACATTGAAGCCAGCACGGGACGCAACGGCGTTGTCAAAGTATGGCAGCTTGACATGGCATCCTACCAGTCCGTCTTAGACTTTGCGGGAAAAGCAGAAAAAGAGCTGGACCGACTCGATGTCGCACTGCTCAACGCGGGAGTTATGCGTGGGCAGTGGGAAGTTTTCGAACAAGACGAGAGCACCATCACTGTGAACGTCGTCTCCACATTTCTCCTCGCCTTCGCTCTCGCGCCGAAGCTTGTAGAGACGAGCAAGAAGTTTAATACGAGACCAAATCTCACCATTGTCTCGTCGGAGACTCATGAGTTCGTTGGTTTTGCTGAGCGGCACGCTCCAGAGGGGAAGATATTTGAGAGGTTGAATGAGAAGATGGTGGACGGCAAAGCGGTTGCGCTGTCAACGCGATACATGGTGTCAAAGTTACTTGAGGTTCTCATCGTGCGCGCGTGGTGCGAAAGGAAGTCTGCGACCGAAATTCCAGTGACTATCAATTTCGTCAATCCTGGATTGTGCCATTCGTAAGTGCCTCACCCCCATCTTGTGTCCCGCCCCCTTGTACTCCCTCTCTCTCTCTCTCTTTCTTCCAACTCCTAGTCAACTATAATCTCCCTTCTAATCTTCGAAACTAGTGAATTCGGCCGCGAAGGTGGCTGGAGCGTGATCATTATGAAATTCTTCCTCGCTCGAACCACCGAGGTCGGCTCACGCGTTTTGGTCGCCGCCGCATCCCTTGGTCCAGAAAGCCACGGCCAGTACGTGACTAATGGGCGGGTTGAGGACCCGGGGACTTGGGTGTTGAGTCAGGAGGGACATCAGGTGCAGCAGAGAGTTTGGAACGAACTGGTTGGCAAATTAGAGGGCATTAAGACTGGTATAACGCAAACACTGTAAAATTCTGCAAAGCACAGCGGTAAGGGCTGATTTGATCAGGTGTTGAGAGTTGGATGTATTTCACAGTAATCCATGATAGGGGATCTGATCTTATCAACTTTTCAGCAGTGGCTACAGCGTTACGATTTACTTAGCCCGCCTTCTTCCTTTACGATACCATTGACCCACCTCTATAGCCAACAACACGTAACGCAATTTTATGGGCTCCCGCTCGCTCACAAATCAATCTCAGTAGCCGGTCGAGCAATATTAGCACGCCAATGGTGTGCATTGACTGGATCCTTTTGATAAACATTGACTTCAAAGAACCTATTGTGCGTAGCACATTTGAAGTTCTTAAACCTCCAGACTAGTTAGTACTCACTCTAGGCTTCAAGACGACACGTTACAACTTACGTGTTCAGCTTCTCGAAATTCGCATCAATAAGCCACTGCTCCGTCACCTCGACGAAACCTTCACCCTCTCCACTGACCTGCTTGGACGCAAAGTATCGCTTACTTTCAAGCGGTCCGTAGTTGACTTGCTTGACTAACTGAATGACGAAAGGGGATCCAATATTTGCTTCAGCGGTTACAGATTCGTCGGTAGTGATGGTACTTTCTTTTGGGAACGTGGCCCAAGCCATGAATGCAGTGAACTTTTGTTCGTGTGAGATGATTCGGTTCTTGTACCCGTGGACGTTGGTGCAGCAGAAAATGGAAGACATGATGGAAATTGGGAAATTGGAGAAGTTAGAAGTGGTGTGGTGTTGGAAACCAGTGGATATCTCGGAACCTTATATTGTTGTAAGCAAGCTCTTATATGCCATTACCTGATTTGTCTTATTGTGTCATTGGCTGGCAATTTGAGGCCTACCATGGCGTTAAGTTGGGTGGCTAATTGGATGTAGGTCTGAGGCCTACCATATGAGCCAAGCTCGGAAAACCCTAATGCGGGAACGACGCACTGCGGTGCGACACATTGTGAGACGCTCCTTGGTGTGATCGAAGCTTCATTGGGCGTAAAGTATATTTGATGTAGCTTCTAAAGGTGCACGACTTCGTCACGTAATGATGATCCAGGCGTTAACCAAATGTAGGCACAGTTGTCCTATCGACAAGATTGCAACAGAGGAATAGCTCAAGGTTGACCATCGAGAAATGGTAGAGATAATGCTTACTAACTAGGCTCGTATCAATTAAGATATGCACATTTGTGTAAATGGGGTAAGGGGTAAAGGCCGCGTAGGGCCAATTAGTTCGAAATGCCGAATAGCGTCACCATAGAGATATAAATTACATCAACTCATGCAATTATATCTCAACTATCTAGCTAATCATATCAGCGGCTGCCCCGGGTGCTGAGACCTGATGTGCCGATTTAAATTGTCTTTACGCGGCATACTCTTCGCGCACCGGTCCACGGGGCAAACATACTCTCGCTGCGAGCTAGCTCCGTTGAGGCAGCGCTGGTGCTTTACTGTCCTCTTGTGTCGTTCCAGGTCTTTGGTAAAGTCTTTACTCATACGGAGTGATGCTTGACAGACCTCGCAAATGTATGTTTCGTGTGTCTTTTGGTGTAGACTAGTAATTGTTAGTTCACTGTTATTGCCATACTATGGTGTACTTAATTCAGGTCCCGTCGACGTGTGAATAGCCGACCACATTCCGGGCAGCTGTGTTGGAGCCCGTTGTCGCTGAGCTGGATTGTAGGTTGAGGTTGGGGTGAAGTTGACGGTGGTTCGAAAGCGGTTGGTAGGGGTTCAAAGGAGTGGGTTGACCGTGGAGAAAGTAAAACGCAATCAGGGTAAGGAGGGAATCCATCTGTCTCGTGAGGTGACTGTTGCTCTTTTCCGCCATGAGTCTGTTCAAGAGTCTGTGTCGCTGGCGGAACACAGTATCGTGGTTCGAGAGTAAGCAAGCTTGGATCGACGTAAAGATGTTGATAATGTTCTTCTTCTTGCTGAAGCCTTGCTTGCCTAAACTCGGAAATTAAACGCTACTAGCAGTGTAGCAATGGAATAGGGGTGTTCCGCAGGAGCTCCAGGCTCGAGGCAGAATCGAACGGAAAAGAGCGAAGCGAGAAGATGGAGAAGAGAAGAATGAAAGAAGCGAATGCTTTGGTGGCTCCAGGCCCCACGGTGAAGAAAGAAAGAGATCAAAAAGAAACTGATTAGATGTTTATATGCTCGCGGCGAGGTGCTGCGGCCCCAGTCGTGTGATTGGTTGCATGTAGGCTCTGGTAGGCCTCAAATTTAGCGTGCTTTTTGCGCGTGGCCCTTCGCTCATCACATCCCGATCATCCCTCCTGCAGCTCGACTGATCCAACCCCGCACAACGCGATACGTGACATGGACTGACTGTCTATTAACTATAGGTACGCATATAAATTCCATCCCTTACTGTAATATACCTGGCTGCCACGGTAAGTGACATAGCTAGTGAGCAGTCTCATCAAATATGGGACAGGTTAACAAAGTAGCTGCTAATGTAGAAATTGTCAAGGAATACGAATTTTTCGTTCTCTTTCGCTATAGGATTCGCTAATATCAACCATCAGGTGCTGTATACCTAGATACATAGTTTGTGTGATAAGATTTTGAATCGAACCTGCGCACAGCTTGCTCCGAAATACTCTCTCCTCCATGCTGACCTTAGTTCGTCAGCACATATCGATACCTCGGCAGACCCTTCTCGAAATCAATCAGCACCTGGTTAGCCTCCTCCATAGGCCTAACCTGAACCCAAGCCTGCAAATTTGTCTTCTTCGCCAATTCCAACATATCCCTGATCTGCTGTCTGGTTCCAATCAGACTACCTGCGATCTTCAGGTTCCTGAGGATCAAGGCAAAGGGCGAGAAGCTGGGCAGTTTGTCCTCAGGAGCACCAAGCTGCACGAACGTGCCGTTAACGTCGAGGAGGTTGAGGTACTGGTCGAGCGGGAAGGAGCCGGAGACGGTGGAGATGATGAGATCAAGGGAACCTGCGTTCTTGTTCATCCATTCAGCGTCTTCTCCTGTGGCGATGAACTCGTCGGCGCCGAGTTCGAGGGCGTCGGCCTTCTTGCTGGACGAACGGGAGATAGCCACGACTTTGTCGCAGTTAAGGGCCTTCGCAAAGAGAAGACCGAAGTGACCAAGGCCACCTACACCGACGACACCCACGCGCATTCCGGGGCCGGCTCCATAAGTGACAAGAGGGTTGTAGACCGTTACACCTCCGCACATGAGAGGCGCCGCGAACTCTGATGGCAGACCCTCCGGGATAGGGATCGCGAATGCAGCAGGTCCGCGCCATGCCTTGGCGTAACCGCCGTAAGATTTGTCGCCGTTTGCGTACTTGGAGTTATAGGTTCCAGTATTGGAACTACAGTTGGATTCTTGCTGCATCTTGCAGGGCTTGCACGATTCGCAGCAGTCGCTCTGCGCACCAACACCAACGCGGTCACCGACCTTCAAATCCTTAACGTCTTTGCCTACACGAGACACTTTACCAATGATCTCGTGGCCGACGACGAGAGGATAGTTCGAAGGTCCCCAGCCGGAACGGAGGGTGTGAATGTCAGAGCCACAGACTCCGCTGTGAGATATTTGCATCTCGATGTCAGTCTCTGTGAAGGACTTGGGCGTATAAGAGCCCCATTGCATGTTGCCATCAGCTGCAGAAGGGTCATGAGCTACCCAGCCCTGGAAATCGGAGGAAGAAGTATTTGATGACATAATGTGTGTTAGGGGTTATGATTGAAGTAAAGATATCGAAGAGAAATGTCGAGTTGAGGGTGTTTGGTTTTGCTTGATGGGATACTTCTCGCTCTTAGTCGATCCATCTTAAACAGTCTGAACACGTTTGATTTGTAATTCATCGAATTGCAGTGTCCTGAAGGTGTGTCCGCCCCCCTTCGCCGGTTCTTGCCGCTCTGGTACGACCCACTCCGGTGACTTCATGATGTTTGAAGGTATGTGCGCACTATCGCCGTTTAACACCGCTTGGGTAGGTAGAAGCAAGGATTTTTTTTCTCCCTTTGTTCACTAAACGAAAGATTATTAGCAAATCCTAGCAGAGGCAAGCGACGCACTCAAGGAAGAGGAAATTCTCCGTGGTACCCCCGTTAGCTGCCGCGCATGCATACTCGTGGTCGACAGGTGTCAGGTCTTATCGTTCGGGCCGACACGCATTTTTTTTTCACCAACGACCTCGCCGGCTTCTCAATGACGCGGTCTAGATAGACCGCCCTTGCAATACAAGACCCATTTATTAATGCCTTGCTTCAAAGTCGAATGACCTCACTATCAGTGCCTATGCTATTGCGGGAAGGTCTCTATTCTCCTAACCCCACACAAGGCCGTTCGGCGAAGCAGCCCTAATATCATCGTCATTCTTCTGTGGAAAGCTTATCTCCGTCTCGCCATTCGCTGGTGGGCACATACCCTTCAAGTTAGTCCTCGCAAAGTGACAGGACGTTCTATCATTGAGAAGAGCTTTTGCAAAACGCATTCTACTGTCGTTATTAATCCAACGGTCCCGAGTTAACCTAGCACGGTACATCGGTACCTCTATAAAAGGGAATAACTAGTATACCCTGCAATATGGAAGTCTTTTAGGGACCAACGATACTCCATGGGGCTGACCGCGGAAATCTGATAACACTAAGTGAATGCTTGAGGGTAGGCGCAATATCCAAGCTGGCATCTTGCTCTGTAACAATCTAATGGTATATGGGAGAGTTGTTATAGCTCCTCTAATATCTCGTATCGACGATCCATCCGACAAAACTGAGGCCAAGACAAAGGCGAGGAATTCATCTTTCGCACCCGCATTCTCTAGGACAGACGTATAATTTGATAGAAGGGCTCATTGCCGAATGATGTTTGGCCCAAGCGAGTTAGAACGATATAGTCCTGGCATTCATCATTGCCAAATGTTGAAGACGCGTCTCACACGTCTTCACATTTCTCGCAGGCAATCTTTTCTTTCGACTTAATCAATGAGGCCTCTCACGAATTCAACTCGTTTCCGAAGACCCACCACATATTTCAAGACGATGGAGTGGTTGATGCCCCGCGTCTTCATGAGCTGTCGAAACGCATCGTCTACGCGCATCCAATCTTCCACGTCGGTCCACGGAAATCAGTGGCTGTCTCAAGTGCTTAGAGGATAATACCCACCATGCACTCAGATTGGAAATTATGATAATAATGACACGGACTCAAGTAACAACCCCAAGGATGATGAGGTTTGAAACCATGGTTGACAACCGTCTAGTAGGTTAGCAATGCCAGTATAGCTGACTCGAACCCTATTCCGGATGCACTAAAAACACAATCCAACCCCATAAGCCTTCCCCTGAATTTCGGGCACACTAGCGACGTCTAGTTTCACATATAGTGGTTCTCAACGCGACCCTACCACGGATCTAGGGACACGAATTGGGGTCCCGAAAGCGATCTAGTTTCAATAAAGAGAACTTGAATTAGATAGACTATGAAGAGCGCATTGATGCGGCGTAATCGGAGTTGCTACAACGGAGTACGAAACATTCCTGAGGGCTGTCGAGTCTGTTCTATGAATGCAATTGTTGTAGAATCATCTTGCAATATCCGCGATTACGCGAGAGCTCTTGTTTCTGCAATCGAACACGCAACCAATAAACACAATAGGAGCTGGCTACTAGCATTCGAAGTGGTATGATTTGTACCTCATAATGAGCGACGTAGATATGTGTTTCTTGATTGTTGTTGGCCCATGGAAGTGCTGCGGAGGTGTGAACTCCAGCGAATCGGAATGAAGGCTTGTCCGTCCTCTTGGTGGCTTCTACCGCCTAGCTTCGGCTTCCTTCACGCCCTTTGACCCGACCACATCGCCTTGCAATGCCGCCACTGCATTTAAACACGCTCACACGCCTCTCCAGTATGTGGCCCTGTCCACTTGCTGTGCGATTGACCTCACCTTGATCCAGCAATAAATCGCCGCCTGGGTAATCAAAGCTCCGTCGCGTCACTCGCATACCCCACCACGCCGCCTATACGCAGGCTCCACGCCTCTCCAGCACGCTTCGCCATGTCCGAGTTCGCGGCTTACACTGCAAATAGCAGTAAGAGCACGATAACAAATGGCTCGGCTTCCAATGGTAATGCTTGGGGTGGTGAGCAGAACCCTGCTGCCTTCGACTTCCGCTCCGACGTGCACACGACGCCAACAGCAACCATGTTGAAAGCGATACAAGAATGCACACTTCTCGATGATGTCACTATGGAAGACCCAACGACACTGTCCCTTGAGCGCTTCATCGCCGAGCTTTCGGGAAAAGAAGACGCGCTGCTGGTGCTATCGGGCACAATGGGCAATCAGGTCGCGCTGCGAGCACATCTTACCACCCCTCCACACGCTGTTCTGTGTGACCGAAGAGGACATATTATAAACTATGAAGCTGGGGGCGTAGCAACTCTGAGCCAGGCCATGATGCAGCCCATCGACGCAATGAACAACGCATACATGACGCTTGAGGAAGTGCAGAAGTATGCTGTTGTGTCCGACGACGTTCACGCCTGTCCTACACGCGTGATATCGCTCGAAAACACACTAAATGGTGCCATTATGCCACTTTCAGAAGTCCGACGGATATCTGCCTGGGCACGTGAGCATGGTATCATCATGCATCTAGATGGCGCACGCCTATGGGAAGCCGTAGCCGCGGGAGCTGGAACACTCAAAGAGTACTGCGCGGAATTCGATAGCATAAGCCTGTGCTTCAGCAAAGGTCTTGGAGCACCCATCGGCAGCATCATCGTCGGCACAAAGGCCTTCATCAAGCGCAGCCGTTGGATCCGCAAGTCCATTGGTGGTGGCCTACGACAAGCAGGTGTTATTGCAGCTCCCGCTCGCGTCGCAGTCGAAGAGACGTTCCTTGGCGGCAAGCTCGCTCAATCACACGAGAATGCGAAGAGGATCGAGAAGATCTGGGCAGACTTAGGAGGCAAGCTGCAGTATCCCGTCGACACGAATATGGTATGGTTGGACCTTGAGGCTCATGGTATTGATGCCAACAACTTCATTGAATTGGCGGAGAAGTACGGCCTGAGGATTCGCGCTGGCAGATTCGTCGTGCATTATCAGATTGGTGAGGAGGCCATTGCACGATTAAGGAAGTTGTTCACCGAGGTGTTGACCGGCAAAGAGTCAAGTGGGAAGAAGGCGGAGGCACCACATGACCCGGAGGACTTGAAGCTGAAGGGTAAGGGCGTAGAGTAGAAGCATGTCTACGGCAGAGTTCCAGAGCAACGTGTACATTTATTCCGTATCACAAGTCCATCTTCAATGCAAGATGCTAAGGCGGGCGTTCCGAACTCTCGGAATCTTCGGAACCACCAAGCTTTCCAAGACTCACTATTACGTTATGACATCCATTAAAGAGCCAAAAACTTCCCTCATCGAGCCAAGAACCAAGATGAAAGCATAAGCGTCCAACATGGGGCTCCAGAATCGAGGCTACGCGACTTGGCATACAGCCATTCGCGCCGCATGCGTCATAGTTAAAACCTTGTCAAATGTTTGCTTTAGAGTCTTTGACGACGTTTTGGTAGAACTCACAGATCATACCAATTGAACGTCTACGAAGCAACAATGGCACCCCCTGCGGCCCAAACCATCATCTCTGACCACCCGGTCAAGGTCCGCATGCTTGTTCTTGAGACAGATGTAACACATCCTGATACCCAGAAAGAGAAGGGTTCTTTTGGCGTAGTTCTTAATAAGTTGCTGCAAAAAGCAGGAGAAGAGCATGATCCGAGTCTGGGCATCGAGACAGCTATGCAATTTGTTGTCGAGCCTGAAGGCGGCGTGATACCAAAACCCGAGGAAATTGGAGACGACATACATGCCATATTGATCACGGGGAGTTGCTGGGATGCGCATGGGGACGACGCGTGGATACACAAGCTGATGGGGTTCATAAGACGTAAGCAACCTTGAAAATCAAGGCACTGCCTCAACTAATTAGCATACTAGATATTTGGGTGAACAGACCAGATATACGCTTCACAGGAATATGTTTCGGCCACCAACTCCTCTGTCGTACACTTGGCTCTACCGTTAAGCCAGAAGCAAATGGCGAATGGGAGCTTAGCCATTCTCCAATCATCCTCTCTGATTTAGGACGTTCGCTCTTCAACCTCCTCAGCACAGAAGATCGCATACATCTACACCAAATGCATCTCGACCACGTCGTGGACCCACCATCCGCGTCCACCACCGACTTGCTACCGAAGGGTACAAAAGTACACGTCTGGGGTACGAGCGACCACACCGGTGTCCAAGGCGTGTATATTCAAAAACGTTTGTTCACTACACAAGGACATATGGAGTTCAACGAGGCCATGGTGAAGAGGCAGTTGGAGATGCGCGTCAAAGCTAAGAGTATAACGGAGGATGATGGAGCTAAAGCTGCGGAGAAGGCGGATTGGATGCACGATGGGTTATTAGTAGCAAAGGCTGTGCTACGGTTCTTTCATGGTGATGACGACAAGTTCGAGTAGGGAGCGAGCGATATTTACACCTTTTGTTTCAAGTGCGGGCATCGGAGACTATATATATGCGTCAGCGTCCCTTTGTCAGATAACTATTTGGCCAACGACAGTTAGATTCAATAGAGGGCTAAAGACTTAAATAGACGTCAGAAAATTATGTTTGAACAAAAGCACGTGTAAGATCAGTCCGGTGTTTCGCAACATTCTTACACCGGCTTCGGCCGGAAATAGGGCTTGTTGAGGTCTTTATCCCCGGTGGAAGGCCTGACCTTCCTCTTCGATCCCGAACTTACATCATCGTCTAGGTTCATACAATCCTCTTCTACTTCAATATTGAGCTTTTCAGGCTCTTAGGAAGCAGATGGCCTTGCAAATATCGATCGGATCTTATTGTCGTTACGACTTGTAGAGATCTACGCGAGGCTACGTTTGCGGGTTCGCGCATTCGGCCAACAGCGCGAAGAACACATCGTCTCCAACACTCGGCGCTACTTATGCAGGACGATACAGGTCACCAAACGTCGGCTCGCATCCTATTATTTCAAGGTCAAATCAGAGCCTTAGGATCAGACCATTAAGACATTCTGGTTGGAGCGAAGACTACAGGGATGCGTTCCGACGTCCAAATACCCTGTAGGCTCCAAAAAGTTTAAAGAAGCCGATACCCCAGATTCGTGACGGTCCTTTAGTCTCGACAATTCATGTCCCTTCTGAAAACATTGGTTTGTTCAAGGTCCTCGCCACGGTACCGTTTCGTTCCAAGCTCAGCCTATAGTGGAAGTATTCACCATGGATAACCAAAAAGACGACGTGGACAGATCCATCATCGATGATAACAGCGAGTTTAATTCGCAGAAAGAGATAGATTTAGAAAAGCATAGCATTCCTACGACGCTCCAACGGCAAGTCTCCGGGCCTCCGTACTCGGTCTTCGGGAAAGGCATGAAGATATGGATCATCTTTCTCGTGTCTGTGTCAGCCTTGATTTCTCCATTCGGTGCAGCCATGTACCTTCCTGCGATCAACGTCCTCTCCAACGTCCTTCATATTACGCCGACACAGGCCAATATTTCAATTACTACATATATGGTACGTTTAACTACAAGCCGAGGTTAATCTCGATGGCTTGAACGTGCTTGAACGTTACGTTTGGCATCTGCAAGGCCAACTGATGCTTTGGCCCAAAATGCTAACGAAAGTAGATTGCTCAAGCAATAGCTCCAGCTTTCATCGGCGCCATGTCGGACAATAGCGGCCGGCGATTGTCTTTCATTGTTTGCTTCATTATATTTATTATAGGCAACATCGGTCTTGCTCTTCAGACAAACTACATCGCCCTGTTGATATTGCGCATGGTGCAAGGTGTCGGATGTACAGCTGCTATCGCACTTTGTTTCGCCGTTGTGTCCGATCTTGCTACATCTGCCGAGAGGGGCAAATATATGGGTGCGTGCCGAAGCGGGAACTATGCGTGAGAAATGTACTAACTTCTAACTCCCATTTTTGTAGGATATGCAGGTGCAGGCATGCTCATGGGTCCAGCTTTCGGACCAACAATTGGTGGTTTACTCGCGCAGTACCTTGGATGGCGATCAATCTTCTGGTTTCTGGTGATATTCTCCGGTGTATTGCTTGTCCTCTTTGTATTTCTCTTTCCTGAAACCTGCAGAAACGTGGTCGGTAATGGATCAATTCCCCCAACAGGCATCAATCGATCTGTCATCAGCTGCATACAACAGCGCAAACTCGCCAAACAATCACCAACCGAAGGAGTAACGGCTGAGATCAAGCCTAAGAAACGGCAAGTCGCCTTTCCAAACCCACTCGCGACATTCCACATCATGATTGAGAAGGAATACTGCATCATCCTGCTATACAACGGCCTCTTCTTCACCGGAATGATGATGGCTGCTTCCGCCATCCCAGTCCTTTTCCACAAAACCTACCACCTCAATGAACTCCACATCGGCCTGTGCTACATTGCCACTGGCGTAGGCTCCCTTCTCTCCAGCCTCACCATGGGCCACGTCGTAGACTGGAATTTCAAAAGGCACGCCACCGTGATGGGCATGACGATCACCAAAGGCAAACAACAAGACCTAACTAATTTCCCTATCGAGCGCGTGCGTTTCCAAATTGTCATACCCGGCCACATCATCGGCATCTTTGGTCTGCTCATGTTCGGCTGGACAGTCAAGTATGAAACACATCTCGCGGGTCCTGAGTTCGCCTTGTTTGTAATTGGATTTGGCATATCGACAGCTTTCAACATTACCAACGGACTTATCATCGATCTACACCGCGACCAGCCCGCTGCTGCGACCGCAGCGGTGAACTTTGTGAGATGTCTGATGAGCGCAGGGGGAAGTGCAGCGATTATCCCCATGTGTCATACTATGAATCCCGGATGGGCATTTACGTTCTTAGCATTGGTATATGTTATATTGATCGTTGTTGTGTATTGGGTCATGAGGGACGGGATGAGGTGGAGACAAGAGCAAGAAGAGAAAAAGAGAACCGAGAAGGAAAAGACTGGAAGAAGAGAGAAAATATAGTTCATCTTTGTTGAGCATGGAATTCATCGTATCTATTAGCCCATTCTTCTTCTTCGAAGTGAAGTCAATTAAAATCGTCTATGATTGAGATTGCTGGCTTTTTGTTCTGCTGCTGCTGTAGGCAGCAGCATCGCTGTTACGTGGCTGGAATTAGTTCCATGGTTCTGTTTTTACGTCGCCGTACTGTTTATTTTGTTGCAATACTGCTTTTACGATTTGCAGAGAGCTTCCGAGCTTTATAACTTATTCTTCTCTCTCTCTCTCTCTCTCTCTCTCTCTCTCTCTCTCTCTCTCTCTCTCTCTCTCTCTCTATGACTGAATCCCAGATCCCATCATCAAAGTCATTTTGATGCAGAGAGGAAGACCCAGGTAACGTGATTCCATGGAATCCAACGGGCTAGGGTTCATCATGTTGACATAGGGAAGCCGGCTTTGCTCCGTAGAATTCAAAGGGTTACCGTTGAGCGAATGGAAAGGTACACTCGGTTTTAACGTAGGGTTGAAGCCTGATGCTGCCGTGGTCGAAGCGCTAGAGTGGTTGGGATCCGTACACTGCGTGGATATAAGACCTTGTCTTGTGTTTTGGCAGAAGAACTGAACCGATGAATCCTCTTCGTGAAGCCATGGAGTCAAGTATGAAGCGACGTTGTCCGAGATGCTCATCGTTGGCCAAGCGATCGCGAGCGTCGGAGCAGCGGGTCTCCTGTCAACAACACTGTCTATTTCTGCCGTCGTAGTCACCTCTCGCCTTCGCGCACTATACACAGGGATCCTTTCGTCCTTGTTTGGCATTGCCATGATATGTGGACCACTCCTTGGAGGTGCCTTCACACAACATGTGTCCTGGAGATGGTTATTTTACATCAACCTCCCACTAGGTTCCGTAACAATTGGTGCGCTGGTGCCCTTTTTTTACCCACCAATTCGAGCAGTTGAAAACGAAACTGTTAAGGGGCGAGTAAAGAGGCTTGACTGCCGGTAATGGGCAAGCGTAAATAAGGTATTGTTCAGCCTTCCAATATGCTCTCTGACCACATCTTGGACCGTCGCATCGCACACATCATACCAGCAGTCACAAAAATCACGGTTTTAAGAACGCATCTACACATCACCGGTTTGTATACCAACAAATTTTGTGGCATGTGTTGTTGTTCTAGTGTACGAAAAGCTCAAGGAAATCATCCTTTCATAACTTCATGAATTATTATTATCCCCCTTGAACAATCTCACACCTACTGCTTGCGATGCAGCCCGCCAGTGTCACCGGTGTCATGAATCGCGTTGGGAACGGCGCGTTCGATGCTCTCGGGAAGCTTCTCCTGGATCTTCTGAGGGACGATGGATGCTTTACCTCCGCCTTTTGCGTGGCTAGTGTTGGTTTGGGGACCCTCCTTTGAGCTGCCGGTGTCGTGGATCTTATGGAATGTTAGCGTTATAGGTGAGTAGCGCGGATGATAAGATAGCGTACAGCGTTGGGTAGGTTCTCCTCAAGACCCGCGGGGACTTGCTTCTGGATCTTAGAGTCACTCGATGCGTGGCTAATGCCTTGTCCGTGTTCGTTCTGCATACTGATGAAATACGGAGTTGGTTTGGTGATTGATGTTGTAGATGATAGGGTTTTGCGTTGGTTGTAGACGAGCTTCCACTGGCTTTTGGTCTGAACTTTATATATACCTTGACTGTAATGAAGCAATGCCTTGCGTCACTCATGGTCAATTACCTCTGACGCTCACAAGTCCTCCACAGCCCCATCTCTATGCGTGATGTTGTTACTCAGACGTCATGACCCGCCATAAGCGAGTCCAAATGAGCAAACACGTTTGATTTACGCTCGGCTATGGTCGAAGCGTGCTTCATCACCATCGCATTCTTTGGAGAGGTGTATGTTTAGGCTTGAGGTGAGATTACATCATGACTTTTCATTTAAAGGCAGTTGCCTAAATCGGCCCTTCAGAGATACAGGGTCTCAACTTGCGATTGGCAGTGAGGGAAGTAAAAGTGAGATATAAGACTATCAAGATTTGACTAATCGTTTGCTAAACATTGCAGTTATCTGGAAGTAGTCATTGTCAGATTTAGATGGCTGACGTCATTCGATGGCAGCAGACCGAGTCAAGCTGGGCATCAAGCGACCACCCGATTTCGGGGTGAATACGCGGTGGAAGAAAACCAAGTCGGACTTTGGGAGTTTAAATGAAATGATGGACCGTGTTGTGGAGGTAGGAGAGGCCGACTCGAAGCACACGTTGACTAGATTAGCCTGAGTTTTCAAGACTGGACTACACGTGAGGCAATAATGCCATTCAAGACCCTCGTACAGTCCAGGTAAGAGGATTTTCAAAGCGCCTACGCCCTAGTTAAGCTATCGCTAGTTTTATAAAAGTACTTTAAATGTAAAAATATTTATAATTATATTAATTTTTTTAAAATAAATTAAAATAGTTGCTAATTATAATTTTAAATTTTATTATTATTCTTTTATAGTACTAAATATTAATTTTCTATTTTTTATAACTACTAATAAGTCTAATGCGAGATTTAGTTGTATTTAATAGTTTAAATATAAAAAAAATTACTTACTTTTTAGGCTTATATAAAGCTACTTTATAATTTTTAGTTTTTATTTACTATACTTTTAATATATAATAGCAAAACAAATTCTTTTTTTTTTTATTTACTTTAGCATTAACTTTTTAAATCTGCTTTAGCTAAAATTTTAAAAGCCTTTTTTTAATAATTTTATTATAAAAAAAGCCTAGTAGTTTAAAAAAATAAAAAAAAAATATAGTTTTAGTATAGCTTGCCTTTTTTTATTAAAATTATATAATAAGTAAAAAGCCTTTATTTTTTTATATTTATTTATTAATAATAGAAACTATACTAAGTATTAAGCTTACTAAAGTAGCTAAAATAGCTGCTTTTTACTAGTTACTTTAAAAACTAGTTACTAAAACTAAAATTATAAAAAACTATAATTATATAAACCTTTTTAAAGACTTTAAAAAAACGCTAAAAGTATAGTTATATAAGTTATATAAACTATAGGCGCTTAAAAAAGTAAAAAAACTTTAAAATTAGTATTTAATTAAATATAAAAGCAAAAATTAAGTAACTAAGGCGTTATTTTTATTAAAATAGGCTAGTTAGGAAACTATAGTTGAGAGCTGCTGCTAAACTACCCTAGGCGGAAGAAATTGAACGCGTACGTTGAGGAGACTTTGAGAATACAGTCCAGGTAACCCTAACCCCAGTACTTTCGGCCATATTATATATTGCTTCAACAACTCGATCGACGTCCTTGCTCTTCAGTGGTATGCGATGCGCCCCTTCCCACTCTACTAGCGTTGTAGTGCCTTCCTCGCAGTACTCATGGAGCAATTTTCGATGCAAGGGTAGCCCTACGTCAGCCATACCGTGGACATGAAGCGTAGGCTTACGCAGAATAGCCTCACCATTTACCTCTTTGCAGAATTGGAACCCCTCTGAAATGTTTCCAGCGCTGACCAATGCCTCGCTTTTCAATATTTCCGGATTCAGATTGCTCAGTGGCGCCCGTCCTGCGAGCAGGATACCGAACCTCCAACTCAACCCTGGTATTCTTGTGAGGCCAGTTTCGACAACCCTCCCTTCCAGTTGCGCTTTATCTTCTCTTGCTTGCTGTTCAAGTAATAAACTCGCCGAGAGTTTTGCACCTTGACTGAACCCCATCAAGCCTACCCACTCTCCCACGCCGCCTTTACGATGATCATCCTCCATCGCTGTTCGTATCGCATATCCAATCTCCTCGATACAGCTATCAGCGTCGATCTCAGCATGTTCATGAAGCCATCTCAACCATCTCCGAAAAGGCGCGTAAGCGCCGTACACGCTAATGATGTCGGGATGCGGATCGCAGAAGAAGGGTGCATCGACCCAAACTAGACGAAAGGAGTGTTGGAGATGGCGAATGAGGGATCGCGATTGCGCTTTGAAGATTGCAGCGTTGACGCCGCCTCCGTGAAGGCAGAGGATGCGCGGGAAAGCGTTCGAGTCGGGGGTGACGGAGGGTATTTTGGATATTGGTGGAGATGCTGATGAGGGCACCATAACGCCTCGGACATGAAAATGTGAGCGATCCTGCGAGTACCAATTCACAGTGGGGTTTCAAAAGCTGGGGGTAGATGTAAGATATAATTTAAATAACAGCAGAGAATGATGAGAAGTACACGAAAACTTAAAGTTGAGGACATTAATGCAGCACGCGCCTAAAATAAAGCACCGAGTATTGCATTTCCAGTCTTACCCGTAAGTAAAGACCGGACTCCGAAGCTTTGGGGTGGGTAGGATATTCAACAGGTGGCAGATACTGCCCTTGTAAAATCAGCTATCAATTGCGTGATTGGAAAAATTTAAGGCTGTATTACAGAGCCTACGAACGAGTTTCCCATCTTATTAGATTAACGGGTTCATACAACGAATGTCTGTATGATGGCGGGACTACATGGAAGTGCGGGGCCGGCGCATCGGAAAACAAAACCACGCTAGTACAAGTCCGAGCCTGACTACTTAACTCCGACGTCTATCTTTCCTCTAAAATTAACGCTAATATCTCTTTGCAATTACATAGCCTCAACTTCAACATTTTAGTCTAAGGTCTCAGACCGACAAAAGCAAAGTCGACATAAGGGCTGCCTGTTTCCTTAAAACATACCTCACCATCTTACAAAGATACTTCGGACACTCTTGTACTTTTTTAGTAGGCTTTATAATCTAAACCTAGTAGATTCTAATAGATCTATCGAATACGTAGTGTAACATTATCCACCCATGCTTTCTTCTGCCACCCGCTACAGGTGCACGACATCGCACTAACATTGAAAAATAGCATCTTGCACTGAAAGAAGTGTGGACTCTATCTCGAGATCCGAGTCACTACCCCTTGACTTTTAGCGAACTTAAGGTTTTATCGCTAACGAGCTTACATAGATATCGAGGCGCTTAGCCGGTTATAACTTGCGGAGGCTGCGAGCGAAGCAGTAGTTTACATTAAAGCTCCCTAAAATTCAAGGTATTCTCATGATACTCTATCCAAATTCATACTATGACGATTCTTCTCGCGGGCAGCATCGGCAAGACGGGCACGCGTATAGCATCCCTTCTCAAAGCTGCAAAAGTTCACTCTCCCCTCGCCCCTCGCCAGGGATCCGGTGCTGCACCGTATGGGTTCGCCGCAGTCAAGCTCGACTGGGCGGACGACGAGATACTGTTGAAGCGTTCGAAAATGATGATATCGAAGCCATCTACATGATGAAGCCATCGGTTCCTCAACCCTGGATCCCTATGATTAAGTTCGTCGATGTTGCTAGGAGCAATGGTACTAAGCGTTTTGTCTATGCGCGGGTACCTCTACTAAGTCTGGCGAGGATGGTTCGGTCGGGTGTGGGAGCATTATGTGAAGATTCGCATTGATTACTGTGGTCTCCGCCCCACTTGGTTCATGGATAAGTGCCAATATGGAAAGGATTTCGGACATTGAAAGCTCTAACCTAGCGTACTATCTAAAGACAATTTGGTGGGGCCTGGCGATGTTCATACCATCGACTAAATGAACAAGATAATCACTGCATGTCGGGATGGATGTATTCCCTTTATCAGCGTTGATGAAATACCTGAAGTTGCATTTCACGTCTTAGCCGACAAGAAGTCGCACAATTGCGACTACAGAATCCTTAGTCTCGAAGTCTTGGCTTCTAATGATTTTAATTAGGTGATGCGATTGAGCAGATCACTGGGTACCCTCCGAAGAGTTTTGACATTTTATTGAAGAGAAAAAAGTTGCATGGTCATCGTAACTATGACTGAGTCGTTTGACTCTGATTTCTTTAGTTAGCATCGGAGAATGTAAATTAATTCTACATCTCTTTGTTGTTGATTTTTGAAACAGCCTTGTTTAGTTCGCCACGTTGAACGAGGAACAGGTATCAAGTGAGGCGGTAATGTATCTACGTACTGCAACTTATAGATGAGAGCTACCGTCATTAACACTTATCAGTGTTGACGTGCTTTTGATGGACACTCGTTTGATACAAGGTTGACTCATTTGCTAGTTTTCGACTATCTTTTCTTCATACCACACTTATCAGTATTTCTAATTCGCTTATTATCATGCGTTTATTTAGGTCGTAACCATAACGCCCGATTCCGAGAACCTCGTGAACGTACATGCAGTACGTGAATTTCAGTCCGGTTCTAACCAAAAGCGGTTAGGTAATTCGCGTAATCTAATATTTACCAGGGCCCAGCCCTTCGCCTTTTCGTCCGGCAAAGATATTGTAGCCTTCATAAGACTGGACTACTCCAACAAAGAAGCAGTTGGTTGTACCGAGACATGCAACAATCCTTCGAGATGCGTATCTTGAACTAAAATAATATCATATTCATACCATCCCTTTTCGCAATCTCTTATGCAGTTGCTACACAGCAGTCCACCTCATCGAAATTCCAAATGAAGGTCCTCATCGTCGGCGCAACCGGCTCTATCGGCAGCGTAATCCTCCAACACGTAGTGCGCCGTCACGACGTCACGCAAGTTATCGCATTAACAAGGAGACTACTCTCTGATCACGAGATCGGTGACAAGAAAATCAAAAACATAGTCATAAAAGACTTCGGCGATCTAGCAAAAGTGCAGGATGAAACGTGGGAAAAGATCCAAGACGCTGACGCATTAGTCTGGGCAATGGGCACATATGACTTGAATGAGGAAGTCAACCTGAATTATCCTCTGTCTTTCCAAGAAGAATTTGCGAAGAGACTACTTGCATTCCCGCGGAAACGAGAAGGAACGAAAGACAAGTTCAGATTCATTCTCCTCTCAGGCGCGTTTGTAGAACCGGATCAGTCCCGTCGACTGTACTATCTGTGGGACCAACGGAGAATGAAAGGCTTGCTTCATACGAAAACGATCGAATTTGCAGAAGCGCATCGAGATTTTTGGGAGGCTTTTATCATCAGACCTGGGGGAATACTCTCCGGTGGTGATACTTATCTAAACAAAGCGGTGGAATACATATTTGGGAGAAGCCTTGCGATTAGAAGCGAAGAGCTGGGAGCTTTTGTTGGAGGTCTGGTGGTGCACGGGGCGCAACAGCCTGTTATTGAGAACCTTGAGATAGTGGAAGGAGGTAGAAAACTACTTCAAGAGGGTATGTGAACGGTGGATTCGAGCACAGGTAATTGCAAAAGCATACCTCAGATGTTATTTGGCGCAATACATCCTCTCGACTTCATGATTGGGTATCGTGTGAGTACATATTAACGAGATTTATGGAACCAGGTATCCATGATGGCGACCTATAAGGGGAAGATGCTAGATCTGAACTGCAAGAAGGTCACCGATCCTGAGGATATCCAAGACGACGGGTCTCCTAAATGCCTCTTGGATGTTCATTCGGTAATTTGGCATGATATATTTATCAACATATTGCGCAACCCCAAGAAATCCGAAGATTTTGTCCATCTTATCTGTAAAATTGAAGACCTTCGGGCCGAGCAAACGGCCCAGGATCTTTGTAGCCTCATCCCTGGATATGAACTTTGATAGTCCACGGCTGTGATGCTCCTGTCAGGCTGTCATATTCATCTGGATGTTAAGTAGTGCTTGTTTCACTCCCTAGCCACGGGAGAGACAAACAAGAGATGTTCTTCGGTAAGAGCTGTCATCTCGGCGGTCCTTGAGCGAGGGCCATCATTTCGACAAACAGGGGTCTTTTGGCCTCAGATTCGCGCTGCCATGATTCAATGATGGAGACTACACTGGTGACATAACATTCGAAACGGGCGACACTGTTTTTGGACATCTTCATTATTGTGCACAACTACCTCGTATACTGATTGGGAGAAGACGTCCAAATTGTAGCCCTTGATTTCCCATGTGATCATAGTCTCCTTGACTTTCAGGTTGGAAATCATTCCCAACGACGTGGTGGGAACCAATAAAGCTTTAGATGATCCTAAAATATAACATTGCTGCAACACTAGCGATATCCAGTCTCTATGCTACACTGAGGCATTTCCCTTGTTCCCATCAGCGACAATAGCATTGTCCACACTTAACATTGCATTGGATAACATCATTGTGAATGGATTCTCAGAATGGCCTTGTTCGAGACCACAAAGAAAATGGTGTCTTAGAGGCCGAAGGACATTGTGCATATCAATGTATACAAGATGCGCTCCATCTGCAATCTGAAGATGATAAAACATCTTAACACATTAGTACATATTCATTCTCACAGAAAAATTTGTCAACTGACGTCACATATTCAACAAACAGACGACAAAGATGACGAAACCAAGAGTCAAGAAAAGGCCGCACACCAGATCTTCCAAAAATTCCTTTGGTCAACACAAGGTATTCGTCGAGTTCAAGAAAGACCAAGATTTTACCGGAAGATTGTCCAAGGACACCTACGACGAGATGTACAGGCGCGGATGCATCGAAGATAAGGAACTTCCACCAATGGACTTGCAGAATCCTATCCATCCGGTCTTCCGCCGTGAAGCCTTCACTGACATCTCAGATGACGAGTACGAACGTATCCGACCTGCGCTGACATTAGCCTCACGGCTCATCACAGAAGAAGAGTATATGGGATTTTGGACGCACATATGCACTGGAAGACCCGTAGACGACAATCGACGGGGTAAAATGTGTAATGGTAGGTGGAGGAATCAGGTTATTGAAGCGGCGACAGTCGACAGCCAAGAAGCGCTCGCACAAACCCAGCAGACGCTATTGAATATGGCGGATAACCTTAGTTTTGTGGTGCTTGATGAAGAGTGGTCCAAAACTGACTGGATGAGGGCTGCGGAAAGCTTCACTGATCCGGGTCACAGACAATGCCGACGCAACGAGGATCTCGGAGAAGACCGGTGTGCACTCGGTGAGTGCGCACACTGTGATTCCAATAGCCAGGCTCGATGCCATGTCTGCCATACCAGTTATTACAACAGCAAGACTATCCCGCAACTGAAAGAATTACTTTGGAACCGCAGCATTCCGCATGCGTATGGAAATTTCAGACTGAAGGAGGACCTAGTTGCTGCGCTGGAACATCTTGATGAAGTCATGGAGGAAGATTATCATGGGCAGGACTCTGCGTATAGAACGACAGATGAACAGCTGTCCAATCTCCAAGTGGGCCTACACTGGGACGTTGTCAAGCACATCCGAGACGGGCTTGAAGACGAGGTCTGGACGGAAAGCGAAGAGACTCGATTTCAGATGGCGGTTGGAGCTACGCTGTGCCACGAGCTTGCGCACATGTTCTGGTGGTGGACGCAAAGACGATGTTGGAACTGCGAAGGGGCTGATCCATGGTGGTCGAAAACGGAAGCAACCTTCAATAGCCAACCAGAGATCGGCAACAGCTGGGAATACTGGGCTTTCGGATCTCGTGTACCAGGTGCAGGTAAGCTCCATGAGTGTACCGGCCAGGAACTTCCTAATATCTTCCAGCGATGTCAGTGGAATTGGATTGACTCCACAGAACAAGGTGGCCAAGGTAAGCACAGTGTCTTGATCCACGATTTTATCTTACCGGTTGAGTACACCAACTTATGGTTTCGAGAGTCTACGTGGGAAGCCATCGCACAGAATGGCAGAAAAATGGGTCGTCCGAGTCATGACAACTTGGTGATCATGCGAGAACTTCCAACAGATTTGGTACAGGAGAACGCATTCGGAAACTATGAGTGCACTATTGAGAAATACAGCCATAAAGATCTGGTTGCTAACGGTGGCTTCAATGGAAACAACAACCAGTTCCTATATGGAAGCACAGGGCTGATAACCAAGGCACAAACAGATGTATATGTGAGGAAATTACGCAGGGAGTTGTGCGAGAAGCGCCAGAAAGAAAGGAAAGCTACGAAGCGTAAACCGACAAAAGTGTCTCCAGGAAAGAAAAAGCCGACTAGAGATGTGCAAAGAACGGAAGAGCGTACAGAAGGACCAAAGACAAGGAGTGTAACGAAGCAGAGGACCAGAGAAACGAAGTGATAGATAATTGAATAAGGCCATGAACCTTTTGTACTCGTATGATGTGCGTTGGTACATGACACTGCAGGTATTTGATTGCGGACAAGAATTACGAGCCATTGTGACTGACGTAATAGTTTTGTATAGGCACATCCCCTCAAGCGTGGCCACTCCGAAGGGCGAATTCTCCAACAAATCGTCGGCCAGCACTAGACCCCTGAATCCATTCTTCAGGAGTGAACAAACTGAATATATCTACAACGAAAGTCTTTAACTTGCACGATCTTGTATGCATCAACACGCGGAGGTGGCAATGTACTTACTAGCCATTCTCAACACTGGCACACTTGCTGTGATCATAGTTTCTAACTCTGCTTTCCGTTCTTGGTCAACTTTGGATTGACCCATAAGCTCGTCATAGAGCTTTATGTTGATAATGAGGGCACCGACTGTGCCTGTCTGTACCCTTTGTCCGTCTGGCAAGGTGACGACGGGCATCGTGGTACCCATAGCCGCGCTATTGAAAGTAGCAAGCCTGTCATCTGTACTATCGTTTTGGGACATGATGCCGAGTAAGTGTCTTTGGATGGCCGGGTTTGAGTTCAAGTATCTCGTTGAATCTCAATGTACTTGCCAGCAGGAGGTCGTTCAGCTGGTGTTGAAAGAAACGGAATCATGGACCTTGTGGCGAGAGAGTAGGTGCATGCTTATATGGCAGGCCATGTAGCAACACCGGCAATGTAACCGGACAATATAAGCAACTCCGAATCAGCAGATGAAACGATGTGAGGTGTTCGGACTGTGGAGGTAAGATCATGTGTGAATGACGTAAGTGCGGAAGGACTGCCCTTTTCACCTTAGCTTCATCGTGTCGCATCCATCCCAATCTGTAGCTGAGTTGTCGCATGGTACACTGCGACTATACATAATGTTTGAGAGTCCAATTGGTAGTACCAACCATATCCACTGGCTCCCCGGCTATTGCGATTACAATGTCCGCCTTGCACAGCCCTGAGGGTACCGACACGGCGGCGGATAGCTTCCTCGGAGCAAAGCGTAAGCACTTACTCTACTGTACCAAGTACGCAATGCAGTCGCTCAATGGGCTACAGGTGGCCGAAGAGGCTCTACGATTCTCAATCCTCGATCCTATGTAAAAGAAGAGCTGTGGAAACAGGCGCCTGTTCTTACTGGCAGCACCAAATTCGAGCCACTACTCGACACGAAGTGCATCCTCGTTACGGGTGGAGCTGGGTTCATGTACGTCGACTGCGCGGTTATAGCGCAGGAAGTCGCTTGATGTGCGACGCTTCAAAGTCTCAGGATGCTTCTAGAGCTAATCGACGTGTAGAGCTTGCTGGTTCGTCCGGCACCTTGTCCTGACATACCCCCACTACCACGTTGTGTCCTTTGATAAACTCGACCACTGCGCCACTCTCAACAATACGCGAATACTTGATAGTAAACGAAACTTCGCATTCGAACAAGGTGATATCACCTCGCCCACAGACGTCAAGCGCGTTCTTCGAAAATACAAGGTCGATACCATCTTCCACTTCGCAGCGCAATCACACGTAGATTTAAGCTTCGGCAATTCATATGAGTTCACGAACACGAACGTATACGGGACACATGTGCTGTTAGAAAGAGCTCGAGAGCATGGCATAACCAGGTTCATACATATCTCGACGGACGAGGTATATGGCGATGTACCAATCGGTGCGGCAGAGCTGAGCGAGACGAGCATTCTGGCACCAACAAATCCATACTCGGCGAGCAAGGCTGCAGCAGAGATGATGGTACTCGCATATAGGAGCAGCTTCAAGCTACCTATCATCACGGTCAGGGCCAATAATGTATATGGTCCACATCAGTTCCCTGAGAGTGAGTACACCAGGTTCTCATAATGGCTGTCGCTGACACGAAGCAGAGATCATACCTAAATTTATCATGCTACTACAAAGACAGCAGAAGCTTCTCCTTCACGGCGATGGCTCACCAACACGCCGCTATCTCTACGCAGGAGACATTGTTGACGCGCTAGACACCATCTTCCACAACGGGGATATAGGGCAAATCTACAATATCGCATCGAAAGACGAAATATCCAATATCGACATCTGCCACAGGCTACTAGACGTCTTTGGAATACCACATCAAACACCGGCCGAGCTAGCGCAATGGATGCAGCACACAGAAGACCGGCCGTTCAATGATCAGCGGTATGCTACAGACGGCTCAAAACTGACTGCACTCGGCTGGCAACCTAAAATGAGCTTCGACGAGGGCCTCAAGATCACGGTCGACTGGTATCGACGCTTCGGTGAGGTTTGGTGGGGTGATATCAGCAGAGTACTCACACCATTTCCTGTGGCCCACGGCAACGAGATATGGACGAAGGAAGAGCACGATGACTTGCCTTCTTCTGACGGAGAGCTTGTCTATGACGAAGACAGCGCGAGCTGGACGGAGCAGGCAAGAGAGAGACTGCAGACATCTGATCGGATTGTATAAGCCTTTGATTTGATGCTGTCTAGCGCTTCGCATACGATGCATATATAAGTCTTCGCATAGTATGTCTGGATAGACATTGAGATACCCAATTACACCCTTGTAACGTCGAATTTTCCACGCTCACTCGTCCTGCGCTACCTGCCTTCTGCACACTAGGCTTGAGTAGCATGCCGTAATCATATGCAGGGACCGAACACCACGCTCCACCTGGCCAGGCACGTGCCAGGCCATCCAACGTTGGCAGAAGCAATCCTTCTAAGTCTGTATCTTGGTATGAATAGAGTAGAGTAATATAAGTACTTTCTTTGACCAATTGCACGAGTCGCTGACGCTGCTGGTTCCACTATCTATTGCCCGTCATTGCAGCTCCATATTGTGGCGAGTCTGAACACAGCCTTCGTGCAGCGTCAGCGATTCAGCTAGGCGCCATTCACGTTCGAAACACCCAACGCTCCGTCCGCACCCCCACCCCCCTTGGAGCCCTCTTTCACTCTGCTGCGACCTTCACAATTCACCCTTTTCACGAGATCCTCATTCACACCTTCGATACCCTCTGCGTAATCTGCGAGCATTGAATTCCCGAGTTCAATCGATAAGCTAAACCCCAGGTTTCAGCTACTTCCCCGACTTGGACGCTCCAATCGACCACCCAAACAAGCCGCACAACACAAGAATGGGGTTCTTAAGCAAGAAGAAAGACGAAGGAGAGGACGGCGGCCGATCTGCCCTCTTCGGTAGCAGGAAGAAGGGCAAAAGCAGCCCAGCCGCACAGAACCCTTATGCCGCCCCTCCGACGAACGACCCCTACGCCCAACCACCACCCTCGTACTCTAGCGGCGGCGGTAACAATAACAACTCGTTCCGTGAAGAGAAAACGCCTTCTGTGACTGGGCCTGGTCAGAACTTTGGACAACGACCTGGAGGCTATGGCGCCCAAGGAGGAAGCTACGGTGGACAGTCCGGCTATGGAAACGACCGCTATGGCGCAGGAGCACCAGCTCCTCAGCGTCCCGGAGGTTATGGCGGCCTCGGAAGAACTGCGTCAAATGACACCATGAGCACAGAGGTTGGCCGCAATGAGCTATTCGGCAACGCAGCTCAGCGCCAGCAAGCGCAGCCACAGCAGCAGCCAGGTGGCTACGGTCAAAGCGGCGCTTATGGGGATAACAGCCAGAGAAGTGGAACCGGCGCTGCGCCCGGTGGATATGGCTCTACGCCTGGCGGCTACGGGGCCTACGGTGATCGCGAATTGACGGCTGAAGAGCAGGAAGAGGAGGATATTACTGCTACGAAGAGCGAGATCAAGTTCATGAAACAGCAGGATGTGTCGAGCACGAGAAATGCGCTGAGACTTGCTCAGCAGGCCGAGGAAACTGGAAGAGATACTCTGGCGAGGCTTGGTGCGCAGGGCGAGCGCATTCATAAGTATGTTACAGCCCTAGCAGGTGCGAAAAGATACGATGTTGATATTGTCACAGCACTGAACGCAACCTGGATCTTGCGAGTACACAGAACAGGATTGCGGAAGAGAAGGCTCGAGAGCTGAAGAGTAAGACCTTCATTCCTTCCTCTTCTATTCATTCCATGCTGACAACATCACAGCCTTGAACAAGTCCATGTTCGCCGTGCACGTCGCAAACCCCTTTACAGCTTCATCTCGTCGCCAAGACCGTGATCGTAAGATGTACGTCACCCCTTTACTACTTACTTATTCCCATCCATCGAAAACTCACTGTAGCTAACGCAAATTCTAGCATGGAGAACCACCACAATGACCGAGAACAGCGCGATGCAACCCGCAAAGCCGCCTGGGAGTCCAACTCCCGCACCGAAGGCGTGAACCGCTCAGCGCAGGGCATGGGTGGTGCGAAGAGCCAATCCACGCTAGCTGACAGAGCGAGGTTTCAGTTTGAAGCTGATAGCGATGATGATCAGATGGAGAATGAAATTGATGGAAATCTCGGTAAGCCCCTCTACTTCAAGTTGGCGGTATAAGTCGCGTTTGTGCTAACGTGTGATAACAGATGCTCTCCATGGTGCGGCCAAACGCCTCAACCAGTTAGGTCGTGCGATGGGCGAGGAGGTTGAAACGCAAAACGGGCATATTGACCGTATCATTGGGAAAACTGATAAGGTCGATGATCAGATTGCTATGAACCGCGCCAGGTTGGATCGCATTAAGTAGGTTGATAACCCGCATGACGGTGGAGTGTGACAGGGAATTGTTTGAGACCGATCGAAGTGGCATAGATAGGCGTTGGTTATTCTACTACATAGCTCATGAACTGGATTATAGAGCACACAAACCACTACTTTCCTATTAGCTATCTGTTCACATAATATCTCTACTCCTGCAGCGGTTTGCAAATATTGGTAACAATAGCTTCAACCACAGCTCCTTTTTTGCACCTGCAATTCTAATCATATATACAAAATACCAACATTTCACGCTTAGTGCTAACCGAGTATTTTTAGGTCTTTCTCTGTGGTCCCAAGTACACACTGCGCACACCTTTCACTTTCACTTTCACCTATACCCACCATGACGTCTTCCCTCTCATCTCGCCAGGATCTTCTGCCTGAGTCGGACCACTTCAGGTTCCGACTCTTCGCTCTACACCACCTCAACTTGCTCTACTCCACCTTAACTTGTTATACACACCCCAATACGCAAGTATCATGGCTTCAGCTCCTCTATTCTCAGACCTAACATCGTGCCTCATCTTTACACCCATGGACACAAGTCACCTACTCTCAAGTTTGACATGTTCCCCCTTGTATAGGCCTAGGCTGGATTTCAAGCAACCGTACTTTCCAATCAATGGTTCGAGTCCACTACGCTACGAGTACAAAGTGCCGGGCGCATGGCCTGATGAGACAGCTACATATGAACTTGATACTCCCGGAAAGTACTGCAATGTGTCGGCCAAGAGTAATACAATTCTTTATGAATCATCCAACTGCTCCTGGAAACCATGCTTGCCGCCGACAACCTCTGTAGACCGCTATACTTCCGCCTCTCCGCAAGACACCTGGTCAGCGCCAATCGCACTCAAGCCCTTTCCATTGAGAGATAGTGAGGTCTTTGAGGACGAGCAGGAGGACCCAGAAGACTATGATCCTGAGTACGCAACATACTTGTTATCCGACATGGTCTATCATCATGAAAAGGAACAACGCCGTGAAAACGAAGAGATGTATCGTATCCAGTGCGTGACGAGAAAGGAACGATACGTAGAAGACGAGCCGAGGCAGTGGCTAGGCGAGAACCTTGTTACCGGCGATGTGCGACGAGCGATCAGAGGCCAAGATCGGACAATAAGAGCCAGTGAGGATAAGAAGAGATGGATGAGAGATGGGTGGGAGCGAGATGGCCAGACGGATACAAAATTGACAATGGGTGAGGGGACGCCTGCTGATGATGGGCATAGGAGCATGCAGAGCTATTTTGTGAAGCAATCTTGGAAGAGGAAGAGAGGGGCTGAAGGATACGATGGAGATGTGAGAGACGAGATGAGGTTGGCGAAAAGACCGCGTCGAGTATCGAGGGGTATTATGAAGACGTACTATAGGAAAAGAGAGAGGTATATCGGTGCCAAGGTGCATTGAGAGATATTCGACGACTGGACCTACTCGCCATGTATACGCCCTCCCTCGAACGTATCCGCAAAAGTCCGAGTATAAAACCGAATGCGCTGCATGGCAAATGCTGTGTAACGATGCTATGGGTCGCCATGACCTGAGGTCAGAAGCCTCAGAAAACGGCACGGACACACACCGAGCTGTACAGTTTAGCAAATGACCATGCCTACAACCTTGGAGATGGTACAGGTGGTTTCACACCACGACGGGTAGACTCCGAACATAGCCGGACGTGGATGCACATGGTATCGATATAGGAGCTTGGGCGCTGACGCCAAGATGCGGGGAGAGCTCCTGCTCGAGGTCGAATCATGGGGACAGCTCATGCAAGGTACAAGAGCTGCGTACCTGAGCAGCTGACCGACCCAAGCCCCCTTATATACATCCGACAGAGTAACTGTGTAGAGCGTCAATCATGGGCGGAGAAGCAAATCGCATCATGTCCGGCTCCCAGGACTACCCGCAGCTGGCGGCTAGACCCGTCGGCAAGCAGATCCACCGCATCTACCAGGACCGCTTGAAGCAGTTCGTCGACGGTGGACAGTACAGAGAACAGGGTCTTATTGGGTAAGATGCCCAGAGCTTCACAGCAATAAAGGTAGCCAGTCGAGTTACTTCCCATGCTGACACGCTACCAGCAAGCTCAACGAAGCCCGCGCATCCGGTTCCGACTACATCAAGCTCTCCGTCTACTCACCACCGAACCTCTCTCGCCCGCTCTTCAAAGATGCGACCTCCCACGCTTTCCACCCGACCAAAGTCGGCGAATCCTTCGGTCCCAGCTGGTCAACGCACTGGTTCAAGGTCCAGCTCACCGTCCCCAAGGATCTACTTGACAAGGAGCATCTCGAATTCGTATGGGACGCAAATAACGAGGGTCTGATCTGGACAGAAGATGGGCATACTGTGCATGGCTTGACCGGGGGTGGTGAGAGGACACAATGGATACTGCCCAAGGCCTTCAGAGATGGGAAGGAGCACACTTTCTACATTGAGATGGCATGCAATGGCATGTTCGGCAACGCGCCAGGCGGAGACTCGATTCAGCCACCAGACCCGGATAAGTACTACCAACTGCACACTGCCGAGATTGTAGCTGTCAATCTGGAAGCAAGGGGGTTGTACTTTGATTTCTGGGAGATATCAGGTATGCCCAAAGATGACCACATGACAGTATCCATGGACTGACTCCTTGTAGACGCCGCCCGCGAGTTTCCCGAAGACTCAACCGAAGCCCACGACGCCCAACAGGTCGCCAATCGCATCATCGACACTTTCATTGCTGGCAATGGAAACAAGGAGAGCATCGTTGCAGCGCGCAAGATTGCCCGTGACTATGTCGGAGAAGTAGACTCGCACAAAGTCTATGATAGCGACAAGGAAGCCATTGTGACTGGTATTGGCTACTGTCACATCGACACCTGTTGGCTATGGCCTTTTGCAGAGACGAAGCGCAAGGTCAATCGGTCATGGTCAAGCCAGTGCGATCTTATCGAGCGATACCCAGAGCTTCGTTTCTGTTGCTCTCAAGCACAACAGTACAAGTGGCTGGAGCAATACTATCCGTCTACCTTTGACCGCGTTAAGAAGAAGGTCAAGGAAGGCAGCTTCCAGCCCATCGGCGGCAGTTGGGTCGAGCATGACACGAATCTCCCTGGCGGAGAGTCTTTGATCAGACAATTTCTGTATGGGCAACGCTACTTCGAGAGCAAGTTCGGCCAGCGATGTCGCACCTTCTGGCTCCCAGACACATTCGGTTACTCTACCCAGCTACCGCAGGTCTGCCGTATATCAGGTATGACAAGATTCTTGACCCAGAAATTGAGCTGGAACAACATCAACAATTTCCCTCATACCACATTCAACTGGGTTGCGCTCGACAACAGCCAAGTCATATGCCATATGCCGCCGTCGGAAACATATACCGCCGAAGCAAACTTTGGTGATGTCCGTAGGAGTGTCACACAGCACAAGTCTCTTGATCAAGACAAGTCATCACTTCTAGTCTTTGGAAAGGGTGATGGAGGAGGCGGTCCAACCTGGCAGCACCTCGAAAAACTGAGACGGTGTCGCGGCATTAGTGACAAGACGGGGCTGCTACCTCGTATCAAGCTCGGTGATTCAGCTGATGACTTCTTTGACCGACTGGAAAAGAAGATCGAGAATGGTACCGAGTTGGTGACTTGGTACGGTGAGCTTTACTTTGAGCTGCACCGCGGCACATACACAACGCAATCGAACAACAAACGCAATAACCGCATGTCTGAGATCATGCTCCGGGACATCGAGTACCTTGCGACACTAGCCACGATCAAAAATGGGTTTGGGAAGAAGAGCTCGTACAAATATCCCAAGAAGGATATTGACGACATGTGGGAAAATGTGCTGTTGTGTCAATTCCATGACTGCTTGCCCGGAAGCTCCATCGAGATGTGCTATGATGATTCGGATCAGGTAAGCTTCCTCTCAAAGCGTCCATGGGACTATTTACTGATGGCTGTAGATCTACGCTGAAGTCTTCGCTACGGGAGAGAGACTATTGTCTGAAGCGTTGTCTGAACTAGGTCTCGATGATGGATTCAACTTGACTGCCGACAGCAAGCTTGTTGCGCTGAATACTCTGCCATGGCAGCGTAGTGAGATTGTCAAGCTGCCTAGTACTGCAAGCCAGACAACCTATGGTCTCGCCCACGGCAAGGGGTTGGGAGCCATGGAAGTGCGCACTCTCGCCTCACCATACTCCGCAAGCATAGCATCGGTTAAGGAAATCCGGCCCAACGTCTTTGAGCTGCGCAACACCCAATTCATTGTTGAAGTCTCCAACGGCGCCATCACCTCCCTCTACGATATCTCCGCCGACCGTGAACTCATCATCAAAGGCCAAAAGGCCGCCCAACTAGTCATCTACGACGACAAACCCCTCTATTGGCAAGCCTGGGACGTCGAGGTGTTCCACCTCAACTCCCGCCAGGAACTTGCTCCATCCAAAGTGACCATCTCAGAAGACAGCATCCACCGCGTGTCTCTCTCGATCGAAACCAAGATCTCGGATAAATCTTGGATCAAGACCACCATATCGCTACCCGCAGCTATTGGCAGTGCACCAACAGCGATAGAGATTGATGCCGAAATTGAATGGCACGAAACTATGAAGTTCCTCAAGGTCGAGTTCCCCGTCGACATTGTGAACACAGAAGCGAGCTACGAAACGCAATTCGGCATCGTGCGCCGGCCCACACACTACAACACAACATGGGACATGGCCAAATTCGAAGTCTGCGTGCATAAATGGGCGGATCTTTCCGAAGCAACGTACGGCGTGTCCATCCTAAACGACAGCAAGTACGGCTTCGCAGTCGCAGGAAACGTGATGCGTCTCTCGCTTCTCCGCGCGCCCAAGGCCCCAGACGCACACGCAGATATGGGCAGCCACAAGACGCGCTACGCCATCTTCCCTCACAAGGGCCCGCTGAACGAAGCTACCGTCCGCAAGGCTTTCGAATTCAATAACCCGCTTAGGATTGTGGGCCATAAGAAGTCTTCCTCCTCCTCAGTAGTGTCTTCATCAGCCCCCTCGCTACTCAACTCTTTCGACATCCACGGCGCACCAAATCTTATCCTCGACACTATCAAGCGTGGCGAAGACGACGAAGACGTATCGCGTGGCGATCTTCCAGTTAAGAAGGGACATAGTGTTATCCTAAGGATCTACGATGCGCTAGGCGGGAAGAGTAAAGGTGTGCTTACGTGGGGTGATATCCCAGTGAAGAAGGTAGTAAAGGTCAATGCGCTCGAGGACGAGCTCGAAGATGCCAGTAACCAGTTTGTGACGATGGAGAGTGGACTGAAGGGCGTGAAGATTGAGGTGAGAGCGTTTGAGATTGCGACGTTCAAGCTTGTGTTGGCGTGAAGAGCTGGATGCATTGGGGGGACTTCCTAGAAGGGACATGATGAAATGAAGTATGGTAGTATGGCATAGGTATAACAGCACAAAATTGACCATTTATATACATCAAACAATTTGGGTGCATTGTATTTTGCATATGAGCGCAAATATTCCATTCCTGTTGCTTAATTTCCAAATTTCCACCACCACTACGAATAAACCACGTCGCCTTCCCAATCGTTTCAGCTATACACTTGAATCCCCCGCCCCATCCGTACACAATTCCAACCCACCAGCAAGGGATTACTAGCCATTTCCCCCGTTTCCATTTCCGTTCCCAACCCCAAGAACAAAAGAGAAGGATAGGAGAGGAGTTGTATAATTGTTCCAATCTCATATAGCACAGAGTGAGAAGCAATCTGATTCTGATGCAAATCAGTGGGCGTCAGTGATCTGCCTGACCAACTGACGTAGTAACGAGCGACGGGTATAAAGCGAATGACAAATTTCGGCACAAAGACCGCCCCGACCCGTGAACCCAAGAGAAAAGAGAGAAAAAAGGAAAAATTTGACAGAGTAGGTCAAGTAAGCAAGTATATTTCACACACAGTGTAGAAGAGAACAAAATAAAACAAAACGGCCCAGCAGCACAAGGAAAGAGGAAAGGAAAAAAAGCGAAGTGACTTTCAAATTCAAATTGCTAAAGTCAGATGGAAAAGCCTGTTTCACGGTGCACTACCAGTAGAAACGCCACCAACACCATGCTTACTTACAACAACAACACCAACGAAGCAACAACTAGTCAAATTTCATTTACTCAGAAAGGAAGGAGAAAAGTCAAAGGAATAATTTACTGAAGATGTAGTGCCGAAGGACAGCTGTGGCGGTGCCTGCTAGACGCCCGTACCACTGTTCGCTCGTGGCGTAGGATCGGGATCAGGAGTGGTAGCGTCCTTTTGTATGGGCGCCTTGGGCGTCCGCATCAGGAACTCGGCTACCGCGTGGCCGGGTACCGTGGGGAAGATCTCAGGCGGTGTGTGTAAGGACATAGGCGGGACCTCGGGTGTAGCGAGGTTGCCTTCGTATTCCTCTGCAGCCCGCTCTTCGGTGATCATTGGCGGCGGAGAAGACGGTAGGGTTGAATCTGCCTTGCTAATATCTTCAACCGAAATGACGCTCCCTCTACTGTTGGTGCGCATCATCTCGATACCGAGCTTGGAAGATGACTTGGGTCGCGACTTTGGGCTCCTGGTGCGGACACTGACATGGCCTAGCTCGTCGTCCTCGTCATCGCCGGATTCCGCGGACTCATGTTTCCGCGTCTCAAGTATACGACGTTTAGCGCCAACTTGCTCAGCAGACCGTTGCCGTCGGATCGTTGCTTCTTCAACAACGACTGGGGCAGATTCCTGGGGTAGGTCAGGTGGGCCGACTCGCTTCTGCACGATAGTCTTGGGATCGACACTTGTCACATCATCCGAGATCCCCAGACCACTCATAGCGCGAGCTATGTCCCGCTCACGCCAATCATCTGCATTGTGGCGAGCGATGATAACAGGTACATCCTCGCCTGCACGGCTCTCGTTGTCGCCGAAAAAGCTTGAGCTGATGGAGTCCTCGCGGCTAGAGCCCCGGTAGCTACCGGAAGGCACTGGTGGGAATCCAGACGAGTTGGACGTGGGGCTGTCCTCTTGTCGTGTGGATTCCTGTCGAAGGCCTGAAGGCATTATCGAAGGGTACATTTGGTTTGGCGTCCAATTCGGAGGAGCTGATTTCCACTGGCACAGCCTACTGAGCGTGTCTGTGAGTTTGGCGACAGTCGGCGGTTTCTCAATGAGCGCGTCAAAGTAATGCGGCGCTTGCAGTTCCTTGAGATATCCCGTGACCGCGACAATCGGAGTATGTGTGTTGGCGTTTTTAGTGTCGCGTATCATGCGAGCAACATCTGCGCCATTGACTTGGGGCAACCTAAACTCCATCATGATCACATCAAACTTGACCTCGCCCATCGCATAACGAATGGCTTCAGACCCATTGGTAACCGTCAATGTGCGGCAACGAAGCTTCTCCAGCAACTTCTCCATGACAAGCCGAGAGACGGGATGATCCTCGCATATTAACACGTCCAAAGGTCGGAAGAATGGCCCCTCACCAAAGCTGATCTGTGACAGCCTTCGGGAGCTTTGCCTTCGCCGTTGCACACGAAGAAGCGCCTTTGCGCGAGAATCTTCCGTATCAGACGAAGATGGCGAAATATCGAGCACTTGACTTCGACGCTTGTGGTGGCCGGGTAAAAGGTCTCGGACAACATCGCCCTCTTGAGAGCCTAGGGTCTGAGATCGAGCACGTGGCGAGGAAGCGCTCGCCTGCCCTAGGGATGTCTGACGTTGTCCAGGGGCGAGCCTCTCAGGGAATATGGCAGACTGTCCAGTCGGCGTCTTTGCTAGCTTGATTGGCGATATAGCCTCTGGCGAAGGCCTCAGCCCAGAGAGTCGTGAGGGGTCAAAGAAGCTGCCAGGCTGGAGGGAAGCAGTATTGCTCGTTGAGTGTGACAAGGTAGATGAGCTACTAGATGTCTTCCGTCGCTCGTTATGTTGTCCCGTGCTAAATTGGACAAGCAAAGGCGATGATGGCTGTGACCCACGGCTGGGAGACGAGTGTGGCCCACTGATCGAGGGCGACGATGGCCTACCATTGCCTTTGTTGGTCGACAGGGCACGCTTTAGGGGGCCAGGCAGCATGGGACTATTTTCCAAAGACGGTGAGGGCGACGTCAGGACGGGAGATTGAAGCGCGGATCCAGGCTTGTTCTGTGGGAGCATTGCCTCTGCGCGGAGCTTTTGAATGACATCCTTGTTGGCCTTTTCGAGAACAGGCAAATTCTTGTAGCTGAAGTTGCCAAAATCATCGGCAGCCATGGGCTCACTGAGTCGACGCGATCTACCCTCTCGGACATGAGCTGGGATGTGGAGAGGGATGAGCCCTCGCTTCATGGTTGACACAGTGACCTGTGAGCGCACTCTAGACAGCGCATCGTGCGGTCGATCCGGATAATCAGCACTAGGCGTGCCTGCGGCCGAGGGGGCTTGATCCTCGAATTCAGGAGTGAAGTTGGCCATGGCAGCTCCTCTAGCGTCAAAGTACTCCGTGTCTTCTGGGTTCTCGGGTGCTGGGATGAATGACGCCTCATCGTCGCGCAGGGTTTCCCAGTTCAGGTCGTCAAACCAGGGATGTTTCCTGATCTCCTCACCACCACTGGCAAACTTGTCGTCTTTGTTCGCTCCAAGACGCTGTGCAGGATCAGAACACATGAGACGGTTCATGAGATCCTTCGCTTCATCTGAGATGTCATACAGCTCGTCATCGTCTTCAGGCCAGTCGATCCTACGCGCAAGGATGTTCTGGAACACTTCGTCTGGCGTATCAGCATGGAATGGTGGGTAGCCATACAAACACTCGAACAACATGCATCCTAGGGACCACCAATCGCTGACCTCATCCTGACCATTACCTGCAATGGTCTCTGGTGCTAGATAATCAGGCGTGCCAACGAACTTTCTGTTACTATCTTCTGGGTCGAACAAGGCCATGGGTGGAGGAGGCATAGTCGACGTGGCCGGTGGAGTGCTGTTTTGCGCCAGCATAGACTGGCTCATGGTCGGCCCTGGATAAAGATCGGGGGAGCCATCATCACTGTAGGCTTCCTCCTCTATGGGCGAACGCGCTCGCGGGTTACCGAATTGCTCATCAACAATGGAAAAACGACGGAACATGGCTTGCAAAGCATCGCTGTCCTGACTGTCACTTCGATTCGAGGTTTTCCTTGAAGTGTCACGCCCATTGGAACTCTCCCGTGCGAGACTGAAATACGAGGGTTGGCCGAGGTCTCCAGTGTAAGCGGGCGCCATGGCTGGCGTATGCGAGGGCGATGGATTGAGATCGAACGATGCGGATCGAGAAGAACCAACAGATGTTGCGCGATGAAATGGACCAGACTTGAGCAGATCCGGGGCTGGCTCTGTAGACCTGAGAGCACGTTTTTGACGACCGATCATACCCATGCGTGAGAGACCAAAGTCGGTCAGCTTCAAATGGCCTTTGCCGTCAATGAGAAGGTTGTCCGGCTTCAGGTCACGATGGACAATGCTGCGACTATGCAAATGCTCGACACCGAGAACCACCTCAGCCAGATATTTCTTGGCCCAATCTTCAGGCAGTGCGCCGAGGACCTTGATCAATGACGCGCAATCGCCCCCATTGAGATACTCCATGACCAAGTAGAGATAGTCCTTGCTGGAAAACGTCCAATACAGCTTAGCAACAAAGTCGCTCTCGCCCTGCCACATCATGATGGCCCGCTCGGCCTTGACGTTGGTGACTTGATTTTTTGCCACCATGTCCGCCTTTTTCAAGACTTTAATGGCGTAGTATTCGCCGGTAGACTTCTTCTTAGCAAGGTAAACACTGCCAAAGGCACCCTTGCTGATAGGTTTGATGATCTCAAAGTCTTTGATCGATGGCGGAACTGCACGTGGCTGGGGCTGAGTTGTAGGTATTAGGCGGGGCGATATAGGTCGTGGACCATCTGATCCGGCTGTGGATGACTGTCTACGGTGATGATGGAGAGCGTGCATCATGGCCGGCGAAGAGAATTCGGTGTAGGCCAGAACGGGCGACGTGATTGGAGACTGTAACCCCTCGACGCCGCTGGGAAGGCGCGGTTTGGTTGTCCTCAAGGGTGAAGATGGCGGTATCATAGAGCGTGCAGGTGACTGTTGTCGGCTAGACATGACACTCGGGAGGATCAGACTCTTGCGTTTCCGCTCCCGTGAGCTTGCTACTCTGCTCAAGCCGACATCAGACGCCGCTGGAGAGTCTGCTCGTCGCGGACCGGACAACACAGAGGAGTGCACGCTCGTATCACTTTCTGCGCCAGTATCGCTTTCGATTGCCATGGAGTGTCGCTTATTCTGGGTGACTATACTGATAGCACCTGCGTGTGATCGCGGTGTCTGACACCCTCCTCTTGGGCTGCTCGAACGGTTTGAGCCTGCGACAGAAGATTCTCGACGTCCTACTCTTGCAGGTAGTGAGACGTCGGATACATTTCGTAGGGCTTGTGCCATGGCCGATGGTGCATCGAATGATCCTGGAAAAATGCCTTCTTCACCAGTAGGTATGTCGTTCACATCTGACTGGGGGTCATCTTCGAGCCGCTCTTCCTCTGAAGAACTGTCCTCGCCGGCGGCGATGCGAGCGGCCTTCACCATGGCGGCCTCTATGCACTCCTGGACTAGGACATCAAACTCGACACGAAGACGTTCAGAGTACTCCAGCACCCGCCTGTGCCGAGTGACGGCGTCGATCTTGGCCTTTGCTAGTTTATTAGTGTCCTCGCAGAGCATTCTCAGCCCCTCGCTATGATCTGACGAGCCCGTCGTCGGAGACTGCCACTGCAGAACTTGCGAGATGCGGTTCTCGGACTGCGGTGACTGAGTGCGAATCTCGGCAGCTGCCTGACCGCGGGCGTTGTCTTTGATGGCAGGCGTGTTGATCTCAAGCGCTGTATCACAAAGATCGAGAACCAGCTCAACGATGCGCGCCAAAGGCCGTCGAACAGCGAAAGATCGCGCACGATGATGGCCAAACCCAGTCGAGCGCTCGGAGCGTTCTCTTGATCTCGAGGGTGGCGAGGCAGGCGAGTTACGACCGGAAGGGGTACCTGACGATGGGGTAGATGAGGAGTGAATGATTAGGCCTTTGTACTCTGCCGGCTGGATTGGCTGCACCGGGTCCACGGAAGCAGCTCTGGAACGCGAGCTCTGAGACTCGAGGGTATCCAAAACCTTGACAATGGCGTTGCGATGTTCAGAGAGGGTCTCCTGGGTAATTTGCACGTCCATCTCTGCACGATGCTCCTGCAGACAGAGCTCAGAGTGCTTCTCGAACCACCAAGGTGTAATCTGTCTCTCGCAGATTCGGCAAAGTACCGGGAGCGGTGGTGCATGGTTCCGGGGATCGTTGGCGCCCTGTTCAGCGAGGCCTGTCAGGTAGTGGGCCAGGACTTCTGCGCCCACACCGAGTGATTCTACCAGCATCTCTGGGAGGTCAATTGTCACCTCGCGAAGAACGGACGGTCGCACCATCCACATAGTCTAGCATGATTAGCGTGATGACCCGAATGATTAGATGTTGTTACCCACATGGCTTTCAGCTCCAGTGGTCCGGTCGTACACCATGATGCCCTGGGCTTCGAGGTTTAGGATCTGCTCGGCCTCGTCGACGACCTCGGTTGTAGGGGATGGTGGTGCTGACTCTTGGCCTTCGCTCGCAGACGGTCTCGACGCCCTCTTGTGCAAGATGGAGTGAGGGCCCAGTCGCACGGAGAAGCGGGCAATGTGACTCCGCGAATCATACTTGCGGACTGACTCGATTGTCTCAGCCAGGCCATCGGCACCGGCGTAGAGAATGTCGAGGACGGGCCTGCCGATGACTTGGTCGGGCAGAGAGCCGACGATATCCTTCCACGATGGGCTGACGTAGCGTATTTTGCCCTCGAGGTCCAAGTCCATAATGACGTTCAAGCTGTGCTCGGCTGCCTCCTTGAGGTCGTCGCGCTCCTCTCGCATGTCCTGACTGACAGTGCGCTCCATGTTGACTCTGTGGGTGTTGGACCCCGCAGCCTCCTGCCTCAGCGCCATGACGGCTGGCGGGGCCAAGGTCGTCGGGCGTGTCGCGTCAGCCATGGCTGGTGTGGATTGTTGCGCGTAGGTTCGATGCGGCTATGGCTGGGAGGGCCAGTCGCGGCGGGAATAAGGCGGCGGCCGCCCGAGGGCCGGTGGTTGTTGGGCTATAAGCACACAATGGCCAGGACCATGGTGAAGGGCAGCAGTGGTCCGGAAGGTGCGGGCGAGTGCGAGTGCGTGCGAGTGCGAGTGCGAGTGCGAGTGCGATTGCGGTGGGCGGATCGAGGTGTGCTGTGGTGTGTGCTGACTGCGAGGAAGATGGGCCTCGACGCCAAAACGCGGGAGCTAATGGCGGCAGACGAGACTACTGGAGGGGCATTGCGCTACTGGGAGAGCGATTGAGGCATGTAATGAGCGTAGAGGGTCGAGAGCAGGGCGCTGGCGGTGGATGGCGGCACTCGCAAGTTTGTTTTAAAAAAAAGATAGGGTCGAGCAGAGTGAAGGGCAGCAGCAGAGAGAGGGGCAGGACACGGCAAGCGCGAATGGCCCAACGTCTCAGGCAGCACAAGGACTAGTAGGCAGGCGGCGGCGGACGGGGGGAGGAGAGGGGAGCAGAGGGGAGCAGAGAGAGGGGGGAGAAAGAAACGCCAGCGTGACCACAAGCCGCGGGTGTGCAGGACAGGATAAGAGGACAAAAAGCCAATTCCCCACGCGTCGAGACAAAGTCACACGGAAAACAGGACAGGACAGGACAGGACAGGACAGGGCAGGGCGTGCAAAGCGAGCCGGCTTGTGGATGCGAGACGCTGGGCTAGGCGTTGGAGAGGCGGCGGGCTCGTATCCTGCACCGAGCGTCCTGCGTGATGACTGCGCCAACAACAACGGCAGACATGATTCCCAGTGTTTCATCTCTCGTGCTGCTGCTGACTACAGTGGTCATGGTGATGGATGAGAGAGAAGAGAGGAGAGGATATGCCTCTTTCTCTTTACCCAGCTTCTACTAGTTGCTACTACAATACAACACAAGACATGAGGACAACAACTTCTCATAAGGACAACTTCTCTTACTAATAAGAGAACTACTCCAACAGCCGCTATGACCAATATCATCACCTCCAGCGATGGTTCAGGATAGTGTAGCTGCTACTAGGCTACTATAACACACACACACGCCACCGTCAGGCGAGACATGACGGCCGTTGCGTTGCCCCTCCTACACCACCAGCAACCGTTGTTGAACGTTGCACAACTCACTGCCCGCTCGCTCCCCATGCCATGCCATGCCATGCCCATCCCATTCATTTCCACGACAACAATGTGCCCCTGCCAAAATATGCCCGCTCGGGAGCACAATCTTCTGGAGACGTGCAGATCCAACCCCTCCCTCTCCCCCTACCCTCGATCCAATCACACCCACTGCGCGCCATCCGAGGGCTCCTTTCCAGAGGCCAGACCCGCTACAGCTGCACCTTGACCAAACCAACAACAATCCAACTTGAAATAGCACCGCCGTTCGTGTGGGGCAGCGCCGTCTTGGGACTAATATCATTAAACTATGTAATGCCTGCTCCCTCCCCTCCATGCCTATTCGCTGCCAAACCTGGGGAACTGCTTGCGCTTCCGACCATGCGGGAAGGAATCCTGCTCACGCTGCATGTGGCATCGTACATGCTGCCTGCTGCTCGTTGTCTGCATGGAGCCGTGTACGGACGAATACGCGGCTGGCTATCCCATCATCTGACGACCAGCCCTGCATTGGGTGCAGTACCATGGGCCACTCGCCCAAGGAAATGCCTCAGATCAACCACACACTCGTTGAAGGAAACCGTCTTTTATTTATCAGATAGTCTGTCCCTCGAAAGCAAAAATGCACCCCACTGCAAATACACACAGTATATAAATCTAACCATGCGTCCGGCTCCCACATGCGAACCAAACAATCCCCTCAACGCGGAAACTCCCGCCATGCCATCCAAGACTTGACTACACTACATACTACTAAACTACGGATCGCTAACCGCTCAATCAAAATACACGGCTTCTGGCCTGTGCACACTCGTCTTCCCCGTCGCCTCGCATTGCACAACGACCCTCGGGTCCTCCTTGCTTGCCCTGATCTGCTTCCCACCCACCCTCTTCTCTTCGTAGACGACTTCTACCGCTGAGCCGTCGATGCTGCGGCTGCCTGGGGGGCCTTTCCATTGCACTTTTTGGTCGTCCGTGGGTACCCGCGTTATATCGCCTGCTCTGCCGGCTGGATACTCGTCGTCGTCGTCGTCGTCGTCGTCGTCGTCGTCGTGCGGGCCACTGCTGCTGCTGGTCTTTTGCTTTTTGTTGGATGCAGTGGTACTTGCATGCCCATGTGCATTCGCGCCGCGTCCGCGCTTCTTGATCCGTGATCCGTCGGCTTGCTCGTCGTCGTCGTCCGAGGTATTACTCCGCGCACGACTGTCCTCTTGGAACTTTTTGTATTCCTTTTGGTTCTGGGCGAGGTGCTCTGGGTCTTCCCAGTGCTGCGTGCAATCTGTAGCTTCTTCCGTAGTCAACCCCTTGGAATCCTTCCTTATTCCCTCTCTGGTTTCCTTGGCCATCGATTCGGTATCGTCGGATTTAGAATATTTTCTTGTATCCTGGCTGCCTTGCTTGGTTGCCGATGCAGTTTCATCTGTCTTGGAATCCTTCCTTAGATCATGTTTGACTTGCCCAGTCGTCGATGCGGTGTCGTCCGTTTTGGACGGCATATTGCATTCAAGGCAGAGTAGAACCGGTGTACGAGAATAGGGGTCGTACGAGACTTCAGTATGTAGTATTACACACGGATTGACTGTGGAATAGGTTGCTGCACACGATACATTTCCACTCGTCAAGCCCGTCCAACAACTCCCCTATGTACCCCAGATCCATCTCTCCACTGACGTACAGGTACCTGCGCAAGCTCCGATCTCCTCTCTCCCTAAACCCAATCCTCCCAACCCCCTAACATCACTTACATCATCAAACAGTCACGAATCTCCACTGCAGACCGCCTACACGCCCATGATTAGGCTCGATGGTGGTACCAGTCCAAGACGTAGTCATGACAAGGACATTATCTCGACCGAGGCCGCTTTGGGCTGGGGCAGGGAGAAGCATGGACCTGTCTGCGCACAGCGGGGACAGGGAAGTTGTAGCCGGGACTAGCGGCGGCGACGGCTCGTGTGGAGTAGCCAATTGTTGCCGACGTGGCTGTTTTGAGTGCCCCACTATGCTTCAAAAGCAATCTTCTTGTGCCACACACACCGCGCACTTTTCCCCCCTCTTTGATGGCACCGCGCCGCAATATCTGTCGTATAGGCTGGACGTTGGGGTGTGGCTGCTGATTTCTACGCCTTGGACGCGCGGGAGATGAATGCTTGGTGGCTTCCGCACTTGGGCGAGTGGATTCGATTCGACCCGGGCCGAAAGATCGAGCACGGCTGCTAGCTACAAGTTACTGTCAAAGGCCCGAAACTTTGCTGGTAGGTTGAAGCCATAGAAGCTTGGATAAGCGGCATCTTGTGAACCGTATTATAGTTTCGTAAAGGTACTTGAAATATTGTACTTCTGCGCCAACCAGGCAGCCCAGGATCAGCTCCAGTACTTCTAGGTATCCCGTGAAATACAAATTCTAGGTATCCCGTCAAAGACAAAGTCAAGATGTTTGCTGTACGGGCTTTGCCAGTCAGCACTGTTGTGGTACAACGACCTCAAAGACTCGCTTAACGTCCTGGGCTTCGCACCGATCGAAGCAGACCAGTGCGTCTTCGTCCATCCAGACGATGACCATATTATTATCGTCTACGTCGACCATCTCCTACTCATCACTAAGGACAAGACGAGCATGACCGGGTTGAAGAGAAACTCCTTCACTACTACAAGTGTCACCATCTTGGACCTGTGGGTTTCTATCTAGGCTTCCGAATAAGGCGGGCTAGGAACAGTCGCGCCATCTCGCTCGCTATGGACGGCTATTTCGACCGCCTGGCAGAAGAGTACCACCTCACTGATGCCCTCCCAATTCACAACACCCTCCCGCTGACGCTGTCAAGCTGGAGAAGCGCGCCGATAGTGACAAGGTGCAGGTTAACTTCTATCAACAGAGGTTCCCCGCGAACCTCGTAAGGCTGGATAGGCCCTATACAAATCTCTTACAAAGCGTTCTTGATTACCAGCACTTCCGACATATCCAGGCGTTGTGTTGATGCCTGGGTACCTACCCACTCAAAGTACTTTCACAGAACCAGCGATAGCTCAACTAGGGCGTAGGCGCTTTGAAATCCTCTTATGGGTACCTACCGTTGCCAGATTGGATCTGCCGCTAGTGCCTGTTTTGGTCTAATCGCTTTCCTTCACACGAAACCTGGGCAGTTCAGATGCTCTCCAATACAGCACATGCACTACAACTGTCTCATCCACACATACTGTATGCAGAGTAATGATTCTTTGAAGTATCGTCGACATTGTATGCAGAGTAATCATTGACATACTGTATGCAGAGTAATCATTGACATATGTATGCAGAGTCATCATTGGCATACTGTATGCAGCGTAATCATGCCTGTAAGGGTTGACGTGAGAAGATTTCCAAAGCGCCTACGCCCCAGTTGACATACATATAGCCCACGCCTCCGGATAGCCTGGAAAACAGTTGCCATACTCTTTTTTCTTTGCATTCTGTGTACAACACAGGTGGCAACTATTAAGAACAGTGGAACACCATCGCGCATCATGGTTGTTCGAACAGATCCGTTCCCATATTTCTTGGCATGCTTGGCATTGGGTTTCCTTCTTGTTGCAACACCGCTTTTACGATTTACAGAGAGCTTCCGAGCTTTACAACTTATTCTTCTGTGCGCCCTGATATCCGCAATCTTAACCTCTGCGACCGTGGGGTATATGTACCCGATGCCCGCATTCGCAATCACAATGTCCAGGTGCTGGATTCCGTGCTTCTGCTGCAGCTCGACAACGGCCTCTTGCGCGTCCTGCTCGATGCTTGCGTCGAGCTTCACCACTATGAGCCGGCTGTCGGGACCTGTGGGCAGCTCTTGCAGTGCATGCACGGTTGCGTGTGCTGGGCTACGCACTGCGGCAATGACAGTGTGTGAGGCTTCTGCTAAGAGGATTTTTAAAGCGCCTGCGCCCTAGTTAAGCTATTGCTAGTTTCTATAAAAGTACTTTAAGTGCAGAAGTATTTATAATTATATTAATTTTTTTAAAATAAATTAAAATAGTTGCTAACTATAGTTTTAAACTTTATTATTATTTTTTTATAGTACTATATATTAATTTTCTGCTTTCTATAACTAATAAGTCTAATGTAAGTTTTAGTTATATCTAATAGTTTAAGTATAAAAAAAGTTACTTGCTTTTAAAGCCTATATAAAGCTACTCTATTTTATAATTTTTATTTTTTATTTTTATATAATAGCATAATAAATTCTTTTTTTTCTTGCTTACTTTAATATTAATTTTTTAAACCTGCTTTAGCCAGAACTATAAAAGCTTTTTTTTAATAATTTTATTATAAAAAAAACTTAGTAACTTATAAAAATAAGAAAAAATATAGCTATAGTATAACTTGCCTTTTTCTATTAGGACTATGCAATAAGTAAAAAGCTTTTATTTTTTTATATTTATTTATTAATAATAAAAGCTACGCTAAGCATTAAGCCTACTAAAATAGCTAAAATAAAAACTTTTAACTAGTTACTTAAAAGACTAGTTAGCTAAACTAAGTTTATAGCTAATTAAATATATATAGCTTTTTTTAAATAGTTTAAAAATATAATAAGAAAACGACTAGTTAGGCTGTACAGACTATAGGCGCTAGAATAATAGTAAAAGTCTAGTATTTAGTTAAATGCGGGAGCAGAAATTAAGTAATTAAAGTATTATTTTTATTAAAATAGGCTAGTTAGGAAACTATAGTTAAGAGCTGTAGACTACCTTAGGCGGAAGAAATTGAACGCGTACGTTGAGGAGACTTTGAGAACTTTGAGAAGAGGCTTCTGCTAGGAAGCGCTCGGTAAGGCCGAGACCTATGCCTCGGTGGCGCCTGTAATAAGGACTATGGTGGGGGCCATGTCGTAAGGGTGAAGTTGTTAGTTTTCTTTCTCTTTGGGTGCGTTGGTGGTGAATATGTGACTGTTAAGATAGCTTTATTCAAGGAGGGAGTAAAAGGTCGATCTTTTGCTCCGCGACAGATTATGTACCTACCTACCTTTGTGGAGAAGAAACTTGTAGTATTAGGACTATGGGAGAGAGAGACTATATACAAAGGTAAGAGAAGGTCAAGGCGCTAACCACGGATATAACGTGTGTGGGATTCACTACTGACAACCTTCTATCAGTTTCTGCATTTCTAAGCATTGCGCCACATACCCGAATTGGGGTTACCTTCCAACATTGTGTAGCTAAGCCAGGCCGCAAATGCAGGGGCATGTAGCCAAGCGACGCAAGGTAAGCACAAAGCAGCGTGGTGCATATCTATTACAGTGGGCCGCTACATCCCTCAATACCTGGATGACTTTGCAGGAATATTCATGCACACGCTGACATGCACGATTAGCATTACCGTCATCCTCCAGCATGAGGTTACGACTTCACGTTTGGCGATGTTTTCTTGAATGCAACGTGATCAATGTAAGTGCAGAGTAAACCTCTAACAGCTATATTCAACCTCTGCTATGAGCATGGCGCTTTCCATTCGTTTTCCATGTCATCGTATGTTTCAACTTGAGCAAACGCCATGGAACACGTACGCCAGAACCTATTAGCCCTGTATTAGGATGAAGAATTGAGACGCAAGGTTGTATAATATATTGCAACTTTTGTTCTGAGCTATGCTATCAGTCTTGGGTTGTATCGACGTAGGTGTTTGCTAGTCAAATCTCAAGGCCGTCTTTACTAATTCAACGCTTCATAGTGACACTTCACCCCCTTGCCAGAACCCAGGGCCCAGGATAGCAGCACTCACTTCATGGTACGAATGCTACTACGATGTCTGGCTAGGCGGACACTGTTTCCGTACAATCGCGAAAATGCACCAGAAATACGGTTCGTCATAGCCTCGTACGCGGACCAAATATACTTGGACTTTGTCTAACGCAGGCATCAGGCCCCATCGTCCGCATCAGTCCCAACGAAGTACACTTTAACGACCTAGACTTCATCGACTCCCTCTACCCCGGCGCCGGCGAGCGCAAAACCAATAGACCCGTCATGGTGGGCAAACAAAGTGGAAGTATGCCCATGATTGAAATCGCATGTACGTTTGGCCTATATACACTTATACTTCCTAGCTCCAGACTATATGACCGCCACCGAAGACCACGACATGCACCGCCGGCGCCGCGCCGTTATTAATCCCTTCTTCTCCGTTGCTAGCGTCCGCAAACTCGAGCCCGTCATCAGGCAACACACCGAAAAGGTACTGGCTCGGCTCGAGCAGGCTACCGAGCCCGTTGAGATGAATCTACTGTTCAAGGCATATGCGAACGACACGGTCGTGCAGTATGCGTTTGGCGTCTGCTTCCATTTCCTCGACGACGCCGAGTGCGGGAAGCCGTATTTCAAAGCCGTCGACATGTTTTTCAGCCTCAACCATCTTTTTGGGCATTGGCCCTTCATCGGGTGGATGGTAGGGAAGGCGCCCGGCTGGGTGATGAGAAACTTTGGCGAGGGGCTGAGAGAAATGTGGAGAAGAAAATGGTACGTTTGACGCGTAATGGTAACGGAGCGCTGAATAAACTAATGTGTTTATTCAGTGGTGGATCCAGAAAGTTGGTGAGATTAGGACCTCAAACGACCCCGAGCGCGTCAAGAGCACAATCTTCGGCGGCGTGCTGAACAGCTCGCTTCCCGACGCAGAAAATACGGATCTGCGTCTTGCGAGCGAAACGCAACTCGTTATTTTCGCCGGCGAAGGGACTACGGGTAAGACCATCTAACCCCTCTCCGTTTCTCACCCTCTTCAAAGACACGAAACCTCAGCTAACCCTAAAATCTCCAGCACACACCCCTCTATCCTCGCTACCGTCAAAGCCAAGCTGTCTTCTCTACCCGACTCGCCTTCCTTCGCCCAAATCGACGCGCTACCCTACTTTAACGCCGTGATCCAGGAGACCATTCGCCTGCATCCCGGCGTCGTGAACAGGCAGTGGCGCTACTAGCCCGAGTCCGTCGTGTACGGCGAGTATGTGATTCCTGCGGGCGTCACGTACGGCATGACGCCCACGATCCTGCACAAAACAGCCTCAGTATTCAAAAATCCGGAGGAGTTTAGGCCCGAGAGGTGGATTGAGAACCCTAAGCTGTCGCGCGCATTCATGGGGTTTTCGAGGGGGCCGAGGGGGTGTATTGCGTACGTGTCCCTCAACCCAACCCTCTTATCAGTTAATTCTGGTGAGAAAGTTAACAGATGTTTGCAGTGTCAATCTCGCGCGCAGAGAGATTTCTGTCTTACTAGCAGCGCTGCTGGTTAAGTACGATGTATATGAGGAAGGAGGGGGGAAGATGGGACCTACGTTACAGGTGTTTGATACAGCTAAGGAAAGAGATATCGATACGAATAGCGAGTATATTATTCCTGCAGTAGCGAGGGGGAGTAAGGGGTTGAGGATGGTAGCAAGGCGTTAGACGCTCCTGGTGGGAAGGCAGGAGAGTGTGAGCGGTAGAGTGTCTTGAAGGCCACGAGTAAGGGCTCGAGGACGGTAATCAGGTATTAAGGGCGTTTCGCGCCCTACATGTGCCATTTTGCATCATGGTAGAAATGTAGCTGACCTACTTTGTACTTGTCACTCGCCAACTTCGAAGCCTCAGGACGAAATTCGGAAGCGAGAAAATGTTAGTATGCCCAAAGCAATTTAATTCCAACACCTCACTCTTCGGCCTGTCATCGGAATTCCTCGCCGGTCTGTCTTCACCAAAGCGACTCGGCACATCACTACGGTCTCTCCGTGGACCAGCATGCTCACACCTGCTACTTCTTGGTGCGCTCACCTTCTCATCGCGATCACTCGGTGGCTGTTCATTGAGGGTCTGTTGGGTGAATCGCCAGGCCCGAAGCGCGCGAGTCTCTGCTCACGGTAGATATGCCCTCCTCTTGCGTCCGATTCTGTGGGCGAAGCTCATGCGCGGGGTCTTAAGGAGCGGTCTGGACCGCCTCGCTCGATAGACTGCGTGAGAGACTTGTAGCGACGGAATATAGCAAACCATAAGAAAAGGTTACGAGTGAAAAGAGTCCACAGGGCTGACGACTAATACCCAGGATATGTGGATCTTGATTTTTTGCAGTGAGAGCATCTTGCAGAGCACTGTTATCTCGTGGCAGACCCTATGACCTCCTATAAGAGAGAAGTTTTGAAGCCGTCTTATCGCAGCTTGGCTGTCTATAAAGACGTATGTCTGCTCCCTATAGGCCTCGGTCGTGTAGATCCTGGAGGGCGTGGTAAACTGCTGCCAGCTCAGCGTCCATATCATCTAGTGTTGTAATGGGCTAAGCCCTAGGTTACATGACTAGGCTAGTATTGTGGCCTGGTATATCAGTTCTGGGCTTTGTATTCCAACAGGCTCACGAGGCAGACGACCAATATGTTCCAAATAGCTTATAGCAGGATCCAAAGGTGCAAAAGATTCGGAACTTGTTAACCTCCTTGGGGAACGAAACCTTGACCTCGCTGCACTTGTTCAATAACGCTAGAGAACTCCGATACAAATGTCCTTGGAGACATTTAGTCGTCAAACTTGGGGAGAAGTTTTACACGGTGTTACGGCTCACACGTTGATCTTGACGTGAATAGGAGGACTCTCGCAAAGGCTGATCGTGAGCGATGTTCGCATCGGGCTGGGACCAGCTGATGCAGGGTACGGTGATGAGCTGTACTTCCTCGTAGGTGGCAAGGTCCCATCTGTCCTGTGGCGTCGTAAAGAGAGCGACGAGACAGTTCCTGCTCCTAAGAGGATTTCCAAAGCGCCTACGCCCTAGTTAAGCTATCGCTGGTTCTATAAAAGTACTTTGAGTACGGAGATGTTTGTGATTATATTGATTCGTTCCTGTTCCTAAACTTGCCGTTGTCGGGGACTGTTACATACCCGGGCGTTACATACCCGGGCTGATGAATGGCGGTGCGAGAGCGGTCGGTGCGTGCGAGTGGAAGCTAATATTGCTAGTATAGTAAGTAGGATGAATGACTGTTTCAACACCAAAGATGGGTTGACGCGTTATTCTTCACATTTGACGCGTCGTATAGGTCTGTGAGAGTACGTGGACGGACGGGTGCCTGGCGCAGGGATCCACTTGTTAGCCTTTCCGAGTTTGGCCAATCACCGCATGACGTGCCCAACTGTCTCACAACCTCTCTGACCTTTCGAGGTCTGCTTTTCTGCACCCTCGAGGACTGCGTGAATGCGCATACGGGTTTCACTGGAGAGGTACGCTGCCGTCTGAACTACAATCGCACCGTAGTTGCTTTTCCGACCGCATTTGCGCTGACAAATTGGGTTATAGAGCCTGTTCCTAGGGCAACCCTTCGCCTCGTTTCCCTCCCTCATCTGCCCTCGCCGACGAGGCAAACGTCCGCCTTACTGCGTCTACGTATAGATCCACGCGTTATCCGCGACTCCAAGACTGTATATATATCGTACCGTACTCTCTCGCGCTCTAGGCCTTCTCGTCCGGCGTCGGACACACTCTTCGACCCCCACAACCACCGCTCAACACCAGCTCGAGCGTGGAGAGATCTTGATACCTGAGAAAGATAAGAGGCTTGAGGCTTCAGTCTTATAACAGGCTGGCTTGCGCTATACCTCATCCAGGCTGGCAATAAACGCATCCGGGGTGGAGCCGACTTGATTGGGCTGTCGAGGATTCACACAGAGATCTGATTCACCTCTGGAGTAGTAGAAGCCCTACCACGTCCCATTAGCTTGGAAGACGTATGTGAAAGGGGGTTGCGCTGCATATTTTGTGCTCATCGCGGATCAGCATTGCCATTACTGGAGGAGCCGTTGCTGGCAACCTCTTTCACTTGACCACGGAACCGGCCAAATCCCACCCGTGTTGACCCAGTGATCTCGTCCATACAGAGCTGCCTAGCTGTCGGAGCAACCACCAAGTTTATATCGGACGCGCGACTAGTTCCCAACTGCAATCACTCAACTCTCGCCTCGACCCTCTATATCTCAACCGGCCCAACAACGACGCTCTACCCAACCTCGCTCGCTTAAGACGACAACCTGAAGCCTATCTATATCCGAGAATCATGGAGACGGGCCCGTCGCAACAGACGCAGCCTGCTACGCAGCAGATGCTTGACCCTCGTCGGCTCGGTAGGAACAACTCGGGACTCAACGATGGCGACATTGCTGACGTCCTTGTCATCCTCCACCCGGCCACGCCAACCGCCATTCACATTGTCGAACAATCCGCGGAGTTTCGCCCTGAACACGTCCTCTTCCGCAACTCTCTAGATTCAATGAGTGGGTCCTTGACTGATATTGAAGAGCAAGAGACCATCATCATTAATGCGTCTGGAGATCGATTAGGTCACAGTTCCCGTGCAGGCGCCGACTTGGCCTTGCGCATGTCATCCGCTCGGAGGCTCAGGTTCAAGGAGCTCGGCTTCATCTTCGGACGGAATCCTCACAGCGCAGACATTGTCTTTGGCCAAGACTCCGGAAAACGAATCAGCAACCAGCATTTTCGCATCTACCTAAACACAGATGGCATCCTCATGCTCGAAGACATGTCTACTAACGGAACTATAGTCGACGATGCGCTTCTGAAGTGTAAGGACAAACGGTTCAACAGCATTCGAATGCTGGGTTCGGGATCGATCATCTGCATACAGAATGCCAATGACGCGGAGATGATCAAATTCATCGTCCGTGTTCCATCGCGGGTGTCGTATATGGAACGCTTTCGCGAGAACTTGCGCAACTTTATCACCGAATGCTCCCCTGACTTCGGCGAGGCGCAATCTAAAGGTGAGCGAGCTTGTTTGCCTACTATATCGTTTCATGCTAACACGACGCAGCCGTTCAGCGCATCACCAAGCAGTATGGTGGACCAACCATGAAATGGGATGGTGGAGCAAATTACAACATCCTCGGTACGATGGCTCCTGGTTGATCTGCCCTATCTTGCTGACTATCCCTAGGTCAAATTGGCAAAGGTGCCTTTGCGACTGTCTACCAACTCGCCACTAAGATGGCTGGCAAGCTTCTTGCCGCAAAAGAGCTAGAGAAGCGTCGATCCATGAAGAATGGGATGCTCGACAAAAGGATCGACAACGAAATGAAGATCATGCAGAGCTTACGGCATCCTAACATTGTTGAGTTCGTTGAGTACTACGACCAGGGCGACTATCTCTACATCATTATGGAATACGTACAGCAGGGCGATCTACAAGGTTTCCTCAACGAAGGAGGGTCGATGAAGGAGGAACTCGCGAAGACCATGGCGCAACAAATCTTGAGCGCACTCAATTATCTCCACCGTTCGAAAATTACTCACCGCGACATTAAGCCCGACAACATCCTCATCGCTGACCTAAACCCTTTCACCGTCAAACTATCCGACTTCGGTCTATCCAAGGTTGTCAAGCATGACGAGACCTTCCTTAAGACCTTTTGTGGTACTCTGCTTTATTGTGCTCCTGAAGTATTTCCCGACTTTGGCAGCGGACCGTCAACGGGTACAAAACGTCGACGTGGCGCGAAAATATACCACTCCTACAGCTCGTCAGTGGACATTTGGTCTTTCGGTGGTGTTCTCTGGTATGCACTCTGTGGGGTACCTCCTTTCAAGGGTGTCGCCGACACTACGGGTGAAGCGATGTACAACAACATCATGGCTACCCACCTCGACCCAACGCCTTTGAAGAAGGCAGGTGTTTCGGCTGCTTGTATTGACCTTTTGATGCGCATGCTTCGAACTGACCCTGCCCTGCGCCCTACGGACCGAGACTGTCTCAATCATCCCTGGCTCAAAGACGGCGCAGCCATCCCTGCCGATCCCACTCTTCAGTCTATTGTTGAGGAAGACGAGTCGGAAGAGGCCGAACAGCAGTTGTCCCAATTGAGTATTAGAGAAGCAATTCCGGAGTCGGACGAAGAAGATGACATCCTATCGGATGACGAACTCATGGGCATTGTTGCGAACAGAGAGCCAAAGCGAGTGCGCGCAGACCCTCTATATCCACGAAACCAACTGCGCGACCACGATAACTCAAGTGCAGATCCGTCCTTCCAGTCATCGCATCTCATCGGTGAAGGAGAGAGCTTCAAAATAAAGCCTATGCCTCGGCAGCCACGCTTATTCGGCGAGATCGGTCAGTCTGCCCTTCAGAGTTCAGGGATTCTCAATGCTCATGCGAATGTTGCTCTGTCTCATGAAGAATCACTTCAAGCCGCTCAACTACATGTCCCTTCGCAGTTTAGTCAGACTGTGGGTGGAGCGGAACAAGAAATGCCATTCACGACACCTGCCCGGCGAGACCACGAGTTCTCGTTCTCGTCACCTAGTCTTCTCGGGGCCGAGTCCCTTGTGCGGGATATGAACATGGCCTCGCCTCAGTCGCCAATATCAAGAACCCAGAGCCCTCTTATGCCGGCGACCCCAAAGACCCCGGACGCTTTCCCACACAGCTCACTAGGCCAGTCCTCAAATGATCCTAGCCAGATTAGCGAGCCGACTCCGAAAGCGCGGCCTTCGGGGGTGAATCGCCAGATCAGCTTGCCTCTGACGGCATCTTACTACTACAATCCGTTAGATCCGAGCACCCACAACCTTGAGTATGCCTCGAAAGTAAGCGGATTTGACTTCATATCAGCACAGAGAGAAGTGGAGATTGGGGCATCTGCATATGAAGACACCAGGGCATCCGATACCAGCGGCTACTCTTCGATTTCAAACCCTGTAGCAGCACCATCTCCTTCTGCCGATGTGCCCTCGGTCCCTGCTGAGCTAGATATGAAGGCTCCACCAAGGCGACTGGGCAAACTCATCGCAACACCAGACTCCTTCGTCCCATCTCTCACCCTCAACATAAATAAGAGCAAGACTTCATGGGGTCGTCTTGCCAATAACACCATCGTTTACGAAAATAGCCGCGATACACGCATTCCGAAGACGGCCTTCATCATCTTCTGGTACTCGTCAGGCGGTCAGAGTCAAGTTAACGTTGACGAGCTGTCTCAGCAAGGCAAGGATTGGACCAGTCTGGACAACCTAAACGTTGGTATCTGGACATGCGCAACCCACGGTATTTCGATCAACGGAAAGCACTTGAAGCAAAAGGACGAAAAAGGGCGTGCCCTGTTTGGACACCTCCATACTGGCGACATTGTTCAGGTCTATCACGACTCCCGCGGGACTGAGTGTCTGAAGTTCAGGTGCGAGTTCTATCTAGGATCAGGTAGAGAGCCTCGACCAGCAGATGATAGCTTCAGTACTCTACTTGGTAACAAGCTTTCCCACGAATAGATCGTTGTGATCACTTATAGCGCATCACAGTACCTGTTCATGGCACATGCCATCTATCTCAAATATGTCGACATACTTCTCTTGCTCATTTAGCGGGCGTTGGGCAGCGGCAGCACTGTTCGTATCTGCATTTCCTTTGTTATAGCATTGTTCCGGTGTTGGGGCCCCAAGATCGGAAAACTTTGTCGACATTTATAGCGAGTTACTTGGGAGGTCTACGGTTTCAAGCAAATCTAATGGTGAATATCTGTTATGGATCGAACGGCGGTCAGAGTAATACGGGCAATCTTGCGGCGCACTATGACGGACAAATAGCTACTTAGTCAAATTAACAAACGCCCATTCATCACATTAGTGTTCCTTCTACTCATGTGGTGATGGTAATAAACCTCGGAATGACCAACTTGGTTGGTTATCTTATTCAGGCTTAGCGCCGTAAGCTGCCGGAAGTGACATCTGGCTCCAACCAGGGTACAAGAAGTCCGCAGTCTCCACGTCGCATGCTCACCCGTATTCCTTGCATCTTGTCTCCAGCTGCTATATTCTTTTACTATGAGAAACTTTTGGGCACTACCGGCCGTGTTGCGTATTGCGCTAGCCAGCCCGCATGCGTTCAGTGTGTTTGATGATCTGTTAGCTTTCCCTCAAGTATGACGCGCCATGAAGACGACAGTCGGACAAATGATTGCTAACAATGCCTTCAGTACGAAATTTCATGGCCCGACACCTTCATAACGGAGAACGATGCGACATCTCTCTTGTCGCGTCACGCATCTCCCAGCTCAAGCTCTGCGACGCCAGGTTCGCAAGAAACCCAAGAGCTCTCGAAGCGCGATAAGCCGTCGTCCAACGACCCACCTGGCGATGATGCGCTCGAGCAAATATACGAGGCGGTAGTACTGCAGGGACAACGTTATCTCTGCAGTATACCCATCATACCAGAGGAGATACCACAAAACAGCACCACGTCCGCCGAGGAAGCTGAAGCCGAGGAGGAGAAGGAGCTCATACGCGCTTCAGACCGAGGATTCGAGCTGCTAGAGGGTATGCGCGGCAACTGCATATACTACCTCAGTGGGTGGTGGAGTTACAGCTTCTGCTACAAGAACGAGGTCAAGCAGTTCCACCAGCTACCGCCAAGCCGAGGAGTACCCATATATCCACCGGTTGAAGACACGAGTGTGCACAGCTTTGTGCTGGGAAGATTTCCAAAAGAAGCAAAGAACAAGAAGGAGGGTGCGCGGAAGACCCTGGGGAGCGAGCAGGGCACCAAGGAGGCCTTCGATGACGAGGGCAACAAGAAAGACAACGAGGAAAAGGGTCTAGAGCTCCCGAGACTGGAATCGAAGGGGTCAAGCCGGTATATGGTGCAACGACTGTCAGCAGGTACTAAGTGCGATCTGACAGGGCGGCCACGCAAGATCGATGTTCAGGTACGCTCTTGGGTCGCGTCTCACTGCGCCACAAGATACTAATACCACACTTGTAGTTCCACTGCAATCCGCAATCCGGCGACCGAATCGCCATGATCAAAGAGACTAGCACCTGCTCCTACCTTATGATCGTCGACACCCCCCGCCTCTGCCACGACGTCGCCTTCCTCCCACCCCAAGAAAACCTCGGCCACCCCATATCCTGCCAACCCGTAATCCCCGAATCGCAAGTCGACGCCTGGACCACCGCGAAACTAAACGCAGGTCTGCGTGAACTGGAAGGCCACGTCGCTGAACCCGTCGACAACATAAATACCAACCCCCTACGCGACATTGGGGAAGGTGCCGAGGGCTCCTCAAAACGTGGCCCCATCATCGGCGGCATTGAGGTCGGCGGGCAATCCCTCGTCGGCTCCGAAGGCAAAGTCATCGAGAAATCGGTCGTCGTTGGTGGAGGCAAAGAAACCTACGTCGGCACCGTGGCCACCAGCGATGGCAAGCAAATGTCCAAGGAAGAAATGAAGAAGCTCCGTGCGGATCCGAAAGACGTTGAGAAGTTGAAGCAGAATCTGATGAAGTTGGCCGGTCGGAAGGGGTGGAAGTTGGATCTAGTCGACACGCCGCAAGGAAGGGAGTTCCGGGGCATTATTGAGGCCGAAGATCCTGATGAGAGTGAGATTGCTGAGAAGGCGGCTGGCAGTCGGGAGAAGAAGGAAGATAATACCGCGGGTGGAATGGGGACAGGGAAGGGGAAAGGGGAGGATGCTAGGAAGAGTAATGACGCTAAAGATCAGGAGGCCACGAAGGGTCATGACGATAAGGGTGAAGAGGTCCATGAGGGGAGTGAAGAGGTGTATAAAGACGAGCTATGAGTATCATACGATTATTACAACGGTTGCGTGTATACATTCTTCAACCTCTTGCCTGATTAAATCAATCACACAATGACTGTTATTTCATCCCCTTCCTTTTTCACATTCAGTCACAGAGTGTCTCATCAGTTAAACTCAAGTCTCAGCTACTTTGATGGGGACAACGTGCATGGAGTATACCAAAGACACTGAAATCTAGTAATCTAATTTTGACGTTGGAGCTTTGTATACTTCCATCAAGCCTGTCATTACATTTGAACTCTCAACATTCAATTCTCTGATCCGCTAGGGAGAGTGGTACAGATATCGATACATACTTACTGCCGTACAAACGCTCTATATCTACTTCTATCTTCTACAACGCCTTTTGCGGATCCGACCTATTTTCCCATTGTTGTAATATGATAATCTCAGGTCTGAGTTCCGAAGGCAATCCAGCGTCATTGATAACAAGGATTTAAGCGCCCACGCCCCAGGACTACCTGCTGAGCCATGACCAATCCGTAGAGGTGTCATTATACAATCTTTAATCCGCTTTAATTACAACTGGCGCCTCACTCTCTGTTGACCTACACTTGAACTTCTGTACAAGGGTGCCAAAGTGCCAAACCCCCCAACATACCATGCCCCACACGAGTCAGCGCCGGGAAAGTCGACAAAGGCATGCGTGACGTGACAAAAGCATATGTGGCGTAACAAGGCAAAGGGCTAGCCAGGGCTGAACGAAACGGCCCTATCCGAATACGAGACGCGCCTAAGGCACGCATTAACATCAACAACACGATAACGACGACGACAACAACCACGTCAACCCTACGAGGCGCCAGGGGGTTCGTAAAGGGCACCCAGCCAGCCCTAGTCTAGTCATGTTTGGGACGTCAGGCGCATTTTGCCGCCTTGATTAACGCTGAATCTGGACACAATTGCATCCGCCTACCAACGTGGCAGTCTAGTTGTGGTGTGTGTGGGGTGCACCGTCAGGCTGAACGCATTGTTGGGCGTTTTGGTGGCGTAGAGGGGTACCGGTACCGTACACACATCCGCGTGCCAAAGGAGGGAATGATAAGGCTTCACGTGGCATGCGTACCCGGCCGCCTCACGAATGTTTTGCAATGGGGCTGTTGATGCAGTTGTGCCCAAAAGACGTAGCATAGCATGAAGGTGGCGCGTCGTGGTGGTGTAGTAATTATTCTTGTTGTTGTGCCCCCAAAAGACTCGAGATCTAGTATAAGGCGTTGCGTCCACACCCTTCACTCAGGCTTGACGTTTAGCTCGTGTGCTATGCTGTGCCCTGTGGGACATGGTATACGTATGTGCGAGTCTCCAACGTGGCAGCGGAAGCTTGCCGAGTCCTTGTCCTCTTCTTCCTTCGCTTCAGCTGTCTAGTTGGTTTTCACTCATTCGCCTTACCTTGTCCACTCCTGTTGCAGAGGTCGTTTGCCTGCTTCGACACTATGGCTGCGACTGATTGATCGAGGCCAGCCTTCTTTCGCACAACAGTTTCGAAAGCCCCATCATATAGTGCGTTCTGGTTTGCTCGGCGCTACACTTCTCTCCGGATTGTGCGACGTCTGTCGATTATTTTTAAGAGCGCAGGCACTGACAGGGACATCCTGGGCCCATGCCAGAGCGATGGGGGGAACGTTTCTTCCGTACCGTCGTCCTTCGTGTTGCGTTGGCACATCGGCGCCCTCCTGAGGCCGCCCTCTGGACCCCCATACGATGAATCTACCGCCACCGCAATGCACCGAGGAATAGCGTCCATCCACGTATGTACAAGCCACTGCTGAGACAGGTGCCAACTCACGTACCGGTAAGGCCGCCACTGCTGGCCGGCCGTTAGTGGGCGGGATTTCTTTCTTGTCAGTATTCAATCCAACTCATTCGTCCCAAACACCCCCGAACTTGTGTCTCGCTGGCTAGGGTACCTTTGTGCTCCCATTTCCCACATCAAAAAAGGCAGCGCGAGTGTTGCAACCATTCAGGAAGCGCCAACACTGGGTCCCGCGGTCCTGACTGTGACTGGTCATAACCAGGTCGGAGGTCTCTTTTCGAGATGTACCTTTCGCCTACGCCTCACTTCTGTTTTCCGTAGCATCGCCGAGCTCGCAGTGTCGAATCTGGAGAAACCAGCGGGTGTGGAGAGGGCCCACAATGCGATCAGGATGTCTATGAGGCGCGATCACTCGTTCACGCCTGGTGCGAACGGCTATGATGAGGTAAGTTAAAATCCAAGTGGCTCAGTCTAAGGGCGGCCAGTGACCCTTATAACGAATGAGAGCTAAAGTTGGATGTAGCATAGAACGTACGATCGAGCTGGACATGAACCTCTCCAGCATTCATACCATGTCCCGTCCATTGCGTCCCCGTCGACCTATCGTCTTACCAATATATCTCCGGAGGTGATCATCAATCCAGACTGGCCACCTTCCATCCGCCAAGCTGCAGAGAATGCTCTGTGGTCGCCGTACGATACTGCTATAGCCCAGGATACGTCTCCAAATGAAACAATGTACCCAGCAGTCGCTGCAACGCCCTTCTCTTTCTACAACCAGAACTTTGAAATGGCCCTCCCACAGATGGAATATGCCCTTGAACTACCGTCTGATGATCCACTGTCGCCGGGCTCTCCAGGAAGAAACACAAACTCGGCGATAGATAACTCAGATGATATCTTCAGTCTTATCAACTCAAATGATACTGCAGGATCGCGCACCAGTGGGGGCAGGTGAGCGATATTTCAACCACTAGCATATAACGGCCGACTAATGGCGAACAGTAGTATTTGGAGCGATCATGGCTCCCCGTCCGGCACGTTGGAGTACCATCTGATCGGAACTCGCACCACCACCGATGTGTCGGAAACGGAGAACCTGCCAGTTAGAACGGAAACCCATCGAACCACTCAACTGGACATCCCTGCCCACTCTAGGTAGATACTTCCTCCGCCCTAGACATCAGCAACTAACCGTTACGTAGCTCCAACACTCAAACTCTGACTTGTCCTCGTTGCCCGAACAAACAGTATACCGGCAACTGGGCCCATCGTAACCTGCTTCGACACTTGGAGAATAAACATAGTGATCTTGAATTCCCAAATGGCGTAAAACATATCCGCTGCAACCAGGAGGGATGCGACTCCGTTTTCGGACGTAATGATGCCCGCCTCGTTCATGAGAGGAGAAGCCATCCAGAACTGGATACGCCGCCGCCCAAAAAGCGGAAGAGGACCGATGAGGACTGATCTGATGCACTTAGTTATTACCCACAAACTCCTCCCTTCAATACTCGCTGGTCTTGCTGCCGTCAATCTATGTGCTTGCTTTGTTTTGTTATTGACTCATGTCGCCTTTGGATGTGCATTCGAGCGTTGTAAAGATTCGAAGATAATGCCCCTTCCCATGTACCTATAGATAATAGTCTTAGAAGTTTCAAGATTCTAAAAACAAAAAATTATAGACTTCCCATCAGGACAATACGAGCATCACCCTGATGATTTCGCGTGCCATAGCTTTGTCTACTCACCTGCATAGACGGTGCTTGTCTTAGACGGGTGGAGGCTCCGCCTAGATCATCGATGTGGGCTTCTTTCGTGCCGAGTGTCGGTATATGGATTAGTACCATAGCATGTCGTAGAGGGTTATAGAGTTAGCCTCGACAGCAGCACGGCCTCGTTACACGGCCTTTTCGTAAGGCACCTACGCGAAGAGCATCATGTATAGCCACTAGTCCTTCAATTGTAGACGCTCGCCGATTTCGTAGGCTGCGGCCCCGAGGTACAAAAGCTCGAATCGTGCCTCATGGCAGAGCAATGGATGGGGCCATGGGGCAGATTCTGAAGGCAGTGCAACTTTGGACCGAAGTAGCCGGTTTCAGTCCCGTTCCGTTGTTCCTGATATCACTAGGACGGGTGGTTGGCAAAGCAGGCAGGGGCGGGATTGCCTTACCCTGAGCATGAACAGCTAGATCTGTGGAGCCTCAACGGTCTTGCTGTAGCTGGTGGAGGTGTAGACCGTATAGCAAGGCACGTCAATAATGCCTCCGCGGACTCCACGCACGAGTCGCCGGATTTGGCCCCAAGCCCTCGCATCCCGCGCTATTCACCGCCCGATTTTGCAACTGTATTGAAGTTGCTTTTCATTGGTTGCTCATTGAGGGGGCAATTCTCATCTCCTATTAACTGTAGAGTCCGTATCCGACGGTCGTGTGATGAACTACTTTGATTAAGGAGGTGGAAAAGAGGGCAAACTTGCATGACTTGGCATGCCCGCCAGCATAAGCGTCAACTCACCGCTTCTTCTCACGCAATATTCATTGTTGTCATCCTCAAACGCATGAGGGACCACTCACGTGGAGCACTTGGGATACTCCTAAGCCTGGATTTATCCAACGTGTATGTGAGGGAGCATTTGTGTTACAACCGCCTGCTAAGGGGAGCAATGATTGATCCGATTTCAGTCGGGAGTACAAGACATGAAATACACGTGCGACGCCTTGCAGCCGGAACGAAGAGCCTTTCCAGATACGGTGCTGATATCCCTAAGCTTGAATGTTGTCCGAACATGCGATGATAGTCATGCCGAGTGAAATGAGAGACGCGCGAAGAAATCTAAGCAAGTAAGCGCGGTTAGCCCGACGAGATGCAGTGTAAAGGATCGCTACGAGACGTTTTATGCGAATAAGCAAGACGTGCTGATTTGCAGCTATGCTTTGCTGTTGAGTCACTGATACGGGTCGACAAGCAACGACTAGTCCAGGGCTGAGTTTAGATGCTCACTAACAAGGGTAAACTGGAGGTATCAGGAGTCCTTGACTGCAATGTTGTGGCGTAGCTGTTTGACCAGTTGTCATCAGTTGCGCCCCTGGGCAAAGACGAGCGGAGAGAAGCCCTCTCATCTCGCTACTCTGGCAACATATTTGCGTAGTGACTTATTGACTCAACCCTGACTGCGCAATGAAGCATGAAATGTTGTTCATGGTAGGTGGAACTACACCACATAGGCCGATGAGCGTAAGCGCTGTGTTTCAGCGCTAATTGTGAGAGCTGGATGGACTGGACATCGTCTCTATTGCAACCAGGTGGAGACGAATTCATCGTTGGGAACTCGGTACATCTCGCCAATCATCTGAGCAAGGAACGGGCCGAGAAGGCTTGTCAGTAGCGCTATTGAATACGAAAGCGCACCCCTTCTTAGCCGGCGTGTGCCGTGAGTATGTTGAGCTGCCCAGAGGTTCGTTCCAGCTCCTTACAAACCACCTCTCTCCGGGATAGGGGTATATTCTGTCCAAACTTCGCCAAAGGGAAAAGTGATGACTTTGGCCGGGAATATTTCAGGAGGTTGTGTGGTGCATGTCCGCCCTGAGTTGTCGGAGAACATCTTCGTTGAGTTAGAAACGCCACGATTAGGCAAATATGGGTTCGAGAGAGTAGGATCGCGTGCCGCCCAGTCTTAACAGGTCTTCCAACAGCCTCAGGTGCTCGGGACGAGTTCTCGCGTCCATATCGACTTCATGGGTCAGCCAAGGCAATCGAAACAGACTATCCAGACTTCGAAAGGGCGCGTAGCGTTCACTAGGACGCACATGCACATGATCCGCACGAAGCGGCAAGATCATACGTCTGATTTGCGCTTGAACTGACTGCGAGCCATCGGCTAGTATTAACAAAAATTAGGGCCTTGGAGTGGCGATTGGGCATGAGCGTTCTGAACGGCATATGTCGCTAGCGGTACCCAAGCGTCGTGTACAGTCACTGTTGCTGTACATGGTGCATTTGCCTTCTCGTATCGGATGTCGAAATGTAGGGCCCCTTTCATCGCAGCAACATTGCTCATCCTGCGGCACTGGGGTTTGGATGAGGCGACCGCGGTCGCATGGAAAATAACAGTGCGTCTGATGCGTTGTACCACTTTCAGTCATATCGCAAAGTAGCTGATTGGTAGACAGACCAAAATTGTCGCACAGACTCCTGCCCCTTGGCTCGGTTTAGAAGACGCAACTGCCCTCCGCAGGGCACACTAGCACCCCAGCTAACGAAGTCGAGCGTACGATTGAGGTGCGATTGTGCCCTGCAAAAGCCCTGGTAGCCTGCGCGTGCAGTAGCCCGCTGTGCCCTAGGTGTACATCGAGCTAGGATGCATCGCCTCCTGCTCTCATGCCTAAGATCTCAGTTGTCGACCACGCGTACCGATGGTATATTTATCGCGTCTCGTCCGCCTGGGTGCCATGATATTTTGCATACCCATCTATCATGTGCAACTAGAACTGACGCGGAAGTCAAGAGGTATCAGTAAGTGTTCTCCTATAAAGCAAACTGAGAAGCTAACACAGAGTAAGGCGAAACTCGATCAGCTGACACGAATTCGACCGTGAACTGCGAGACTCCGGCGTCGCGTTGTGTGATATTGTCCATGCTATAGCAGACGTCTCAAGGTCATAATTCATGTTGCTCTCCACTGGCGACTTCTTCCCGATTGCACTGGCAGGCTGTGCTACTGAAGAGTATCCTGAGAAGGACGAGTATCTTGCAAAACGCAGCGCTTTCAAACTCCGTTGAGACGATAGCACACCGACCAAAAGATTCATATCGTTGTTCACACAGCCGACAGCCCTTCGGGAGATACGAACGCCAAGATCCAGAAGAGAGACACGGAATTTTGTATCATGGTTCGCACTCACCCCGACGACGGAAGAGACCAGCCCTGGTCACCGCAAAACAACGAAGGATATAGCGTTCCAACGAACACTGCATGGGTGAGAGGCCCTGGCGTCAACGAGATTCGGCAGCAGTACGGAGTCCAGCTAACTCCAAGATCGGATATGTATACCACCAATTGGAGCCACGAAGCATTCGCAAGCACAAATACCAACGCTGTGCCATACCATCTAGGCGGTGGGTTCCAAGAATTAACTGCAGCAACGTACAACGCTACTGGCAGTGGTAGTGAATGGCGAAGCCCGCAAGCTGGTCAACAGCGTCAAATATATCCTCCTGGCCATGGACTGCCTGAGAACTATCAGTATGAATATCAGTGCGTACACATATACGTGAATTGGGTGAGATGATGTCGCTGATTCAAAGTCTAGGAGAACCTCTTACCCAGACCATGGCTACCATTCAACAACCAAAGGACAAGATGGTAGATCGTCGTATGCGCCCCAGGCAGGGCGGCTTACGGCCCAAGAAATGTAAGGGGCGTCTTGGACTTTTCCGCTATCAAAGCTGACACGGTTCACAAAGCGAGAGCTTGAACATTTATGATCCTTCGACAGCCAGCGCGTCAACATCTCCTCACAATCCAAGCTCGAACGGCACGCAGTACAACTCAACCGAAGGACAACAAACAGGCGAGGACACCAGTGTCGCTTGTCCCTATCACTGTGGAACGGTACTGACGGGCATGTATGCACATGGGAACCTAACACGTCACTTGAAATCGCAAGCCTGCGAAGGGTCAGGTAAAGAAAAAGTGAAATACCCCTGCCCAATCTCAGGTTGCGGCAAAGAGTACATTCGGAAGGATGGTCTGAGTGTGCACATGCGGAGGCAGCACGGCGCTCCTCCAGCCTCCCAAGTACGAATATGATGAAGAGTAGGAAGTCAGGATGGCGTGGGCTGGGTCCGATGCGGATGGCTCCATTTATTGGGGTAGGGGTATGACATGCCACGTCCGTCCTTGATGCCTCTGATAGAATGTCGACTTTCAGCTCTCAGGTATGATTATCCTTTGTCTTTTGTATTTCATTGCTAGTGTTTTGCGTTCTTGTTATATTGCGCGTGCGTGGAAAGGCGTTCGTTTGGAAATGAGGAGGTTCGACGGGTTCGGAGTTCGGCAGAGGGTCCTGGTACTTTGGTGTCGCTATCGTCCGCCAACCGTGAAGGAGCAGATCGCTCGAGTACGATATAGTCCTTAGTATGTATCGCAGGGGTAGAGGGAGAATGGTAGCTGGTTTCACCGCACTTGGAAATGCCGCTGTCAAACGTTGTGAGCAGAACATGTTGTGGTTGAAGGATGAGGTCGAAATAAAGGCGCAGGGGCTCTCACCTCCCAAATCACACTAGCCAAACGGACCGATCTCTTTGGGCAAGAGCGGTCACGGACCAAGATCAATCACCTCAGGCATGGCTGCGTCTCCTCGGGGTAGAACAATTGGCTGTCAGCTCTTCTCAGTACCTGCTTTTACAGATGAGGCTCGCCCTGCGTCGCCCTATACCCTCCTCCGTCAACTAGCCGACCAGCTTCAGCACACCGTCGCTCAAGAGTCACTCGAATCAGTCGAAGGAGAAAATCAAGTAACATTGTAACCGCTTCTAGTACCCTGGCTCGGTATTGCCGAGTACAAGCTGTGTAAAGTAAATCAAACCGGCAGCTCTACGGCGAGACGTTGTGGAACTCCAGCAAGCCTTTGACACGCACATTATGCAACAGGCTGGGATAGCCTGCTTGGGCATTGAATTGGTGCCTCTTGTCAGTTACGAGTGAGAGCAATTAGAAAGGACTTTAGGGGTGACGAAAGAGTTTTATAACTGTAGAGGGGGATTGTATTTAACGTGACTTCGTTCATTATCAACAGGTAGTTCTGCGGCGTAGGCGCTTTAAATTTTTTCCAATTTTTATAAACCTCCCGTCACACTCTGTCGTACTGACAGCCGGCGGTATGCCTGCGGCAGAAGCCATCAAAGCCTATATACACGGGTCAACTGCTACACCCACACTTCCGAGCTAATTATATGTCGAGTCGGTACAGCAACGCTAATGCAAAGGACCAACGGGCACAAAATTTCCGCGGACCAACGTTCGCCAGCCACGTTTACGCGTTAGCCAAACCTAGAGCTTTCTAGCTGCCCAGAAAGTGACACGGCGAGTCGCGAGACGGCGATTTTTGCGCGTACGCGAACTGCGTCTTGTCATAAGATATCATTAATAAAATAACGCGAGCTCTATAGCTCTGTGACTAAGCGTGTCTTGATTGATTACTCCGCACGAGATTGACCAAAGCAGTGTATGCATATGAGACATCCAACCTCCAAACTCCCAATGTTAAGAGAGAGAAAAACATTATGCGATCGCGTCAGTGGTATACGTAGATGCCCAAGATCAAATCCCATCCTGCCCAGCGGATGATGCCCAAAAGATAATAAAAATAACAAAGAGCGATGCTAGTATGCGATCATTAGCCCAAACAGACCCAGAAAGGAAAAACACAAGGAAAAATTGAGTTAAAGGCTCGTTACTCTGGACCCGGGCCCCGAGATCCTGTTTGGCCTCAAGTTAATCACCGATTCCAGCTCCCTAAGCATGTTGGTACTAGCTTCCCGTTGCTCGCGTAGCGACGCTTGTCGTGCGCGGTCTTCTTGTATCTTGTGCATTCGTTCTTCTCTCGACATAGTAACACGGGTTTTCGGTATCGCAATGGCTTCGAAAACTTCATCGTCAGAAGTGCTACCTTGGTCACTCGGAGGAGCGCTCTGCTCAGAGCTTAGTAAATCCCCATTCAAGGCACGAAGGGCATCAGACGGACTGCCTTCGTCTACAGCAGTCAGCCCACCTAGGCTTGGGACTGGTGAACGCAGGCCACTCGATGCTTGGGAAATGCGTCGTTCGTGTCGATCGATGTTGAGTGCAAGCGCGTTTTTACCGGTTTCCCAGGCTTGCATGAGACTCTTTAGATCTGCTCCGATGGATTCGTATTGGGATATGAGATGAGTCCCAAGCTCAGTGACATCTTCTGTATCCTCTAAGCTCTTGTTCGTCTCTTCTCGGAGCACCTGCATCTTGGCTTGTAGGCCACGAATGCCTTGCGACAAACCGGACAGTTTTCGAACAGAATTGCGCAATTTCTCACGTCCTGGCGTATGCGAAACCTTGTTTGGGGATGGGAAGATGAACTGCTCCTCCTCTGCTAGGACGCGATTGAACTTCTCACTCCATTGCCCAATAGGACGAGCCAAACTCAACATGGAGTCCACTGTTATCGACCATCGCGTAAAGTCTGGTTTTCCACCATCAGCTTCAAGAGCCAAGAGGGAGCATAGGTAAACGCGGCGAAGGGTCGACAGGCGATACTGGAGGGTTCTGAGAGCCTTAAGCGACTCGGCATCCTCGAATTCCGATGCGGAGCAGCCTTGAGCCGCCTCCTGCAAATCAGGGTTGCTAATTTCGTAGACATCGAGGTACTTTTCGAGGTCATCTTCTAGAATGAGTTGCTTGAGAGTTCCACACTGTTCCGCGAGGATCGGGATGATGTCGGCAAAGGCGGCTCGGAGACTCCGGCGTAGGCGCTGGCAGCGGCGAGCCTGTCCTTTTTCTTCGATGCGTGATATGGGAGGCAAAGGGCTACTGCTGTGTGAGGTCAGTAGTGAACGAGGAATGTGAGTTTAGCCGAGAGGGGAACCTACAGTCGGTAACCCCTTGAGACGAGCTCCACTTCTTGTATCAATGCCAGGGCTGATGACGTCGAGGCCTCGAATGACTGCAGGTTGGTGACGAGTGCAGATGCGCCCTTTACTCCCTCTTGTCTCAGATATTGTAGCCACTGCCGGCGCATGTGCGCGTAGACAGCGGTGGCAACCACGGCGAACACCACGATCACGAGCAGTGTCCTCCTCTTGCTGAAGCCGCCCTGGCGTCGCGACCAATGGACAAGCCATACAAGTATGAAAGCAGTTGCGCCAGTCAGAGCCGCGCCAACAGGGCTTATGGTGGAAATCTTGACATCTTGCGGGCAGGGTCGTCCGTCGGCAGCGAAGCTAGGAACAGCAGTGGCCCGCAAGCCTCCCTGTTCTCCCAAGAGCTGAGAGGCGACAATAATGTAGCGAAAGCGTTCTAGAAACCGCTCGTTGTCGGCGCGTCCGAGCCGCGAGTTGACCGCTTTCTATGCGCGCGAATCAGTGACTGCATACATGGCCAAGGATGTGGGTTGGACTAACCGAACATGCGGTGTGTATGCGAGCGATGGAGCCATGCCTCTCATGTATCCGTAGTGGTTGTGGGAGCCTGTCTCGTATTCTCGACTGGAGTGTGGAGGGTCCTCGTGGCGCGAAGCCGTCGGTGTCTGGCGACGACGATGTAGCGGGTGATGGCGGTGTTGAGTCGAGACGTCTTCCTTCGCCTGGCATAGTCGTTAGGGCTGATTGCTTGGTAGTCGAGTAGAAGAAGAAGAAGAAGGAGAAGGAGAAGAAGATGCTTGCCTTCTAGAAACTCTGCCAGCGGCGAGTCGTCGAGTATCACGTTCTCCATGCGTGCTGCTACCTCATGATGCGTGGTCGTGTGGCTTGGCTGGATGTGCTTGGGCGGGGTGCGATTGCTCGAGTCCGTCGTCCGTAGGTAGTGTTGGCAGGCACGACGCTGTGAACAGTGGCAAGCAATAGTCGTAACGGCGTTTATCGTCAAGTCGGAACCGCGGATGTAAAGGAGAGCACACGGTGGTTCAATGACACTCGGGAAATGAGGCGTTGCGGAGATGGTACCCCTGCGATTGGTGTAACCTAGGGGGGCGTTCACCCCATTTGTGGCCCACTCGATGCCCCCCCTCAATGGACCCTGTCTTATCCAACACCTACGCGCGCGTTATGTCGAGGTGCAGATATCTCCAACGTCTTCTGGCCCTCCTACGTACGAACCGCTTCTGCCCATGAAGGCCTTCAACTCTGCCAGCCTGGGTCTGGCTGCCTGCCAGACTGGCGACCTTATATCTGGTTCTCTACGGTCGTCAAGCGAGGTATCCGTTCCGTCAACCTCAATCCTGGGCTAGCCTCGGCTGATCGTCTTGGAGAAGCTATGCGACGTGCCGTGTTTAGCCTGGACCTTTATTTAAGCTTGCTATGCGAGAAGGTTAATAACTTACTTACACTCTAATATACCGAGCAGTCCTAGGATCTCTTCCACTAGTCCATGTCGTTAACCAACTAGTTCCCCTATTTCAAGGGCTATGGCCGGTGTTTAAAACGTCGAACTTTCCTGACAGAGCTCGCGCTGCTTCTCACATGTTAGCAGTCAGACAATGCGAGGCTGACTGTCTCATACTTATTAGACCATCCCAGAACCCTTTCCTTTTAGATCACCGCCTACGCCGCGGTAGGCTCCGATCACTGTAGATATCTATCAAGAAGCAATCGACCCTCACAACCCTTGAATCATACCATTGAGAATAGAACGTACTTTCAACCCCTTCTCTTAGCTGTCAAACTGTCCAATTCTGCATCCTGCTTCATTTTATTTTGTCATCTACATATCTTCCTACAAAAACACTATACCATCCAACGACGATCTTCCCCTGGCTAAGGGACCCACACATAACCACGGACACCGCCTGATTGATACTCTTACGTCAACTGTCACCCTGAACTCCACTAATTTCGACATTGCGCCCCACAGCTGGCGAGACCAGCTGCACGCCATCGGTAGGACGACCACCTCTCTGGATTTATAAGATACGATTGCTGATGAAACACGTGGGCGCTGGAAGCTACCGCTAACCAGCGTCACCCATCGCGTAGCTTTCGCCGATTTAGATATCGGAGCCTTCCAAGATGTGGCCGATTGGAGCTTGAGGCAGCATTGACAAGTTTATCCTGAGGATGCTGATATTTTAGTCTGTAAGACCGTCCCGCGGCATAGCTATCCTCAAGAAAAGCTCAAGTAATCGGGCGAAATTGGCTACTGCGAGCCCAGAAGTCATTGGCAAACATCAGCCGAGCAGATTGTAGCTCTATAGTAGCGGGGAAAGCACATATGGCCGACTTGTGGTGTAATCTACGGATGAGGCCTTGTGGCAGTAAAGGCACGGCGGCATGCAGCAGACCACGTCAAGGAAAGAGGGCTATTGATACCGGCGACTGAATACCTTCAGCGTGCAGTAGATGGAGCTAGGGCAGGGCCATGCCAATGGTACTTTACTATCTACGGTATGAACTAATGCATAGATATGATTCCTTGCGGACTTAGCAGGCGGTAGAAGCGTATATGAGTTGGAAACGCGACTACCCCCAGAGTCAATGATCGGTATCACCAGCAAGCCATGGCTTATTTACGCGCAACGACTAAGGGCTCCAGCCTTACCTGCTCATCTGGAACAGTGAGCTCATCTATGCCTACTGCCAACTGTAAGCTGATCACTTCAGACACCTGAATGAATATAGACTGCGTTACCCGCATGCTTATCTGGTACGCGTTTCATACTTGGCGTTGATTGTGTAGCTAGTAATGGCAATCGATTTTTCTTCCCTCTCAAAGCGCCGCCATAGTGACTTAATCCTTCAGGTTTTGCTGAAATACCAAATCCTACGTACAAATACTGTGATTTCGATGTCAGAATAGGCTGTGTGAGCAAAGTCAGGACTGTCATCAATGCTGTGCACGGATGATGAGGCCAAGGAAGTTTAGCCTCGAATCGGCATCTCCAGCACCTTAGCTCCGACAACACCACCGATCCATCTTACTATCCCCAGCAGCTGCTATCTCGTCATAGGCGACTTGAAGGCGAAGTCAAATTTCGAGTGAGCTATTCCAAACATTTCGACGCATTGAGAACACCCTACGACCTACCCGCCGCCCCTCATCGCCTCCGACTATCGCCATTTCTCGCTGCACCAAGCAACTCTACGACTGAACGAGTCGGCCGTGCTGTCCTTCGACCGCCTGTTGGGACTTCTAGATATTTGACGCCCCCCTCCCGACAATGGCTGCATTGTCCCTAAATGAAGAGCGAGAACTCGCAATCAACCCGATCGTCGCATCCAGCTTACAGCACAACACCCAGGTACTTTCCCCCACTACTACACTACCATCACTCACCAGGATTGATCCCTAGTCTTTGACTGCGCTTTCGTACTCATAATCTTCTGTGCTCCTACTTACATATATCGCCACAGGTCATCGCAAACATACGCAACCTCACCGCATCGCTCTTCGGCGTCGCCGCTGGCACACTAGGCCTCGAATCGTACACGGGCTTCATCTTCTACCTTATAGGCTCGCTATTCGTTTCAGCCCTACTGTTTGCCCTCAAGACTGATGGCAAGCCCGGTGCTTACTTTTACCGGCCGCTAGGGGACATGTGGTTTGGAGAAGTGTTCGGGGGATTAAGTGGGTTTGTGTTGACTTGGACGTTGTTCTATGGATTGGTCAGGGCGTGAGGAGGATGAGACACGAATATTACACTTTGAAAAAACGAAGGCGCGTAATACGAACTTCAATTTGGGCGGGTAGGCTGCGTGGACAGTATCAAGTGGCTCCCTACGTGTTCCTGGCCGCTATCAAGTCTGGCTGAAATGAACCCGACGCAGGAGAATCTCCGGTTGTTGATGCAGTGAGACACTGCATAGGCAGAAAGCACTCCAGGCCCGCTCAAATAAACGATGGAAAGGATGAAGCCCCTTTGAAAGAGTTAATAGCCTGACGTTGTCGTGCACCGTCGAGCTGCTTTTACATGATACCCGCTCGGTCTATGGATATAAAAAGAAATTTTGACTCCTGTTATTATCCTTTCGTGATGGCTTAATCCCTTGTACTAAAGTTACTATTTCATACAATTCCACCGAGGGCCCATACAGTTAAGATTCTCAATAGCTATATACCTTCAGCTTTCCTCTACGTTGTTAGATGAAGAGTGTGCACAATGTTGAACATGAGGCTCTGACGAGTAATGCCGTCTGTTCTAAAATTTAACGATGAATCCTTTGATCTGGCAATAGCTCCTTTTTACTTTGGCCCAGCGCAAGAAGCCGCCTCTGTGGCCCAAGCTCACCAATTAACTTTTAGCGCGTGGTCGACGCGTTCGCCTACCATCTTCGCGTTTCCCCTCCATTGCTGCCTCAACCACCACGATCCTGCACATCCACAAGCACTTTTGTATATCCACTTTCAGCGTCTTTTACTACCCAATCACCCCAATCCACAGCCAAAAGTACGCTCTCCCTTTCAATACTATAGATGGATGCCGGCTAACATGTCACAGTGCTTGAGGCACGCTTAATGCAGGCCAGCACCCTGAAGAAGGTACGGTAACAAGGCAGTGCCTTGCTTCAGAGCACATCTGACAGTGCCCTAGGTCGTCGACGCAATCAAGGACCTCGTTCAAGACTGCAACTTCGACTGCAATGACTCCGGCATCGCCCTCCAGGCCATGGACAATTCCCACGTCGCCCTCGTCTCGATGCTTCTGCGGTCCGAAGCCTTCGAGCCCTTCCGCTGCGACCGTAACATCGCCCTCGGCATCAATGTCGGCTCCCTTACCAAAGTCCTGCGCGCAGCCCAGAACGACGATGAGCTCACGATCAAGGCGGAGGATGCGCCTGATGTAGTCAACCTTGTTTTCGAGAACAAGTCCAACGACAGACTTAGCGAGTATGATATCAAGCTTATGGATATTGACCAGGAACATCTGGGCATTCCGGACACAGAGTATGCGGCTACCGTTATCATGCCGACGTCTGAGTTCCAGAGGATTTGTAGGGATTTGAATGCGTTGTCGGAATCAGGTATGGTCACTTTGTCAGCGTCAAAGCATCTTACGGATAGAAGGAGCTATTTCATTATTGCACAGGACTGACTACAGTCCAGTGTCGATCGAGTGCACGAAAGAGGGTATCAAATTCTCCTGCCAGGGCGACATCGGGTCAGGGTCCGTCACGCTTAGACAGCAAGAGTCTGTCGACAAGCCCGAAAACTCCGTCAAAATTGAGATGAGCGAGCCTGTTTTGCTCACCTTCTCGCTCAAATACTTGGTAAACTTCTGCAAGGCCAGTGGCATGTCAGATACGGTCAAGCTCTGCCTATCAGCCGAGGTTCCCCTCCTTGTTGAATACGGCCTGCAGAGCAACAGCTACCTGAGGTTCTACCTTGCGCCTAAGGTATTATTGCATGATCTCTCCTCACAATGGACATGTGCTAACATGAGTAGATCGGCGATGACGAGTGAGCAGACTCTTGACTTCCTTCGAAACGAGCGACATGTTTTCAACACTCATGTGGGGGATATGTGGCGTATGGTCTTTTGATATGCATTCGGAGCGTCTGTCAGGTTCATGGTTCCAGCATGTTAGATTGGCGAGAAACGCGCACTGGTGTTCCGCGCCCTCGGGGTAAAAGGAGGGTTACCCGCCCCACCAACCTTTTCACGTCATCGTGCGCGGAATTTCAGATAAGAAATCAACACACTTCATTGTCACTGTCTGCGCCTAATTCTCCACAACCTTCGACTGCTCTACACTAACATTGACCTTCTTCGTCATAAATATGGCTTCCGACACGCTCATACCGGACACGCGCGTGCTTGCGATCGCCAGCCATGTAAGACTCACACGCGCACAGCTACAACAAGCCTTGCAGCTAATGCGCGACAGGTAGTCCATGGGTGAGTCTCGCTACATGGGAAGACGTGCATATGACTAACTTGGAACCCGAGCTACGTCGGCAATAAAATGGCAACGTTTGTGATGCAGTCTTTGGGATGCGACGTGTCGGCGATCAACACGGTGCACTACAGTAAGTATGCTTCAGCTGGGAAGGTCTTTTTTTGATAGGACATGGGCTGAGATTAACAGGCAATCACACTGCCTACAAACAAGTGAAAGGCACGAAGACATCAGCCCCGCAAATACTGGACCTCTACGAAGGCCTCCGCCAATCGAATCTGACCAACTTCGACGTACTATTGACGGGATATGTCCCCAGCGCCGAGGCAGTCCAGGCGATAGGGAAGATTGGTAGAGATATCAAGTTCAATGCCGGGACGAAACCGGGGAGCTTCTTCTGGGGTGAGTGTGGGGTTGAAGTAAGACGCGCCCAGCAGGGCTGATTATGGACAGTGCTCGATCCAGTCATGGGAGACAACGGGAAGCTATACATACCGGAGGATGAGGTACCTGAATATAAGGCGCTGCTACGCGAGGCAGACCTTATACTACCCAACCAATTCGAGGCAGAGTAGGTCTACTTGCGTGAGGGACGGTCCGGACCAGGCAATCGCTAACATGAAGGTGTAGGCTGCTTTCCGATACCCCGATTAGTGATCTCAAGTCACTTGCTGCCGCGATTCAAGTCCTCCACAAGAAGTACCAAGTACCCCATGTCATCATCACGTCTCTGCGCTTGACTCGCGACAACCAGACGATACCCTCGCGTGCCCCATCGAGACCAGCATCGAAACCCGCATCGGGGACGCATACCCCGTCCGAATCGCCAAATCTCGATGCCGCGACCTCGCACCCTTCCACATGGCCCACATCACAATCATCGGAGCAATCGCAGGCTCAACAACCAGAGGCATCCTCCCCGACCAGCATGGATGACATTGAAAACCTCACCATTATCGGCTCAACTGCGACTTCAGATTACACGCCGCGCCTCTTCCGCATAGATACGCCTGCTCTCCCCCTCTTCTTCTCAGGAACAGGCGACATGTTCGCTGCGCTGACCATTCCGCGCCTGATCGAAGCAGTGCACGCTGCGTCCTCGCCCGACCTCGATCTGCATTCTACACCCAGCTGGCGGAGCCCGGACGACGTGCCCGCCGAGGAACTGCCTCTAGCGAAAGCGTGTCAGAAGGTGCTTGCGAGTATGCAGGCTATACTAGCGAAGACGGCAGCGTCATGCCACGAGAAGATGGACGTATACGATAAGAGGGTGGAGAAGGAGGGCTGTGGGCAAGGCGACGAGGCGGTTGAGCAGGCAGAGAAGAGGAGGCATTTAGCGTTGATGAATGCTAGTGAGGTGACGATTGTGCGTCATGTCAAGGAGTTGCTTGATCCGCCTGATTTGGAGAGGTTCAAGCCTCGGCGTGTGAAGGGGGGGAGTAGCGAAGAAAGGTGATGGCGTTGCGTATCAATTGATGATATCTAGCATGGAGCATCATTTCATGAGCTCGCCGTGAACTATGTATTGCACAGCATGCCATGTCGGCTTTGATATATAACCCATCTAAGCACCATTTACAGCTGTGCCCGCTCCAAAGCCTCCCGTGCTCCCGAATCCACCAGCGCCCCTAACACTCTCCTCGAGCTTTTGCACCACGACAACTTCAGGCATGACGATCTGTATCCTCATTAGCTTCCTATTCCCCTGATCTTCTTGACAAGCCATCCCAGTGGAGGGATATATAGTATATATAGTATATAACGTACCTTCTCCACGATCAATTGCGCAATGCGATCACCGACCTTGACCTCAAAGTCCTTGTCCGACAGATTCGCGAGGATAACGCCGACGGGACCGCGGTAGTCAGCGTCGATGACGCCAGCGAGCGTGTCGATGCCGTGTTTATACGCAAGGCCAGAGCGCGGTGCGACTCTGCCATCTATCCTGAACATCAGCATTGCATCCTCTATCTCTACATTCCCTCGTCATATCGTCAAAACGTACATGTCCCCACCGGCACCGAGATGGAAATATCCGTAGGAACCAGCGCCCTTCCCCTCGCGGGGATCACCAATTCCTTCGCACTATACAGATCATGTCCAGCAGCGTAGACGCTCCCCTTTGTAGGCGCGCGCGCGTGCTCGCTGAGTAGGAGGACCTGCAGTTGCTGCTCTGCTGCCGCGGCCGCTGCGATTGACGGGGCGATTTGCGCGGGCGGTTGTAGACCAGGTTCAGACATGTTGTTTGATGACAATGATGCGCTGGGGTTGTACGTGTGTGCTAGGGGCGTCGGGGTCGCGGCGCCTGAATCCGTGCCGCGGCGTAGTGAGGAGGATGTGTGGTGGGCGAGGGGTGTGGGGTCGTCGATGACTTTTGTCCGCTTGGGGAGGGGTGAAGCGGGGAGGGAGGGCGGTTCGTGGTCGGGTGCTGGGGTGGAGATGTTTTCGAGGTCTTGTGTTGTTGACATTCTCTTCTCTCTTCTTTTTGTTCTAGTTTCGTTAACAGACTGTGTGCAGTGGATGGTTGGTTGGTTAGTTTGGAGAAGGCGGTGAGGATTGGAAGTGACCTGGGATGGTTAGGGATTGGCAGACGCGTTGTGGTGGGGAAGGTGCGACGCGTCGGGGCGCATAGTTTTTTGATTGGCGGACAATGCGACGTGATGGATAGACGGGTGCTTGCTCTGTCTCTTTTGAATTTGAGGTAGCTAGATGCTCAATTTTTGCAGCTGTTTGGATGAGTTGGTCTGGCAGGTTGCTTGGATACTAGTGGTTCAGCCATAGTGGCCATGATGGTGTTGGGAGGAACCCAGTGATGAACTCATGTTCGATGCGAATTAACACTTCAAGATCTACGACACTCGAATGTCTCCGAGCGCCAACAATACAAAGCAGCAATAAAGGATCTCTCGCATGACCTTGGGCACAAGCAAGCTCTGGTTCGAGTTCCGGCTGTGAAGGACTTCAGACAGACAACCAATGTGGAGCAAGAAAAAGACTGTGCGTGATTCCTCAGAACCTTCTCTCATGGCTCTACAATTCCTCACGGCTGGATGCCTTACCTGTGACTGAGCGGTTAAAGGTACATCCTTTTTACGAGGCCTATTCGACAACTGTCGGGCCGCTAAGGCGAAGAAGACGCCGACTGGGTAGCATCCAGGTGCCGCGGCAATGAAAGCTCTCATTTACAGCACAAGGCGTATCCCTGAGATGTTGTGGAGAGATTGGGGCCCGTATCGAATCGACCGATGGCCTTCTCCTTTTTCTGCATCGAAGGATTCATGTTACCTCCGCATGTCACTGCGCAACCGGTGGCTCAAGCTCTTCTGGCAGTTGTTCTCGTGACTGGCACTCATTTTTCTGCTCTGGTGAGATGGTGAGACGCGGGCCTCGTCCTGTTATCGTAGCTATGCATGCAGTCAGCCACAGCCTTGGCTCGTCTTCGCGTGCTGACGGCGTATGGCGTATGGTTGATGAGCTGCACACGTCGAGTCTGGGACCGTCTTGTACCTTGGCCATGTCACGCGTTTGGCTTGGGTGCTTGGAAACTGCTCTTTTGCCGACAAGAAGCAGCTCCTCTTCTTTGCGACATTGGGCTGGGCACACAGCTGCTGTTATTCACAGTCCATCGTCACGTCACATTGCCGAGCGATCGCCCTTGGCGGCTCAAGCTTAAACCAACCTGAAGCCGTCATGGTTCTACAACACCCGCCCTGATGAGACGCCCACCCAATTGTCGTGCGCTGTTCGAGTATCGCCGCTCGTCACTCTGACGAGCTTCTGCAACCCCGCGAAGATTCACCCGCATCGAAGACACGCGTGTCACCAATGGCGGAGGCAACCCCGCGCATTGCGACACCACCCTCACCCACACACCACCCGGCCAAACTCGCCTTCACGCGAACAAGGGGGCTTCATCTCCATGGACCACCAGATGGAGCCGAGCGCTCTTTGTCAACACGACCAACCAAACTAAACAGACGTCAGGTAGCCAAATGACCCCGGTTGGACCGGCGTGCCCGCCATCTCGCCCTCGCCCCTTCGAAGCTTCTCTCGCTCAAGCATGTGCCGGCCCCAAAACATCACCGCTTGCCAGCCCTGTCCGGTTAGGCTGGCAAAATCTTTCCGGGAGTTCGTCCAAGCTTGCTGTGTCCCACGCTTGATGAGGCTATTATCGCCGACCCATCTCGGCGGTCGAGACCGTACTAGGCTAACAAGCGTGTGCCGCGCCATGCTTGTTGAGCCTCCGGGGTATACAAGGACACTAATGCACCCCGCCGCCCCGTCGCTTTGTTGCGACCATCACATGGCCAGACGCAAAACCTGCTGCCACCATCCCTATTTCCACCCCGCCCATGCCCACTCCGCTCTCTCACGGACAGCTAGATGGCTTCAGCTTTGATGACCTGATGCAACCAAGGCTGCTTGGGGGTGTTCAGAGCGCTTCCATATCCTTGCCAGACATGGCTAGAAGTCGTGCACTTCCAGCTAGCGCGTGCAAAGAAATTCCAATTGTCCAGGTGGTGTGCGTCTTTGTTTACATCAGGCTAAGCATTCCGGGCGAATCTCTGTCGAGCAACTTGTCGACTTTGAGTTCTTCGAACAAGCACGGTCAAGTCGAGATACGTCCCTGTTGGCAGCGTGCGTGTTTACGAACACCTCTCTTGTCACAACTGACGTCTCATAAAACGGTGTGGCGCTTTGCCGCACCCCGCATAGGCTGGTTATCTGCAGTTGCAGCTCCATGATCTCCAAGATGAGGTCAGTGGTTTGTGACATGCACGAGTCTGATTTGACAACCCGTGCCCGCTAAGCACTTGACTGCCTTCTAGTGCCCTATCGGCATCTCTTGATTCAGCCACTTTCCCTGGTGACAATACGGGCGTTGTCTCCACCTACGTGGTCGTGATCGGACAGACCACCAACAGTCCGTTCTACCTGTCTCTTCACTCTGGTGTGACTGAGCGATATTTGTAATGTCATTCCGGCAGGAAGAAAAGTGTATTCTTGGAACCACTACGACGTTAGCTAGCAAACTTTGGCCTCGTTGTCCCAAGGCCTCGGCCTCCAGGGCAAACCAGTCCCGTGGCTAGGGTACTTTGATCGCGCACGCAAATCTGGAACGCACAAGTGGTTCCCGGTGGTGCATAGTAGCTCCATCGTTAGACCTATTGGAGCTACTCACCATGCTCCCCACTACCATCGGACCATTCTCCAACATCCAATCACGCTGCTAGCGTGCCAACTCCATGCTTCCAGCCTCCAGACCCCGACACCTGCCCATGGTACGCCCCAGGATCTTACAAGCGCATGTCCCCGTGTATTTAAGGGGGCCTGTCCCGCGTGGAAAAGATGCGCAACCTCTTCCGAATATACAACGAGTACACAACTTCCTTGTTAATCATTGTCGACAAACCCCAATCATGGGTCTCATGTTGAAGAAGCCTGCGGGCGCAGCTGGTTCAGCTCTGCCGGCCATCATGGTCGGTTTGTTCGTCGCCTTCGGTGGTGTATTGTTTGGGTATGCTTCTCCTTGACTCTCATTCGATGCCTCGTGTTAACGGCTGCAGTTATGATACTGGTACCATTGGTGGTATTTTGGGTATGAACCACTGGCGCCAGTTGTTCAGCACCGGCTACATCAACCCCAAAGATGGCAATCCCGATGTCACCTCCCAGCAAACTTCGTTGATCGTGTCTATCCTTTCTGCTGGAACCTTCTTCGGTGCCCTGACTGCTGCCCCGGTAGCCGATTTCCTCGGTCGCCGGCTGGGTCTTGTGGTCTGCAACATCGTCTTCTGTGTCGGTGTCATTCTCCAGACTGCGGCTACTGCCATTCCCATGTTCGTCGCTGGCCGTTTCTTTGCTGGCTACGGTGTTGGCATGATCAGCGCTACCATTCCTCTTTACCAATCTGAGACCGCCCCCAAATGGATCCGTGGTACCATTGTCGGTAGCTACCAGCTGGCCATTACCATCGGCATCCTGCTCGCTGCCATTGTGAACAACTCCTCCAAGGACCGTGACGACACTGGTTCATACCGCATTCCCATCGCCGTTCAATTTGCGTGGGCCATTGTTCTTTTCGTCGGCTGCGTCTGGCTGCCAGAAACCCCTCGCTGGTTCATCAAGAAGGGTCGCCCAGAAAAGGCCGCCAAGTCTCTGTCCACACTCAGGAGGCTCGATGTTGACCACCCTGCTCTTGTTGAAGAGTTGAGCGAGATTACTGCCAACCACGAGTACGAGTTGTCCCTCGGAAAGGCTACCTACATTGACTGCTTCCGCGGTAACCTCGGCAAACGTCTCGCGACCGGTTGCCTTCTCCAGGCACTTCAGCAGCTTACTGGTGTCAACTTCATCTTCTACTATGGAACATCCTTCTTCAAGAACTCGGGCATCCAGAACCCCTTTGTTATCAGCATGATTACCTCCTGCGTTAACGTTGCCTCTACCTTCCCTGGCCTCTACCTTGTTGAGAAGTGGGGTCGCCGCAACCTTCTGCTCTTTGGCGCCATTGGCATGGCTGTGTGCCAGTTCATCGTGGCCATCACGGGCACCGTCGCTGGTATCGAGAACATCTCTGCCCAGAAGACTTTGATCGCATTTGTATGCATCTACATCTTTTTCTTTGCCTGCTCCTGGGGCCCAGTCGCTTGGGTTGTCACTGGCGAGATCTTCCCCCTCAAGATTCGCGCCAAGTCTCTCTCAATGACCACAGCCTCCAACTGGCTCCTCAACTTCGCCATCGGCTATGCCACACCCTATATGGTCAACGACGGCCCTGGCAACGCCAACATGGGCGCCAAGGTCTTCTTCGTCTGGGGCGGATGCTGCTTCATCTGCATCTTCTTCGTCTGGGCTATGATCTACGAGACCAAGGGTCTTTCCCTGGAGCAGGTCGACGAGCTCTACGGCAAGGTCAGCAAGGCCTGGAAGTCGCCCGGCTTCGTTCCTACCGTCTCCTTCCAAGATGTCCGCGACCTCAACGCTGATCACCGCCGCACGAGCTTGGCAGACGCCGAGGACGCGGCCACGCGTAAGAAGAGTGCGCAGTACAACGAGACCTACGAGAAGCAGGTGTAGGTAGGGTCATGGAATTTCTGCACCGATACGATAGGGGACGGGATGTTGGCGTGCATAGCGCTTCACAAGAATACCCCACTTTGTAAATATACCATGGTTGTTGGTTTTATTAATGTGCCTTCCTAGCGCAACACTTGTATATATTTTTCAAGTCATGAATAATGAATTTTGAAGAAAACTTCTGCCTTCTGATTACCTGGTGATGGTCTCTATCCTTGCTTCTATTATTACATTCCAATCGACCCGGAAGTTTTCACGTCGCCGCAAACATCTCTGCACTTAAAGTACATTCCCAGAGACTAGCGATAGCTCAACAAAGTATTCTGAGGCTTGAGCGCTGTTTAAAGCTTTGCTTTTCTTATAATCAGGGCACAAGACTATCACTATGTTTATGATAAAACCGTACATACACCACAGACCTCTAAAAAAATAGGCTGGAAGGAAATCTTTTGAATTCGACACTTACATCTCCTAGCACTTCCGCGTGGAATCTCCACAAATCATGAAAACGGTCGTCGTAATAATGAACGGGAAAGTACCGCGACGTAACCATAGGACCAAACCCTGGCACTCGTCAGTGGCAGTGACAGTGACAGTTGACCACGATTGCGATTGCTAGCTAGCTACTTATGACTCTCAACCACTGACCCTCAACCAGTAGGCATCCCCACGTGGCCAAGGCGCTTGTCTCCGTAGGTTCCCCAGACACCCGCGCATGTAGGTCTAGCGTCCACAATCGCTTTAAACGGTCGGGAGCAAGGGAGCGAGACGTTGAGGCCTTTCGCACGCATCCGCTTTAGATTAGAGGCGTGCAAGCTTTTCGCTTCAACCGTGCTAGGTCTATCATCTTGGCTGTCTTGTCGATCAATGCGTCTATAGCTAGTACCGGTTCGGTACTCGTGTCTACAGAGAGAAGTGGAATTGGTGAGCCGAGCTCGGCTATGGGATCACAATGATGATCAAGTCGACTGCGGCTTTATATTGGAAGTCATTGACTTGCGCTGTCTGATGCTTTATATGCCTGCAGTGAATGAATAGGGGCTGCAATAGAGGTAGGTGGCTTGTAATCATGTTTGGTTTCGGATCTAGGTTAAGGGATTCGATGTTTCGCTGAGGAAAGCCAAGTATCATGGCGAAATGATATGCATATCATTGTTTCGATCTGATAGATCTTAGCGCTTATTCTATGACGCGATCACCCGTAACCGCACCTCCCTCTGATACACGAGAGATCCCAGGTCGTTGTGATTGATGATATGCCCATGCTTGGTAAACTCAATGGCGGAGGGCAGTTACGTGGACAGGTTTCAACGTTTTTTGCGGACATTGGTCAGCGAATTGTCCAGATGATTTATCCGCAGAGGGCCTAGACGCTTTGAATTGGTGACATCGGGGAACCCCGTGGGTGCCCCCAGTACACGGCCAATTGCGTACAACACTAAACCTGATACTAAGGTAGGACAGCCGATAAACCGCGGCAGCCAATAAACCACCTTAACTAAAGTTACTTATCCGCAAAAATAAGGCTGTAAAGCTATTTATAAAAGTTAGTATTATAAAATTTTATAAAATATTAGTAAATAAAAGCTTATAATTAATTTATACTATTTAAATTTTTTTAGAAAATTAATTTGGCAGCTGCGCGCAGTAGTTTTAAGTAAAAGCTGCAGTAACTGCAATATATTTAAACTACTACTTTTAGCATTTATAATATAATAATACTTTACTATATTTAAATTTGCAGAACGTAAAGTTATTTACTAATATTTATTTGCTTTATTATAAAATTTTTATAAAATTATAGCTTTTTTTTTTTATTACTTTTACACGCGCATAGTAGTTTATTTTTAAACTATTACTACGCGCTCTTTTATAGTATACTTTTTAGTAAATAATTATACTATTTTTGCTTTTTTTATAATTTTTTTTTTATATAATATTGCTGCTGCTTTTAGCTTTCTTATTTTTTTTTTTTAGAATTATTTAGTTTTATTTTTATATTATTTTACTATATTGCGCGCATAAGCTTCTTAAATAGTTTTTAAATTTTAAAATACTACAACGCTATAAAACTTTTTGCGCTATTAAAAATCTAAAAGTTTATTTTTGCTTTTATACCTTTTTTTAGTTAAAAGCGCATTATAAAAACTTTTATTTTTATAGTAAAAAAGCTTATTTTATACTTAAAAAAAATATAGTATAGAGCCTAACTATTTAGCTTTAACTTTTGCTTTATTTTTTATAATAATTTTAAATAAATTACAAAGCTAGTTTTAAGTATCTTTATTACTATTTTTTCTAATTATTAATTTTTTATTCTCCTGTTATAGTTGTATTTTAAATTATTATAATATAATATTAGTATTAAGTAGCTTAATGCTTATAGCTTTAAATATTTTTTGTATATTTATAAAAGTAAACATAGTATTATAAATAGCTTAAAATAATAAAAAAAAATTGCCTTTATTTATAAAAATAAGGCTTTAGCTATAATAAAAGTAGTATGCAAGCTTAGTTAAATAAGCAGTTAAAAAAAGTAAAAAAAGCACTATATTTAAAAGTTATAAGCTATAAGTTAAATAAAAAAAAAATATTATTAAAAAAATTTTATTAGCGTTATAAAAGTCTATAAAATTAGTAGTAAAGTAGCTACTATAGCTATTAAAAATAAAAATTTTATAACTTGCCTGCGCTTTACTCTTTATACGCTAATTAAAAACCTGTTTAAGCTAGGCTAAACTAATATTATTATTAAACTATCTAAAAAAACTTATTATAAAAAAAACTTAGTATTTTTTAACTTTTATATTATATAACTAAGCGTTGCAAAGTTTTTTTTTTTTTTTAAAAACTATATTTAGATTTACTATGCTTTTATTTACATAAATATATACTAAAATTATTATTTATTTTTAGTTACTATTTTATAAGGCTGCTGTAATTTGTTTTTACTTTTAAAGTTACTTTAAAAAAACTTATTTAAAGCGTAAAATAATGCTAATAAAAAACTTTTTTTTATTTATATTATAAATATAGCGCGCGTTAACGTTATACTTTTAGATTTTTAAATAAAAAAAATTAAAATATAATTTATAGCTATATTTAGTATTAGCAAGGAGCTGTTTGCAATTAATTTTAGTAGTATATTTAAAAATAAAAATATTACAATATTTTTTAAAAAATTATAAAATTTACTTATTAAAAACTTTTTATTTTAATAATTTAAAAGTAAAATTTTTTATTATAGCTTTTATAAGTAGAAGCTTATAATTAGATAATCTTTATATATACTGCACAAGTTTTAATTTTTATTGTAAGTTAAAATACAAGTATTATTAAAACTTTTCTGCATTTAATTGCGTTTTCCCTTAGTACTAATATACTAAAATAATTTAATTAATACTAAATATTTTTGCAGCTGCGTAGTATAAAAATTATTCTTTTAAATTTTATAAATTAATTATTGCAATTATATTTAAAATTAGATTATTAGTAGTTAATATATTGCAGTTTAAAAATAACGTGTTAAGTTTGTTTTAATATTAAGGTAGTTTATTAGCTGCCGCAGTTTATCGGCTGTCCTACCTCGGTATAGTCGAATTTCGCTGAACAAAGAAGTTGCACCGCCATAACGCCAAGAATTGCTGCGCCCGTGCAAACGTTTGCTTTAACATGAGACAAGTCTAGGAGGTACGACGCCGGTCGAATCATGCCGCTTTCCATTTGCGCAAACCATTGAAACGCCGCTATCGGAGCACGTGGTTCGCAGGAATGCTGTTACTATCACTGTCTCTGTTCCTCGAATCTATCTCGCTACACGGGCATGCAGCTTACTCTACCTGTCCATACCATACAACATTCCATCTACGCTCCTAGCAATAGAACTGTCATATATCGAGCAGCTCCGCTGCCAACTACCGCGAGTTATGGAAACGTTTGGGAGATGAAACAACCTGGTTAATTGCCTTGGCGTCCAGGTACCAGAGGGCTCCACATCTAGCTCAAAATGGTTACTGAACCCCCAGATGGCATGGCGAACTTTCCAGAGCCAAGGAACACTGCCCATAAACACGTTATCAGCTCACGTCGCCCTCTTTGTGTTTGTAGGCGATGGTATCCATCTGCACCGCTTTCGGCAGTTGTGATAGGCCCGATACGGCCGTCCAAGCTCGGTGTCATTACGGTACCATGGCATAGTACCATAGTATATGAGCATGCCGTTCAGTATTTAAATGTTTATGTATCTTCAGATCTGGAAATTGATCTCCAGGCCTACTCTCGTTCACTACACTTATCGAAATGTCGCAGATCGCTAAACTGAGTGCGCTTTCCTTGGCGATTGCTCTTTCTATACCTGAAGTCTCCGCCCACCCACTCTTTTCGGGCAAGGTTGTATCGAGAGCTGATCTGCTTCCCGAATATGATTATGTTGTGGTAGGCGCTGGTACATCTGGCCTTACTGTCGCAAATCGACTCACAGAGCAAAAGAGTGAGTAGATTCCGATGCATTGAATTGCGCCAGTCATCTAATCAAGGTCTGTGTTAGACGTCAATGTTCTCGTCATCGAAGCTGGAGATCTGTAAGTTCTTTCCTCCGCATTAGTCTCACTAGAATATAGCTAATTAAATTTGCCAGTGACAAGAATGAAGACTTTGTCACCATCCCAGGCCTTGCAGGCGGCGCCGCAGGAACCAAGTACGATTGGAATGTGACTTACACTGCGAACGAAGGATTGGGTGGCCGCAAAGTCCCAATTCCCCAGGGTAAGATCGTCGGCGGTTCGTCGAAATTAAACCGATTGATCTTCGATCGGGGGTCCAAGTCAGACTATGACGGCTGGGAGTCTCTGGGTAACAAGGGTTGGAACTTTGCTGGCTTGCTGCCATACTTCAAGAAGGTATATAACACTTTGGCCTTTCGTCCCACAAGCCGATGCTGACTATTTCGCAGAACGAGAAGTTCACGCCGCCCACAAAGGAGATTGCAGCTCAGTATGATATCAAGAACGATCTCAAAAACCACGGCGACAAGGGATACATGCAGACAACATTCTCTCCGTTCTTTTGGCCAACAACAAGTAAGTATATATTTCAGCACTTTCCGTCTGACATGGACACTGATACAAAGCGCAGAGAACATCGTGAAAGCCACCAAAGCTCTGGGGATCCCCATCAACGACCAGGCTACTGGAAACGCCATCGGTGGCTTCTTCTGTCCCCATAACCAGGACCCTGTCACTGTTACACGCTCCTCCGCCGACGAAGCCTACTATGACACTGCCGTCAAGCGACAGAACTTCCATGTCATTACTGGTCAGCAGGTCTCACGAATTGTAACGAAGAAGTCCAACGGTGCCGTCAAAGTGACTGGCATTGAGTTTGCGAGCTCTGCAAGCGCTAAACGACAAAGCGTGAAAGTGAAGCAGGAAGCCATCATCGCCGCTGGAGCTTTGTTCACTCCTCAGCTGCTACAGGTCTCTGGTATTGGAGACCCCGCGCTCCTCAAGACCATCAACGTGACAACAGTTGTTGAACTTCCAGCGGTCGGACACAACCTACACGACCATGTTCTACTTGCAGTGGCCAACACGCGTAAGTTTGTTGTACGATCCGCATGTACTTGAAACTAACTCTGAAACAGTCAACACCACCTTGATCACCTCAGGTAGCTTGAGGAGCAACGCAACATTCGCCGCCGAGGCTAGGAAACAGTACGATACGGAAAAGAAGGGCCCTCTAACGTCTCCTACTGGTGACTTTTTGCTCTTCTTGCCCCTTCAAACTTACTCCAACGCCACCAGCGCCATCGCTTCCCAAGCAAAGGCTGGAAAGGCATCGGCTTCTCTACCATCTGATACGCCCCCTGAGGTCGCCAAAGGTTACCAGGCCCAATACGCGTCCCTCAACGAGAAGCTTGTCGCAAAAGACTCGGCAATCCTTGAGATTATCTGGGGAGATGGCACTGTTATCCTCGGTCTGCAACACCCGTACTCTCGCGGAAGTGTCAAGGCGGCTTCGTCCAGTGTCTTTGACGCCCCGCTTGCAGACGTCGGCTTCCTCCGTAACCCAATAGACGTGGCGTTGCTACGCGAGGGAATTCACTTCGCGCGCCGCCTCGTCAAGACAGAAGGCATCACCGAACTCAAGCCTGTCGAAGTCGCGCCCGGCGCCAATGTCACCAGCGACGCGGATCTCGATGCTTTCATCCGACGAAGCTCCTCTACGCTGTTCCATCCCGCCGGCTCCTGTAAAATGGGCCCGAAGGACCAGGGCGGCGTTGTTGACAGCGAGCTCAAGGTCTATGGCGTCGAGGGCCTGAGGATTGTGGATGCCAGCGTCATGCCGATCCTGCCTGCTGCACATACCATGACGACGGTGTACGCGGTTGCTGAGAAGGCAGCTGATATTATCCGTGGCTCTGCGGCTTACAAAGCTGCGTGTCTGGAGTAGAACAGTACGCCTCGCTGCGAGCTTCATATTCTGTACATGACGATTCTTTATGCGACTTTTGTAAATGTAAATAGAGGCAATTGACACGTACATACGATGAATTCTTGTCTTCCAGTGACTTGTCGATGTCAAGGTGTTGTTAGCATTTGTCCTTGCGCTCAAATCCTGCTATGATATGGCCCCACAGAGATTTTCCTGAGCATTCACTGGTGGTCTTTTGCGGAGTTGGCCTTTTCATAAATCATCGTCGAATCTTACATTGTAATCTTATATGATTCCTGAACTTTGTGGGCGACTGGATTTTGCCTTTTTTGTTTGTTTTTTGGTGGGGTATAAGCCAAGGACGGGGGAAGGTGCTACGGGGAAGCGAAGGACTCACTCCATCCCAAGGCTTCCCCTCATTTCTCTCTGCGTCCATCTTGTGGTTCTTCTGTCGGTTCTCGGGCTCATCCACTACAGTTCAACATCTTAATTTTTCAGATTAAAGAGCCTTCGGCAACTTCGCGATCGATTGCTGCTCCAGCTTACGTGTGTCGCCAACGTCTTGCCATGGCAGTCATTCTTGATCTCCCCGACGAGCTGCTCCTGCATATTGCAACATTTTTGGAGTACGACAGGCCCGCTCTATATAGAATTGCGCTCATCTCGCGGCGCTTGCGATATATCGCGGAGCAGCTTTTATATCGACATATCGAACCACTATACCAGGATGAGCAGGGCAAAACTACGGGCGACAGACGATATGTACTGTTACATCGCACCTTTAACGAGAACCCGCATGTTCTAAAGCTTGTATGGAGCTGTGAAGCTACCATGCTCATGTCAAAAGATACGAAGGAAGTCTACCTCGGTGGAGTAGAGTATGGGAAGCGACGTCGCCCCGTTGGAAGAGGTGGTCAACCCTTCCCGGATGAGGAAGGAGCAATATCGTCTTCGTCGTCCGTTTCAAGAACATCTCAATTTCTACCCAGGGATTTGTCGTGCTTTCTAAACTTAAGGGAACTGCGAATTACCGCATTCCGCCGTTCTTACATCCGTTTACACAGGCTGGAGACGATGGCGCTGTCCCTCGAGCCATCCATTCTTCAAAACGTGTCGTCCATAACGCTCGTACAGAGACTAGATGTTTCTGAGGTATTATTGTTTCTGAAACTGCCCAAAATTCGCACGCTCGTCGCGCATTTCATTACATCACGCTCGCCTAGGCCTGATCACCCAAACTTTCTCGGTAAACATCAAAGCACCTTGCGTCGACTCTTGTTATGCGGTCTCCAATCGCATGGTCAACCCGAAACTCGGATTCCTGTTGTGACCCAGATTATGCGCCACTGTCCCTTGCTCGAGGAGCTTCGATGGACCCCAGCGCTGGAGCGCAGGTACAGCAATAGCTCGGATTATTGGACCAGTTCTGATGATTGGACAAAATTCTCTGCGCACCCTTTCCTTGAATGCCTACATTTGGTCGGGGATACCCTTACAACACTAGAACTAGCTCTAGAAGACGCAAGAAGACTATTCAGCATGTTCGCACACCAAGAAGGATTCCCCGTGGACTTTGCTCAACTTCGATGCCTGAAATATCTCAAGATCAACAGTTTTTTTCTCACGCCAGGATTTCCCTTGTGGAATACCTCCCAAACCTTAGAACACGACGAGCCTAGGTTGTACGATCGTCAGAGGGCTGCCTATCGGGTTCAAAGGCAAAACATTCACCGACAACTACCGCATAGCATCGAGATTCTTCATGTTAGTCACATCTTTAATACATGCAATCAGCTACTAACAGCAGCAGATCATTTTTCCAATCCATTACGCGATGTTCAACAACCTATTTGATAATAGCTTTATACATGAAGACAATAACAAGTCTCACATTTCCCGGGACTGTTATAAATGGATCTTTCAATTCGCACTCGCTAAGAAAAGTGCTTTAGAGAACCTGAAGCACGTCACTCTAGAAGACGAGCCGCGATACCTTAGAAGCCCTTTCCCTGCCCGCCAAAACAATGTATTATTCGAGCGCGAGCTTTTTTTCATCCCGTGGCAACAGCCGGAGGAGATTAAAGTTGCGTTCTCAGATGCCAAAGTTCGTTTAGATGTCCGATATGGTGCGCGCTGCGATGTCGCCCGCGCATCGCTGGATTTCACGAACAGATGCGAGTGAGGACCCCAAGGATCTACCAAGCCAAGCAGTTCTAAATTTCGCAACATGCGACTATTGGGCTGCATATTAAGGCACCCAGCGAAAGGACCGCAAGGCCCCTGTCTGACTATGCCTTTTTGGAAGATGGGGCTGTGTAGGAAGTCGTATTATTCCCTGCGTTCATGAATAAAACTAAAATAGCGTTTCGCGTTGCTCAGTTTCAGGAAGCGATCGGCAAGGATCGACATCTTTTTATATACTCTACACCTGCTCGCTCACCGCGCATCCTCTCCATCCTCGATTTTGTTTTCATACTTCAAACGTCCTCGCGATCCATTACCAACATGACCACTGTTTCACCCCCGAGAACATCATCATCTACCACTGCATCAAATCCAGATGCTGACAAAGCGATACGAAATGGCGCTATCGCTGGAGGTGTCGTGGGCGGCCTGGCAGTCATTGGCATTGTCGTCATCGTGCTATACTGGATTCGACGACGCAATCCAAGGCCCGTGAAAGAATCAACGAAGCATGTCGACGATGTGGAAAGGGCATTTCCAACCGCAGCTCCAAGCGAGTATCAATATCACGCGGCGGTACCGGAGATGGAGCAACCAGCACGCCTTCCACCGAGTTTCCGGCCACAAGAAGTCCCAGGGGGAGTCAATCAGGTGTATGAGCTACCGGTTGTGCATAAGTGAAGAGGGACACCACTGAAGTAGAAAAGTGTACGCATGTAGGCAGAGAAGGAGAAGACGCGCATAACTCGATCGATGACAGCAACACCTTGGAGCGCTTGAAGCTATGGGATTGAGAGGTCGATATGGATCCTCGAACAGTTACGCAGCGAGCGGCACTGTCTTGAGCGGAAGTTATCCGAGCATTAGTGTGGACCATGGGCGTGCAAAGCAGCATTTGAATAGCTACTACAGCTCCAGGACCCAACAAGAAGGAAACAGGGGGACTAAAGCAACATTATACACTCACTCCCCCGCCTCCTGAACCTGGGAAACGAATATCGTTGATACAGAGGTTGGAATCTCCAGTCACATATACTAGCTTGGAGAGGAGTAAAGTTGTTCGTTCATACTAGCGAATACAAATAATGATAAGGATTCATAGATTTGCAGCTGAGGCAGTGCACTTTTTAAACTGGCAGAGTCAAATCGCATTGGTTTTTCGTAAAATGGTCGACGGTATGGAAATGAGCCAACCCAATGCTTGCAATACACTGCCCGTAAGAAGACATCTCGATATGCATCAAAATCCATTGAACAATGGTTATTACCCATTCCATCCCATCCAAGAAGGAAACTATATATCCAAATTCTCAGCATAAAAGCCTCGATAAGTCAAAATCCTTAACGCTTGCATGTTCGTGAAGACTCCTCCCTTGAAAATCTACTCCTGCAACACAAGCCAATGCAACCCACCCAACCCAGCGCCAAAAGCCTCCGATATTCTCCATATCACCGCGCGCCTCCTAGCGACCGTGACGCCATCCCCGGCGAATGCAAGCCAGGCGTAATCATGCCCTCTGCACTTTTCGCAGCTTCTACTTCCTCGGCGGTAGGATATTGCGGCACATCGACGATGACGCTGGGATCTTTTGAGCGCGAGGCAAGTATAGCAGCGCGTTTCTATTGGTTGGTTGTTAGCTTTGGCTGATGGAGATGGGTAGGCGTATACATCAATATATGTATAAATAGATCGGAAGAACAGAACAGAACATACCTCTCTAGCCTCCCTCCCCGCATTCCCCCCTTCGCCAAGAAACTCCGCGTCAATATCCTCTTCGTCTGCCGGGCTGATCACCCCACTACCACCACCACCACCGCCTACTCCACTCTCCCCCGTCTGTCTCCGCTGCAAGTCTCCCGCACTCGTCGCCATGCCATCCAGCTCAACAGGCACAGAATTAATTGCCGGCGTCGCCGTGTCAATGAGACGTGTCTGCGTCGCGACAGCGGGGGACGTCTTGTGCGGGAAGGTACTGGTTCGTGAGACGGGAGAGACGGGTCCGTCCGACGGGGCGGCGTTGTTGGCGGGGAGGATGGGCGGGGAAATGGGCGTTGGGGCCGTCATGGTGGGTGTAGGCGATGACGACAACAGCAACGGGGAGTAGGCGAGAGGGAAGAAAAGAGAGGAGAGGAGGGGTGAAATGCTATGCAAAGCAGCCTGGGGAGTGATCGTTGTGGTTTCAGCCTCACGATACGCGGTCCAACAAAGCTCCGCGCTGCGCGTAAGCAGTCGGGCTGAAGTGACGTTTACTACTCCAAGTTCAGGGTCCAGCGCGTTTCAAGGTGGGGCTGAAGCGGGCCGGGGCAGCTTGGTCTTGGGTAGCCTTGTAATAAGGCGGTCCGATAGATGAAATGAGATCTCTTGGTATTGTACTCAACTCAAGCCCATGAAATGTAAAACGATTGGGAGACGAAACTAAGAGCTCACCAAAAATATTCAAAGGGATATGAGGGAACAGGGCAAATCGTGCAAAGCTGAGAGTTGATTGTCCTTCAACGCGGGGCATTGCTGCTGCGCCTCCTCTATCCGCCTCTACTTCCCCTTTAGAGACTGATCGACTCTTAGAACCCCCGGCCGTTCCATGGGCTGTAGCCATCATGTTACTTTTACAGAGCCCCTTGTTCGCCAACTGACATGCATAGGTATCCATAACGCATTATACTCATAACCATAACAATAAACCTGCATCAAGGGTCCCGCTTAGGTAGCAAGAAGCCCATCGCATAACCCTCACCAGAGCTCGTCTTCGGGTCAGCCTACGACTGTCAGCTATCACGTGTCTAAATTCCCAAAGAATCAGTTCCATCACTTACACCCATGAATACGTTCCGCCCAAACGCGTTTGCGTGTGTATTTTGAGCCTGCTGTTGTGCCGTCGCTTCAACGTTTGATACTCCATGTGCTTGATCGGTCTGCATTGGCATCCCGCTCAAGTCCATTGGGAAAAAGTTGTTCGATGTGTCTACGCCCGGGCCTTGGATGTAATTGTCCCAAGCATCCTACCACAGTTAGCATTCCTTGTCTAGCCACTGGTGCGTTTAGATACATACCCAATTGATGTTGTCCGTAGGAGGAAGATCCAAGTTCTGGAACAGGTTCGCACCAAAGAGGTTCGAGAACGGACTGGGAGCGTTTTCCGGTCCGCTCGTCGGTCCATTGTAATTTGGTGTCAGACCTGTCGATTGCTGAGGCATAGGGTCGTTGAGCAAATTTGCCATCGACGCTGGGTACCGCTGGTCAAACATGTTGGCTGAGTTTGGTGTCATGCCACCGGTGCTGAGCATGCCTAGTGTCATGGCTGCCGAGTGCTCCGGAGCCACGTTTGCATCATCCATGGGCGCTGTCGCCTGAAATGCTGTTGATGCCGCCTGGAAGCCGTTTGGCGCCTGTCTTACTAGTCGATCCTTCTTCAGTTGGTTCAACATGACGCTCAGCGTCGTATGCGCCTTGTATGCCTCCATCGAGTGGTCCTTGAGGCCATCCCATATGTGTACTGCTGTTTCGATCGCTTCAAGCATCTCATCAAGTCGATCTGAGCTCCAAATGTACATGTCTGCGGGCGGAGATCGCCCCTGACGTTCGACCCTAATTGTGTGATATAGATCGGAAGAAACAATCATAGCGGCGAGTAGGAAGTCGACTGTAGTAAGCGAAGAGATGAACCACTTCACACTCCGCAACCGACCACCAGGTTGACACTCCCGATGCAGCGTTGCTTGATGTTGCAGCAGCGTCATGGAAGCATTGATTGCCGCCGTCCTCGAGTAGCTGAATCGTGATTGCACCCTGGCATAGGCGAGGAACTTCCGATGAAGTACACAAATAATCTTGAGGTACGATAGGTCCAACGTGAAGCGTTGCATGATCAATGTAGATGGATCTCGAGCAGACTCATCCATTGTTCGCATCTTCAGGTGCGGCGAGATTTGGTCATGCAGCTCTCGTGCCTCGGCGTCAACCTTCATGACTTCTTCGTAAGACGAGCATGTCAGTGCATCCGTCAGTTCTACCGCTTCTCCCAGTTTGTAAATGAGCCTTGTCCGATTGATGAGAAACAAGGTCGGTGTCGCCTCGCTCTCTGGCCTTGATGGTGGCAAGACCTTCACGTCCTCAAACAATTCGTCATCGTAAATATTGCGCGGTATCTCCGTGTTGGTGTCTCGTGGGCGTACGATTGGAGGCAAACCGGCCTGCGCCGAGAAGAGCAAATCTATCGATCGGATAGCAGCCCATACGCGTCGTCTCATCTCACCTTGAAACACAGGTATGCCCGGGTATAGGCCTGGATCTCGATGCAAGCCCATTCGCATCGCCAGCCGTACAATGATGCCCGTGCTGATGAGCACACCTACTTCGGCATCTCTGCTGCGAGCATATTCGGCGTGTATGTGAAGGATAAGCGTCTCTAGCATGCCGGTGATTGGCTGCGTGATGTCTGCCATGATCAGACATTGCGCTGTCAAGTCGCCGTACTCTTGTGACATGCTCCATGACTTGTTGTGATACTCAGGCGGTTCATCGCCAGCTCTGGTGTACGATTGCAGCGCTATGCACATCATGGAGTATACCAAGCCAAGCCAGATACATGGCGAATCATCAGGATTGAGCCAATGTCTATCATACTCTTTCTGGAATGATGGGCCATGTATAATGTGGATACCAGGATCGTACGTGTTGAAGAATCGCGAGACCAGTATGTCGGCGGTAGGCTTCGGCGGAAAGCGGGAGAGGACCTCAGCCTTGGAGCTGGGTTTCTGTCCACCCATGAGAAATGCTCTGCCAGGTGGCCGTTCCTCGCTGTGGGCCGCTTTGTATCGTTTCAGCTGGTCTTCATACTGTTTCTTGTGTTCGGCAAAGTAACTTTTGACCTCAGAAAGCTCCCCCAATATGGCATACCAATGTGCTTCCGAGGCGAATATTGTATGGTTATTATTCATCTTCATCACACCAATGGACTTGGTCACGTTCTCCATCTCGCTCTCCTCATCTGCATCTTCCTCTGGTATTGACTCGGGAGGGCCATTGCTCATTCCACTACCCATATTACTCATGTCGAAGTGCTGGTCCGACGAGGCGCTATTGAGGCTTGCCGCAATGGCTGCCTGAGCGGCAGCGGGGCCAGCACTCTGTGCGCCATTGGTCATTAATGAGAGAACAAGTCCTTCGAGGCGGTCAATGCGGTTTTGCATATCGTCGGGAGAAGTCGTGGGCCCAGCGCTGGCCGTGCTCTTCTTGCGATTGCCTGGACTGGCATACGTACATGATGGCGAGTCTCCCCGTTTGGTGCAGTTGTCGCAGGGGTGGCCGCGATTGCATTTTAACCTGTCGTTATTAGCATTCGCGGTTCGCCAAAGAAAACATTGCTTACTTTCGGTGTCTACATGGTCCGCAAGACAAAGGAACGCGGTTCCTCTTGCGCACAACTCTGAATTGAGGGTCTGGTGGTGAATGTCCCGCGCTAGACGAAGTGGTCGAGGGTGGTGTGGGTGGCATGGTCGTGTGTTGTCGTCTGACTAGGAGCACGACGGAGGGATCGGATTTAGTGGTGCTAAATCCGTTGAAGGTGAATGATGAATCTGACGGCTGCTGGACGCCTGAGATGGAAAGCTAGAATTTTCGCTGGCTTAGAGTCGTCTCGTGCAGGTTTGGCTAGTCGCTAGCTTGTGCTTTGTAGAGCGGATGAGCAAAAGGTCGAAAGCAGTGGGATTGCACAATTGCGGCCTTTCGCGGTCTTAAATCTCTCGGAGCTGATGCTATCTCCAGGCGCCAAGTACTGTGACTAGTAGCCCTGCGATTGAAAACGCAGCACTGCCCAGGTGTAGTCTTCTCGCGATGTGCCTCCACCCTTTCTGCCTGTTTTCCTCACTTGACCTAGCAAAGTTCCGCTCTTTTATCTGTAAGTATTCCGAGTACCCGTGCTCGTTCGTATGCTCAAGTCGCGGGAAAGCAGTCGTCGCAAACGTTTGTCGGGGGTGGTGTGAGGCCCAACGCAGCGGCTCTCTTCACCGTAGGGAGATGAGGTTACGCGTAGGCGTCTTCGGGCGAGGCCTGGTTGTTTCGACTACGAGGTAGAGTTACGGATCTCTCAAGGTGCTAAGGCCTGCCGTCTCCACGTCAGTCGCTGCATTATTCGAGGCACTGTGCGGAATAGATACCTTCGAAGCTTGCTTGCACCGTCTCACGAAGCCTGCTACGAAAAGCGCCTGCCTCACGATAGCGCTGCCAAGTTGCGAAATGCGCTCAATGAGGCCAGAAGGTAATGCGCCTGGTTCGGCGACACCAGAAATTCAGAGAGCACACGGCTAAGAAGGATGGCGTAGTAGAACACCGCTCGAGGGAGATGGCTAAAGAGTTGGGCGGGCTCAGGCCTTTAACTCCGACGAGGCCAAAGGGACGACCGCCAAGCTATCCTTACATGTGCGTTCCGTCGTCACTGGCAAGCATCGCTCACCTGACTAATTTAGACCACTGTTCTGACTCACACGTTCTGCATTTACACTCTGCAGTAGTCCATCCTCAGCCTCATGTCGAAACGCCATTTAGCCCGTTCGATATCGTCGTCGAGACTATTCGCACAGCTGAAGCGGGGTTGAGCTCAAGCCACCTGCCCGCCTCAACCATCGAAGGAAGCATCATTTCGCAATCTCTGATAAGCACTCTGCTAGTCCACACTGCCCTTCTACCACCTCAATATACTCGAGTAGGACCAATGCAGTTGAGGGGCGGATTCTCGCTACCCATCTGATGAAGATATTGCAAACGACGGCGCAAAATGCTGGTGCTCTCACAACGCCGTCACGACATACTGCCATGAGAGAGAGAAGAATAAGTTGTAAAGCTCAGAAGCTCTCTGCAAATCGTAAAGGCGGTGTTGCAACAAAATGAACGGTACGGTACAGCGACGCAAAAACCTGGTCGCAGAACCATGGAACTGATTCCAGCCACGTATACTGCCATGGTATTGTAGCACGGAGTATAATATACCTCCGTAGCACGAGTGTTGCATATACTAGCACGCTGCTACCTCTACGACAATCGTTAAAATAACGGAGCTTGGAGCAATGGCATGAGTCCGAGAGTCAAACACAAGAAGAGACACTTGAAAGGGCAAGAATACCAACAGGTGACATTACTAAGCTAAAAGATAAACCTAGCCACAGCAAACAACGCATTCTTTTTTAAGATAACTCTTTTTCCCAGTTTTTTTTGTCTTTTTTTCGACCTCACTTTGTCCACTGAAAGAACTTGCAACCCAATTGGTAAGAGAAAAATATATTCACATTCCCGCTCCCAGTTCCTAGATTCAAGCTCTATCGTCAATCGTAAAGCCACTGCAGCAACTCGGGAACAATTTCCAGTATTACTGCAGCATAAACACGCCAATTCTAGCGTCTGTTCTGAGTTCCATTTCCACTTGCTTCTGCCTCGCCCGCTGCCTCATCCCAAGGCACCATCTTCTCCAGCTTCGCATCCCACTTATACACTCCTCCAACGCCCACATTATACTGATAGTAATTCTCCGTCCCACCCTTGACCATCGCCTTCCTAAACGTGATATTAATCCTTCCCTTGCCCGCCTCAGGCCCAGCCCGCTTCGGAATACTATGCAGCCAGTTGGCCTGCGTCTTGCCTCGCATCAAGACCATATCTCCAGGACGGAGGGAGAGCTTGATCTGCTTAGGCTCTTCAACAACCTCACCCTCTTTGGGAGGGATAGGCTTGTGCTTCATGAGAAAGTCACGCTTTGCTCCCAACGAGAACGAAGCGATTGCGGGGTTTGGGCCGAGGAAGCGCTCATCATCACTGTGGTAGGATATACTGTCTTTGCCGTCGGCGTAGTAGTTTACTAGGCAGAAGTTGAAGGTTTCGCCTGTTGTACCTTCGGTGATTTGGCGCAGCTCGTCGAGGCACTGTGGAATGGGACGAGGTTTGCACTTGTAGCGGTTTGCTTCGATCTGTTTGCCTGACATGGTGTCTACGAGACTGCCATCAGATGCGAATCGGCTAGTTTCGTCGACGCCGAAGACAGTTGTGAAGCGTGGTGTGTTGACCTGTGTTTGTGCACCGCCACGATTGATGTTGTATTGAACGCGGTAAAAAGGTAATTCGTGGCGTAGAAATTCAAAGACCCCTGCTGCGATGGAGGATGGAATATACGGCTCGTAGAACACGAGATCGAGATCCAATTGATCGTTCATGGGTTTTCCTTCTTCCGATGGAGCAAAGCCCAGCTGCTCCTTGAACGGAGCTGGGAGGTGTGGAATGGCGAAAGGGTAAGAGACATGCTTCGAGCTATCCACGCTGGCTTCATACTTTGGCTTCTTCGGTACCGCAGGCTTGAAAAAGGTGTCAAGTGCCCCGCGCTTCATCTTAACAGGTATGGTTTGCCCTCTCGCCCTGTATGCCGGAGGCTGCGCCGCGCGTACTACACCTCTAACCAGCTGGTGTACTTTCGTTGCCTCGATACAGCGAACCTCCGTCTGTGGCGTAATGTCTCCCGCGGGTAAGATGACAAGTCGCGCGACGATCAGCAAGAGAGTTCGTGCTGGAAACCGCTTTACTTCGTGACCAATGCCGAATTTGTGACGATGTCGAGACAAGTCCCCCAAGACCGGAACAGGAACACTCAGCTTCACTGCGTTGCGCTTCACCTCGTCTTTATACGAAGCCCAGAGTTTCTGAGTGACTGATTGAATTGGTAAACTCGGAGTGGAAGGCTGGGGCACAGTAGTAATCTCAGGTCCAGTGACCGTTTGCTGATTCACAACACGGTGTATCTGTATACGTCGTAGTTGGATCTGTAGAGCTTCTCTGGCCTCGCGCAAGCTGTCGTGCTCTTGTTCGGCCCTAGTCAATTCCGCAAGGTGCTCTTGTCGAGCGCGCTGTTCGTGAATCCTACGCGCTTGATCTGATGCTTGACTGTGACGAATAGAGCGTCGTATGGTAGACACCATGGTTGCGCAAGTTTCCAAAGTTTGCTGTCGATGGTCGATGACGTATATGATTGGTCGGGACAGGCTTTCGTATGATTGGCTGAAGACCGGCCGTTGGAGCGATTTGTCGTCAAAGTGCTAAACACCCACGACTGCTGTTGGAAGATGCAAAAAAGGTCACAAAGCTGGTATTTGGTATATTCCAGAGTATTTGAGGCTCTGGAGTCAAACTGAGTGCTGGATGTTGAGTGTCTTAAGTTGGCGAATGTAGTGTTCTTATACGTCAAGGCCAGGAACAACACTAATCCTATTTAATATTTTTGACTATTTTTGACTATTTTATGAGTACTTTTTGAATATTTTGTGAATACTTTGTGAATATTTTTTGAATATTTTTTTTATATAAAAAATAGGACAAGGTGCTAAATTATTTACAAAATAATAATGTTTATTCTGTTTTTAATCTAGTAAAATACTCCTATTATTATCTAATTAGCAGCTTTTTAGTCTAAATGAAAGGACTAGAGAGTAAAGGCCAGGGTGCGTTAAGGCAGTGTCTGTAGTTTTTACAAAGGTATATATATATTACAGTGCTACAGTTTTACTTTAGTACGGAGCGGATTTAGAACTAAAAATACACTATCAAAGCCAGTTTAAAAGCTGGAAAATAACAAGACGTGCTCGTTGCTAGTAGAAGATGCCTATAGAGGCATTAGCGCCTATATCGGCGGTGGTGACGTTGTCCCCTGGATGTAATTCATCCCAATCACGAATGATGTTATCTGCTTCCATCATGTTCCAGGGTCCAAAGATGCCCTTCTGCAAGATGAGAAACATACGTCTAGCCAGCAATGCTTCGGGGGAAAAAGCATAACGTTTGAACTTCTCTGAAGCATGGGACAGGAACACATCCTTGAATATCCGGCCTTCATCTGAGCAAGGTTCAAGGTTCGCATTAGATTCATCGTCTTCATCAGCACTATCCATATCTTCGGGAATCCAAAGCCAAAATGGGGCACGGTAGGCTACACACTCGGGCGCAACGACGGCATAGTCCCAATCGATGACGCCGGTAATCTCGACTTCGGTAGGGCTTTGTACCTCTGCGAGTAGATTGTACGCCTTGAGATCTCCATGAAGTAAGCCACTTGGCCCATCAAGAAATCCACGCGCCTCCAGAGCCTTGGAGATAGCAGCGAAGCTGTCCCAAATCTCATCGAAGCATGCACCTTGCGACGTTTGATACTCGCGCCATCGTTCGCATTGTTCGAGCAGATGGTCAAGGGGCTTTTGTGGTAGTGCTGACCAAGTATTTGCCTTGTCAAAGGATTCATCTTCTAGACCGCGAGCTGGAACACAGAACTTCTCAATGTGGATGCACCCGTTTGGAGCTCGTGAGAGATTTTCAAGCGATATATCACCGGCTGGTCCTTCAACTGAAGCAATCCTAGAAAATAGGTCAGTGATGCGCTTTACGGCGCACTGCTTTTGTTCCATATTCAGGGATTTCCAGAGCTGCGCAAGGTTTTGGCCTGGTAGGCGTTTCTGGATCATGTACGGCTTCTCAAAGACATTGCTGGCTGACAGATCGTAAGTGATGACATTCGGGACCGGTAATTTAAGCTGTGACCGAGTTGCTTTCAAAATGGCAACATTGCGGTCCATATCATCTCCGTCTTGGCGAGGAATACGGACAATGTATGACTCTGCTCCGTGTGATTTGCTTTTCCGTAGAGCGCCTAGATATTGCGACTTGAACCACTTAAAGCTATATTTCTTTGGCCTTGATGTCCAATATATCTCGACTGAAGTGCTCTGCGATGATTTTGGAGACCTTGTGTTGGAAGTATTCAAAGGGCTCATGACTATGACGAATGGTTGAGGTTTCAGAGGCCGCCTCCTCATTGGCGACATTGCTCACCTCAGGCTCGATATGTTCTCCGCTCTTGTGCTGCATTTTTTAAATTAGTAGAAGGTGCAATGTTTCGTGAGTTTGTGTTCATGGCGCCACTGGCGACTGTAATTGATGGTTGTGGATAAGGGGAAGAAGAAGATTTTGTTCTAAGTATTGGGAATCAAGCAGATTGCTGGTTTAACGGTTCTTTGTTATTTTTCCACGATGTTCGTTCATTGTCAATGTTAACATCCTTTTCAAAATTGTGTATGCGTACAATATTCGTCTAACTTATCAATGCGAAGAACAATGCATTTTGACTTCATTTCACAGTGCTTCTATCACAATGGTCTTATTTAGAAGTTCGGCATACATAGCTGACCTGCGTGAAAGATATGATTAAATCCTTTACTTATGAACAAGGTACCCATGCCCTGAGAATATCTACCAATAGATACACAAGATTTGTAATTGTACTGACATAGGCATTATGCCGAAAGGAGGAACAGGAACTAAGCATCATTGCGCAGGTGGGCGCGCCTGGATTGGTGACATCAGCCCAGGTGGATGCATTGAAGTTAAATCCGGTCCACTCATATATTGCAAGAAGCACGAGATGCCATGTCGCAATGGCTGCCGTGGGTAGTTCCATCTCCAAAACCAAGAAGGCTGCCAGTCATGCGAGCGTAAGCGAGATGCAGAGGCGAAGCGCGAACGACTCGTTGCTGCGGCTGAGAGGGATTCAGAGAAAAGCAAGGAGAATGAGACATTTTGGAACCCTGGGAAGATTAGAAAGCAGTCAAAGTATTAGGCAACGTATCTTTAAACACGGTAAGTGTAGGCTATCTTGCAAAGTTTGTCGTTGATCTCAATCTAACATATAGTGAGCTCGTAATAGTTTGTAGAAGGCATTTTGGCATTGACTTATCTTGTGTTACAACACCACTTCCACTGTTTGCAGAGAACTCTCAGACCTTTACAAAGGTTCCTTCTCTATGAGCCTCCTCCTGGTCATTAGCGCCACAAGTGCACATGTTTAAGGTTCGGAACAGAGTGTGGATTTGGCGCCGCAAGCGCATGCATGAACTACTATATCATCTAGGAACAAGGTAGTAAAGAGTATCACATGTTATATGTTGGTGTAAGCAATTTGGTGTCATAAACGTGAGGACCACCAAGTAGTAATGATATGTCTGTGGGATCTTACGGATTTCAAAGGCTAGAAGCAAGATGTGTTGACACTGGAAAGGGGGCTGGGCTTATATATATATAGGGGCTCCTGCCCGTAGTCTCAGTCTTTAATCAATCACCTACTTCTGCCATTCAATACAATGTGGGTGCGTAACGATTATGTGTATACACAATGCCCGGTACTTCGTACACAATGAGGTGATGAATGAGGATCAAAAATCAGTTATGATTTTATTCCTACCTGTACCGAAAGGCCCGTGGCATAAGGGCAGTAGAATGTGCGCTTTAAAGTTGGTTCCTCCAGAAGGTCTCTATAAGCAGTCGCCATGGTCATCAGAGGCCTCGTTATCTACTATTACAGCGGTAGAGAACACATACTCTACTCTCTCGCCTCTCACACACGCAGCCAAGGAACGAGAGCTACGCAACCCACTTGATATCGTGTGGGCTAAGACTGATGAACTGGATGACAACGGGCAGGAACCCTTTTCTACGTTCAAGTACAAGATAAATCAGCTTGTGGTAGAGCTATTCCCAAGTCTGGAGGCATCTGCGCAGCTGATGATCGAAGAAGTAGGGTCAGGCGCCTTCAATCGCGTGATAGGGGTGTCGATTCTGCCATCCAAGAAGCATCGAGATTCTGCATTGTCATTTGCTTATAGTTTCTACAAACTCCTTCGTACTTCAACACCGCAGGATTACGTTGTCCGTCTCCCGCTGGATGGACGCGATCAGCTTTCAGGTTTAATTAGCGACATGACACGCGATGTTGCAATCCTGCAAGTTGTTAGCTCTCGACTTACCATACCAGTACCTAAAGTGATCAGCTACGAGTTGAATGAGAATAACGCTCTACAAAGACCGTATGTACTTCAAAATCGTCTACGCGGGCAAAGTCTACGAATCCTCATGAGAACACTAAACACTCAGCAGATGGTGTCCGCGGTAGAGCAGATCACGAAAATCATCGAAAAAATTGCAGCAGTCACTGCACCGGCAGCTGGTTTTATATCCATCCAGAATCTCGAATTTCCTAGCGCATCGCATATCCACATCAGACAGTACCCGGTTCCAACTGACCAACTGGCTGCGAGGTTTCCTGGCTTCAATCAGGTAGACGAACAGCTAGCATCACCCCAGACGCCGTTTGAGTATTTAGTAGATCATTGTCAGCGCTGGCACAGATATGAGGAGTCCATCGATCACCACGAAAACAAGGCTCTCTGGACTCAACTCGTCGCTATTGGGCGCTCCCTCAGCCGTCGCGGATGGTTAGGCGACCGCTTCCACCTCGTTCATGACGACCTCTATCCGCGCAACATCCTCGCCATTGTCACTTCTCCCACTACGGTAGAAGTTACGGGGATCGTGGATTGGGACATGTCCTTCTTTGCTCCGAAGTTTGTCGCTTTCCGCCCACCCTACTGGGCATGGATGGGGTCTCATTCTAGCGAGCGAGATGAAGACAATGCTATAGAAGAGCCAGAGTATGAGGAAGGCATTCTGCTCAAGAACACGTTTAAATTGGTGGCATCTGAAGAGTTCGTCGGTTTTGCGCTTTCGCCAGAGGGTGTCCTTGCCCGAAAGCTCTTCTATATCTTGGAAGGTGGCATGTTGACCAAAGGTAGACGGATCTTGGCTACTGAGCTGGTTCGCCAGTGGGATTATCTATATCCTACCGATAAGCTTTGCCAGTTCAATGCAGTGTAGCACTCACCTTTCAATAGTGGTGTATCAGACAGGATGTCCGTAACATAGTCCCTAATTCCCATTTATCGTCACCTGATACCTTTAGTGACTCGTATAAGTTTCCCCGTTTACGGTAGTTCTTGATGGTCAGAGTCTATGCAATAATATGTATCGCAGCTTAGCCCAAATGATATTGCCTGCGTATGGCGTGAATAGCCAAGCGTTCGTGAACTTACCCAAAAGGACTTTAGTATTTCAAAAGCATAAATCTAACCTTTTTTTGCTTAGTACAATGTTTGCAATGCGTTCGTGTCGGATGAACAGCAGCTAGTCCCGGTCAACATTAGTGAGATAACGTAAGCCCTACTATGGCCCCACTTTCTTCACTCTCCTCAACATCTGACTATAAGGTGTGTTGTCATCTCATCTGACCATGGGAAATACCTCGGCAGACCATGGAAGGTACTGGGAGCCAGGGCTAGCCAAAAGGGGAGTCAAACTAACTTCGTAAGGCATAAGGACAGTGCCATGGTCTGCCGAGGTATTTCCCATGGTCTGCCGAAGTATTCCCACGGTCAGATGACCTGTCTCCTGTCTTCACATCAACACTTTTTGAGTACCGGAAAACAACATGCTACGGCCACCAGCAGAAGCGCGCCTACAGGGAGCGTTCTCAACTCTACCTCCTGAGCTGTTCTTCAACGTTCTCGATCAGCTCGTAGGCACACGCGACGGTCAGCAGCCGGTGGCATACGAACCCTCCAATGCGATCACCAAAGCATTGCGCGCGCTCACTTTAGTGTCGCGCAATATCTATCCTATTGCATCAAGATATCTCTACTCTTACTGTCTTTGTTTGGACAATTGTACGAACTATGCTCGCTTTTGTAGAACATTGGGATTAAATCTTGGATCTCACCCCCAAGCGCTCAAGTATGGACAGGCGGGGCGCAATGAGAAACTCTTCGCCAACGCGGAGACGACGCGATATATCACCTCTACTTTCATCTCGCCGATTAATACAACCAAAGATGGCATTGGCTCGACCATGGTCCGACTACCGCAGGTCATCGATCTTTGCAGTGTCATTGGGCGTGCATTGAGAAGGCTGATCCTGGATCTTCAAACCTTGTATGCGCCAGCAAGCGAGGTGGATTTAGTCCAGCCACATATCATCGAGAATAACATTTTCCTACATATGCCGAATCTCGAAGAACTTGTTGTCAGTTTCGATGTCGTCGACTACTTTCCTTATCCACCTCTCAACCTCAAGAGGCTAGCTATAACCGTTCAAGAGATGATGGATGCACACTTAGATTTTTGTTTCTCAATGTCGTCTCTACAGACATTGATATTCTTGCGCCCACCAGAGCTAGCCTCTACCGACATCGACCTCTTGTTCAAGGCATACAAGGGAAATGTTCTGGATGTTGTTTTGGTCGACGTGAACTCGAATCATCGTACGCCTCATGGCACCAGAAGCTGGGAGGCCAACGATACGGTGAGGATTTGGGAAGCCGATGTGGCGACCAGCTTCTACGGCGATGATGATGACCTGATTCTATGCGAAAATTGGATGTGGAAGCATGGTCTCGAGGGCACACTCTGGACCCAGGACAAGCGACGAATGGCATCCTGGGCGGAGACTGAAAGAAGATTAGCTGGACCTGTGCATTTGATCACGGACGGGTCGCACTCATTGTGATTGCCAGAACGGGCAAGTGCCTTCTGAAGAGTTGGGTGGTAAGATTGCTTTCGGCTTTGGGCCCTCTTTACACATGTTTATCTTTTTCCAGGTCTACATCCTATCAAAGATATTTTATTGTCCCCCCGACAGTCCACAGATCTACTTCTTCAGAGCACCACCTTCGTTCCCTAAAAGTCCCCCCAGAAATTTACTTTTCAACAAGCCCTTCTCTTTGATCTCATCTCCATACTTCTCTAATTCCTCCACATCCCATGTAATATGGACATACCCGCCCTTGACCTTATCCGCCCTCCCACTCGCCAACCAAATTGAAAATGCTCCGACTAACTCCGGCGTGTCAAACGCATATGGCACGAACGCTGGCATTGCCGCAACACCCTTCACGACCCCTGGATCCATCGAGAAGGCCTTGAGACTGGCATATTCAATGTCTAGATACTCTACGAGATTGATATCCGCCGACTTGGACATGCCGTACGAAGATAGACCAGGAAAAGCCACACCCGCGACACCGGAAGTCATTGTAATGAAAGTCCCTATGGGGTCTGGACCGAAGATGCGAATATAGTGGTGCGCAGCGAGATGTGCACTGCGAATATTTGTGGTCATGATGTCCCACCACTCTTCTTCGTCTTCTTCGCCAATCTTGCCATAAGATGTGAGTCCAACATTTGCAATCACGACATCCAGCTTCCCAAAGTTCTCCTTTGATTTCTCGAAAAGTTTGGCAACGTCAGACGATTTTGTAGTGTCGCAGGCAAGAGCTAGAACCTCTATTTTGGAATTGAGAGCTTTGATCTCTGCAGCGACTGGCGCGAGAGTCTCCACCTTACGGCTACATATTGCGATTCCGGCAGCGCCTGCACGGGCCCATGATAGTGCCATGGCGCGACCGAGGCCTTTGGATGCGCCGGTGACGAGGACATGTTTTCCAGATCCGCTACTTTGCGCGGCTTCAATGGCGGGATACAGGTCGCGATGGTATTTACTCGTGAAAGTAAACATTTTGGTATACATATCGGGGTCGAAGTCTTGCGCTGCCATATCGATCGAAGTTCCGTGGTAAATTGTGTTTCTGAGGAGAGTCGGGGATTCAGAGCAGAAGTGACGAATGCTGAGAGCGTTCGAGCGTTGATCTCTGCCAGCTTTATAATTCCGGGTAAACTATTTCTACCCGTGCTTATCAATAATATGACCGCAGGTCTCCGACAGCTGTTTACGCCTTACAGGGTTGCACTACGCCCCGCTCTAGCCTCGTCGAAGAAACGGGAATAAGATGATGGCTGAACACAACCTACCAAAGTCGTCTGTATACTTTCTTTCTGCTATTAAATATATATCTTGAGGTTCTAGATTACCTTGTTTCTTATTCTGCTGTTTCTATAGCTATAACATAGGTTTAGGTGCGCAGGGCTGGTGTGGGAGGTAAAACGACTAGTTCAACGATGCTAGAGGCTAGGACCGATAGGAAGACTTAGTGCTTACTGTGACATGTACGGGGTCTGATTCATGTATTCTCAGGTTATGCCCTGCTAATGTACCACCTGAGTAATTGATATAGGGTTCCCATCCATGCTTGGCGTTCACTTGACACTGGGGACGCCTTCTGTACGGATAGTTCGCCCTTGCGCGCCTTTGACCGCAGAACAGCCCATTATCTCGACTGTGCATAGCTCTAAATATACGCTTTTCGTGTTTTTGTATAACTAATAGAGGGAATTACCGGTTTGTATTATCTAGTGTCTATTACGTGATACCCCATCTCGTTGTCCATATAAAACTCTATAAAATAGCCCTAAATACATGCTCGTAAGTCAAAAGTATCCTGTTAGTAGAGTTAACCGGGTATTTATGAAAATTTGATAACATTCCTTCCTTGCAAATTCGGCCTGGGATTTGGCTTCTGTACGATTACGACGTCGAGCCCTGCAGAGACCATTTCCACATACAATTATGCCAAGTCTATGAACGACAGGTGATGACAACTGAAACCCTGAAATATAATAGCGGGATTTGCCGCGCCTTCAAGCTTACTTTCTAATCCCCTGAATAGTCCCCTGAATAGTCCTGGCGCATTGGGGACGCCAGATTTCCACTCACATCGAGATTTGAAGTGTCTTTTTCACCCAGTATTACCTTTCTTTAACATGCTTTTGCCGTCAAGAAGTGCTTTTAGGATGCCCCTACCCGGGTCATTGCTACCCAAAGTCCTCATCGCAGTATTCACCATCGCCGTGTTCTACCAATTGCCACTATTCTCGACAGCCCCGCATATAGCAGACCCGAGTCCAACGAAGTTGAGCAATATTCCGGAAGGATCATGGTTCCGAGATGCCATCAAGACACATCAGGCCGAAGACAACGACGAAGAGTCTTCTGCATTAGCAAATTCAATCAGTGGAACAACGTCAGATCTTGTCACGAAGACATCAATCTCAGCAGATGCCAGCGCTGCACCTTCCTCAAGCAATACGACCACCGCAAGTATACTGAGCGAATATAATCGAACATTTATCTCCTATGGTACGACGCAATGTTTACCGCATTTTGACGACCACATGAAGCAGTCAGCGATTGCGCGAAATGAGTCATGCACAAAGCACACACCTTTTACACCAGAGGAAACCCGCCGCGTTGCATTTGCATCAATCACGACCGGACAACCAGCAGAAGCATACCAACGCGCGATTCAGTCCCAGATGTTCCACAGCGCAGTCCACGGCACATCAACTCACATACTATGCGAACAGTTATCCGACGGCGCATGGAACAAGATCGCCTTTCTTCTCAATCTCGTCATGAACGAGATGCTGAAGCCAGAGGACGAGCGCCTAGAGTGGGTTATGTGGATTGACCGCGACGCCATCGTCCTCGACTCCTGCAGACCCCTCTCAGCCTTCGTACCACCCGCTACTAAAGACTATGAAACAGTGAACCTAATCATCAACAACGACGGGCTCGGCCTGAACGCTGGCGTCTTCATGTTCCGTGTTAATGAATGGTCTATCTCGCTCTTCAACACGATCCTCGCGTATCGATACTTCCGACCCGACGAAGAACTCGTACTTGCAGAACAAACGGCGATGGAGAAGATCATAAACGAAGAGAAGTGGAAGGATGGCGTTGCAAGGGTGCCATGGTACTGGTTCAATGCATACCCAGATGAGAATGAAAGTGTGGAAAAATACAGAGATGGCCTTGAGCCTGAAGACTTGGAATGGTTCCGAGCGCGCAAAGGGGACTTCATCGTGCATTTTGCGGGTGACGATGGACGTTCAGGGAGAATGCCTGAGTGGCTAAATATGTTGGGGGAGGTGGGTAACGTGTGGGAGAAGGGCGAAACGAAAAGGGATATCACAGTTGAGATTCAAAAGTATTGGCGTAGTTGGGAGAGTGGGACATTAACAGATGCGCAGATATCAGGAGAGCCACAGAATGATGGACACGTGAACCAAAGAGAAGAAGAAGGGTAGGCATTCCCGTCTTTATAATGATCTGTATATTCTCTTGTCTGGCGTGTAATTCTCATGGGATACTACTGTTAGCGCTCAAAGGCAGCCAAACACGAATTCTTCCTATCGTATGTCGACTACTTCCAAGGCTATTGCTTCCGTCTTCGCTCCTTTATTCGTGGCATGCCTGGTTGCATCAACTTGCATGATCTCAGGTATGTAAGCAGCGCCGACGAACTGATAGAAATGCTCTTGCTGCCGGAGGACAAAGGGAACATTACTTCCCTCTAGCTCGATGATGATATCACCTTCACGCATGGCCTCCGGACCGAGGCCGACGTGATGCGTCTTGGTCAAGAACACTCTACGACCTCGCAGCATCCCGTTCCAGGTTATGTCATGGCCAAGAGGTTCAAGGTATGATTTAAAAGTAATCCAATCGGCGCTTCGCGAACTTTCCCTTTTGACCGTACTCACGGCATTTGCGAAGACGTCTAATAACCTTTCCCAGGTCCCATTCAGAGGACCTTTACCACGCTGCTCTTTGATATGTAGTTCAAGTAAATTGACTTGACCCATTGTCTTAGACCAGTTATCGGCCTGAGAATTACTGACCCACTCATCTTGCGTACGAAGAACATTGCATAGGGCTATATTTAACCATGCCCCATCGACAAGTGCCTTGCTTTCAACGATTGGTTTCAGACTTTCGTCCCAAAATTTGTAGAGCTTGTCGAAATCGGGGTTATGTCTCTCAAGAAGTATGTTATCACAGGAAAGCGCTGTGACTTTGTTTGTTCGGCGGCATTTGACGCATAAAGTTCTTGCGTCGAGGTTGACTGTTGCAGCCAAAGAGGACATTGATCTCTCAGGGTCATGGGCTCCATACAGATATTCGTTGTCCAAGTTCGACGCAACATCTTCGTTCCATTTGGGTACCCATGAAGGTAGTGAGTTGACTTTCCATTTCTCGAGGATTGAACTATGGTGTACCGAGTTCAGCAAGCCCAGAGTGCCTCCGTAATGAATTGCCCTGTGTGCCACATAGAAGTACAACTCATGAGTTGATATGGTGTAGTCCGGGTTGACATCTTTGAGCAAAGAATTCCACGGAATCGAGGCATTGTACGGAACACTCAAGATCGCGTAGATGCGGTCACGGTCGTCCTTGCAGTGTCTGGGTCGCACTAGTTGTAGGACGCGTAAAAGGTCAAACGCACCATCTCTCAATTTGGTCGCCTCGTGCCTCTCCTCGATCCACGAGAAGGCTTCAAAGTGTCGCGGTGTCAGGTAAAGTTCAGACAGCCTAAGCTGAATCCCCTCGGTCAGGTCGTCTATGTAAATTACTTCGGTTCCCCAGAGTACGACTGTGTTCTCGCCCAGGATTGCCTCCTGCATCACCCATATGCGCGTGAAGTAATCGCATCTCGATAACTCGCTAATCAGTGAAAGCGGCTTCGCGTCTCGGGCTAGGGGTTCTGTCGGATATAGGAACATCCTGAAAGTCGCCGATGCAGTGTTATTGTGGTCATGACCCAGCCATATTATAACCTGCCCTGCGTAGCTGTAGATCTGTCCCATGAGCCTAACTTGGTTGCCACGCTCCTGTATATCTTCTTGATTGATACAAGCAGCGTCAGCCCAGACATTTTGTACTTCGTCCGGTAGTCGGAGGTGCTTGAGAGCGTCTTCTAGATTTGCGGTGAGACAGATTGTTCCCGATTGACAAGTAAGTAGCCGCTGATAGCTAGAATTGCCCCAGACATAGCTCAAAGCTAGAAATGTATCCTTCGCCGCGCCAAGTTCCTCGTGATATAGATCAGCACGCAACGGCTCATTTCCAACTCCAGGATGAAGGGCCAAGATGCGAATCGTTGATGCTGTCTCCAGGGGATCGTAATTGAAGCTACCAGCTTCCATGGCCTCGGCTTGGTGTTGCCGCGTGTCGTTACTCATTTCGTTCCTCGACCTCGAGTATATGAGTTATGATGCAGGGCAGTCCGGTAGATGCGATTTACAAGGACGCAAGGCAGCCCCTCTGAGGTTATGGGCTGCAACTCTTAGTCGTGTAAGGGTTTTTTTAGGGAAATAGGACACTAATGGCTAGCTAAGAAGAAGCGGAATTGTACATATACGCTAAGAACCATGCAGTATACAAAGATTCTGAGAATAGGGAGCAGTGAGGGGCAAGCTTATAACTGTGTCCGATTTGATAGGTCGAAGTCAGAATGACAGCTACCTGTCATCTGAGTGGTTTAATCGACATTCAACAAATGATAACTGTGGTACCCACTGTATGCGTTGTCATGATAATCGAACTATTCCCTTTTCGGCTGAAGACGCTCAGACTTTAAAGATGATGACTTCCTCACAATATTTCCTCCTCGATCAGAACAGAAAATATTGAATTTGAGCGAAGGAATGCGAGAATTTACATCTAAAGAAGGCACCTACGTACCAAATTCATACAATCAATCTTCCGAAAAAGAAATACTGATACAAGCAGACCTCTCGACTCTCCTCGACATTCATTACATTTCCAGGACTGATTGTGAAGTAGAAAGAGAAGCCGTTACTTCCGATTCGTTCCTCGCGCTCCGATATTGCCAGAGATCTGTCTCTGGATTATACGCCTCAATGGCGACCCCTTTGAGCTCACTTCCACTCTACTTTCCGAATTCAACTTCTTCTCGACCACGAGTACCGCATCCTCGGACTCGATGTCTTTTACTAGTTCCTTCGCGTGCTGCGTTAGATTTTTGCCATTTGGGATTGACGCAGAATCTTCAGAACTCTTCTCGGTCGCTATAGGATCCGGGACGAATCTTGCTCTATAATCGTGCGAATGATGTGAAGGGCTGGTTTTATCCGAATTTGCTGCTAGGGTCATTAGCAGATGAAGTGGAAGAGATAGTGCCAAATGTACATTCTCCGCCGTAGGCTTGATACCGCAAGATCCTACGCAAAGGGGTGTTATTGTACCGCGCTTTGATCTCCTTTAGTCTTTCTTGTTCCTGTAGTGCTTCTCTCGCAAGGCGTTTCCCTCTTTCGTCACGACTCTCACTGCGCGGATCAAGATACGCTAGATTTCGTCAGCGGTCGTTTTTCTCACAGAGATATACACCCACGCTTCTCCCCAAGTACGGCTGTTTCGATAATCTTGATACTGTTGGTAGTTGAGCCCGGAATGGATTTGTGCGCAGTACATCGGTTGTCCCATATGGCAACGCTCCCAGCTTCCCATCTGAACCGCACAGTTTGCTCATCTGAAGAATTGATCTGATACTCTAGAAGTTCAAGCAACTTATCGGACTCCTTCCTCGTTAGGTCTTCAAACGCCGTGACAGAACCAGGCGTGACATTCAGTGCTTTCAATCCGGTCACTGGATGCGTACGAACTGCGGGATGGTAGGTTTCTACCGGACCGCGGTTTGATGGCATGCCCCTGAGATTGACAATGGAGTCATCTGCGATGTATATCAGGTATTTACCAGCACGAAATTTTGAGCGTACTCACATTGAAATTTTGATGTGTGTACCGCGTCCAGGTCATCCAGGAAGCTTTTCATACGTTTGCTCAGGGCATCATACAAGCCGTATTGCGAAACCTTCCGCCATTAATAGACCATTCTGGTTCTGAAAGATTACTATCTCAACTTACCCAAACTGTGTCCGCTCCAAACCCCTCCACCTCCTCCACTCTCGCCATTGCATAGCTTGGGGGCTCCACCTCGAAGCTTCTGTCCGACGTCCATTCATTTTGCCTCCCCGATGCATATGTGAACTTCTCCCCATGGTCTTCTTTACTCCGTTTAACCTTCAAGGAACCTTGGCTTTTCTCTGCGATTTGTCTCTCCCCGGACGCTCCATAATGGTCGAAAATGTGGATTTGCTCTTCTGAAGTGAGGTCCTGGTCGCGAAAGAAAACCACACCTCGTTCTGAGACAAGCAAGGCTAATTCATCGAGTTGTTGCGGATTAAGTGATGAAAGCTGGATATCAGAGAGTTCTGTGCCGATAGATAGGTTAAGGTCGGTGCGTGTAGTGGAGGAGAGGAATGAAGAACGTTCGTCGCCCGCTGATAATCTCTCGCCTTTTTGGTTTATGGCTGCTCCTGGGGATTCTACGGTGACTCGACTCTCGATCCTGTCGTTTGAGGGTGAAGTGGGTCCTTCGGAAGTAGTGTCATACCCAGAATCCGAAGACGTAGGCCTGCGCGATCGATGATGACCCATATTGTAGTCCCAACTAACCCCAAGCACTCCGAGTGAATCTGTCAAGCTAACAGTCGACTGCGTATCCACAATCGTATCAAAGACAATCCGCTCACGAGGTGTCGCAAATGTCTTGTGGTAGAGGTTCCAACTGATCGACAGCATCCGCTCACATCTGTGCAAAATGGCTGGCGATGTCGGAAATGCGCCTTCAGCGATAGGATAAGCACATTAAAAGACATGCATGGCGTTTTGGTGCCAGCCGAGAATGGTTCGCGCCGGGGGTGAATGGGCTCGGCATGTGACTGTGATTGGACGGTGGAGCTGGGCCAATTGCGCAATTCGCGTAGGGAATCGCATCAGCATCACCACCAACCACCCTCGAATGTATCCAAATCGGAAAGCGGTTACCGATCGATGGCAGAAAGCCATTCGGCAGCTTCGCGCTTCGAAGATATTCGCGGTATTTTGACATGTGGTCAAATCGCTGATGCCCTTTGGTTTGTGCTTGGGTCCGGTGCAGCAAGACGAACATCGGCCCTATTGATGAGCGATCTGATTAGGTTAATTGACATGTTGCCAAGACTTACATAGTAGATAATTGAGTGTATCAGCATAAAGCCTATATTGTGAGAGGTAAAAGACAGTTATTGATACAAAAGAGAAAGAACTTAGTCGAGGCTCCAGATTTATGGTGTACAAAAACATGACTAACAAAGCGTGCAACCCTCTACTATGAGTAGTATTCAACAGTGGTTTTCAATCGATATGGGAAACATTCACCGATAACGCCTCGAACGAGTACCATTGGGCAACTGTGGAAAGAATCGCCCAAGCGCTTCACGGAACCGATCGCTCACATTAAACAGTGGAGCTGGGACGTTCTGCTCTTCAGCAACATATGTCGCCTGAAGTCCTTCCCCTTCAGTCCCATGCCATACTTGATTCACTGGCTGGACCTTATGGTGGTTGCGAGGTTTGATAATCAGTCTGTCTCCGCACATCCTGCTTTCGAAAACCAGTCTTGTGATATGGGCATTACGAGGAAATCCATCCTCGTTCAGATGAGGTGACGTAGGCTCCCAACGCCAAAACTTAATGTTGAACGTCTCCAGCTCACAATTTCTCGAATCATTTGCGTATGCAGTCCATACCTTCCGGATAGCGCAGTGAGCGTGATCGGCAATGTACGAGTAGAGCGATTGATCGCAAGGGTGAACTCGGATCGATATCTGAAGAGATCTGATAGATGCGATGACCGGTATTGTGTCAACGTAGTTTGTACTCTGCTCAGTTTTAGCATTTGGGACAGATTACACAGGTAATACTTACTAATGCATGCCCTTGTATTGGGCAGAACGAACACATAAATGGCATTGAAATGCAGGTGCGAAGAGCAAGATCCAATGCGAGTAGGTTAGAGAAACAAGCGAGAAGATCGCCTAGGTTGCCGTTGCAGATAGGAGCCTCTAGGTCCTGGTAACGAGCCTGAATGGAAAGACGCTCCAAATGCGGGCCGTGCACCTCCGCCAGGGACATCCAGAGACTATCTTTCAGGTTGACGGTATTGCATCGAACAATAAATTCCTTCAGTACGGTGATCGAAGCGACAAATTCGGCGCATGCAGAAAGCTTGGGTGTGTAAGTATCATATGGAGTGTAGTGTAGATTCTCGTAAATGTACGTGAACTCAAAAACCTCGAGATTGGGAAGTTTGTCCTTGAAAGTTTCAAAGAACATCTTGGGATCTGATGGGCCGAGCCTAAGGCGCCTCAGCCTTGTCCAGTTCATGCAGTGCAGAAGTTGAGCACAATGTCTCGCATCAAGATTGTAAGTCTTGGCTCGGATGTCAAGGTCCTCGAGAGTAGGCAGTACATCGCCAGGTTCTAGTGGAATTTGCACCATGTTCTTCTCTGATTCGCGCGACCGATGAGAAGTGATGTCGGCATCGGTAGATACACCTCGGTAACCCCAACGTGTATAAGACTCAACAACAACCGAGTTCTGAGTACCCTCTATGGTGAGGTCGGGTAATGGTCGTACTGTACGGTCCGGATGGACATCAAGCATTAAGCGCCGCAGATTATGACAGTGTACAAGTATCTGCTTAAGCTGTTCCCAGAGAACTGGCTTCTTATGGTCGGTAGGGTCCAAGTCTGGAAGTGAAACGGCCAAACGGTGAAGTTGAGGCGAATCTAGGAGCGCTTGGTCGAGATCATTGACAGTAGCGCAGAGCCGCACATCTGGCAAACGTTCATGTAAGATGCTCAGTAGTCCCCCGGGTAAAGGAACTTTAGAGTCCCAACTTTAAAGGCAATGGTTAGTGAATAACCAAATGACATGCCGCGTAGAGTCCAACTATCGCTCGACGATTGTGGAATCACAGACGTAGTTGAGATTACTTACTTAAACGAGCTGAGTCTCTCAAGACTGTTCAGACATGCTGCTAAGAGTTCCGTATTCATGCAAAAACTTTCATGATCGCCTCTAAATGACTTAATCTGAAGAGAACGCACATGTTGAGACAGAGCATCCCCAGGGTTGCTTAACCGCTCAATGAAACGGTACGAAGCGAGGTCATGTTGGTCATTGTCTTCCAGGATGATATTTCTGTACAGTACGGACTCGGCAAAGGCCTTCACTCGGGTTGACACAAGCCGCAGACAACACAGGCTAGATAAACGCTCAGGGGACAACTGCTCAATGTCAGTGACCAATCGTTGAACCTGGAAAGGTGCTTACATGTCGGAGAATCAAGTAAAGGACGTCGTCGCTCAAATCTTCGAAGCGAGCCATGATGGCAGATTCGCAACATTGTAGAGGAAAAGATACTCATCTTGTATGATACATGAAATAGGAATCAGTCATGCGAAGAACAAGGTTGAACAGGACGATGAGTGACGAGCAGGGTGTAGCGCCAAGGCGCCAATCCGTATACGGCGCAAGCGGATTTGAGCTTCATCATCGCAGAGCTCCGGCGGTTGGACATCTCAACCCGACAACCCACCCCTCACACGATGCAGTCACTTCGCAGGACAACAGTGGCTGCTGCCCGGACCGGCCGAACCAACCTCTCGCGCCAGCCGCGTCGATATGCGCACGATACGCACGCTCATGGCCACGGCCACGGACCCGTCAATGAGCCCATGGGGGTACGTCAAGCGTCCACCACCTTTCCGTAGCACCACCGGCGTGCTATATTCTATCGCAATACCTCAAGGGAGAAGTTACTGACTCAATTGGTTTATAGCGGGGCTTTTGGGGCACGATTGCCGTGATCCCGACCGGGTGGGCAATTTATGCCATTTCGCGAACCAACAGCGACAACACAGAACCTTTCTTTACCCGCATGATCGCCAAGTACACGGAAGCGCAGGAGCGGTGGGCGAGGAGTAATGATATACACGTTCGTCTGATTGAGCAGGCGGGTGAGGATCGAGTGCTCTTCATGAACTCAAGGCCGCAGGAGTATGTGGACATGAAGTTCCCCGAGTACGTACCAGTCACTACAGTTATCGGCCATTTTTCTCTAGGGGAATCTTTGGTGGTCAGGGAGCGTTGAGCAAGACTATATTCGCGATGGAGGGCTTGAGACTAACAATGTGCAGGATTATGAACGTCGGATCACCATACAACGTACCAGCCGGCAGCCAGGTCCCAATGGACCAAGTCATCGCAAAATACAAGAAGCTCGCATACGAAGAGAACGAGCGCAAGCTCGAGGTACTCAGGAACAACGAGATCAAGTCCGAGCAGCCCTTTGAGGGAAAGGAGCGCATTCGAAAGGCGCCTGATATGTTCTAGAACGTGACAGCATAGCTCGTCGATGTAAATACTAAAGGAATGATATCCGTTTCATTTGTCTTCAACAGCCTCTAGGTCTGGTAGAAAACCCAAGTCAACTTTTCCCCCCAAAAATACATCTCTCGAACATTAGTGGTGAAGGGGACATGTAAACACGAAAGAGCCATTTCTCTCTCTACCTACCCAACCCCCCCTCCCCTTATTGACATCCCAAGTCCTCTACTCTACCTCTCACGTCTACATAGGGTTCCGCACGCTAAATAACCACCTGAACCCTTGATCTCAGGAATTGTCCAGAACTGATACATCAATTGTTGGTGGACCAGAATAAGATGCCGAAGTCTGTAAGCTCAGGATTATCACAATTTAGAAGCTGTTTCATGGCTGTGCAGCGACTAATCTGATCATGTTAGTGGTTAAAACAGGTACGAGGTCTTAACCACCACGCAAAAATAGAACACAAAATGCGAGGCAAAATTCGAGCGCTAACAAATGTTCAATTAGAACGACCTACATGTCAGTGAGTGTTCTTTGATCATGGAAATGCTTCGTAGATTCGTTGCTGGGGTTGCAGCCCCACTTTGCACTGGCGCTAAACCGCTCTTGTAGCTAACGATGAACGATTGGCCGCAATATTCACCAACACGAAGCTGCTTTTGAAGATGGATGTTTGCAGAGTGAAGCAAAGTAATCCAAGCATGACTAATCACATTGGCGCGCAAGTCCATAGCCAACTGCTCACTGATTAACTCACTAGCCAACTGTGTACAGAGCAGCAGCAGCAGCAGCCAACTTTGCAAGACTGCAGCCAAAGCTAACAATTGTGTAGGTTTGTTTCAATCGCATCAACGCAATTGGAGTGGCCAAGGTACGTGTCTCATTAAAGAGAGTTCATAGAATTGGGCTCGATTTATCAATGTCTCTGGCTGGCAATCTCCACCAAAACTTTGTCTCACCAGCACGTTGCTTCTGTTTGCTTTGGCCTGAATGGTGTCTTCCTTTCTCAACAAGCTTCAAGATATGGATGCAGATGCTCATATGAATACAGATGAACGATAGAAAGGATCCCCCAAGAGATCCTCAACCGCGAAGCTTGCCGCTGCTCTTTAGTAAGAAGAAGAAGGATACGACCAAGCAGGTGGTTACGCTTGCTCCAGGTAAGCCTAGCGCGCTTCCCCTACGCCCCCTGCGTTTTCCAAACACGGGCGCATCCCCCGTCATGCTAATTATGCGAGCCGCGTAAACATCCAACTCTTTCTACCGCACATCTGCATTGCTTGTTCTTTCGCGCACATATCTCTGAACCACAATTGGACGAGCTTCAATGCTAACGCTGGAGAACCAAAAATAGCACCGCTGCTCCCCGAGCTCAGTTTCACCACGCGCGAGGAGAATGTCATGAACGGCTCTGCATGGACCTCAGACGACCCGCTGCATACCGCAAACGCAATCCCCCCTCGATCAGCCATCGCCGCTGCCATGCCTGCCTACACATCCTCTCGCAACGTATCCGGACCTCTAGCCGTCGAGACAGCCGTCATGGCCGGCGATCCAAACGCAACCTCACCATGGGCCCGCCCCAACCCACACAGCATCCCGAATTCCAAGACGTCGCAATACATTGATAAGATCACATCAGAGAACGACCGACTGCGGAGAGAATTGACAGCAGAGAAGCTCGCCAGAGAGGATGAAACCAAGCGAGTGTCGGCCGCACGATCCAAAGCCGAAGACTCCCGCGCCGAGTTCCAGCATCTCCAAGTGCTCGCCGACACCAATGCGAGAGCGATAGAGCGGAAGGACCGGAAGCTGGACGAGCTGAAGGCTACACTCGAGGCCGAAGCTAAGAGGAGGAGGGTTGCCGAGCAACGGGCCGAAGAAGCGCTGAAGATGCTGGGAGACACACGTTCAGAAACACAGAGGCAGCTCTCGCAGGCGTACGAAATGAAGGGCCTAGCAGAGACACAACTCGAAACAGCGAGGGATGGATTCAAGCGCATTACCGACGGCTATGAGAAGAAGATCAGGCACATCAACGAGGCGCTACATGAGCTACGGAAACAGCGGATCGAGGACGCAGACAAGATCAAACGGCAAGCCATCATCAGTGACCAGTTACACCATGAAATGACGAGGACGACACGGTCCGAGGACAGAATGACAGACATGATGGCTGCCTACAAGAGGGAGCACCGCAAAGAGATGGACGCCCTCCTGCAGGAAGCACAACGACTACGACTCGCTCTGCCAGAGAAAGAGAGGGAGGCACAGAGGCTCACTGACGATATGAAAGAAACACGCGACAAGATGCGGTGGGTAATGACCCAACAGCGGCAGCAAACGGGCAGCTGAACCTAGTGCATCCCGCACATTCTACGACTTTTAATGATCAATGTTTTTTGGGTTAGAAGGCAATCTGTACCATATCTGGATCTGGCGTTGGAATTGGACACTCATCCCCTTAGCATTCTGGGACGAGTAGGCGCCATCTGGGCATCATCAAGGGCTAGCAGGGCTTGCGTCCGGCATGTCTGTCTGTTTCTCTTGCGAGCTTGCGGTATTGAACTGCTCGAGACACCAGTCTCACCCCGACAAATGTATCTTCTCATCCGCACTGTAGATGACGATCATAATATTGCATGTTTTTTCATCGATGACCTCCACTAAACCGTCCACAAACACACTGTTGATAACGTACCTTCCTCTAGGGCGCTCCTTCCAGATCGTCTATTGACTAATAAGCGAGGCGCCGTTGTTTACACTCGCACTCATCCACCACCATCAACCTTCAACTTCGTTTCTCCTCGTTCCCGGATGCTTAGTTGACACCTGAAACACAATTTCTCATGAGCATTCACTCTTTCGAAGGACTCATTGCAGCTCGAGGACCTACTACCTTAATCAGCTTATAGAGCTTGAGCAGATGACATATACACTGGTGCAGCAACATCAATTCGAAAACGATCCCGCGGAAAGAGTTGAACGTAAAATCGAACGCATCGCAGCAAGTCACAAGTTTACATTTGCCTATTAGACTGGACCGAGGTTTACAAAAATAAAGATATCCTCAGATATCGACAAACTGAACTCCAGCAAATGCAGACAATAATCCCAAGCTCAAGATGCAGCAGCTCTTTTCTAAGTATCCCATTCTACGCCGGAAAGCCAGGGAGGTATCGAGTTCGAAAGCAGTGTCAGTCCTTCATTGAATGTCAACGAGGCTGTCAGACTAGGACCCTGTACCATCCAAACGTACCGAAGCACCAGTCTAGTTGACTGGAGTACCGCACTGTGGGCAGCACTTGCCAGGAATGACCCACACAGTGTCTCCGCGTTCGAGACAGGCAGGGCAACGACGACCAGGTACCTTCAAAACTCAGCGCTCGTTTCAAGCCAATGCAGTTCAGAAGGGTTTCACAAGACTTACCGGCATGGTGCTGATGCCCTCAACCTCGTTCATATAAGGAATGACGATTTTGTCGACTGGAGTGTGTTGGCACATGACAGTGGTTTCGAGAAGCAGAATGACAAGCGTCGATAGTCGAAGAGGGAGCGGGGCTATCTATGTGCGTGTGCGTGTGCGTGTGTGCGTGTGTGGATTAAAGGAACGTTGAAGAGATGGACTGGATATACTGCTATACGGGAGCGAGCGGGATGATGCTCCTCCCGATCAGTGGATAGGCGTCTCTTTATATATGTACCAGCTTCCTCAGCAGCGTTACAACACTAGGAGCCCCTGCTACAGCACGGCACGCTTGTGGCGCCTACACTCTCCCGATCTCGAGAAGACAACTCTTACTGTAGCGCCGGCAAGCGTTTTAGCAAGGGCATGTTGTGTATCGTTGACGATAGGAGTTTGGAAAGGTTGCGCCATGCAGTCCTACTTGGCCGCGGACATGCGGCCGAGTACATGTCAACCGGTTCTCCGGGAATGCAAGGCCTCGGGTTGCTTTTTTAGGACTCGCAAGCCTTCCGAACCCCCCGAGAACCCACCTCTTACGCGGAAGGCATGGAAGGTTCGGGCACCGAGTGCTCCCTGCCTCAAGGGACCTACAGTCTGGACACTATCAATTTACCATAACCTCGAAGTTTAATAACAGGCATCCACCGCTCTTCTGACGAGTAACGTTTGTATCCGATTAAGGTTTGAAATGGGTCAAACAACACGATCCTGATCACTAACGCTACCTAAATAGTTTGAGCATTGAGCATCTCCCGTCTTGGTGCATCTAGGCTGCTACCATACTATAGCTTTTCGTGTCCGTACTTTCACAGTGGATGGCATCTTGCGTGCAAATCGTGTTGACAACCCGCCGAGGTGCGACCTTGGGATGGGCCGATGAATGGCAAGGATTCATGTTGTCCAAACATGATGCTTATACTCGTCACTTTCTCAACTTTTCTGCGTCTGCGCTAAACAAGCCACAGCAGCACCATACCAAACCTGGATCACCAAGCAACCAGGGTCCCATACCCTTACGCGCCTCCCCATGTTGTGGAGCATCATAATTTGTGGATGCTCAAATGAGTAGAACAAGAATTGTGGAACTATCGACTCCGATTCTAACGTCTTGTCGTTCTCTTTTCCCCGGGGTGGCTGTTTCGCTTACCTCTTTCAGCTAATGCAGATGGCCTCAATTGTGGCACGTCAAGCGGCCACTGATGTACACAGCCTACTCAAGTTCCACACATTCAGCCGGAGATCCCATCGAGTTATGCAGCTATATGCTAAGCTTCTACGATCGGTGTTAGCCACTTTTCGTCGTTCCCACCACTCACAACCGTTAACATGTACCCCGGTACCTGTCACGCAGGCCTGGGTCCACCGCCCAACAACATGCAAGGGTAACTGCCGTTATCTTCAGACTCCCCGGTGTGCTTCTGCGACTTCGATGTATAATATGCACATGATATAGTACAAAAGAGTATCCTTACAACATCAGTCTCGTCGTATCGGTATTCTAGAAAGGAACCATTTGCGATCCATTGCGAAACTTGCGCTTTTCTTGAAGAGGCTGACATATCGATCAATCAACATATGTTACCTGCTTGATGCGAAAGGTGTCTGCATAGGGTAGGAAGATATCACCGACCAGATTCCTCTGGTTATGGCGCTTTAACAATCAATCCCCAAAATTCCCTTACATTTGTATGCTGACGTTTGCCCAAACTCACGCTACTGCGAGGCAGACAGTCATAGTGCTTTTTGGAGGCTCGGCTGAACGCACAAATCGAACGTTTAGCACATCGTTTCTCATCTGGTATCTGGCTTCGGCTCTACTCTCGGTCTCAAAACAGCCGAGCATCACGAATCTCGGGACTTGATCAAGGTGGCACCATCGAAGCTGAGTCGGTCTGACAAGAAACGCCGCAATCGATCGAACACGCTACGTCCTTGGAAACAGTTTGCCTGTTCCGGGACATGCCATGCAACAGATATAATCTCACCGCTCAAACAACAAGGTTGCTTCGGCCCAAAACGAGCTGATACGTTTGGAGAAGTTTCATCTACATAGCACGTCGCTGCTTCAACTACAGGTCGCTTTCCCAGGGTGCATACCCAGCATGAAAATTTACGTAAACGGGGTACATTTCATTGACGGAGATGTCTCCTTGATATCTCATTGCTCTGGATGCGTTGAAAGACTATTCCGGGAAGCAAGCTATGCTATGTTTGAACAGATTCGCGGCTAGAAATATAGCGAGAGAGCGAATGGATGTTAGCAGTCAATGGCTAAGCGCACGGCAGAACGAGGATGGCAAATAACGTAGCTGTTCTGCCTATCATACTGGTAAGCTAAGGGTAGTCCCGTCTGTCAGGCCAGAACGAGTGATAAACTAGCGATCTTAACCGCTCGGAAGCCATGGCCCTGTAGTTTCCAAGCCTATCACTCGGCAAGCGTCAATCTCCTCTTCTAAATAAAGGGAGAGCCGCTACCTAGCTAATTGGTCCGTTTGATAGTTTGTGAAGGCCTGAATCGAAATGATGGCTCAACAAATCGCTCCACATACGTCCTCGACTACGATTGACAGGCCGCGTCTCATGTGCCTTCGAATTCCCTCTATTGGCCTCGTGACAAGGAACACAGACACAGCGTTAGACGCGGTTCGCCTTGACACCGTACCTGCGGAGGAGATACGTTGCACCCAAGGCTTCAGAACACCGAATCAACGCAATCCTACGCATGATCATCCAGTCAGCGAACCACATCCGCGCGGTGGTGTAAGCTCGAGGTCAACACGTTAAGACAGGGACCGGGGCTTCTTCTGACCCGTTCTACAGTCGGAGCTTTGAAATACCAGTTTACTTCTTTATCCGCCTTTGCCGCGATGGTCTGACGCTGGCGGGATCCACGCACTGGGTCCGATCTCCCGAGGCCATGCATACTAATTAGACGTAGGGACATAGGTCCGGGCGAATTTCATAAACATCATCCAGTCCCGTTCCCAAGCGATCGACCGACTCGGTCCACCAATAAAGTCTGAACATGGGTCTAATCACCTTTGCCTCTACTATTTCAGTACTCGTTCCAAGAGGTCACACTATGAGTGATTGTGCGCCGCTATTCATATCCCTACAACCTTACCCAAACGGCGGGAACATGGCCTCCAATACTATTCATTGGACGTATCTTAATCTGTTCAATCAGTAACGCAAGGCGCCATTTGGTGGGAGTACATATGCATATCATGGTTTGTGCCTCAGACCAGCGCCGCGATCGGACAGATTGAGGATAAAGGAGCGTAACACTCAATGACGAAACCAGATTCTCCGATGTGGCCCACACCACACGAATATTCTCACAGCACATAAACAAGAAGACAGCTAATTGGCCTTCGGCACCAGCCCAGTCGGGATGACGATTCTTTTCAAAACCAATTGAAGTTTAAGGAGAGACAACCATTCACTTTCATTCAGTTGGCGACTTCGAGGTCTCGGTGCCTCCACGTGATTGCTCTCCACTCATCGAGAAGGTTTGGATTCGAGTGCCTGGTGCAGCAGCATTTTCATTGAGCTATGCCATTCGAGTCGCTTTCAACTAACAGAGCTTGCGTGCCTAAAACTCTCTACGTGCAATTTGTTAGGCATTTTGGCATGCTTCTCGCCTACAATCTCCCATTCGAACCTACTCGCATCGTACGACAACGTGCGTTCGTACACTCGTCGGGTCCATGTCATCGGGACCGGTACCCACCTGGGGCTTCGCAAGAGGTCCCGCAGAGAAATTCGACGCCAACGCCGTCAATACGAACTATAGTAAACATCCATTATAGAGAAGATACATACTTTATCAACCAAACTAAGGCTTTCAGTCAGCTCCCATCAGAGGACCTCGATGGGCCGACTCAACTCTACCGACAATCCATACCCCAATGGGACCGAAGCATGGCATGCTTGTCTGAACACGGCTTCATGCGGCCGCTTTGACGACCCCTCCACGTAAAGTTATACAACAGCAACCACAGCCGTCGCATTGGTAATACCGTGAGCCAGTCTCCAACCCAGGAACCTGTTCCGTTTGGCCAGTCTCCACACCTGTTGGCGAAGGTGGGCATGCCATTGTGGCGACGATGGCTGGCTGACTGACTTTGTGGAACACAAGACACACGTATGCAACGTTTGGATCGGAAATTACACGCGGATGGGAGGGCTGGCACGTGTCACGACGAGAATGAATCTGGTATATGCTACGTTTTCGACATTATGCTTATCGGTCAATGCTGCGCATACAACACATGTCTTCGGAGCGGTGAGCTTCATGCGCTGGTATGATGCTACGAGGGGCGTACACACACATAGAGAAAGAGGGATGGAGGTAGGGGCATCATTGATGACGATCGGTTCAGCCCTGGCAAGTGTGCCTAGAAATGGAAATTCTGTCTCTACGGTTACCGGGGCGATCTAGATGGGCTTTAGGATTTCTTCTTCTCACTACACTCCCTATACCATCGTTACTAATCGTAAAGCTAGCCCTTTTTAGAACGGTGAATTGACATCATCGCATCTCCTCTATGTGTGTCTTTATCTCAGCGAGGTCCTGAATCCTAGGTGTAAGTAAATAAGGAACCCGTGGGAGTGATTAGTTATTTGAGTAGAGGGGGCGAGGACAAGGGATTGACAATACGTTTACAACATTACATGACATGACGCTGCTATATCATCGTTTCATCCATCTCCCTTTCACGGGACATGGAGAACAACGTTACTTAGTTTCGTAAGAACAAATATTGTACGCATGCACTATAATTAATATGCTTAGACAATAAGTAGCTGAGGTTTTCACTGCAAGACAGCACATCAACGACATCGAGTACGAGAAGAACTTTGTTGATCGGAGTATTTGTAAGGGTATTGACAGTGGGTAAGAATATCATATGTATTCCAGAGCAGGTTCAGTGGTATCGATGCTAAGATAGGTCGTAATCGCGACCCTGGATGTATCTAACGGGAGAGGGCATGCACAAAAGGAAAGTCATCGTCTACACATGGCAAAAGAAAAGCTGCCCCAGACCTCGCTAGTTCGACTGACTCAGCGAGAAGAATGGCCGGGTCGATTAGGGCCCCTTCGTCCACAATACCCACCGCAAGGCATGGGTCTATGTCCCTCGCTCCCATGGTATCGGTTCCGGCGATGATGACGATCGGAAACGTCCTCGCTGAAAACGTTTCCGCGAGCCAATCTCCGCCCTATCGGGAACAACTAGACATGCATCAGTATGTAATACCTCTCGCCGAGGGTGAGCACAGCGGCGGTGGTAATGAAGACGCCATGCAAGGAAGCATGAATAATAACAATAGTCATGGGTGAATCGCTGTAAAGCTGCTTCAAGCCAGACTGACCGTCTTCCTGATCCGCACCAGCAGCACTCCTTTGGTAATCACGCCATTTGCATCGTAGAGATGCAGCAATCGGAGGCCAGGCTGCAGACGATCGAGGCGGAAGCACGCCCACGCGGCGAGATCGTCGCTGATACGCTCGTCGTCCATGACTTTGAATCTGTGTAACCCAGGTTAGCACAATCAGACAATAAGGCTGTAAGAGGATAAGAGAAGAGGAGCGAATGGATTGACCAGGAGGCTTTTCCGGCGGTGGGAGGCTGTAGTCCGTAAGACAACGTCGAGGGCGATGGGAAAGTGACCGCCGTGATATTGGCTGGTTTAACGTGCCACCTTGGGAACTGCAGCCAGGCGGTCGTGTAAGACCTTAAGCCGGGTAACCGGGTGCTGGTGGCTAAAAGTCCGAACCGTGCGTTGCCTAGATCTTGAAGGAGTGACGAGGCGTGAACGCCAAACCGGGTTTAACGGCAATATGCATGACATGCAGCAGCGTTGGCGCCAATCCCAGGTGTCGCACCCAGCATGCAAAGCTGGAATGTTTTGGATCGCTTGTGTAATTGGTGAAACGTGGAAAGCTGCAACGTCGATGCAGTGATGGCCAAACCCGGGTCGTCGACGACGGATTCGCCGATTCCGGCAGATGGTCCACTTTATACGGGATGATGCTTGCTTTCATGGCGACGTACACTTCCTGAATATGGGAATAAAAAGCAGGTCAAACTCACCTGACAAAGGTCAACTCATCCGAGGCGCCGTGTACACCCTCAAATTTAACAATCTCGCGTCCGAAGTCGGGATTTGTGGTCCGATATGTCTTGGTTTTCTTCTTGTACTCGCCCTTCTGGCTCCTACCATTACCAGGAACAGGCTCAGCGTTGCGCTCTTCGGGTTTCTCGACATGCAACTCGACCTTGATGAACGGCTTGAAATCCTTGGGATCATCTTCTTCAGGCGGTAATGGAATATCTTGCCCCGCAAGGAACTCGATGCTCAGGTCGAGATTGTGGTGCGCGATCGCAGTCTTCTGTGTTACTTCCTGGCTAGTGCTGCGATAGCCTTCTGGCTTGAGGACCCAGCCAGCAGTGCCTGCGAACATGGCTTCGTTCTGCATCATGCCACCATCCCAGCGTTGCCAGTTGAGTGCTACTATCTGTACACCGGCGCGCCAGAAGACAGATGGGTTCAGGTTGGAAGAGTTGAGGCGAAGCCCCTTTGGATATGCGCGCATGAAGAAGTGCTTGTTGTGCGTGAACAAGCCAGCGGGGTTTGTTTCGTGAACCTCCATCAGCGACTTTTCAGATAGGGAGAAGACGTGGGTAGGTATGCTGGCCTCTGCTTTGGTATTAGCACGTTGTAGTAAGCACATGGCTAGACCGCCATCATGGTCATTGTGTATACGGCGTCAAATGAGAAAATAAATGGTACTTACCGGGTGCATCAAGCCCCTTGAAGTGATAGCTCCCAAAGTACACTCCCAGGTTCGACAGCGCTTCAATAACCTTAGGCTTCGGTTCTGATGGCTTCTTCTCGCCTTCGGGGGTTTCATCCGACGATGTTACGGACGAAGCCACTGAAGCAGCACTTGTAGTATGCGTGAGGGGCGGTGCTGGCGCTTGTAGAGTGGTAGGTTTTGCTACATCAGGTGCAGGTTTGGCGTGCGAGGCACGCTTCACCTTTACAAGAATCTTGTTCTCTAGGTCTTTCAGAGTCGGCAAGCTCGTGTTCTCTGAATTTTGGGCAGGATCTAGCGGCAGGTCAACCAGCAGACCCTTCCAGTACTCGTTCATGAGTTCGACCATTATCTCCTGCTGTTCGGGGCAAGTATGTACTTCGAGGCTGACAATGAGTGGTAGACTCGATGTTCTGAACGCGTAGTCTCTGATGGCAGCACACACTGCTCGAAACGACATGTCCTTGGTTAAGGTGTAGCCATGCAATACTCTCGGTTCGGCTCTCCAGGAAGAGGTTGAACGCCAGGGCTGTATTCCTTGATCACCATCCCGAGTGGGTGATGACGGCTCCTTTGGTTTGTCTTCAGGAGATGTTCCTTTCTTTCTGAATCTGAGCTCAAGTCTCTTGCGGATACTAAGCCCTGACTTCTCTTTCTTAGCTGCAGCGCCAGGGTTGCCGCGGGCAGCCTCCTCATCCGAGCTCGAATCTGAGGGTTCTTCTCCGTCCCACACGTCAATCTCCACACAGCGACAGCCTCGAAGAAGGACGTTCTTGTATGCATCGACGCTCGACTCGCTCGACAGTTGGTTGCCAGTGAGGTATGTGTTGTGGCTCGACGAGATGAAGTAGTTGGAGATGGGATACGATTCGTCGACAGCCTGCGCAGGCTTCATAACGTTGGCGGCCCCAGACAGGAAGTAGTTTGCAAAGTGGGAGAAGGAGCCATCCGCCAGCAGTTCCGCATCTTGCGCTGAACATTGTTGTTCATCCGTCAGCCAGCGTGTCTGTCCCTCCTTGGTCGTGAGCTGGTACTTGTTCACGAGCTCGTCGTGTGCCGTTCTCAGGTGCTGGACGAGGAGTGGAGATAGCGCATCGACAACGCGGGCTTTCGGTGCGGCCGATGCTGTACCTCCACCTGCCTGGAGCTGTGGCTCGTCAAGCTTCGGGGCGCCGACCTTTTGGTCCTTGGCTGGCATCGTCATCGTGAGGGTTGTAGGGAGAAAGAGAGGTGTCTGCGGTGTGTTGGAGGTTTGAGGCCTGGGTTCAGCTGGCTGTGCTTATGGGCGGGTGGCAGTGCTTGCGTGTCCAAACCTCCAATGTCCTGTCATGCGAATAACGTAATAACAAACCCCGAAATATGAAATCAGCTCACTCGCCAGACCTCAAACACGCAATGTGAGGTCTGACAATGTTTGTTGTGGAGAGCGGGACCTACGAGTGAAGTGCGGCCCGCGACGTGGAAGTGGGCTGGCAGCCCTGTCGTCAGTCAGCTCGAGCCTACCTTGGCTGCCGCTATCCGTTTGATCGACCAGTCAGGCCGATGGCAGCTGCCAGAGAATACTTGCTTGCGTATGACACGCGACATCATATGCATCATGGGGAGAGATACCATGAATTTGCGCTCGTCTCCCTGATCTTGTTACAAGCCAGAGGATGCACGCTGACATGTGCCCTTGCAGCCTCGCCAAGCCCGTCGACGTCACAGGGTCCAAAGTCGGGACCTGATCGTCCAAGCTTCCTACGTCTTGCTGAGTCTCTAACAAACAGCAAACAAACTATGGCCAAGTCGCGCAGAGAAGCTGAGACTGAGGTGAGGTCTTGGGGTTTCAATCACGTCTTCACCTGGACAGACAGCCCGTAAGCGTTCATTCACTAAAGACAAGTCCCCACCACAGTGATATTAACCGCTCTACAGCAATGCACACTATCCACCACACAAGCACAGTGGCATGACAACCCACCTTGTACTCAACGGCTCGATAACATATGCATACCCTGACGATGAAGAGCCGAAAAGGGAAACAATAGGCCCTGGCGCAAGATGGGATGTCGACGCGAAGCGCATACATGAGGTTTGGGTGGGCCAGGAAGGATGTACTTATGTCATTGGAGAATAATTGCACATGAAGCGATGCTCGTGAACTGTATACATCAAAACTCAGCCTAGGAAGCCGTGCTGTCCCAAATACTTGATCGCATCAAGCGCTGTTTCATCCGCCTTGACCAATTCCTGCTCCACCATCATCTCAAACAGCCCTATCCGTTTCTCCTCCTTTCGCGGATGCTCGAACTTGCACTTGTTGCTATAGCTACATCTCCCATGCCGCTCCCAATCGGAGCAAACCTTGGGCTTTCCTGGCACGGGTCGGGGTAGGGCTGGTGGAGGCGCAGGTCGTGGAACGTTGATCGGCGGAGGACCGACCTTCGACGACGTCGCTTCTGGAGCTTCGTCGCTTTCGTCAGATTCGGATTCGGATTCGTCTGATGACTCCTCAGAGCTTGACGCCACGGATGATTCCGAGAGCACGGAGCTCTCAGAGTCTGACTCCGTCTCGCTGTCATACCCAAGCCCTAGGTCGACAGTCGAGGACTTTGCGTTTTTCGCCAACATGCTCTCGTGAAGCTTCCTCCGTAGCGCTGCTAGCTCTGCCTGTCTTCGCATATCGTCATCCGTCTTTTTCTTGTTCGGTTTTCTCTCATCGCGAATCTTTGCGGGTTTATCCTGCTGAGTCGACGTCTCCGACTTCGGTGCCTTTCCTTTTAGCTTGCGCAAGAAGTCTAATTCACTCATCCGCTTCATCGCAGCTACTTCTGCCTTCTCCAAGATCCTCTTTTGTGTCGGGAAATTCTTCCTTCTATCTTTAATCCATGCAGCAACCTCCGCAGCAGTTCGTATTGAGATTTGTTCGCCTTCATGCTCGAAAGCAAAGCCTCCGCCAGCGAGCTTCTCAGCATATTTAGCTTCTTCATCGATATCTTCCTCGTCGCTGCTCTCCTCGGGCAGAGGGTGTTTAGTGAGTCCCAAGTTGACTTTGCGCTTCTTCGCATCGGTTTTGGCCTTCCCTTTTGATATCGTCAATGGTCGTACGACAGAAGGCGTGGGTAGCGAGAAGCCAAAACTAGGAACGGGTGGGGGCACAGCAGCTTTCGCCCGTGGCGGCTTCGTGCTTTGTTGCGGTGGTTTTCGTTGCGACTGCGACTGTGGAAGACTGTTGCGATCGTTAAGCTTTCGCTTCTGGCCTGCATGCTGGGGTGGGGAGTATCGAGGCACTGGTTGCGCATGATGGTGTGGAGGTGACTGTGAGTACTGGGGTGCAGTATTTCCCGCACTTGCCATATGGTTGGCGAACGCGGCCATGGACTGCTGTCCAGCGGGTGTAGACATGAACGACATGGCTTGCACGAGAGCATTCGGATCAACTTGTGACTGCGCTTGTCCTGTCGATGGCGACTGTGATACGAAGGAAGGGTTGACGTAGGCTCTCGCAGGGGGTCCAGTCGGTGGTGCATTCGTAGGTAGAGGAGCGTGTTGGTACTGCTGCTGCCCATAGCCTAGGTTTGAGCCACCTCTTTGGTATCCACCTCCTCTGTTGTTCTGATAGCCTCCCCCTGAGCCTCCTCTCGGGCCGCCTCTGCTGTTTGTAGCTCCGCGCCCATTGAACTGCCCTTGTCCGCCTCTTGCGTTTCCGCGGAAGTTCTGACTGCCGCCCCCTCGACTTTGTCCTCCTCCTCTCCCCCGACCTCCATCAGCCCTGCCTCTGCTGTGACCACCCCTCTGACTTGCGTACGGTTGCTGGCTATCGCTGGACGACGAGGCTTTCGGCGGCGGCGGCGGTGGAGGTGGGAATTTGAACGACGTCATCGTCACCGTTTGATAGGGTTAGGTCTGATGAAATGAGAAGAACATAATTTCACATCCTAAAGGTTGAACTGACATGAAAGGAGAACTAGAGGCAACAACAGTTCCAGATTGTTTTCGAGATGGGACGCGACGCGGAAGTCCGACCAGTTCTCACAAAAAGTCTTATCGATAGTACTAGTGCAACGCTAAGATCAATTCCGCAGCCTCACCTTCTCCAATCACTTGAATATGTCGCAATAACCCTCCTCGCCAGCCTCTATACTCATGAAGCCTCCAAAGATACAATCATGTTCATACTCGTAAGTGATTCTCTGTCTTTGAATACGCGTAGTCTCTCCGTATAACGTACCCTTCAACGGTACGAAAGAAAAATCGAGCTAGCTACAAAAACACATTGGAACATGAGCTACACGCTATAAAACGATCTCATCCGGCAAGCTGAAAAAAGCAATGTCCGAGTTTTAATCATAAGACTACTACTCATGATTGCACAACAGTCACTAACAGTCTTAGTCCACTATACAAGACTTGATACAAGTCAAACCCCAGGACTTCAACAAGCCTAGCGCCCAAGCTATCAAAGATGTAGTCAACGAGAAGTACAGCAACAAAATCATCCCTGGTATCGGCCTATGTATATGCATGTGGGACCTTCTCTCAGCAACTGAGGGGCTGATCGGCCACGGGACCGGGCTCGTCAACGTAAAGAGTAAGCCCATTCTACCGCTCAATCGCACCGTATGTCCTCTGACATCCTACAGTCGAATTCCGCATGTCTGTCTTCCGCCCCTTCCGCGGTGAGATCATTTACGGACGCATCAAAACTTCAAATCCAGATGGCATCATTCTCGACCTAGATTTCACGTCCGAGGTCTTCATTCCTTATCAGAACCTCTTCGAAAACTCATCCTTTTCTGCCGCTGAGAATGTCTGGGTGTGGAACTCGGATGGCACAGAGCTCTTTCTCGACAAGGGCGAGCCAGTGCTGTTTAGGGTTGAGCAAGAGGAGTGGATTGACCAACGGCCAACTATCGTGCAAAAGGACGAGAAGGGTGAGATTATTGAGGAGAGGGGTACGGCTTGGAGGCTTGTTGTGAGTATCTAGCACCCTTACATTCTTCCTTGATATACTAATGTCTGAAATAGGGCTCGATGAATCAGGCTGGTCTAGGCCCAACGCTGTGGTGGGGCGAGCAAGAAGAAGAGGGTGAAGAGGGTGAGGATGGTGATGTCGAGATGGCGGGTGCGGAGGAGTGATTATCCAGCACGACATGCATTGGGCGGCGTTGATATTGAAATAATTTTGGTTGGCCAAAATTACTTTTTCTTCCCGCGCTTTACCTTTACTTGAATGTCTAATCCACACCAACAGCACATTTATCGGTCAGCTAAAGCTTCCTCACATCTACTTCTTTCAGGACTGATTGCAAAATCATGCCTACCTTCGACGTGGAATTCCAGTTGTCAAAGATCGTAAGAGATGGTACCAAGACGAGCAGCAGTGATTGCCAGCGCATCATGATTCTATTTACACCTTCATTTATAAAATTTCTTGCATGTGCTATTGCACTACCCCTCCAGTTTACTCTAGTCGGTATTGCGTGTTGGGGCGCTCAGGGCGTGAAGATTTTGTGACCTTCGTAGGTAAGCGTCCCGAAAAGGAAACCACTGCCCGAGCCTCGGTATCTTCTCCGCTTCCTCAAAACCCCACAACTCGCTCGACGACGCCATGAGGCACGTACTGCCGCGCAATCTGTGCAGAGCCGGACCGAAGAGAAACAAAAGAACCATTAGATTCTGATTTCCGTTCCTCGATCCTTCCTCGACTTTAAACTGTGTTACGAGTCCTCGCGATACTATCGGCTTCGTGGTAGCGCTCTCTGAACTTTGAACCGGACGACGTCTTACAAAAGTGCATACTACTCTTCTACAACCATCGATATGCCATCATACACTTCAATACATCTGGCCGAGCGGCCACAAAGCCACATCATCGCCGGAAAGACATTTACACCCAAAACACATGCCATTCCCACCGCCTCCTCCCTCCAGGATGGCGAAGTCATCTTCCAGACGCTCTACCTCTCCCTGGACCCGGCAATGCGCGGCTGGTTGAACCCCACACGCTCCTATGTTCCACCTGTTGAGATCGGCGCCGTGATGCGCGGAAATGGCATCGGAATCATTGTCGCTTCCAAGTCAAAGAAATTTCCCGTTGGTACTTATGCGACAGGAATGTGCGGATGGTCAGAGTACACTGTACTGAAAGAGAAGTTTGTCGAGCCACTCGATCTTCCTGAAGGCGCGGTACCTACGGACGCTCTGGGCGTCTTAGGCATGACCGGCTTGACTGCGTACTTTGGCATCTTGGAGATTGGCCAAGTCAAAGCGGGAGACTTTGTAGTTGTGAGCGGTGCGGCAGGTGCTACGGGAAGTGTAGTCGGTCAGATTGCCAAATTGAAGGGTGCGACCGTTTTGGGTCTTGCTGGCGAGGATAGCAAGGTTCAGTGGTTGAAGGAGGAGCTCGGCTTCGATGACGCGCTGAACTACAAGGACCCGGATTTCGCAAAGAAGTTCAGGGCTGCAACGAAGGGACTCATCGATGTCTACTTTGACAATGTGGGTGGAGAAATTCTGGATCTGGCGCTGTCGAGGGCAAAGCCGTTCAGTCGGTTCGTCATGTGCGGCGCTATCAGCGAATACAACAACAAGAAGCCGCAAGGCCCCAAGGTACGTCTTCTGCATTCCACCCCTCAAGTCAGATCTCACTGCTTACACTTCCAGAACTACCTCATGATCATTTCCATGCGTATTCGCATGCAAGGCTTTGTTGTCTTCGACTTCGCAGACAAGTACACTGAGGCAAGGAAACAGCTTGCTCAGTGGCTATCAGAAGGCAAGCTCAAGAGGAAAGAAACTATCATTGAGGGCGGTATCACGAAGGCTGAAGAAGCACTGGTTGGGCTATTTGAAGGCAAAAATACTGGTAAGTCTACTGTCGCTCTAGTAAATGGACGATACTAACTAGTTACAGGTAAAATCATGGTTCAGGTTGCGAGTCCAGAGGCTGCGAAAGCTAAGTTGTAAAATAATCACTGTTGCTCGAGAATTATATCTGTAATTAAACCACCTCTGCATATGCTAGTATCATTAATTACTCCCAAGAAAAGTTTAACTAACTTTGACTTAACTGTGTGTTACGAGTAAACGAGTTCTCTGGGGGTGCTATGTAAATCGGAAGAGCATAGAGGGGCAGATTGTCATTGTCTCCACATGTCTGAAAGCTCAACTTAACTTGCATAACGTTCAATATCCCAGTACAAGGACTACATTTCTGCGAGCTATACAAATGTCGCACGTCGATATGAATCTACCCCCAGCTTTGCCTTTCTTAAGCCTCCCTACCCTCATGAGGGCGGTACTTGCATTGGGCTATATATTCTCTTGAAGGCAATGGGAGAAGCTAGTGTCACTCTAAAGGTATTAGAGCTGGTAGTAGCATTATACGAAGCCCACAGTTTCATGATGTCGGTTCCACTGGACAAGATCTCTGCCATCTTTAAGCGTGTTTAAACTCTGACTGTCAAACGCATGACAACTTAGCATCATTTGGGCCTGTATGGATCTGGACCACAGGTGAACTTAAGGAAAACAACGTCCCCAGCTCTGCATACCTTGACTATCGGCCCAATGGGATCTTGGCCCGCTAGATACATCGTTACCAACATCGTCCAGGTCTGACGAACCTTGAATTATTCGCACCTGCACTTTTTGACTCGACCTTCATGACATTTCTTGAATTATGTAAAGGTACTCTACGACACTTGACCTTGGGGGATTTGAACACAAGGTCATAGAAACCTATACTCGAGGACCTTCAAGATTCGAACTTGAGACGCTGGAGATTCGCGATATCTCTCTTTCTCTCGTGGTTCGTAGAACTGGAATCATGCTCACGATCTGCCAGGTTGAATGCGAGCTCTCCACTTTCGGAGCTAAACATGTCCGATGCAGACATGGCAGGGTTTTTGCGTAGATGGCAAAATACCCATGCATGGCGATTTCATGATTTACTACGGTGCCTTTCTGGCAGGCAGCTGTTTCAAACCAAAGAAGAAAGATTCGGCTTCACAAAGCGAGGAGTACAGTCCAGCGACCTTGTCTGCGTGTTCAATGGAGCACCGGTCGTACATATCCTCAGAAATGTGGGTGATGGGAACAACGAAACGCAAAGGCGGCATTTTCTTGGGACGCTTATTTCCATGATTTGATGAATGGAGAAGCTGACGAGATGGAGATGGAGATGGAGATGGAGATGGAGATGGAGATGGAGATGGAGATCGAGGCGAGAGATATTGTGCTAGTGTGACTGCAATCGCTCGGGGGGAGGTTATCTGGGGCTACAACGGGAGATGTACCGCGCTATACCCCCTTTGGACATCATCTGCACGCGGAATTTCTAGAACGCCCGACGATTTTGACTCCACATGCAAATGTACTCAAAACTTGACTTTCACCACGACATGTTATGCTACGAAGCCTGTCCCGCACGATAACACGAGCCATGGCTTCCAACGAGCCCGCACGCGTACCTATCCCCAAAAATGGCGTCGACTACCGAGGCAAAGTGGTGCTTGCGCCCATGGTGCGCTCCGGTGAATTACCCTCACGATTGCTGGCGCTGAAGTACGGCGCAGACTTGGTATGGGGGCCCGAGACGATCGATCGCGCCATGATTGGTACCACGAGACGCCTGAATCCGCACACGTCGACTCTAGAATTCTCGCGCCTGCCGACTTCCAAGCTCAAAAACCCCACGCTCGATCCGCATAATCGCGAGAGCGTCATATACCGTATACACCCGGAGCTCGAGAAGGGCAAGCTGATATACCAAATGGGTACAGCGAATCCGGAGCTAGCCGTGCAGGCGGCAAAGATGGTTGCAGGGGATGTCGCGGGCATTGATATCAACTCGGGATGCCCCAAGCCTTTCTCGACAGCGGGAGGCATGGGCGCAGCACTTCTCAAGACCCCAGACCTGCTTTGCGACATCTTGACGCGCTTAGTTGAGGAGGTGGGCAAGCCGTACGAAATTGGCATCAGTGTCAAGATACGCATCTTGGACCTGCCAGAAGACACAGAAACGCTCGTCAAGCGGCTGGTTCGCACAGGCATCACTGGGCTCACAGTGCACTGCCGCACAACACCCATGCGACCCAGGGAAAGGGCCATCCGACACCAACTTAAAATGATTGGGGATATATGCAGGGAAGCTGGTGTCGCATGCATTATGAACGGCGACGTCATATCACGCACAGAAGCTCTTCAGCTTATGGAAGAGTTCAACGTTGACGGGGCCATGATCGCGACCGAAGCTGAGAAGAACCCCAGCTGCTTTAGACCAGACGCAGAGGGCGGACCCCACGAGTGGCGATCGCAGTGGAAGACCGCGGTAACCGACTACATGCGCTTCGCACTACTAGTGGAGAATCGATGGGGAAACACAAAATACCTACTAGGTCAGATGATTCCTGGGAAGGACAAGGCATATAAGGCAATGAACAGCTCGAAGTGTTATGTCGATGTTATCAAGGCGCTCCGTCTAGAGGATGTGGATGGTATGCTGGATCAAGCGAAGGTGGTCGATGGGCATCTAGGCATACCAACGCAAGAATCTCGCGCTTCAAAGAGGGCGAGAGTCAAAGAAGCGGTAAAGCAAGAAGCCGATACCAACGAGCAGAAAGATACGCGGAATGATAATACCGAAGACGAGCCTGAAGCGAAGCGCGTCAAGGGTCCAGAGGCAGCGACGGAAGTTCCAATTGCGGCCCAGCCTCAAGAGATAGTTGCTCCCGCCGCACTGAGTGTATAGACCTGAGTATGGGGTGGCTTTGGGACGCGGATATATGGAATGGTGGGGCATTGCTAGGCGTTTGAGCATTTACAGGCGGAGCGATATTCCTGCACGATGGCACTGGCAGTCTTGACGGGTACAGAATCAATCAATGACTCTATAGTTCTTTTCCATCCTTATAGGCACACGCCGTTACTTTTTGTCGTGATTGTGTGGATGTATCAGTAGGCTTCCACATGGCACAAATTGATGATGTTCCTAATCACAACTGCATTGTTCTAATCAACTTTGCCCATTTTCACACTTTCTCTTAGAATCTCAGGGTGGCGTGGTCTCGATCTCATTTTCTAATCAAGTGACCATCCACACTTCTTGGCGTGTGATTATCCCACACTGCGATTCCGCATGCTCAGCCATGACGCTAGGTGTTATCAGATGCGTCCGTATATGCACATTGTTCAAGGCAGAATCGGCAGCCACCATGGTTCAGGCGGCTATTCAAAAACAAGGCGACGAGAGCTAGAATCTATCGGGAAACTTGAAGCCACAACAATCCTGTGATAACCACAAGATAAAATCTCAGTGCACAAGAAATATCGTCTTGTTTCTAGAGTGGTACTAGAGGCCTTGTATGCGAAGGTCAGGTTGACGACAAGGGTTCACCGGCCCAGCAAAGCTAGTAAAGCGTATTCGACTGGCGCTTTTTGAGTCATATTATTTGTTCACCTTTAGTATAGTCACAGGCATTGCATTAGAAGTCCTCGTACTTCGCACTGGATACACGTCTAGTATGATCTCCAGCCTATTGCGTGCCGATGTTCAATCTCAAGGCTGAAATGCGATCTTAGGGTGTAGCTCCACAGCCCCGCAGCACAGCCCCCGAGCTCCATGCACCAGTGATCCTCCGATCTATAAAGTGGATATACGATCTTCATGATATTAAAGTGAGACTAGACTCGAACAGAAACTCTCCAGTAAAATCGCGATGGTGCTCTCAATCGGTTTGTATAACCCGCCGATTGACACAACGGGTCGCGAAAGTACGTTAGCCACTATTCAATCCCTCGTCACTTCCTAATCCGTAGCAGAAAAATCTACCATATCAAAGCCATCATCAGCGGCAGAACTACCTGTTCATACTTCAAGCACCATCAAGCCTTCCAAGCGATCGAAGTTGAACCCGTTCAGTAAAGGGCAAGAACCTCGTGAGGACAAGGCGCGATTGGTCGAGAAGACTGAAGCCCAGATCCAGGAGGAACAGAAGAACAAAGAGCTTATCATGAAATACCGCAATATGAATGAAGAAGAGGTAGAGAAGTACCTAGACGAGAAGAAGAATGGCAAAGATGGTATGAATTCGGAGCGGGGTCTTCGAGCACTAGGTGCTGCGCTCGCTCCGGTTCGATTGTTCTGAGACATCGAGTAACGTTGTGCAAAGGTATTGGTACTAGGATTGAAGGGGGTGCAATGGGTGTCCCGGCGTTGAATTTCACTTTGGGTTAATGAGATTTGTGTCGTCGTGAAAGTGCACACTGCGTAACTCCGTTGAACGGCCATTGGTAGAAACAAATTGATTCAGTGGCTGTAGTAAAGAAGCAGTTGCTGGATTCAAAATGGCCTCTGCTGTATGTACAGACGAGAAAAGTATACTATTCAAGGCCCAGGTAGCAATACGTGGCGATGTGTTGAGACATGAGAATGGGGTGGAAGTACTGATCATTGAGCTTGATTTACCGGAACTCGATCTGATATATCCGCACTGGCGAGATCAATCTCAACTCGATATCGAGAATTGCTTTCATTTGAGCCGATGCGACGATCTAACGGAGGCAGTCGTCGTAAGGCAATACGCACATAATCCTCGTTTTGCAACGGAAGACAAAGTCGATCGCAATAACTTAGCAGTTCCTTCAGTCTCAGCGACGTCCCAGCAGTGTCTGTGGATTCCAACCCGCTCGTAATTTCAGCTCCTACCATACCAAGATTATCAAACTTAGCTTGTCCTTGAGTCCTGAAAGTGCAAAGAACCTGAATCGCAGGAAATCGCGTCCTTGAAACTCGTAGAGTGACGGTATATGGTTCAAAGCTCAGCATAGGGAGTGAGAGCCGCGCTGTCCGTTCTGAGCATGCTTCCATTCTTTCCACACTCCCCCATGCCCCTCGCATTTTCCAGGATATAATACTGAACGATGTACTTTTGAACTCAAAAGACACTATTTTATCACCTAAAATTGGCTGCCAATCTTCAAGTACTGTTATCGGAGTTGACACAACGTTTTGTCGATGTTTGGAAGACAAGAGGACCGGGACGTACTTAAGACGTAAGAATGAATGGTTATCCCGTCTAATCAAAGGAAGGCCTACTACATAGTCTTGGCGATCTTTGCGCAAGATGTTCAAAATCGCGAACCAACTAGGTTTATCAGGGCCGATAGATGGACCAAGTGGCAGGATGGAATCTTTAACCTCTTCAAACCTCACTAATGGCAACCTGACGCTAGAGCCTTTTCTGACAAGCCTCACAAAATGATCGTCTGCCATAGTTTCACGAGCAGAGCCCAGAAAACAGAGGAGAGAGTACGAAACATCAAGAGGGAAACATCGGGGAAGTGGAGCGCACTCTGGACAGTCTGTGATTTGGCAGAAGCGTGTTGGACTCTCTGAAAACAGCGGAGCACATGCGGAATTGGGCATGTACGTGAAGAGAAATAGCGAACAGTCGCCATCCATCTTGTAAATTTCTCCTTGCAACCGACGAAAGGCTTTCTCACTCCCCTCGCCGTAGAGAAGGGGTAGGTTGACGTCGAAAAGGCCGAGAAGGCAATATGTCTCGTCTTCAGCGCGACTGACCTTCCGGTGGGCAGCCCACGACATCTTTTCTGCCGCTAGAAATTTGTACCACACTGTGTGCCATTGGTGGCTCAGCGCGATTGGCGCGATCCTCGTAATATATGAGACCTCCTCGTACCGTGAGATTTTGGTTCCAATAGGGGACCAATCTGCGGCATAGAATTCCACAGTTGCTGGTGCTAGTAGCTCTTGTAATGTCCAGCCTCGAGTGAACCACTTGCTGTGTCGAAATCGCTCGCCCCATCCGGCCTCCTGGTTTGGAACATCGTTCAGAAACGCATAACAGATTTCAGCTTCTTGATACCACCGGAACATAGAATTGATAGCCTCTTGAAGCTCCGCTGAGCTGGATTTGTTGATGCAGCAGCTGTCAATCCAGACCCAATCGAAACCATCTCTAGCTGCAAGCGCGCAAGTCCCTTGAATCTTTTTGAAGTTCTGCTTCTGTCGAGCCCTGCTCTTCGGGTTGCTTATCGGGTCTTTGACGATGTGTTCGAACGTGAGCTCGTCTTCTTCCCAACGATGGGAAAGAATGACATATTCCGGAACGTTGCCAATGAAGATGGTCAATTCCAACGTTCGCGTGTTGAGGAGCCTCATGGTATTCGGTGTTGGAATAAAGCCTTAGAATTTTTTCATTCTGCAACAACCAAGAACTGGTTGAGCTAGACTAGCATACAAAAATGCAGAGAGTGGAAGGCGAGGCGAGAATATCATGAGGATTGTAGGTAAGCTGTATGCCGATCAGGCTGAAGATGAAAATCAGCCCACGCTCGATGGTGTGGGGTACCGCTGTGGCGTGGCTGCAGAAACAGCGCAGCCTGAAGGGATCCTCCATGCTATAAATCATGCACGCTCGGCAGAGCCAGGCTGTGCCATTTCAAACTAACTAAGAGTAGAGTATTGTGAACGAGTAGAGCAAGAAGCAGGAGACTGTCAATCGTTAAGCGCTGCGCATGTTGTGGCACGCTATGATGCTCCACATATTATCTCCAGTCCCTAACCCTCACCAATCCATTAACGATGGCTCTCTTGCCAGTCGTCGGGCGTCGCCCCTGGAAGCTACTCATGCCAAACACCCCTGATCCTTCGGGAAACAAGTTTCATTAAGTTTTCATGCCACTTTTGATTACAATTGTTGTTGGCTCGCACACCATGCCCACTGCCCGTTCTTTGCCTCAGGTTGGAGCACTAGAAACATTCTCTTCATCCTTCACCGGATCCACGTCTCACAGCCTCGATGCGCGCGCTATCAAAGCGCAAGATGCAACATCAAGCGAAGCCTGAACGCACGGATGACTTGGCGTACTTTTGGCCCCCAAGGTGCAGCTCAGCTCCGCCTCGATGCAGCCGCTTGAAAAAAGTCGAACGGTCGCCTGCGGCTCGCTTCATCCCTCCCGCGACAACGGAAGGCATCGAGTAATCGTCAACGCGTTCTGAGCGTTACAGTGCTCTCTTCATTGCTTCGTTGTGCCGTCAGTTGGTGGTCGTAAAGTGGTTGCCAGACGTCTGACACGTTGGGTGGGGCGTATGTCGCAATGACCAGTAACGGCAATTCAGTCCAGATGAGCGATGTTGGCGGACCCCTCGAGCTCGAAAAAGCCTCCGCCGCCACGACCGCTAGGACTGTGACCCACAGTCCTGTTCCGCCAAAGCAAGATCTGGTCGGATCCTGGTTGTGTGCTGAAGGTAGATATAATCCCTCTCTAGACCCCTGCACATCACAGCTTACCTCTGATAGGTCCATATCAGAAGTACATTGAAGCCCTTAGCGGCTCGAATCCTGGATTGAAAAAGTCAGATCCGAACAATAAGGATGGTCCTTTAAAGAATGGAAATGCGCTTGTTGTGCTTTTGGACGCCCCTGCAACGGGCCAGCCTGGCTTCGAGACGACCGAGTTCAAGAACGCCGCAGATCTTCGGAATCACTTCCAAAACTCGACTCATGACCATGATCGCCGACGTATCTACATAATGGAAGGTCTGGCACCCGACTATGTTTCTATCATTGGCGGCCACTTTTACATGGAGCCTACCTTTTTCCAGCGACAAGAGAGAACTTGCGTTTGGAGTAATGATTTCACGCCTGTAAGCGACGCGTTACCGCAGCCAAGCTTGTTGGACCCAGAAAAGAGTTTCCATTTGCAGTACTGCGAGCTGAGGCAGTTCAACAAGGCGATTGAGAACCGCTATTATTTCTGCCAGCGGACACGAAGGCACATTGGAATGACGGCGCCAAGACACAAAGAGGAGAGCACGACAGGTATCTTAAGACGGAAGGTCACCTGGTGGTGCAGGAAGACTGGAAAGGGGGGCTGGGATGGTATGTTAATTTTTACACTGGGCAGTGGCTCTTGTGATCTTGTCTAACGCCTAGCTAGTTGTGATTCTCTGTGACCCGCAGCTCTTTCATCTCTCCCCTACCCCAAAGGAGGTCGTTGGGAGCGAGAATACAATCCGCCAAAATATTAATCTTCGAGGTGAACTCAAGAACGGGCCTTTCCAGGATGGTTATGTCGATTTTTTGCCGGCTGTCTCGCATGATCGAATATCGAGCAAAAGGCCACATCCGCACACCTCCATGCTACGCGATCTCCTCCATTATTATCAGCAACACTCTGACATGCTCTCTCAGGAAGACTGGGACACACCCAACATGTCTGCTATCTTTATTAAGAAGATCGTTGCTGCACACTACCTCCAATTGGTTGACTATATAAAGGCTATGCTTCCATCGCTCGAACTGCGGCTCACAACGGCATGGGTCGAAGAGCAGGATCAGTGGAAGAGCCTGCAAACTATATCTCGCCGCTGCGGGAATTATCGCGATGACATTGAAGATACGCTGCTTAGCCTAGGATATCATCTAGATGGGAAGCTCGACGCCTCCTCGAAGGTGCGCAGCGCGAATTGGAAAGACTGTGAGAAGGATTTTCAATATGTATACTTCCGACTCAAGATCCTCAAAGAGCGTGCAGATAACCTCGTGCAAGCCATGACGGGCTTAGCCTCCATTGCCGGAAACCGTCAGAATCTGGAGGAAGCAAAGCGCGTCAAACGTCTGAATTTGCTCGCTCTTTTGTTCATCCCACTCGCGTATACCAGCAGTCTTTTCAGCATGCAAGACAACTATGCGCCCAACAAAAAGGATTTCTGGATATATTGGATAAGTGCAATCGGTGCTGTCGCATTTACCGCTGTCGTGACTTGGATCCTCGACACTGCGCTCGACGATGAGGCACAATGGACCTGGAGACCACTTTGGTATCTGAAATTTTGGGGCAATAGCGAGAAGAAACCTGGGCCCATGAAGAGGAAGGCTACAGGGCTTTATGATCATACCATGCGGAGGTGAGGATTTGTTGTTATATTTTGCATTGTGTGGTGCAGCGTTGTGTTTCATCCATACGGTCATTCTTTTTTATCATTTTGGGCGTTCTATCGACTGTATGCATTCTTCTCTAGTATTCCAGCTCTAGCATAGTTGCGTTAATATAGGTCTAGAATTTCTTTATCTTCTCATATAGGGACATCATATCGTATCACATGTTCCCGAGTTCAACTTTTGCTGTTTATAAGGTAAACATTCACGCAGCAAGATGACCCATATCATCCTCATTCTAGGGAAAGTCTCGATAATAGGCACAGTTCAGATCCAAACAACAGGCTTCCGTTATAACCGAGACAGGGGTAAACGTTCAATGCTTTATACGTGTTCCGGCAAAATTGCTATTCTCGAACTCTCTATATTACTCTACCCGATCTACCTAATTGCGTAATATATGCAAGACCCACTAGCTTGAATTATAATCGAATAAAGGTAATACGCGAGTTGCGATCTTGTATTCATTTGTAAAGCCCCCGAAGCTCACGATGCGCTTCTTCATAGCACTCGAATTCGCTACCTTGGCCGCAGCAACACTATCGCATCGCCAACCCTTCACTAACAGCACAAACAAGATAAAATGTCCGTTAATCTTCGACGGCCGCATACCCTCCAACCTCACACTCTCTTCTTTTGACGATGCCTCCACATCACCCTATAACCCAGGCTTCGTCAAAGGCGAAAACCGCACCTGGTCCTCGATTCTCCTCCTCCCGAACATCTCTGCGTCCCCCTCACGCTTCGACTCCTCCTCCCTGCACAAACCAATCGAAGTAACCATCGACTCTGCCTCCCTATTCCGCCCAGGCTCAAGACTACAAACCGGATTCCGCCGCGCGGGCCTCCTCCTCAAAGACGATGCGAACGACGTCGGCGCCGACGCAGCAGACAACGGTACCGTGACGTTCCACTGGAGCATCAAGCAAGACCTTACCCGGCCGCTAAACCTAAGTCACGAGTACATGAATGTGTGGCATGAGAAAGCGGATTATAGCGGGAACCAGTTTACGTTTGTGGGCGGAGTGGTGCTTGTAGGGGATGGAGGGAACGGGGTCGATACGTGGGAAGAGAGGGAGAGTTGGAAGGTGCAGAATGGGAAGAATGAGTTTGTGTTTCGGACGCCGATTCTGTTTGGTGCGTGGCAGAATTTCGGGGTGCAGTTGGATCATGGGAATAAGTGAGTCTTTCGAGGGCTTGGGATGGATGAAGTTTTTTTTTTTGAGATGCTAATTAGAAGCGTAGTACGATACAGGTCTACTATTCTGCGGGAAATGCGCCGTTGGAAGCTGTTACGGGGTCTCTTCCGAATGAGAATGCTGGAGGAGGGCAATTGCAGGTGGGGATTGCGAAGAAGCCAACAGAGACACAGACGGTGGTTTGGGATGGGTACCAGGAGCCGATTTCAGAGCGCGGTGAGGGTCAGATCTATGGGAGTATTTTTGTCGAGGATAGCTCGAATGGATGTGTCAGTCTATAGAACAAGTTAGAACGTGGGTAGAGAAAAGCATGGAAGATCTGGTTTCAAGGTCAGTACGTGTAGCCATAGACGTAGAAATGGACGCTGTTGAGCGTAAGGGAGAAAAGTAGAGCGCTGCAGTGATATCATTCGGTAGAAAGCCTTGCTCAACGACGCATCGTGAGTGAAATATATACAAGAAACACGAAAAGAACTACTTAGTGAACCATGCTCTTGCCAATCTCACTCTCCCAGTTGTTCGCTCTCTCAAATCCATTCGAGTGTGTCTGATAGTCCATCATCGCCTGCATGACCTCGTCCCTGCTCGTCACAACGAAAGGTCCGTACTGTACAATAGGCTGATCGAGTGGCAATCCAGCGACCAATATGAATCTCGACTCTTTCTCCGCGCCCTCCTCAACCGACGCTTCGATGCTGTCGCCACCCTTCTCAAAAACTACGTTGTGGTATTGCTCGACCGGTCGCGATACGCCGTCGGAAGAGAAGATGGTGGTGCCGTTGAGCAGGTATGCAAATGCGTTCCACCCCTTTGGCAGACTCTGCTTGACTGTCCCGCCAGGCTGAACCGTAAAGTCAAGCAACCAAACAGGTGTATATGCCAGCTCCTTCAAACTCTCCGTTCCGTACGCCTTCCCGCTGATGATCTTCACTCGTACCTTGCCATCATCCGATGTGGCCTCCGGTATCTCATTCGCGCGCAAGTCTCGGTATCTCGGTTCGCACGATTTCAACTCCTTGGGAAGGTCGACCCACAGCTGCATTCCGACGTTTGGCGAGCCGTCAGCGTTCTGGCGCGGCATTTCGGCATGTACGATGCCTCGACCAGCGGTCATGAACTGGAGGTCGCCCGTCTCGATTGTGCCTTTATTGCCGGCGAAGTCTTCGTGGTCGACAGCGCCGGAGAGAAGGTATGTGATAGTCTCCTGGCCACGGTGGGGGTGGTCCGGGAAGCCAGCCCCAGGCGGAATGGCGAAGTGGTCAAGCATGAGGAAGGGTGAGAAGTTGCGAAGTTGTGGTGTTCCAACACTTCTCCTCACTTTTGCGCCCGCACCCTCTGACTGCTCAATCGCGTGGAAGGATTTGGCGATCTTGCGAGGCGCATTCGTGGTCAATGGCTCGTCCGGGATGACGGCCAAGCCGCGGAACATGGTGCCTGTCGACATATCTTTGGTGTTATTGAAGAAGGTATTCGTGAACCTCGTGATCGGAGTGAATTGTTTCGATATCTGCGTGACCCTCGAGAGCATAGAGTCGCTGCGGTAGACTGCTATGGCAATTGCGATGATGGCGAAGAAGATGGTGGAGAGCGTCTTCATCGGTCGAAGGGTGGCGCTTTATACCGCTCACTGAAAAGTCTACGAGAATGTTCGAACGCAGGCTTGTAAAAGAACATCATCGCGCTGATGGCTGGTTGGTAAAGGTTTAGCAAGCGGCGAATGGAGCTGCAAGACTTGGCAGGACGATGCTTTGTCCATCATGACCAAGCAGCTGTAAGTCGGCAGTCAGGGTCGGGGCGGAGGGGGCAGCTCCCGATGGCCAATCAGACGAGGGGCGATGACAGGAGACATGCGGCCTATTCCGCACTGCTCATCTCAACACCAACCTTGATTAGAATATATGTCGACTTTGCAGTAGGCTGCCATCTTCTCTGGCCTAGATGAAATGACTTGGCCAGGTCTATTCTCCCTCCTGTGGCATGCCAGGCGCGAGCATGTTGATACCCAACGCAAATACTTCTCACAGCTCTTCGAAATACCGTGGCGACTACATGTCGTGGAGAACTCGCAAAGATAGCGATGTTGCACACCATCGAAGATTCTTAGTGAACTTCTTCATATGCTTCTTCTTGCACTTGTCAAATCGCTTAGAAACTTGGAACTGAAAGATACCCGGCATCTTCGCATTGGATCTGCCTAGCTATGAATCGCCAAATCGAATTCCAAATACTATCATCTCCTGCACGATCTTCTTCCAAAATTATACACTTCCCTTTGCTTCGAAACCCTCTATATTTTCCGACTCGGCTACTCACTTCATGGCCGCATTGACGCTCTGGGCGCGAGCTCTTGTCAGCATTCACTCTTCGAACCCTCTCCGCTTTCACCTTCTGAGTCAGTTTGTTATACCTCAAAAATAGGCGGATGCCAAGCGCGACAAACAAGAAACAATGTCGCGTGCAGTATTTGGTTTGCAGCACAACCCTCTCACTCCTAGCCTATAGATGGGTCCTCATTGGCGACATGCTCAACTACCCGACACCGTTGCCGATGACCACCGAGGACTCTCGTAGTGCCCCGCCTGCTCCGCGCAATAGCAAGGAGTTAGGTGAAACACGAGAAGATTTTGTTGTAGATTCGGAGCAGGTGGACGACAAAGACGGCGCGAACAGTCCCAATACCTCTACCCGTTCGACCATCCTGTATGGCCAGGAGCCTTCTGATACCTTCAATGACAAAGTAGCGCATATTTGCTCTTCGGAGTTTCGCAACACGACGTTCAATATTGAACACATTGAGGGGGGAAGCTACAATCGCATCACCGCCGTCACCATCTTTCCTCGGCTTCCGGCGAAATGGACCCTTCCATGGCTTCGTTCATTTCTCCCTCGCATTACTGGCCGCCTTGAACCACAAGTTCCGAAAAACTACATTCTGCGAACTCCGCGGTGGGATCAATCGCGCAACAACTGGGATATATCTTACGACATCCCAGCCCTGGAGTTCGCGAGGAAGCATCTCGGTTCTGTGGTCCCACGGATTGTTCGCCTGGACACGAGCCCGGACAATATTCTATCTCGACCCTATACAATCCAGGACTACCTTCCAGGTAGAAACCTAGAGCGCATATGGAAGACTCTCACGATGGCCCAGAAAGACTGTGCGCTACGTATCATTGTAGACTTCACGATGAAGTTGCAGATTATCACGAGTTCTTCTGCAGGCATCATTGCACCTTCAAACGACATTGAACATATGGCTAGCGAAGAAGAGCTGCAGCTCCATACCTTCAAAGTCGGACACAATCGGGTACCCACTTGGACAAAGCCGTGGTCAACACACGCCGTTCCGCAAACGACGCTGGAATTTCTAGTCGAACAGGCGAGCCGCTGGCAAGAGTTCGAAGGCCACAATGATCAGTTTGTGAATCCTGAATGGGCCCACTTCAAGAGGATTGCACAATCACTTCATGACAAGGGCTTCATACCCGACACAGACAAATTCTATTTCTGCCACCTGGATCTCTATTCCCGCAACATGCTTGTAGAGATTGTCGACGAGTCAACCTTGCTTCTCACCGGTGTGCTCGACTGGGACGCGGAGTTTGCTCACTTCTGTCCCAAGTTTGTGGCCTACCGTGCGCCCTTCTGGTTGTGGCTAGAGGATGACTCCAATGAGTGGGATGAGATGTTTCCAATGACGGAGCCTACGGATCCGGAGCTTTCACGAATGAAAGGACTGTTTGAAGAATTAGCAAGCGACGAGTGGAAGCGCTATGCGTTGAGTCCCGAGTACATCATGGCACGTCGAATGTTCACAAGACTTAGAGACGGAATCTTCTCTAATGAAGATAGCAAAGAGGCAGAAGACATTGTCAGCGAGTGGCAGAAGCTGCATTATGACCGGAAATTGGAACTGGACTATTTCCCCGGAGAGGATACCGATAGTGAGGAAGACGAAATACCCTTTCATAGTAGTGGTGAGGATAGCGAGGATGAAAAGAGAACATCCTAATGAAGAATACGACATAAGTGATCAGGGTTGGAGATATGCTTTACGAGAGGGCATATGGTTGCCAGAGTGGACGATAGTGGTAGGGTCGTTTCCTTTTTGTTGAGCGGCCCAAGCCAATCCTTTCACTTTAGCACTTAGTCGATCTTGTGAGCTGTCAGAGCATTTGGTGACTACTGATTTCAGCCTGGAATGATTGACTGATGTTCCGAAACATGTGTGTGCCTTCGGGAATTAAGCTCTCTGAATCCTCTAATCGTTGTATATATTCAAGTAACTTAAGTTATCCATTTCTTTACCCAGAAACCTCGTCCTACTACCTGTCTATATTCGAGTCCCTCTCCTAAGATTCCATTTATTCCCATCATTCCTTCTTTGTAGGAGATGTTGTAGCTCGAGCAGAGTTAGTTCGTGGCGGTAGCGCCAACATCTCCGGAAGTATCGCGGTGTTGATCCTTTTGCTCCTTGGTCCAGCGAACTCTTTTCAAATTAGCACTTGGAAGACGTTCTTGTAAACTAAAAAAAGGCGAACGTAATTTAAAGCGCGATGTACTAGTAGGTTGCCCGAGAAACTCAAGAACGCGCCCCGAGGTAGCCTTATTGTTATCAGGAAGCACCTGCATGAAGCACATATACACCACTCACTTCTTCCCTGTACGGCGGCCCTGGCGGTCTTTCTCGGCTTGGCTCTTGTTTTCTTTCTCCTTCCTCTTCTGCTCTCTTTCTTCTTGTGCCTCCCTGTGCAAACGACGCTGCTCAGCGTAGAACTCGGCCTTGCATGACTCGCAGCCAATCTTCTCGTCGATGAGGCAGTACTGTCCTTCGTGTCCTGGTTTAAGGCACCACCTCTGATGTACCTATTAGTAGATCTATTAGCTTTTGTTATGTTTATCCTGATGGGAGCAGCTCACTGGACATGGCCCTTTCGCTGGCTTCCGGCGGCAATTATCGTCTTTCGGACAATGATGCTGGGTTCCGTACTCAGAAGGCATAGCTGGTAGACCTATACGACGATCGTTGTTGGTTTCGATGTCTTCAAATCTGCAAGATTCTATATATCATAGAGGTGCGCGGAACTTTCTGTGAATGACGATTCACTCTGAGCGAACAGATGCACAAGAGATATCAACAGAGAGTGCGCGCTTACTTAAGTGAGAAGCAAACGGTATCAAGCTGTCACCCGGACTATTTACTCGCTGTACGCATGATATACGCAAAATCGGGGCCATAGATTGGTTTACTCACAACCACGCAGCTTGTCCCCATGCTCAAAAGCAAAAGGTAAGTAATAATCCACATAAGGATCAACAAGACATTTCTCACTATTTCTATGCTAGTATTTTCGCTGTTGTGCAAGACTTTGGGTATGTATAGGAAAGGTGAATGTCCACAAGTGCAGTCGCTGAGTCACCGATTGCGACCACCCACTTCGTTTGTACTGGTCCCCCACCATGGAACTGCAGGTGAATTTCTGTGCCTAATTTCTTATTCACCCCCAACGACACGTTTCTTAGATTCCCCTCAGACAAGGGCTACTCATCCAGACACCACGCACTGAACCTGTTCCCACTCAGCCGCTCTTTCCACGCGCATTATCGTACCAGCTATCTCGTTAATAGCTCCCTCACTTTGTGGAATGGGTGTAACCAACAACAATATGGGAGATTGTGCCATCCGAGCCAATTCTTGTCTGTCACAATCAACGGATTCAAACCACGGCCAACACAATGCCCGCGCACCCCACTCGATGCAGGTCGATAACAGCGACAAGTGCTACTCTACGGAAGCTAAGACTGCTTTCGAAAGCGACGATGGCGCTTGTTCTGTGGTCTCCACTACCTCTACCGACAAGTTTGCGCAAGAGCCGTTTACGAACTTTCAACATAAGGTTATACAGCTCTGCTTAGAGGTGTTCCCCGGGCATGATACCGCGAGTATTGGCATCGAGCGCATGCGGGGCGGTAGTTTCCATCGCATCATCGGCATCACTCTACTTCCGCCTCGAGCACAAAAGTTTACAGTGCGATGGTTGCAGCAGCGAGTGCGCGCTATGATTGGCATAGGCGAGCAAACCGTTTCGGAGCAGTACATTGTTCGCATTCCGCGCTTCTATACTTGCAGTGAGGAGTTGACAGATAACATCGCTGTTCTCCAATTCGCCAGCTCTCGTTTAACACTTCCGATACCTAAGACCATTCACTTCAACGTTCTCTCAGTCAATGCCATCGGCTCCCCGTATGCCATTCAAGCTCGCCTTCCGGGTATGCAGCTTTCGGAGTTGCACCTGAACCTTGAGCAAAAGAAGTGCCTTGTGCGACGCATAATGGAGGTCCAACGCGAGCTCAACTCTATCACGAGTACCTCAGCAGGGAATATCGGTCCGGCCACATTATCATCATTTGAAATGCAACTTCATCAATTTGAAATTCCGAAGACCCGTTCGAATCGAACACCCATTCCGAAGTGCACTGCAACTCAACGTCAGTCAACCTTCGAGTCCCTCAAGGATTTGTGCAGCCGCTGGAGAGAACATTATGGAGCTCGTAACATCATCGTCGAGGAGATTTGGAACAGAGTGGACATCATCATATCGTCACTCCGCAAACACGGATTCCTTCCCGATACCGATAAGTTCTACTTCTGCCACACTGATTTCGTCGGTCACAATATACTTGTCGAAAAGGGCGACGAGACAGCTGTCGAAATCACCGCAGTCCTAGATTGGGACAGTGAGTGGGTTTTCTTTGCCCCTAAGTTCATGGCTTATCGGGCGCCGCTATGGCTTTGGACCGACATCTATAGCGGAGGCAATTATGAGATTAGGGCGTTGTCAACACCCGCAGATGCTGATCAATTGGAGCTGAAGAAGACGTTCGAAGAATTGGCAGACGAGGAGTGGCTACGATATGCCTTCGAACCAGAATTCATCATAGCCAGGCGGGTATTCGAACTTCTGAGGAACGGTGTACACGGCCCGGAGCATTGGCAAGAGGCGAGGGATATCTTCCAGACCTGGCAGCAGATGTACCCGGAGACCGAGGGGTTAGTGGAAGATGATTTGCCAATTTGTGGGAGCGACTGTAGTAGTGAGTTAGATGAAGACGACTGCTGCGAATCCTCGAATGATGGGGAGTATAGCGAGGACGAGAATGACGACGCGGGACCGAAGGTTCTGAGCTGAAGTTAGACCCCAATAGGGCAATCGGGCAGTACTGAGAGATATAATGTGTAGGTAGGAATATTCAATTGTTGGTGGGACGTTTTCGAAACTTAGTTCTATTCCTACGTCGCCATATTCCGTTCTCCACAAGTTGTACATGGCGCATCACATAATAGCGAAGATAGAATAATCATCGGCAGCTTGCGACAGGAGTGAAAATCGCAGTGCGACGATTCCTTATCACGGCTCTGTCGTGGTGAATCTCCGCCGCCTATAGGCGCGATAGAATTTCATTGGTTCGGGGCGGAACCTAGGCTCTATCGGCGACCTCCGCGCTCCACCACTGTCGGGACGAGCGTTCACTTGAGTCTCCGAACGTCCAGTATATAACTAGATGGAGGGAATACGATAGATAAACACAAGAGCGCGAGTGAATATAATATTACAGCAAGACGCGCAAAGCCTACGGCAAAAAACCCCCAGTCGCTAAAGCACAATGCCGCACGCAACCGCCAGCCCAATCACCATTCATAAGATTGAGCCACAGCCAGGCTCATCTTTTGACTTTGGTGCCGAAATCCGAGGAGCTGACCTCGAAAACCTCACTGGTGCGTCTACTTCTGCGAGTTTGAGAACCCTAATCGTAACACTCCAACAGAAACTGACACCAGAGTCATCATCAACGCTCTCTACTCAAACCAGGTCGTCCTCTTCAAAAACCAACAATCACTCTCCGCCAAAGCCCAATATGAGCTCACACGCCTCTTCGACCCCACATCAACAGACTACGGCCATGGCAAAACGCTCGATGCAAAGCGCTCAATCTTACATCCCGACCTAAAGACCATTCCTCATCAACCACAAGTCCAAGTTATCGGTAATGGACCAGTAGCTGAATTTGAAGGCCTCAAAAACATAACCTTGAAACACCCACACCACCGCACGTTCCATAAGGAAGTAATCAGTGACGAAGACGATCGCGATAATACCCGATTTTACAGGTGGCATATTGACGCTGCCCTGTATGATCTCGAGCCGCCAAAGGTTACTAGCTTACTAGCTGTCAAGGTGCCAAAGACAGAGTACCAGATGCTACGGTATGATGATGGGACAGGTGACGAACTGAAGCTCTCGAGAGGTAGCACAGCATTTGTGTCAAGCTACAAGATGTACGATTTGTTGAGCGAAGAGGATAAGAAGTTCGCTAGGACCACGAAGGTGCAGGTGAGAGAACATATCTACTACTGTACAAACAGTCCTGAATCGAGACTGACGAGCTCATGACCAGTATGCGCCACACCCCTACATCTGGATGTCCCCCGCACGCTCGCGCTCTCACGGTCTCGGTCTCGTTTCAGAAAACATCGAGCTACCGGCCGATCAACTTCCCCCAATCGACAAGTCCAAAATTAAAATCCTCCCCATGTGCTGGAAGAACCCGGTCACTGGCCAGCTCGCTCTGCAAATTCATCCTTCCGCCGTTCAAGCGCTGCACCTGGCTGACGGAAGTACAATCTCCGACCTGAAAGAAGTTCGCGAAATCGTGCACCGGTTGCAGCGGCCGGGTATTGCACCGGAGCTAGTGTATGCAGTGGATTGGGAGGAAGGTGATATGGCTCTCTTCAACAACCGTGGTGTGTTGCATAGTGTGACTGGCAGCTTCCTGCCTGAGGAAGTCAGAATCTTCAGGCAATGTAACATGGCAGCTAGTGAGGGCGTGATTGGACCGGACGAGTAAAGCGGTAGATTGAAGAGCAATGTGATGGTATGAATATAGAGTTTTATTAAAGCGTCATTACAATGGGTTGGGGAACGTCGATTGTGTATTACCGATCAACAAAGATGGTTAGCATTTCACGGTACTAGCTTCCAACATGTCATGCGAGCTTTCCTTCACTGATCTTGGAAGTATGATGTTGGGGCAGGTCCTCCTCGGCGCGCGGGGAAGGTGAGCCTACCCGCACATATACGCCTTTCGCGACCTGTCTTTTCTCCTTTGTGCCTAAAAACAAGCACCTCAATACCGCAGAAGTATCGTTATCCTGTACTTTCGCTAGTCTATCACTATCCCCACATCTTCCGGTTATCGAATGGTCATCGTTCGCTGCCGCTATAGCGTCCGGGGCAGCAACTCCACCAACCCAATACTTGGTACACTATCCGAAAGCGGCTCTTGCAGACAGTGGAACAATTCCTATTGAAGAGCAGATGGCCAATTCCGACTCGAACATGGAGGGTGATGGAAACAAGACCAACAGCACGAATATAGTTTTAATTGGAGGTCTAGATTTTAATGAGAACATCCCACCTACTTCTGTGGTTGCACACTCAAGAGTGTCATGGAGTACGTTCGAGACGAGAGTCGCCCAGCTTGCGGCTCAAACTTTTCCCAATCTCGGTATAGACGACCTTGTTATCAAGTGCTTGGACAGTGGCAAGTATAATCGATTTGTTAAACTGGGAGTGCGTCTCTACGACGGGACAACCGCTGGAGGGTCAGGACAAGAGGATTTTCAAAGCGCCTACGCCCTAGTTGAGCTATCGCTGGTTCTGTGAAAGTACTTTGAGTGCGGAGATGTTTGTAATTACATTAATTTTTCTAAGATAGGTTGAGACGGTTGCTAACTATAGTTCTAAACTTTATTATTGTTTTTTTATAGTACTAAATATTAATTTTCTGCTCTTGATAACTACTAATAAGTTTAATGCAAGTTGTAGTTATATTTGCGAGGAGTTACTTGCTTTTAAAGCATGTATAAAGCTGCTCTGTAGCCTTTGTCTTCTATCTGCTATACTATATAATAATAGAACAAATTCCTTTTTTCTTTACTGCTTATTAAAGTATTAATTTATTAAATTTTTTTTAGCTAACCTGTGACGGGCTTTTAAACAATAATGTCTATAAAAGCAGAATTCTGCAGCTTAAAAAAATAGAAAAGATAGTAGCTTTTATGCAAAGTACCCTTTTCTACTAAAAACTAATATTTAGTAAAAAGCTTTTATTTTTTTATAACTATTTACTAACAGCCTATATACTAAAAAATACTCCAACAGTTAAAAATATTAAAAATGTTAAAATTTAGCAACTTTAATTTTTTATATAAAAAATATCTGTTTTTACTCTTACTGCTACTAATCTAGACTACCTAGTTTTTTTTAAATAATTCTAAAAAATAATAAACAAACGGCTAAGTAGGCCGTACAGGCTATAAGCGTTGGAATAATAGTAGAAGTTTAGGAATAGAATTAAGTAGCTAGTATTTAGTTAAATGCAAGAGCAGAGATTAGGTAACTAAAGCTAGCGTTATTTTTATTAAAATAGGCGGGTTAAGAAACCATAGTTGAGAGCTGTAGACTACCCCAGGCGGAAGAAATTGAACGCGTACGTTGAGGATACTTTGAGAACTTTGAGAAAGGGTCAGGACAACCGCCTCAGTCAAGCAGTAAAGCACCCGACAGGAACTCGAATACCAAAGAATATGTTCTTCGCATTCCGAACCATCACAATAAACATATGAACCTCGATATCATCACTTCCCACTACGTAAAGAATTACACAGTCGTTCCGACACCCTCCTTCGTCAAATGGGATTTGTCAAACTCCAATCCCCTCGGGATGCCATTCATGCTCCAGTACCATCAGTCAGGTGAAAATCTGAAAAAGGTCTTGAGCAAACTCAATTTCGAACAGCGGATGGGTCTCACGAAGGAAGTTGCTAAGTTGATTCTGCGATTGCAGAGCCAAAAAAGTACGAGCTGTTCGATCCTTTCGAGCTATACCTACGCAGAAGAATCCATCATGATCTTCCAAAAGGAACTTCTCAACCGTCATGTCATGGGAGCGGAACACGAGATTGACCTTTCGGAAGCTCGGAAACAAACAACTCTACAGTTTATCATCGATCTATGTGAGCACATGAAGGGCCAGGAGAGACACGATTCGCCCGATCAACACTGGATCTGGGATGGTTTTACCAGCCTTGCAGCGGATATGCACAGTCGAGGAATGATCCCAGACGTCGACTACTTCTACTTCACGCACCTAGCCCTTCACCCAGCTCACATACTCGTTGATCGAGTAGATGACAAGTCGGTGGAGATCAAATGTGTCTTTGGATGGGAACACGGCCTTTTTGCGCCCCAGTACATGTCCTGCTGCCCACCCACCTGGCTGTAGCACAGCGAAGACGATGTCGCCAGTTACGGGGACTTCAATTCAATCCGGGAGCCGGAGACTGAAGAAGGTCGACAAGTGAAAGCCTATTTCGACAGCATAGTTGGCGCGCAATATAGGAAATACGCGTATCAGCCTGAGTGTGTGATGTTGCGACGCATGTTCTTATATCTACGCGCCGGTGTTGTGACGACATGGCAAATCATGTACTGTAAACTTATGTTGTTGGAGTGGAGACGGGCTCGAACTTGGCCGACAGTGTTTATTGACGGGCAGAAGCGGATACTTTATCACGTTTTGGGAGGACAGCTATACCAGGGGCAAAGGGAGGGTCAGATGGAGCAGGTAGGAATGCACGAGAGACAGGAGGAGACAAATGAAGAGCTGGAATGACCATCGGTAGACTGAGCATGAATAGGGTGAAGGAAGGTAGCCAGGGCAACAAGATAAGAAAGCCAAGAAGGCAACAGTAGCCCAAAGTCCACCCCTAAGCAAGGTCTAGGGACAATAACGGAACTATATATTGACTTGCGAGACACTTCTACATATCCATGTGAACTGCCCATTTATACAACAGCAACCTCCTTCGGCTGTGGCATTAGAGGCCCCTCACTCGCCGCTTTTGCTGCAGCATCCCTCTTGAACCTTTCCGCACTCCAACAACTATCCGAGTACCCTGCCAAAATTGCCCGCTCGATCGTAATCGGTGGCCACTTGGGTTCCTCATCCTCCTTCTTGCAGTTTGGTAGGCACTTGACCACATAATTCGGGTTGCCCGAGGATAACACCGGGATACTATACCTCTCCACGCCACTGACATTGATAACACGGTGAAGGTTGGATATGTACTTATCGTTCGACCAGCGCATCATCAGATTGCCTCAATTGACGACGAAGGTGTCGGGCGTCGGTGCAACATCTAGCCACTCCTTGTTAGCACATCCAAAGTCTTTGTGTGCACCGATTCCGCGGGTGAACTTTTCTGGGCTATCGGGGGGCTGGCTGGGGTAGTGGAGTAGGCGCATTATGGCGACTGCGTCGGTGGCGTACTCGTTCAAGTATGATTCTTCCAGGTCCAAGGGTAGCGCGAGGACTTTAAGTATGTCTTTGGCGAGGTTGAAGACTTCGATGTAGTAGTCGAGTACGGTGGCTTTAAAGTCATCGACGTTAGGTAAGACGTCTTCTGAAGGCCATGTTGGGCCCGGAATTAAGCTTCTTGTTAACGAGGTAAAGGTGTGTTTTGGGATCCCGTCGCCAATGTTCTACAATACTTGTGGTCTGCACTCCTGTTAAGACTGGATAAACATGGCAACCGCTATAACTTTTCTCAATGAACTTTTCGAGGTATTCAAACGAACTAATCTGCAAACAGACGAGATCTATCATAGACGACCTTGTTATGACTTTCTAGGGGCTTCGTTAGAGGGTATGGATGTAGTTATAGTGCCATCTTGTCACTGTTCAGGAGAGTCCTGGGAGTTGCTTTCGGAGTTTTGTTTCAGGTCTGGTTTGCCATACTGCGGTACGTGTCCAAGACATCGTCAACAGTGGGGTTGATGGTGTATGTTCCTAATTAGGCAGGTTGTTGATGATCTTGCCTCAACTGGACTAGGCCCGCGATGATGTGATAGCCAATTGTCACCACGACGAACGCAAAGCTCGAATAAGTATATAAAGCAAGTCCGCTACATAAATCCGACTTGGTAAGCATTGGATTATGTTACTCATACCTATCCTTTCCGCCGCTTTCTTCGCGGTAACGGCCTTCGCACAACCCGTCACCAACGGCACCAACACAACTTATGTTGGCCCTGAAAATGGACACTTGGTGATAGTCGGCGGCAACCTTCAAAGTGATAAAATCTGGGAGCGCATCATATCGCTTGCCGGTGGACCAGACGCACCGATCGTCGTCGTCCCAACCGCTGGCGGCGAATCTACATACGGAGCAAATTTCTCTGCTGCACTGTCCTTCCGTCGCCTGGGAGCAAAGAATGTGACCATTCTTCACACCTACGATCCAGAGGTCGCAAACACTGATGATTTTGTTGCGCCGCTCCTTAAGGCCAAGGGTGTCTATTTCGGAGGAGGCAGGCAGTGGAGGCTCGTGGATGCATATGCAGGCACCAAGACGGAGAAGGCATTTCAAGCAGTGCTCGACCGAGGAGGTGTAATATCTGGCTCGAGCGCTGGAGCTAGTATACAAGGCAGTTTCCTTGCCAGAGGGGACACAGCGGGCAATCAAGCCATTATCGGGGATCACATCGTTGGATTTGGATACCTGAAGAACACGGCCATTGACCAGCACGTGCTGGTAAGAAATCGACAATTTGATTTGTTCAATATCACACGCAAGTACCCAGATATTTTGGGAGTGGCCATCGACGAGGATACAGCGCTCATTGTACACCAAAATGAGGCAGAGGTTTTCGGTAGTACGTACGTGCTGATATACGATGGAGGGTTTTGGTCTCGTGAGGGAAGTGAACTGAAGAACCCACCCGCAGAGAGATTTTACTTCCTCAGACCGGGCGACAAGTACGACCTAGGGGCGAGGCAGGTCATTATCACGAATGCTACGGGTGGTGGGGATGATGAGTAGGAGTAGCGAACTATACCACTGTAGGTGCGAAAATACAACTACATGCATTTTAGCAGATCGTTAGAGCCTACGAGTTATCCCAAATGATTTGAAATAAGGCGCACCCACACCCTTTATTCGCCACGTGATCAACGACACTGCATTCTTGTATTTCGCCGTCGAGCTTTGATCCACACCGTAGGCCTCGCGATCTGTCTGGCGTTTTCATAATCGAGAACAAAACCTTGCTGGCGTGTGCTCCTGGAGCAAGACAGCAACCACTGTTGGCATGCAGTAAGAGAAGAATAAGTTGTAAAGCTCAGAAGCTCTCTGCAAATTATAAAAGCAGGGTTGCAACAAAATAAACGCTACGGTACCGCAACGCAAAACAGAACTATAAAACTGATTCTAGCCACGTAACAGCGATGCTGCTGCCTACAGCAGCAGCAGAACAAAAAGCCAGCAATCATCCAGTAAGACCTCTCTAGGAAATTTACATATGTGTGGGAGTTTTGCTTTTGGAAGATAGCGAATAATGCTATGTGGATATGTTTCAAATTCTTTAGTGCTCTCATAGGGTCGGTTCTCGCGTTGCAGTTGGCTGCAGATTCTCCTTTTCCGTCATCACACAGAAAGGGCATTTCACGTATGATTGCTAAGGACACATAATACAAATTGTTTTGTTTGGTGATAACACAGCTCTGATAACCTTGACTGCAAAATATCTCCCTTACGACTAGCCTTCAAGTTGTAATCCTCGGCGTCTCAACAGCCAATATTTTAAACTTGCTCGAGTCTGCAAAAGCATCCTGATCCTCCTGTATCTCTTTCTTCAACGGACTAGTCTCAAATGTCTCATTGAACCTTATAAAATGTGCTTGGTCCTCGAACTCTACCGTCGCAATGCAATCATAGTCGACTGTGCTTGGATCACCGAGGTACAGAAGTGGTGGTGGAACGTCAGCGCCCTCCTGGGCTGCAGAATTACGCTGGCAGTAATACCTCGAGTGACGGAGGGGTTTTGCGTCGCCGAGAGCTTTGAGAATAAGGGGTACGTGTTTGTTTTCGTAGTGGTCTTTGAAGGCCTCGAGGGACATGCCGGGCTTGCGGGGGATGAACATGAACACTGTGATTGCCATCTTGTTGTCTGTTCCGGTGTTCTTGAGAATTAATAAGGTTAAAATTAATGTTCGAGTTTTTGCGTTGAATTGAACTTGCGTGCGGCCGCGTTCTTATGTCAGTCGGAAGCCGCTGTGGAGTTCCACTAAGTGAGGGGAAACACATGGACACTTAGGTATACTAGGGCTGACATCCAATTGCTTTTCGAAAGGCCGAGACTGCTGCCAGGACCAAGTAGTAGTGATTTGCACGAATAAAGTTGCGCTGATCGAAAACTAGAGACGCACGTATCAGCTACAATCCTACGCTAGTGGAGCAGGCTCTTGTTGTAGTATCGTGCGCATACCATTGCTGGATGCCTAACTACTTAGTATCGAGGCAGGCATGGTCCCCAATTGTGGCATAGATGAGGTTCTCGGCCGGCTGGTAGACTCTTAGCGAATAAAGTAAGCCGTAGCGCTCTAAAGGTGATAGCTCAACGAAAAAGGCGTTCACTACTTCCTATACTAAAATCTATTAGATGCTCGTAAAATGCGGTGACGGTCCTCGTACCTGTCCACCTAGTATCTCTGTATAGCTTCTCGAAACGGTCGGTCTGCTTTCACAACGAGTTACTTTTGTAGGCCAACCCTATTGTGCCCCAACAAGCTAATTATCTAGCTTCTCGCATTGAGCGACAACTATGAGAAATACTCATATTGATCGAGGGAAGTCTGATACATCTTCTACTGGCAGAAGATAAGCGCACACTTGCCTTGCAATTTCGGCGCACTGTAGCAAATTCCTGTCACACAGTGGACTCGGTTTCTAAAGATCCTTGCCCACTTGCAATATAATATCCACGAGCTGTTCTAAGACTGATAACTCCAAGCTGGCGAGGTGGGCGTACGATCAACGATGACGATCAACGATGACGTTTCCTTTTTAGCTGTGCCTCGGCATCTTTCGGCTTCCAAAGTCGAGTGGAGAAAAAATTGCGACGACTCGCTACTTCCATATACATTGCTCTACGGATATATTATAAACAATATAAGCTGCTAAAAACTTCGCTTGTATTTACTGGGCTTTTAAACATCTCTGCATTACATATACCAGCCTACTGGACGAGGAAGCCACCACTACATCATCATGTCGAGCCCTTTCGACATCATCGCAATAATCACACCTAAATCAGGGAAAGCAGATAGGGTAAATATTACATCTCGATACCCTGAATTCTCCGTTCCTGACTCCTATCTCAGGTTGAAGAACTCCTCACCATCGCTACCAAAGCCGTGGAAGCCAACGAGCCCGGTGCGCTTCGCTACCATCTGCAGCGAGAAATCAAGGGTGACAACCCTTCGTTTGTAATGCTAGAGACGTATGTAGCTCGATCTCCAACTGCATTTCGATACTGTGAAGTGCTATAGCTAACAGCGAGCAGATACAAAGACCAGGCGTCACTCGAGGCACACGCAAAAAGCGAGCATTATCAAGCATTGAGCCGCGCAATCAAGGATGAGGATTTACTTGCTGCGCCAATAAAAGTTATGTTCACCAAGGAGGCTGGTGGGTACGCCAGTAGGCTCTAAGAGAGCGTAACAACTACAACGATAGCTTAGACGAATGCGCACGTGCAGGTCTCTAGCATGGAAGATGTTAGTAAAATGATGCAGGATGCTCACTATACTTGCTAGAGAATCTATTGATTTCCGGCTAGTGATCTCAATTTCCGCTTTCCCAAATGAGATCATAGCCTGGGAAGTTCTCGCTGCCTTTCACTTGCTTACTAGATATGCTTACAAGTTATACATCCCAATATCGACGCCCCGACAGAAATTTCGTAGGCGATAGAGAATGATTGTAAACCTGGTTACCGACCACCGTCAAAAGCTAGATAGTGTCGAATAATTGCTGGTGCCGCAACGTCTTAGCAAGGCTCCACTGACTCAACATCGTGGGCGCATACCGTATTCCTATCTCATCGACACCCCAGGCCCGGAAAAAAGAAATGATCATGGCGACCACCGAGATTTCCTAACTGTCAACGGCATACCGTCTCTTGGCCTTGCCTCGAAGACCATTTCCTGGAATGCGCGGTCGCCGAATGTCAAGTCGAGATCGGTCCACTCCACACGCGGTGTCTTGTTTGGCTTGAGATCTGCACACGTGAAGTCAAAGTCTCTCACGGTCAACAGCAGCGTGATTCTCAATTCATCCATGGCCAACGGCTGACCCAAGCAAGCCCGAGGACCTTTCTCAAATGGACGCCATGCGTGGCGCGGGAAATCGTCGCGTGTGAAGCGGTCTGGGTCAAACTTGGTCGGATTCGGAAAGATCTTTGGGTTCATATGCATCACAAACTGGACCGGGTTGACCATGAGGCCTTTGGTTGGATAATCTCGGCCCTCGAAGGGGATAGTGTCTAAGCCTGCACGGGCAGTGTTGCCTATTGGATAGAGGCGCAACACTTCCTTGATGACGTTGTTTGTGTATTCGAGCTCATTAAGCTTGTGTGGATTTGATTTCAGAAGTTCGTATGTTGCTTCGATACCCTTTGCGAAGATTCGATCATGTTCCTCACGCATCTTCTGGACAACTTCGGGGTGCACACTCAGAAGCATGACCCCGAAACAGACTGTGTCTGACGTTGTGCTGGTACCGCCGATGAGCAGTGTCTTGACCTGTGTGATAGCATTTTCGAGGAATTCAGGATCGAGCTCCTGTCTCCCCGTCTGGCTCGAATTCTCTAGATGGTCTCGGAGGATAAGATCCATGACCCCAAGGCCACGCTTTTCCGTAAGGTCCACTTTATCTTGCAGTATCTTTTCAAATCTTTCTTTTATGAGCACGGCGATGACTTCGTCAAGCTTCTTCCTTGCTGCATTGCGCTTTCTGTCCAGAAAGAAGTTCCGGACCAAGTTGAATGATTTTCGAGTTTGCATGAATGCCCTACACATGTCTTCGAAATGCTGTAGAGCAATGTTGCCTTTGGTTTGTGCATCTAGTGAGTGGCCAAAAGTAGCGGTGGTGATGACATCGAAAGTCAGATGTTGTGTGATATCCTCAAGTCTGAAGGTGTCTCCAGATTCGGATTTCCTCTGAAGGATCGAGCGAAATTTCATGACTTCCTGAGAGGCAGAACATGTTGTCAGTGACTTTTGCATTATCGTTTGGATCAAGAATACTTACGGCAGCCACCATAGATCTCATATTGCTAATATGTGTTATAGAAAATGCTGGGCTCACTAAAGGCATGGGTAGAAAGTCAGATATGTCTTATTTGCAGTGTATACAGTGTATTTTCATACGCATCTTGTGCAAGTATTTCCATCGCGCTCCATTTGTGCTGACGATATTGCCTGTTCCAATCAGAGGATCGACAAACCACTTCTCAGCCTCATGCTTTGGGTGATTCCTGATGGCGGTCATATGAAGTGCGACATCTGGATTTGTCACCACAACCTGACCAGGGGCAGCTGGCCAAAGATCCAGGTAGAAGACTTCCGGCATGTCGTACTTCCTGGCAATAGTCATCACTGCTGCTTGATAATGGGCGTCCTTAGGCAACATCTTGAAGGCATCTTCCAAGATCTTAAGGTGACCCCAGAAGAAACTGTGCGGTGGTTTCGGCTACATAAATGTTAGAACCATGTGCAGTAAAATCAGAATATCGTTCATGGCGAGGAGCACAGTGAGGATGACAATAATAATCTCTTCGATCAGTAGAGCAAATCATCGCAGTGCGACGTACCAGGTCTTTATAGAAACGTCGCTCATTGATAAGTTTGAATAGACCATATGCCAGTACTGCGACAATTCCAGTAAAAAAGATCATTGCCAACGGTAAGTCGTGTACTGCCATTGTATGCACAGGAAGTGAGGAGCAGAAGTCGTGTCACCTCGTCCAGATTACCAACCGGGAAGGCTTTCGAGGACCTTAAGACAGAACAGATCCGCCGCCATGGCTTGGGGAATGTAAGCAGTAAGCAGCCTCATGGGCTATCAAATTAGGAGGTGTTATTTCGCTGATTAGCTGTCAGCGCTAGGCTCCCCGCTTTTGTTGGGTCGGTGCCTGGTCGCACAAACCTGTACTAATCTGCAATGGAACACAATGTATTCGTCGGCTCAAATGACATGGATCGTCACTCCAAAGAGAGCCCTGCATCTTCTGTGTTGAGATTCGCCTTTCAAAACTTTGGGGTACACTTGGCGTGTTAGCTCCATGTATATGCTTTCGTGCGTGGGAGTGCGCGCGACTCCATCTCGTACGCCGCCTTGCTGACGTTTATCAACGCGCATCCTTCTCGAAACCAACGCGAAAATAACGGCTGTGTCTAGCATCTACATTTCAAATAAGTGCCGGAGCTATACCCGATCAAAATACTATCTCTAACAATGTCTGGTGCATTTCTTCGCGCCGTAACATAAATCTTACCAATCTTTAGATAGCTAGTCTTGAAAAGATGACAAGGCTTGCACTCAGGTGATCACGGGGAGAATCGAGAGACTTCATCTAGCGCGTGCATAGAGCCTTGAAGCTACTAGACTTCGTCATCTCGATAGCAGTAACTGTCGTTGCTAGGAGGTCAGTCAAATGACCCATGAATTCTGGAACTTCCACTGTTTATGGTATCTCATCCCTAGCTATCCGTCCCTCCTTAACCGCCGCCTTCATATAGTCATCCAATAACGACATTAGTACGCTATCACTACCTTGCTTCAACCAGCTTGCATCGTGCGCGAGTGCCACGTGGAGACCGCAACCCCTTTCTAAGGTTCGTATTTTCGCGATTGTGTCCTTTGCGGCATTGAGATCAGTGTGAAGAGACATGTTCTCACCAAATTGCGCAATCTCCTTCTTTCCGTCAAGTAACTCCCTAAACTTGTCAGCAAACGCCCCGTACCCCTTTCAACTCTAGCGTACCTAGAATGGCAGCAATCAGATCCGAGCAGTACCCAGCTACCGTCTCGCAACCTTGCAGCAGCCGACAGGTTTCCTGGCATGTGTCCAGGCGACTGAATGACCCAGAAGCTACCATCACCGAAGTAGTCCATCGCTACGTTGAATGGACCGAACTTCGCCCAGGTCCCCGCAACCTCTTCCCATCTTTCCGTCGCATGATTCGGATCGAAGAAACGGCCGTCCCATTGCGCGTTAGGCTCCTCTAGGTGTCCGGGCGAGCAAGCAGACCTTGTTCCCGGTCCGAAGTAGGCCGTTGCGTTCGGAAACACGTCGCTGATAGGTCGTGAGTGATCCCAGTGTGCGTGACTGCGTACTAGTCAATTGTCGGACTGCAAAGACAGGCATCGGCTTACCTGAACAACACAGTATCGATTTGGTTTGCCAAGACTCCTCTTTCAGACAACTGCTGAACTATAGTTCTTCGTGGCCCGACGTGGTTCACTTGATCAAGCATGAATTGGTTGACCCAGGGTGTATAGCAACTCCGATCCTACCAACATCAAAATCAGCAAGGTAAGTCAATCGATCAGTTCGAAGATGGCTACGTACCTCGTCCAATCCAAGATCCCAGATGATGTGTCTTCCTCGATGTGAGATGTAAAAAGCCCAGTTATACATGCGAAATCCGCCACTCTCGCCAGCATGCAACCTGCTAAGGTCGCCAATGAAGCTTCCACCATCAAGCAGAGAAAGCTCGACAAAAGCATCTGTACGCGGCAAGCTTCCACTTCCGAAGTCCGTGACTGTCATCTTCGGTACAAGTACAAAGATATTTAGTTGGTGAGTACCTTCAGCTAATACCAGTTACACCCGCTCGTGTTTGTCAATTGCCGAATCGCGTCGACACGCACAGCGACTACCGAAAGCTTCCATACGAGAGCCATCCTTACTCCGATTCCCCACATTGTTGCAGCAGTTAAATATACATCCTAGTGTGATGCCCCACTGCTCATAAGTACCAATGCGGGGTATTTTTTACCCCACGGAGCTTATTCCGCTAGACCCTGACACAGGAACTAGCCATCAATACCCTCTTAATTGACCACGAATCAATACTATCCAGTCAACTGTGCTATTGGGAAGGTGTGTTCTGTTTGGATTGATCGAACTACATCACCTATCAAAAATAGGAACAGAATGTCTGCAAATTTCCAGCATTCGAGCTTAGGCGAATTGAAGGGCAATGTGGGAGATGGAACAGTACAATTCCTAGGCCTGAAGTATGCGAATTTGAAGAACCGCCTCGCTGCGGCCGAACTTGTGGAAGGCTACGGTTCTGGGGCTATCGATGCTTCAAAATATGGGTATGCTTCCATTGCTACCTTTTGATCCTCTATTAATGTCTACTAGACCACCCCCAGTATCACCAGTCGGTGCTGTCAATCGCGAGTTTGGCTTCATTCAACACTCCCTTCCAATCCCAGATGTTCCAACACACTCCGATATCGAAGGGCTCAACTTGAACATCACCGTACCTCGAGGCCCCAATGGCGACATTAACAGCAACTCAAAACTCCCTGTATACGTGTTTATACATGGAGGTGGTTTTGCCGTTGGGTCAAGTTGGTACCCGCACTACAACCCAGCCTCGATAGTGAAGCTATCAGCTGAGAAGGGGAAGCCTATCATTGGTATCACAATCAAGTGAGTATTTGAAATCCCATACAACATTTTTACTGAAAATCCGTAGTTATCGACTAGGTGTCACTGGCTTCTTGAGTTCAGAGGAGTTGCGCAATGCAGGGTATAAAGCGAACAATGGGCTTCATGATCAACGCACCGCTATGAGATGGATCAAGAAGTTCATCGGTGGATTCGGCGGCGATCCAGACGAGATTACAGCTGTCGGCGAGAGTGCCGGGGGGCGTAAGTGGGCTTTTCACCTTCCCTATCCATTGATTAACCATATCAGTTTCCGTAACGATGTTCCTTTGCTCAAAGGAGCCTCTAATGAAGCGTTGCCTCAGCACAGGAGGAGCTACCCTTCTTTTCAAGCCCATACCTCTAGCCGTTGCAGAATCTTCGTATCAGCAAATCATCAAAGCCTTTGGGCTCGCTGATAAGTCACCCGAAGAACGTATCGAAGCACTCCTTAGCCTACCGGTGGATGATCTCTGGCAGAAAGTTCCATTAGGCGCACTGTTGCTCCCCGCAGTCGATGGAGATACTGTACCGGGCACACCGGATTTCCTAACAGTCTCGTCTAAGGAAGATAACGTTGCTTTCTTGATGCCCGGTCGCAAATGGTGTAATGCGGTAATGATTGGGGAGTCAAAGCTCGATGTATGCCATATACTACGACTTGCTGAGTGTCACTGACACTATCCAGGCCAACATACTTGCATACATGGGCCTTGATGCCCGAAAGGCCAATATCGCGCAGAAGTTTATCCACTCCGTTAACGCCACCCTCGCCTCTCACCCCTCAGCAGCCACAGCTCTCCTCTCATCCTACAACATCACGCCATCTACCCCTGATGACGAGGCTCTCCTCTCCATTCTTCGCTTTGCGACCGAGATCAGTTTTTATGCGCCTGCTCGTGCCTTTGCCCAGGGATGGCCCAATACCAGCGAGTCCAAGTTCTTCCTCTACCATTTCAATGAAGGCATACCTTGGCCTGGCCGCTTCCAAGGCGAAGCGGGACACATTCTTGATGTTTCTTATCTGTTTCAAAATTTCAACGAGCACTTGAATAAGGAGTGTAGAGAATTGGCAAAGAAATTTGCAGAAGATTTTATCGATTTTGTGAACGGCGAGGATCCATGGCCGCCAGTTCAAGGGCAAAGGCTTGGGGCGAGGGTCTATGGACCGAGTAGCGAAGGAGTGGCAACGAAGTATGTCGAAGATGGGAATCCAGTGGATGTGGGGCGGAACGATCGTGTGCTTAAATTGGGTGAGTTGGCGGGTTTTGATAACATCCTGGACGCTTTCCAGAACTTCTTTCAGGGGCAGTAAAGTCTATAGTCTAAGCTAAGACGTATCTATGCAAACTCCCATGTCCCATCTTCCTTCTTCTTCCCAGTATCTTCGAACCCCTCGGGCAAAATACCCCCAACGTGCAGATAAATACTACTTCCATCCCTATCTAGACATCTCTCATCCCTGCTCGCATTCTCCCAAACACCCAAGGCCGCCTCCGCCATGGTTGGGGCAACACCAACCTGCTTCGCACTTTCTATCCCCAAGCCCAAGTCCTTGAGCATCATTTGCGTTTTGAAACCGGGCTTGTACCCACTGTTGCTCGGCACCCAATACTCCGTCTGCACATTTGGAATCGGCAGAACATGATCGCACATCCAACTCTGACCTGTGCTATTCTTAATGACAGAGTACAGGGCCGTAGGATCCAGGCCGTGTTTAACACCCATGGCGAGGGCTTCGGCTGTCGCTAGGAGAATGGTGCCGGAAAGGTAGTTGTTTGCGATTTTAGCGGTGAGGCCGGCGCCAAGGGTGTGTAGGTAGAAGAACTTTGACGGAGTGCCAATTAGAGCGAGAACATACCGGAGGCGACGGGAGGTTGGGTTTGAGTCTGATGGCGGAGGATAGCCGATGAGCATGCTAAGATCACCCCGTTCGGCGGCTGGGACACCGCCCTATTGTAGTCCTTAGTCATAAGTGTAGGATGAGGGAGATAGAAAATAACTTACAGATACTGGCGTGTCGATGTATGTTCCCATACCCTTTTCCAACAACGTCTTCCCTACTTCTCTCGTACTCTCTACGTCGATCGTACTACACTCTAAGAACAACCTCTCGTCGTCCTTCCTCGCCGCAATGACACCAGTGTTCTCGTCCAAGTAAACTTTCTTTACGTCTATAGCGCCTGGTACTATTGAGATTAGTATTTTGGCATTCTCTGCTGCTTCACGCGCGGTCGACACTATTTCGATAGGTCCATGGTTGCTGTATTGGGCTTTGAAGCGCTCGCATGCCGAGGAATTGATGTCATTAATATATAGGATTGAATCCTTCGGTATATTTTGTCGTATGTTCACAGCCATTGCGTAGCCCATGGCTCCGAGACCTGGATAAAATTAGTTTGTGACGACGCCATTGGATGAGGCAGATGGACCGATGAAAGCGTAGTTTTCCGACATAGTGAGGACAATATTTTGGACTTTGAGTTGGTGATATTTCCTAATGACGTTGGGAGACTGCATTCGAGGTCTTAATCTCTATGCTGCTCCTACATGGAGTTAGTTGTTTAGCGCGTTGCTGTCCCTGCATATTCACTATTGCCCCACATTATCCCCTCACTTCCTAAATCCTTCCCCAAATTAACATCCTCGGTGAAATAGTACCGTGTTTGTTAGCAGAGGAATTATGTGTTAAGTTTGGGGAATTGAACATGTTATCTCAGTACAATCAAGTGACAGTTAACTCACCCCACTTGCTCTGCCCATAATCTTCAATCTTATCAAAGTCTCATTGTCATTTGCATCAAGATTCAACGGCAATGTCTTCTGAAAAGTCCCTAAAAATCGGTGTCATAGGCCCAGCAGGCTTTGGAGGATCATACCTCGCGGTCGAACTCCTAAATCGCGGCCACACTGTCATCGGAATCTCGCGCAACCCGCAAAAGCTCGGCAAGCACGAGCGATACATCCCACGACCCGTAGACATAGACGCAACATCAATTGAAGAGCTAGCACGGAGCTTTGATGGTGTCGATGTCTTGGTCTCAGAGTACGGACCGCACACGGCCGGTGCTGGGGCGCTGCAATATAGTGCGTCAGAATCCTTTATTTTTTTTCTGAAATAAGATATACCATGAATGAGGATAAGACAGCGCTGATTACATCTCTACAGTGCCATTCCTCGAAACAGTTCGTAAGCTGATCCTCGCCTACAAAGTCTCTTCAGCAAACTACTTCCTCTTTGTTGGTGGCGCAGGCTCCTTGCATGTCCCCGGTACATTAACCTGCTGTGTCGACCATCCAGACTTCTTCCTTGCATACCGCCGCGCAATCTCCACGTCGCTCGCACACATAGCGTACATGGAGGAGCGGCTCGGGATCATGGGCACGAGCCTGCGTGCCTATCGTGAAGCTCGGATCGCTGAGGCGAAAGGATCAGCGACCGAGGAAGAAAAGCGTGTGATTAGGGAGTATGAAGACTCTATCAAGAAGCAGGACAAGGCGAGTGATTTCATCAAGGCGGGTCGCACGGCGTATATGTTTTTTGATGGGAATGAGAGCTTTCGATGGAGCTTCGTGAGCCCTAGCGCCCTGTATCGACCTGGTAGACGAACTGGAAACTACGAAATTAGTATTGACGATATGGCGCTGAATGGCGAGCGGCATGAGGGTAAGGATATCTTCGAAGGGAGATTGACGGGCATCAGTGTGGCAGATATGGCGATTGCGATTGCAGATGAGGTCGAGCAGCAGAAGTTGGTATGGAAACATTGGAGTGCTTGGGGTGATATTAGTGAGGACTTACCTGCACCAGCGTATGTGAGTTTGGATGCTGTAGAGGGAGGGAGTCGGTAGTGTGATTAGACGGAAACGGTATATTTGCTGGTGATATGATGAACAATCGACAAAGCCTGAACGCCTTGCGCTTACTTACACCCTAATGCAAAGCCAGAACACCTTTTCAACTTTCTGCTGCTCTTCTCTAAGCTTAAACGTTCATCTCTTTCAAGTCCTCCGCGACCTTGAACGGTGCTTCTGTCTTTGCCTTGATCTCATCAACTGTGACGCCCTTCGCATACTCCTTCAGTGTAAGGCCCTCAATACGATCGACGTCGAACACAGCCAGATCCGTGATAATCGTCGAAACACACTTCTGCCCTGTTAACGGGAACGTGCATTGGTTCAGGATCTTCGGGTTTCCCTTCTTGTCGACGTGCTCCATAGTGATTACCACTTTAGTCTGGGTGGGGTTTGCGACGAGATCCATGGCCCCACCGATGCCTTTCACTTTGCCGGGAAGCATGAAGTTTGCAAGATCTGGCGGCGCGATTAGATGAAAAGTATTATAAAATGGAAATGGATATGGAACTCACCTCCGTATTGGTTAACTTGCATTGCGCCTAGCATTGCGACGTCGATTCGCCCAGATCGAATCATACCAAAGCTCTCGTGGCTGCCGAATGTGGATGCTCCTTGAATCAAAGTTACGGTCTCTTTGCCGGCATTGATAAGATCCGGATCTTGTATGTAAGTTAGTAACCGACTATTCAAAGATATTTGACTCTGGGTTCGGGCTTCAAGAGTTCGTACCTTCTTCACCAGGCTTGGGATATCTGCCCATGCCCAAAATACCATTCTCAGACTCTAGAATGATTTCGGTGCCTTCCGGCAGGAAAGCAGGTGCTGCAAGAGGCATGCCGATACCGAGGTTGACATACATGCCATCCTTCAACTCCTGCGCGGCTCGCTTGATGATGCGCTCTCGCTTCTGTGATGCTTCTGTTGAACCTGACGACGAATAAGTATGACTTCTTTACTATTGGGCCACTTGTACTTACCACCTGCCAGCAATGCCTTCTTCTGCTCCTCGGGCGTCTTCCAATGCACCAACCTCTCAATCTCCTTCTTCTCGGTACTCTTAATGACCTTCTTGACATATATTCCCTGCAAATGAATGTCTTCCGGCGCTATTTGTCCATCCTCCACAATCTCGTCCGCCTCCACAATCGTGATCTTTGCATTCTTGCCCATCGCTTCGTTGAAGTTGTTTTGCGCTTTGCGGAACTGGCAGTTGCCCAAACGGTCGGCTTTCGCCACCTTGACGAAAGCGTAATCGCCATATATCGCTTCTTCGAGGACGTAAGCTTTGCCGTTGAACTCGCGAGTTTCTTTGGGAGGGGCCATTTTCGCAATTGTTCCGTCGGTGTTGTAGCGGACCGGGAGTTCACCAGTTTGTACTGAGTTGTGTTAGCTTCCTTGCTCCACACTATTATTATCTACGTCGTCCACCAGCCAAGTCGTTAATCGCGTACCTATTGTTCCATAAGCTGCAGGTGTGTAGAAGGCCGGTACACCAGCCGCACCAGCAGCGCACTTCTCCGCAATTGTGCCTTGAGGTGTCAATTCCAAGCTCAGCTGCCCCTTCAAATACATCTGTTCGAACACTTTGTTGTCTCCGATGTAACTTGCAACCATCGTCCCAATTTGCTTGGTTTCAAGCAGCTGTCCGAGGCCGACGCCAGGCATCCCCGCATTGTTGCTAACGACCGTGAAGTTGGTGAGGTCTGATCGGTCGCGCAGAGCGTTGATCAATGTATTCGGTACCCCAGAAAACCCAAAGCCACCAACAAGTACTGTGCTGTCCGATTTTAGATCCTTGATGGCTTCATGTGCAGATGCGACTATCTTGTTTATCGCTGGTCGCATTGCTGTGCTGGAAAAGAAGCGAATGGCTGGACCATTGCGGCGAGCCGCGAAGAGAAATGTCCGTTGCATCGTGAGTATCGTGGGCGTTGGAGTCGTAAAGACGTAATTAAATCGTAATAGGCTTCAAAGTGCTCAAAAAGAGTTCCGGTTGGTGCAGAAGCAAGTTGAAATGCTTGTTGAACCCTAAGCTAACAAGTGGTATACGCGACGATGTAGAACGATTACCACCAGCTTCCAGCCGCTCCACAACTCTCAATGCACAATGCTGCGAGTGATATTGGGGGTTACAACTTTTTGGTTGCGGAGTTCAAGCTCCCCACACGACTGCGGGTGGGTTGCATTATGCACTAGAACCAATGTAGCAAGCCGACCCAATTGCCGGTCGAAGCCGGTGGAGACTTTAGCTCGGAAAAGGCTCCGCAAACCGCTGGCGGAAGAGAGTTGAGCCGGCAGAGCACGGAAAAGCGGCCAATATGCAATCTCATTGGTTGATGGAAGAACTGGAAGAAGTTTTAGGACACGGATATGGAGATGTTTTCCATTACTGATATACATTTTCCCATTCCTGCACTCGACATGTTTGCGCTCTTACACATGTTGCTAGTTCTTTCCCTAATACTATTCTCTCACGATTGGCTTTATCAATAGAGGTTGTGAACAATTTGTTTTACTAGTGGAATGTTTAGCTGCATGATAATAAAGTTTGTATGGTGGTGTACTCACAACTGGCGAAATCCTTGTGATCCTTGCTATGCAGTGCACGAGATGCGATAGCTTCTTGTTCAGCATCGCCAGTGGGAACCTTATACTGCAATGCATCAGCTTCTGCCTATTTTTTACGCTGCTGTACACTTACAGCTGTCAAAGTGGTCTTGTGTCCAAGCTGTTGGACAAGGCTCGCGATAGCATTTGCCACAACTAGCGAGTCCTTTTCATCGCTTCCCGAACTTTGCCTCCCAATGTATGGGATGATCCTGGCGATTTGCTTTGCTTCTTCCGGGTTACTGGCCTTGAATTGCACTGTTGGCGCTAGACTTAGGCAGCTTGTGATGCCGTGTGGAATGCTGTATGTAGCGCCAATGGCGTGGCCGATGCTGTGGCTAAGACCCACGCCGCCAGTGTAGAGGAAGGGAAAGAGCGATGAATAGCACGCGAGGAAGAGTTTCGTGCGTACCTCCGCGTCATCTGGATTGTCTTTGGATTGCGGGAGGTAGGCGAAGAGATCTTTGATAGCCTCCAAGCACATGCGCTTCGTTGGTATCTCGGCGGCAAGCGGGTGGTACATTAGCTCGACTGCATGGTCCAGTGACCGAATCTATCTTGTCGTCAGTCACTACACTAGTCTAGGAGGTTTGTGGCGGCGTTGGCATACACCCGTGCTTGTCCATAGAGTGAGTGGCGTGTATATTGCAAGATTGCCATCATATACCACAGCTTTGACCAGTTAGTTCACTCTTCCCGACTTTTAGGACGCTCTGTGACCAACCTTTCGGTACGAGCTCTGGATGGCTGACGGCGATTTTATGCTTCTCTTCTGTAGTGAAGCCAGCGTTTTGTGTTGTCTCAGCTACGCTCAGTGTCGTCGGTACGGCAATGCTAGGTACCCATTTTCCCGTTTCTTGGTGGATGTTGTATGCAATAGCCTTAGCAGAGTCAATAGGTGATCCACCGCCTATTGCTATGAGAACATCGCATCCGGATTTCGACATTAACGCCGTGGCTTCCCGGATATCTTGAATTGGTCTGTCGTGCATCAGCTACCACTTCTACGCCACATACTAACCACACATACGCATGTTGTCCAATCTTGCTGAAAGTTCCACCGTGCGCAGCGCCAAGTGCCTTCTCGATGTTCTTGATCACTGGAGTCTTCTCGTACAGTGATCGACCGGTAATGATGAACGCTTTGGTTCCTCCGAGTTCTGCAACGACATCTGACAATTGATTGCTTGTCCCTGAAAATTCTATTAACTCCTGTGTGGCCTTTTAGCGATCAAGCTTACCATTTCCATATATCATAAGCTTGATGGGGGAAGCTCGATATACGCCCTTGACCGAGGAGTCAATGCTGCCATTTTGATACTTGTTCGGAAGCGCCATCATTAGTAGCGAAGAAAATCGGTTAGCTGTGTACACCGAATGGTGAGGTCGAACGTGTACTCGATGCAGCGTCCAATCTTAGTAAGCACCATTGCTATGTTCCATGAATCGTCATGGAGGGGCCGTTGGATCTCGCCCCACACAACCCTGCCCCGCCACAGCTTGTTTCCGTGACCAAGAAGCGGCAACCCCTGCAGTTTTGAGAGTACACTAAGCGGTGAACATTGTAACCATGTTGCAGCTCGTATTTGGAAGTTGATGCAAAAGATGGCGACCTTCACCAGAGCTGCACGAAATGTACTGCAGAAGAGTCCAAACGATGTGGTCTTGCTTTCTGCGGTCAGGTCTCCAATTAACCGCAGCTTCAAAGGGGGATACAAAGATGCTCACCCGGAAGACATCTTGATGCCAGTAGGATAGGACAAGCTCAGCCGTATTTCCATGCTAATACTCCGCAGGTGATGCAAGAGGCTGTACGACGTGCGCATATTGAGCCTAAGGATGTAAACGACGCCATGATTGGCAATGTGTTGGCTGAACTGGGATTTGCGAAGACCGGTCGCATGGCGCTCAACCATGCTGGGTTCCCGAACTCGACGACTTTCCATACTGTCAATCGCCAGTGTTCGAGCAGTCTGCAAGCTATCACCCACATATCGCACTCGATTATGGTGGGACAGATTGATGTTGGCCTTGCTGGAGGCGTAGAGTGCATGTCAAGAAATTATGGATCGCGAGGTGTTCCAACCGATGTTTCGCCTACTCTCCTGGGTTCTACTGTCAAAGATGCTCGCGACTGTCTTATGCCTATGGGAATTACATCAGAGAATGTGGCGGAAAAGTACAAGATTGACCGCAAATCTCAGGACGAGTACGCCGTGGAGAGTCATGGCCGTGCCAGTCGAGCCCAGAAAGAAGGTCGTTTCGATTGGGAGACTGTTCCTGTAACAATCCAGAGGGTTGATGAGGCAACAGGGCAGCCAAGTGGATACGAGGTGACGAAGGATGATGGCATTAGGCATGGTCTGACATTCGAGAAAGTGTCAACACTCAAGCCAGTATTTGGCGAGAATGGAAAGAGCACGGCAGGCAATTCGTAAGTTTCATCTTGCTTTTCGGACACAGACATAGAACTAACTCGACAGGTCCCAAATATCAGACGGCGCATCGTCTACCATCCTGGCTCGAAGGTCGTGGGCAGAGGAGCGTGGGCTGACACCACTGGGTCGCTTCGTTGGAACACAGGTCAGAGGCTGTGCGCCCGACGAGATGGGCATCGCACCAATCTATGCCATACCAGCGTTACTAAAGTGGACGGGTGTTGAGCTGAAGGACGTCGATATTATAGAGCTGAATGAGGCCTTTGCAAGCCAGACCATTGCGTGCATACGCGAGCTAGGCTTGGATGAAGAGAAAGTAAATCCAAACGGCGGCGCCATCGCTCTTGGTCATCCGACGGGCGCAACAGGCGCCCGCCAGACTGCGACTCTCTTTGGTGAGCTACGGCGACAAGACAAGGAGATTGGCATTGTAAGCATGTGCGCGAGTACCGGGCAAGGCGTCGCATCGCTATTCATTCGGGAGTCGTAGCAGAGGAGATGAACTAGCTCAATTGATTAAGGAGATAGATATCTATCGGGTACACAATTCCGAATTCTGATTATGATGGGAATGTGTAGCTTGACGCGTTTACGAACTCGGTGAACGCCAGCACGACGCGTGGCTCATGTGATATGCACGCTAGCTGAATTCGGAAGACTACTTACAGGGGCGCGCTGCCCCGTCTCGGCACTACATTCCCCACACGATGCAGCGCAGGACGTCCCACACACACTTACACCGCCGTCTTGGAGCCGCAATGTCTTTTGTGTCGCTACGGTTCCTTTTGCATTTGTACCTTCCTCCCTGAGGTTTTGTTGCGATTGAGCGTCCCGTCATGTTTCTCCTTCGACGTGCCCCACTACGTGCCCTTCCACGACTGGCCAATGTCCATTACCAACGCCGAAGCCTAGGCAGTGTGAGCGCTATCGACTCCGTCATCTTTCGCACACTATTCGGAACCGATGAGATTCGAAAGGTGTTTGACGACAAGGCGTACATCAATCGCTGCGTCGACGCTGAGACAGCTTTGGCGAGAGCACAGTCAAAATGCAATGTTATTCCGTCCCATATTGGAGAACTTGTGACCTCCAAGGCCATTGAAGTGGATTTGGACTATGATAGGCTGCGTCGCGAAACTGAAATCGTCGGCTACCCAATCTTCCCTTTGGTCCGGCAACTGTCTGCGTCTTGCGGCGAAGAAGCTGGCCGCTATGTACATTGGGGAGCAACAACTCAGGATATCATGGACCTGGCCAGCATTTTGCAGATGAAAGAAGGCCTTGAGATTGTTGAGCGGACGCTTCGCTCCGTCATCAAGAACCTTGAAAGCCTATCGAGGAAACATCGAGACACGCCCATGGCTGGCCGCACCCATCTGCAACACGCTCTACCGATCACCTTCGGGCACAAATGCGCCATCTGGCTATCGAGTTTTCAGCGACACCTCGAACGTCTCGAACAACTGAAGCCTCGCGCGTTAATGGTTCAATTTGGAGGAGCTGCAGGCTCTCTAGCTTCCTTGGGCTCAGGCGACGATGGCATACGTGTTCGAAAGGAAATGGCGAAGGACCTTGGCCTTACCGATCCACCAATCACCTGGCATGTTGCAAGAGATGGTGTTGCTGAGATCACAAACTATCTCGCGCTTGTTGGTGGAACTTTGGGCAAACTAGCTCTCGATATCATCCTCATGTCATCGAACGAGCTTTCGGAGGTATCAGAGCCTTTCGTCCCGCATCGCGGCGCATCTTCTACTATGCCGCAAAAGAGAAACCCCATCTCAAGCGAAGTTATATTGGCAGCATCCAAGATTTTGCGATCGAACGCCGGACTGGTTCTTGACGGCATGGTGTCAGACTTTGAACGTGCCTCGGGTCCGTGGCACCTGGAATGGGTCGCGGTACCAGAGAGCTTCGTCATTGCTGTTGGTGCACTAAACCAAGCGGACTTTGCACTTGCCGGGCTCGTTGTGAATCCCCAAAAGATGCTCGATAATCTCTATTCGACCAGAGGACTCATCGTCGCTGAAGCAGTGATGATGGGCCTCGCTCCTCACGTTGGTCGTTCGAAAGCTCACGACGTTGTGTACGAAGCATGCAAAGAGAGTATTGAAAACGACACGAGTCTATTGGAGGCTCTGCAGACCCGCTCTGAGATTACTGACAAAATCTCCAACGACGAATTGAGCTCACTGTGCGACGCAAAGAATTACCTGGGGTCATGCGGTCTGATGGTCGATGAGGTTCTGGCTGCATCAAGATAACATATCTACTTCGACCCTAAAATTAGCGAGAAAAGATCATTAAGAGTAGATATATCTTGATGGGAGCATTGCATGTACTTGGTTTGAGTAAGCACTGTTAAATCAATTGGTCATATCATCAACATTATAGACAACCCCGCAAATAAGCCTCATCACTCATATTGCGATGCTATTCAGTACGCAGAGCATCTTACGCATTCATTTACCGCGTCCCACTAACCAGGTTTAACCACATGTTCCATTCATTGTGGGCCTCTCACAGCCTCCGTAGGGGACTTACCGAATCTATAACCCCGCCATATTGAGGACGGGCCCCGCCACCACATCATGGGCCACCCGCACCACTCTTAGCGGCAGATGCCAGCTAAAGGTCCGTGATCATGGACCACTTGATAAAAGGCTGGATTGAGCTGAGATGGTAAACTTCATCGACTTTCTTCGTTCTACCATTTGTCTAACAACATGTCAGAGTTCAAGGAACGCAAGCTTGTCACCGACCCTCAGAAAGCCTTTCATTTCACGGATCTTCAAAGACTAAAGCCAACTCGTGCGAACGACCCATACGACTACCAACCAGGATGGGGCAACCGACATCAGTCTGAAGTCATTCCAGGAACGTTGCCAGTTGCGCAAAACAACCCTCATGAAGTTCGATTCGGACTGTACACAGAGGGCATCACATCCTCAGCATTTACGGCTCCACGCCACCAGAACTTCAGTACCTATATGTACCGCTGCCGGCCAGCGGCTGCACACAGTAAGCATCGTCTTCGACTTCTGATGCATTTCCTAACCCCGTCAGATGGATATATTCCGATTGAATCAAAATCTAACATTCAAAATTGCTTTCTCTCCCTCAATCCCAAAGTCGCAACACTTCCCGAGCAAGCAGAATGGCACCCATTTCCGCTACCGAAGGAAGACGAGAAGATCGATTTTGCGGACGGACTGCATACCCTTGCAGGCAGTGGAGATCCCAACATTCGAGAAGGGCTTGCTCTCTACGTGTACATGATTAATTCGAGTATGGAACGGCGAGCGTTCTGTAACGCAGATGGCGATTTCCTCATCTGTGCGCAGCAGGGTAACCTTGACATCAAGACTGAGATGGGGAAGATATTTTTACAGCCTGGCGAGATTTGCGTCATTCAACGAGGTATCAGGTTCTGTTTGAACCTAGCACCGGATACTAAAGAAGCACGGGGTTACATAACTGAGATTTGGGGATCGACGTGGGAGCTCCCAGATCTCGGTCCTCTTGGCGGCCATGGTCTTGCGAATCCTCGCGACTTCCTCTACCCGGTTGCTGCCATTGATGACGAGCTTCACGTCGACTGGCAGATCGTGAACAAGATCAACGGACAGTTGGTCTCCATACAGCAAGACCATAGCCCCTTCGATCTCGTTGCATGGCATGGCAATGTCGTGCCGTACAAATACGACCTAACCAAGTTCTCCTCACAAAACAGCACGTCGATCGACCATACGGACCCATCGATCTTTATTGTTCTGACCGCCAAATCCCGGGATCCCCTTACGCCTTTGGCAGACTTCCTATGGTTCGGGCCTCGCTGGGATGTGGCTACGAATACTTTCCGACTACCTTATTTCCATCGCAACTCTGCATCTGAGTTCCTTGCATGCATCTATGGGAAAGGCTTGGGGCGAAGCGATGACTTTCTGCCTGGAGGCGGTAGCTATGAGGGAGGGCATACACCCCACGGTGGGTTTCACGAAGGGTACCAGCATGGCATGAGGATACAAGAGAGCCAGCCAGAGAAGATCTTGCAAGGTGAGATTCTACTAAATCAGCCCAAAACTTAATAACTAACGTGCGTAAAGATCAATTGACTATTATGGTCGAATCAAGCCGACTCTTCCTCTGGACGGAGTACGCTCGTAAGGGTTGCGGGACGATTGACACTCACGGTACAGACTACAAAGTTTGGAAGGGCCTTCCGGTAAGCTTTGGAGTCAAAGACTGCATTGTGAACTCAGAGCTAACATGCACTTCAGGATCGATTCTCCGCGAACAAAAGAGCTCAGGAACTGCTCGCTCGAGTGCACGAGGACAAGATTGCCGAGAAGCGACGGCTCGCTCCCTACTACTTTGGCGGTTTCGCACATGGCGCAAACACTAGCGATGCGGAAGGTGTTCATTCAGAAGAGCTCGAGCCGTACCTGCGCCGTGATTCTAAGATCAATGGACAGAATGGGACGAATGGGACTGGTGAGACTCATGGGATCACGGCATGAATGTTTTGATAATCTTTTAGTATTCTCGGGTTTTAGCAAGGTTCTTTGGCAGGCAATTTGTACACCTTGTTCGTTCTATATCTAATATCAAGCAATGAGTATGGCCTCGGTGTTCCTGCAGTTGTCAGAAAACGTCTGTGCAATCCGGTTCGTCCGGTTCCTGAGCTACCTAGCGTCCCCACCTACAGCATGTGGGGCAAGATTTTACAACTATCGCTAACACATTCTCTTTAACATGACAAAGCTCAAGGATGGCGTACCCAAATCAGTACCATGAATTCTCTAGAGACCCTTCTGAGGGCAGCACCGCGCACAAGGCTCTGTTTACCGACCTATCGGTTGCCGGCAAGGCCATCCCAGCTATGGAAGAGGGATATTGCAACGAAGAACAATGTAGACAAGAAATTAATTGAAAGGTTACCCTTGGCTGGCATCAAGGTGCTGGATATGACCAGGGTGCTTGCAGGGGTAGGTCATTGCTCTATCGGGAAGAAGATCAAAGATGCTGACAGCTAGTAGCCGTACTGCACCCAGATATTGGGGGATCTTGGGTGAGTTACAGCCTGTTCAAATATTTCTATCTACCTACTAACGGGCATCACAGTGCAGAAGTCATCAAGATCGAGCATCCAACAAGAGGTGACGACACCCGATCATGGGGACCACCAGATGCGCCCTACAATGACGGCGTCGAGCGTCAATTCCCGGGAGAGAGCGCATATTACCTCTCCGTAGGCTCCTCACGAACTCACCTAATCCTAGACCCATGATACTGATTACTTTAAGGTGAACCGCAACAAGAAGTCTCTAGCCCTCTCCTTCAACAACCCGACTGGCACATCGATCCTTCACTCGCTCGTTCGCCAATGCGACATTCTTGTCGAGAACTACCTCCCTGGGTCCCTAGCAAAGTATTCCCTTGACTACGATACCCTCTCAGCTCTCAACCCCTCGCTCATCTACGCCTCCGTTACAGGCTACGGTCAAACAGGCCCATACCGCGACCGCGCAGGCTACGATGTCATGGTTGAGGCGGAAATGGGCTTAATGCACATCACGGGCGAGCGAGACGGGCCACCAGTGAAGGTCGGCGTTGCAGTCACAGATATCATGACGGGAATGTATACGGCGATTGGGATACAAGCGGCGCTGTTGTCGAGGAAAGAGACGGGCTTGGGGCAGTGGATTGACGCGAGTCTGAGTGATTGTCAAGTCGCTGGGTTGGCGAATATCGCGAGTAGCTGTCTAGTGACTGGAAAGAAAGACAGCGGTCGATGGGGAACTGCTCACGGTAAGCTCTATCTTATGTTTTGGTCTTGGATGGAAGACAAATAATGATGAACTAATGGCTAACTGGTTCACAGCGACAGTAGTACCATATCGCGCCTACAAAACGAAAGACACAAACATCGCCGTCGGTGGCACTAATGAGAAGATGTTCGGTATCCTATGCGATAAACTTGGCAAACCAGAGTGGAAGACAGATCCACGCTTCATCACGAACGCACTGCGCGTCAAACACCGCGAAACCGTGGACCACCTCATTGAAACCCAACTTCAGACTAAAACAACACAAGAGTGGCTGGAGATATTGGAAGGCAGTGGTATGCCATACGCAGCGGTCAATGACATCCAGGGCACGATAAACCACAAGCATGTAATTGCGCGCAACATGATAGAGGAGGTTGACCATCCTGCTTGTGGCCCACTGAAGCTAGTCAATCACCCGGTCAAGTATTCAAGAGCAGAACCGAAGATCCGTTCGCCGCCGCCATTGCTAGGTCAGCACACAGATGAGGTCTTGAGAGAAATGTTAGGGTTTGAAGCAGAGGAGATCAAAGAATTAAGAGAGAGAAACATTGTAGCATAGCGATAAAATTCACTTGTTCAGCCTTCGAAGGACTTAAAATAGGGTTAGCAAATTTCTCACCGCGATACAGAAACACGTAACTTTCAAAATTAACCAATTCGCGCTATCACATGATCGTAATTTTAGTTGATGATGCGGAGACTATGCTAATTGCTCCTTCTCCAACATGCCCCACATCCACATTTTTTGTTATACCCCAAAGTGGACAATCACCGCACTAGCCCCACCAACGCTGTCTAAACCCCACAAAAAGCCCCTGTAGATACCCCTGCACACCCACATCCTTTCAAATGCGGCCCAGAAGGACCCTGCATATGGCAACAATATGTGGGATGTCAGGAAAGCCGCAAATTTATCATGGGAGTAGTGGGGAAATCCGATAGTGGTAGTACCTAGGCAACCACATAGTCGGGGTACGAAAATGATTATGGAAGTGTTTTGCTGCTGAATAATTGTCTCAACCCCTTTGGAGATCGAACATTTCCAAGATGGTGGGCAAAAATGATGGCACAGGGCATGAGAGGCCGCAAGTTCTGCCATTTCGGTATCAGTTCGCAGCTGGAGCTGTTGCTGGCATATCGGAGATCTTAGTAATGTGAGAACTAATTTGCTACTTGAGAGACCAGATTACTAAGAGTGTAGGAAGGTATCCGCTTGACGTGGTGAAAACACGCATACAATTGCAGCACGGGCGAGCTGTCGACGGTGAAGGGTACAATGGTGTCTGGGACTGCTTCAGGAAGATCATTCGGAATGAAGGAGTCTCGAGGCTGTATCGCGGTATAACTGCTCCTATTCTGATGGAAGTCCCTAAAAGGTAAGCAAGCCATCCGCCTCTGAGCATTCTTACTTGGTTTAACTGACTCCAGAGCGATCAAATTCTCCGCAAACGACTCCTTCGCACCTTTCTACCAACGCATTTTCTCGACACCGACACTCAATCAACAACTCGCTGTCCTAACGGGCGCCAGCGCAGGTGCTACCGAGTCGCTCATCGTAGTCCCCTTCGAACTGCTCAAGATCCGCCTTCAAGACAAGACCTCTGCGTCGCGCTACAACGGACTTCTAGACTGCTTAGTCAAAGTGGTTCGTCAAGAAGGTCCCTTGGCGCTCTATAATGGCTTCGAAGCCACGCTCTGGCGGCATATCGTTTGGAATGCAGGGTACTTCGGCTGCATATTTCAAGTCCGGGCCCAGCTGCCCAATCCCACAACGTCTTCCAATCCGCGTAGGCAGAAGACTGTGAATGATTTAGTCGCGGGCTTTGTTGGTGGCGTTGTTGGTACGACGTTTAACACGCCGCTTGATGTGGTCAAGAGCAGGATCCAGAGTGTTGCCAAAGTGCCGGGTGTAAGACCCAAGTATGCATGGGCGTGGCCGAGTTTAGGCGTTGTGGCGAGAGAGGAAGGGTTCAAAGCATTGTATAAGGGGTACGTGGCCAAGATCCTGAGGTTTGGGCCCGGCGGTGGTGTGTTGTTGGTTGTCTATTCGGCCGTGTTGGATATACTTGGAAAGGTATCTTAGGAACGTTCACTAGTAAAAACCGCTACGAATAATGGGGTAATGCCTACTTTCTTGTACTACTCTTGCTTGCCCACACAGTACTTGCAATGCGAGCGACCAAGAAGAGACAGCAAGCGACATGCAAGCTAGTATATACGGGTACCACCTTGTCCGATCGAGTGTCTAAGTGAAACCTTATGACCCAAGATCCGCACCTATAATGAATATTGGCCATTTCGCGCAGATCTAATCGACAGCCAAAGTAGACATTGATTGAGAACGAGCACCGGATCATCTTAAGCATATGTTTAAAATGCGGCGAATGATACAAGATGCAAACCGACAATGGTCAGCTGGCAGGGGTGGCCCCACATGCACGTCGGTCCTTGTTGGACTAGGGCAAATCCTTCGAGAAGCCTACCTTTCAAGTACGGTCCTTTACGGCCATATGGCTTTTATTTTCGGGGGCAATGATGGACTGGCGCAGCTTTTTCATTGTAGATGAGGGTCTCGTGCCTCGGCCTCCTTGGTGGGCGTTTGAAATGTGAATAGTGATGGTCCCGAGTAGCAACGATGAGCAGCCCAAAGATCAGCTGTTGAGGGAAGAGAGACAGATAAGCAGACGCCTCAATCTGCAGGCGCAGGTCGACAGGTTTATATGCTTTCTAGATGAAGATTGAGTGAAGAGATGAAAGGATCCCGGCCTATAACGCTTAACCGAGTCATGATGGTCGTGCTTCCCCCGCATCCGATCTCTTGGCTACTATGACCGCTCGCAACGCCAGGCTCGACACCTCCGGTCACCCATTCACTCAAGAGACCCTTTGCGACGACGCGAAACAGATGCCGAAGGACTAAACAGCTGTGCCGGAACATTGCTCGCGACGCGATAAGAGCCCGTCATGGCGCTGAAACAATGCAGCATGTGCGAGCGTACGTTTACCAAGCTGGTAATAAACTCCTACACATAAACCATCGGGACATGTCTGCTAACTTCCTCATAGTAAGTGCTATCTGCAATCAAGCCCGCATGTCTTACATGAGCAATTGTTCGACGTCGTCAAACCATCGACGACCTACGCCCTAGCTTCATAAACACTCGCTAACTATGTAGTGAGCACGTCAAGCGACACGAGAGGTCGCGTATGTTCCCCATAAATCCCAAGCATCGCACCCAGACTGATTTTGCCCACAGACACACGCGAGCGACCGTATGAGTGCCCGACATGCAAGAAACACTTCTCCAGAAGGTGAGACCCAGTCAATCATCCTACAGCGCGCGTCCAACAAGTAGCATAGCGACGTCCTATTTCGACATTGCAAAGGCCATGCGCAAAATGCCATGAATCGGATGAAAAACAATGAGCAGCAAAATCGTCACGAACAGCAAGACTTTCGTCACCACTCGCTAGATGACACTCACACTCCTCGCGGAACTGCGTTACGAAGCGGAAACGGCCCGACTCCGGCAGCGACACCACAAGTCCGAGAAGACCCCAGCTTGTCGCCATTATCGAGGAGAAGAGAATCGCAGCTACAGCAAGTCAATGGGGAAGGCCAATTTCTATCGCCAAATACACATCCTCGGCAACCTTCGAGATTACAGCCACTGTCACCAGGCGAAGACCGTATCGAAGCGCTCATCAATGCAGCACAGCATCTCGAACCATCGGCGGACACACCCTGGCGGTCACCATCACCTATGATTATCGCGCGGTCGGATAGTGGACATATGATGAATCGCACCCACCACGAAAGTATGGGTCCGCCCATCGACCCGGCGATGGAGGCCCTCTCCTTCTCGCCAGCTGCACACGTGTCGAGCCTGGATCAATGGGCTTTTGAGCTAGTACAAAGCAATAATCCAGTCCCGAATCGAACACCAGCCGATGCATTGCAAACGTGGCTCTTTCCCTTGGAAAGCGACATGCATACGCCCCACGGCTCGCATCACATGGGAGTAGATGGCTTCTTTGACCACGAGGCATTCCGTGCACTTCCAGATAACCAGCCCAGCCCATCCGGCAGTAGTGTCTCTATAGCGAGTAGAGTCCCACGAGAACGATTCCAGCGGGTGCAAAGTTGTTGGCCTTCGCGGAATCCGAAGTCTTCGCGACTAATGCCAGAGCTATGGCAAAGTCTGGTCACTTGCGATTGCACGAACATTCTTTCCGAGGTCTCCTCTGGAACTGTGGACACGCCCATAAGCGAAAGGGAACGGAGAAATTCGCGCTGGGGCCTCGATGAAGAGTGTAGAAGCATGCTCCAGGGTGCTTTGAACAATGTGCCACTGTCTGGCCCGACGCGATCAGAGTCCTATGGCGACACTGCATCTTCAAGTGGAGACGCAGCAGGAAGCCCAAGCATCGATAATGTACGATTTCCACCCGCAGAGATTCTGGACATCGCAATGGAAATGTACCTCTACTACTTCCATCCTACGCTCCCCATCATCCACATTCCGACATTCTCGGCAAAGAATTCACCCCGGCCTTTACTACTGTGCATGTGCCTCATTGGTCTTAGTATTTTGGGTACAGCAGGCGCGGCAAAGTTTGTCACACGAACATTCCCGGTAAGTACTCCACTGCCATGATTGGTTTCGTATGTTTAACAACAGATTAGGCTGTACTACAAATAGTTTTTACGGAGCTTCAATCCCTATCATCAGCCAATCATCCACCTCATAGACAAATGCGCATCATTGCAACGAGCTTACTCGCTCTGAATCTCGCGTCTATAACGGGGGTATGTCAGCTAACGAGGAAACAATCACACGAGCTAATATGAATCAGCGGAAGAGTCGCATAGCGCAGGCCGAGAAGATGTACGCGGAGCTAATAACGGTTGCTCACAAACAAGGACTATTCTCCGCCAATGAAGGTGTAAAAGTAGATGCTCTTCTTGAAGAGGTCGTGGATATCGATGCAAAATGGAAGGCGTGGTCGAAGATTGAATGCGGTAAAAGGTATACAACTAATGTGCCTTCTCGCAAGGAGACTACTGACATCAACTAGGATCATCTTTGGTCTCATCGAAGCAGATTGCTGGTGGGCAGCCTATCTTTCCACTACACCCATGATCCGGCCGGAAACAGTCCAAATCCTCCCTCCCTCAGATTACACCCTCTACCACGTCAACTCGGCGAGTAAATGGTTCCACCTCGTGCAACGCGGCTCCAAAATTCACTCGAACAAAATCACGCCATCCTTCCATCCAACACCAGGGCTGAAGCTCGACGCATCAAGTTTCCGAAGTCTTTTGACTTTGCTACTACTCCGCATCTACGAGTCAAACGAGCGCCTCGCCTCCGGCACAGGTGTTTCCCAGAAACATCTCGAACCCTGGCGCATCTACGCCGAGGACCCGCGGAGCAGGGATATCTTGCCCCTCCTGGTGAACCTGTCGTCGTCTTCCATCGACGCACTGCGCACCGCTGACCTCAATTCTGCTGTCCTCTGGCACGCATCCTGCATGATCCTCGGCGCAAACATGCGCTACTTCGAGATCGCCGCAGGGCGCTCAGGGCCAGAGCCCGCTGTCAACGCACTAGAAGACATATCCGCATGGTCACAAACTCCAGCCGCGCGCCGCTCCGTCCTTCACGCTGCGCATATTTACAAACTACTTTTCGACCGCAAGGTATCTGATATCGTTAATCCGCACAGCGTGGTCGCCTTGTTCCACGCGGCGCTTGTGCTGGGCCTGTATATCTTCACGTTACCTCCAGAACCAATACCAATACCTCCTACTTCGGCAGCAGCAGCAGCGTGCGGAGGCCTAAATATCGAACCATGTATCGAGCTGCTCGACATCGTAGACTGGATTTCCGTCGGCCAATTCGGCCTTATCGACCACCGCGCACAATCGCCTCTTAATAACAACAGCAGCAGCAATGGCAATAATAACAGTAATAATAACAGCACCTCCTCTTCCGCAATAAAATTCATTCGTTCTGGTGGGACCTTTAGCATTACGGGCGTCCCGATGGAGGGCGGGTATCTCGCTGCACGCCGAACGCTACTACACTGTGCGGATCTGATGGAGGGCATGGGCAGGTGGAAGAGTCGTACTTTCTCGCAGATTCTACATATTATGAGTGATGATTTGACGGATTACGAAGGGTTGGATGATGGCGAGGAAGGAGAAGGAGAAGGAGCAGAAGCATGACGGTTGCGGTCGTCCTCTTCCTCGTTGTGCTTGTCTATCACGCAACTGAGGGATTTATGGGGAAGAGGACGACTGTTAGGTTGAGTTGGGTGAGATAATAGTAAGAAAAAAGAGTGCGGTGTGTGTATAGGTGTTCTTGGTTGGAGTAAAGATATGATGCATAGGTTGGTGTTGTAAGCGATTGGGTTGTTTAGCATTTATGGGCGAGTATCAAAGGCTTATGGCTATCGTCATTGAATCTATCTATCAGGCTATACATCTTCCAGCGCAAAGCCTCCGAGAACACTGAACCCTCGCCCTCAAGTCGACCCAGTAAAACTACTATAGGAAGTCCGAGGTCTACATCTTACACCTTCAACCCTGTAAGCTTCTCCACAAGCATATCAAACGCCCCGTTGCTATACTTCACAATCTGCGCAGCGGTTGCCCAGAACATAGCCCCCGGAAGCATTTCAACAACGAGTATGAATGTTGGGTGCTGTGAGATCTGTACGAGCTGATTCTCCTTTTGCACTGTGCGTGAGACATAGTCCGAGTCTTCCGTATCGGCATCGTTGTCTTTGTCTTGCTCGCGTATAGAAGAATGCGTAAAGAGAGGAGAAGCGGTCTGCTCTCGATCCTCCAACTGTCTCAATGCATCACATTCGATCTCTTCGTTAGCTGCCTCAACTAGCTCTGGGATGGTATGTTGATCCAGCCCGACCCTCTCATTAGCAAGCATGCACTGCAGCTGAAATGGACCCTGACCCACGGCAGTGAAGCTCTGAGAGCGCCGAGCCTTCGCCGGGGTGCCCAATGTGATCAAGTCGCCAGCCGAGTCGCTCTCCATCACAGGCTCCATGGGTGCGAGATCCATTTCGCGATACTTGTCCAGATCCTTCAGGCCCTCTTCGTCGTCATCTATAGCTTCACGAGCGAGTTCCGCAATCTCTTCGGGGGACGAGGCATTCCGACGGCGTTTGGAAGGTGAGTTCTCTTTGCCTTTGTACTGCTTGAAGTAGTTCAAGGTCTTGGCAAAGGGCGTGTCAGGAATGGTAGCGTTGGGAGCGAAGCCGATGTGCTTGCCGCCTGGGGTTTGTATGACTGCTGGCGAGTTGACCTGGAGAGGGAAGGAGAGCGAACTCATCGGTGCATCTTCTGAGGCTCGGCGAGCGGTGGTACTGGAGAAGGGTAGAGACGAGCCACTATTGTATTCTGTGAAGGTCTGTCAAGCCGTTAGTTTGTGGTCAAAGATCACAACACTGTGGGTGGATGTGTTGTCAAGCGTACCTCAACCTCTCCCTCTTCCTCCTCGTCCTTGTTCATCGCTCTCATGCCGATTTCAACCTGAAGAGCTTGGAATACTGGGTCCTCAGAGAAATCCAACTCTTCGCCCTGCATCTCATCCAAAGCCATATAATCTTCGTACCTGTCATCTTCGGCTGCAACTAGCTGTACACCCTCGTGCTCCAATCGCTGCTTCTCTAGCGCCTCCTCAATCGAAGCACGAGCAGCCAGCTCTTGCTTCTTCTTCATCTCGTAATCCGCTGGCAAGTCGTGAGCATAGAGGTTGCTGAAATCCTGGACCGGGGCAGGAGGGGCAGTCTGCCCCGGTAAATTCATAATATCCTCAATCGTGTCAGGTTCGTACTCTGCAAGCCCTAGAGGTTCCTGTCCGTCCACATCACTCAACTCCATGCTACCATCCTCATCTTCATATCCGCCCTCCCGCTCATCCCCGCACTCGTACTGCTCATCCTCATACTGCGCGTCATCTTTGTAGGCGGACGCTCTGTTTTTGTCGGTGGCGGCCGTTGCGCTAAGAAAGCTTGCGTCTACTTCGCTAACATCAGGTACCGACAGAGGCGAAGGACTGCGAACATCGCTGAGGATCTTTCCAAGAGTACGGCAGTCTGCTGGTGAGAGAGACGGACGGGCAGAGGCGTTCTGCATCGGAGACGGGGAAGATGGAGGGCTGTTGCCATTGGCGTGCATTTCTAGAGACTGAGCAAGTGAGAGAGGCATCGATCATATGGAGGGTGGAATGTGTTCGGTGAGCATTCATTTATCCTGCGTAATTCTGGTTGATCCTTTTCGTTTGTACTGCGGAAGTTGCGATGAGTGTGGGTGACGCGCGGAATAAATAGTAACGAGGGAAGTTGCTTTGTTTGTTACGCGTATGTAGAGAAACATTGAGCACCCCATATTGCCAGGGCAAACGCAACTAGCGTGGAAAGCGCGAGACAAAAACAAATGAGACAACGACATGGAAATAGATGCATGGAATTTTCACCTTCTCTTACTCACACTTCTACCCCAACGCCCTCCTCCCCAACTTTCACTCCTCTCAGTACATACCCATTCCGCTTCGCTTCCTGTGCCTCCTTGAGTATTGTCTCCCTAATCTTTTCACTCCTTACCTTCCATCTCACTCTATATGGCTTTGGCATGGTGGTGCTCCCCGCAGGATCGAAAGCGTCGTCGCTCGTATCCACCACTTCCTCCTGCCCATCCTGCCCAATCGGCGGCAAAATATCAAATGCCCACAGCACCTTGGCAAGCACAATGAACATGCTATTCTCCGCAAGATGCACCCCAGAGCAAATCCTTCGTCCCGCGCCGAAAGACCAGTGGTCGCGCGCTGAGGCCGGGCCCGCCGCGTAGTGGCCGCTGCCGTGTGGGTGGGCGAGGTACCGGTCTGGATTGAAGCGGTTGGGCTCCGGGAAGAGAGAGGCATCATAGTGGATGGGGTATTGTTGCAGAGCCACTACTGAATTAGCGGGGATATAGATGCCTTTGTATGTTATGGGTGCGGTAGTGTAATGCGGTGTGCCGATGTTGGTTACGGGGCGTATGCGCAGGATTTCCTTCACGATGGCGCGTATGTATAGTAGGTCTGCCTCGTCATCAAAACTTGGTGACCTAGACGAGCCTACAACTCTGTCGATTTCCTCCTGTGCTTTTCTTTGAACGTCTGGGTTTGCGCCGAGGTATAGAACTACTGTGTTGAGCGATGCAGAGGTTGTTTCGCTCCCTGCTTCGATCATACTTCCAGCGAGGAACGCAGCTTGAAGCTCGCTGATGCCTTGCTTTTCGTAGTCACTCTCGATGAACTGCTTTACGAAACATTCGGGCGCCTGCTTCGTTTCCATTTGCGTTTTAAGTGAAGTGAAGAAGGACATCCAAAGGTTGGCTTGCTTTTCAAACAGCGGCTGAAGATCTTTGCGCCACCATTGCAGCCGCGGTGGAAGGTTACCGAGAAAAGGTAAAGTGTCCGCGAGATAATTTCCTGGTCTCGCGACGATGGAGAAGTCGTTCATGAGGCTGTAGATTCCATGGACTTCGTTGCAGTCCTGGCATCAATCAGCTGATTTCACTCGCTCCTCCACGGGTTCGACATGGACGACTTACCCAGTCAGGAATTCTCCTCCCATACGTACTCGTCATGATCACACTAACCGTATACCTCCTAATCGCCGTATAACCCACCCCATTCCCCCTCTCCTCATCCGCTCCCTTCAATACCTCCTCAAGTAGCATTTTCGCCTCAAACTCCTGACTCGGCTTGAACGTCGCACTCACGGCCGGCGTCAACAATTTGTGGCTAATGCCCCTTAGCTTCCTCCATTCCAGCCCATAAGGCATGAACAGGAAGCGCATGCCACCACTCAGCGCATCACCGGCAGCCGGCATCGGCGTTCGCGAGCTTGTATGTATAGATTGCTTGTCAAGTATTTCTTTGCATGCTTCGGGCGAGCAGATCATGTACCAGTCGTTCCATCCCAATCGGATCTTGTAGACTTCGCCATATTCGCGGGCCCATGCTGTGATTTGCTGGTGTGCCTGGCGACTAAGTTGGTGTGCGTTTCCAAGAATAGGCAGGCCGGAGGGTCCAGGAGCATGCTTGGTTCCGGGAGGTGGGCGGTTCTGGTAACGCCTATAGACAATGAAGATGGTGAGGAAGACGGAAAGAAGCACGAGGGTATACATGTGGGGCTAGGTGTTGTGTTTCTAAACAACCAGAGCAGAGGAAAGAGAGAATGAAAGAGAGTCAGGCAAAGTTCTCCTAACCTATGTTGTTGCTTCGATATGTGCTTACTGCCGTCCGAACATTTTAGTGCGCTTGACGTGCATAGTGTTTGGAGTATGCACGTCTCCCCACATTTCGGCCGGATAGATCCTATGGAGAACATAGATGAGGGGAATTGGCGGGGTGCGGAGAAAGGAGGTAGCTGAAGCTTTCTTCTAGACAATGCTCTAGACTCAACTCTATTCTGAAGGCCTATGTCATGACTGGACAGAGTGCTTCCTAGTCGGCGTATTAGGTCCAGCAAGACCTGGTTGAAAGAAGACGGGCTAGATGTATCATGACACCTCTCGCGCAATAGGAGCATGGGTATAATGACACAGACTTTAAATGACCAGGGAACCAGTCGATGGTTTATTAGCTGTTGGGTGATTCGTAGATAGGCCTGGCTGGCAGAGTGGCATACATGGGTGTAGGAAGAGTGGGACGGGACAACCCTTACCACCACCGCCGGTAGCGAAGCCTCGCTCTGTCCCGCCTCCTCGTCCTACAGCCAATGCCTACAGAGACGATGTATCGCCATCACTTCGACTACAAATTAAATTTAGGATGTTATTATTTAGCATTCGGACGACGGAAGTTCCCTTGAACGATCAATTAGTCATCGGATACTTATCGGCATCCTACAAGGACCGACGAGCTTCAATTCCTAGCTAACAAGCTAGAACAGCACTATGGCATCGTCCGCCCTGGCACAAATAATGATAGACCATTACCCTCCATAATACCATAGCTACTAAATGCTCACACACCTCACAGCGCGAACGCCCTTGCGCCTCGTCACATCCAGCCTATTCCTCTCGAGCCTCCTCCCGCTTTCCACGCACCATCGACGCGCGATGTCTACCTTCCAGCTCGACCGAACAATCTTCAATCCTGCTTTATACAAGCAAGTAATCGACGTATGGTTCCCTGACATGGATCTGCAGGGCCGCGAGCTTGATACCAAGGTGATGCAGCGTTGGTTCATGGCTGCGCCTGAAGAGCGGCGCGCATTCGACGGGGTGTGTAGAGAGGCGTTTGCGCCTGCGCTGGAGGCCATTGGACCAGAGAACTTCCCGGACGCGAATGCGCAGCCTTTTCTCGATGAGGTGGCAGCCGTTGCGCGGAAGGATCAGGGCGGACAAGGGGAAGACGCGGCGTGGACGGCGCTCAGTCTGACGCTCCTGCTGGATCAGATGCCGAGGAATATATACCGCACTGATGAAGGTTTGCGGAATGTGTTTACGCATTACGACAATATGTCTTTTCAATTTACTCGTGCGCTGCTCGATGGTAGAGCTCCCGTCACACGACTAGATACACACCCGCTGTTCCGCTACTCCGCCGCGCATAGACTGTGGTTTTATATGCCGCTCATGCACTCCGAGGACATAGCTGCCCACCAGCAAGTCGATCACATACTAGACGAGTACAGACGGGAGCTGGAAGGCCTACCAGGATATGCGGAAGGCAATTTGAAAGGCACACAGATGTTTCTCGACGGGCAGAGCAAAGCAGAGGTAATGCATAGGGAGATTCTGGATCGCTTTGGAAGATATCCGCATCGGAATAGGGCGCTAGGGAGACAGAGTACAGAGGAAGAAGAAGCATTCCTTCAGGAAGGTGGCGCGACGTTCGGTGTAGGGCAGGGGAAGAAGGCATCTTCATAGTGGAAGATGGTAAAGAATTGAGTAACAGTATTACATCATATTGAGATTAGGCTTTAGACACGCTTGTGTGAATGTATCTGAATAGAATAGCTCTAGGCTACTTTCCCTCATGGAGCTGGCTTGGAACCTGACAACGCCTCTAGTACCAATATCGCACGCGACCCGTTCGTACGCAGTTGTAATGGAACTTCCTAGGTCCTATAGAGTCGCTTACCTCCGTGCAGAGACGTAGTAATTTACCCCTGAAGGAGTGTGATTGGTGCTATCGTGGCTGCCTGTGGAAGTCTTGCAGCGAAAGCAACATCTGGAATGAATCTTCCATCACATCAGATGCTATTCCAGGACGGGCGGAACAATTGACGATATTTCAAATAGCCCGGAAGACGCTGTAATCTTCATGGCGAATCGTATTGGCCATGAGCACACATCGTCTAGGCAACGAGGGACATGCGGGCAGCAGAAGCGGCTGGCAGCAAGCTTGAAACGTGTTTTCCACTGTTTGCGCTCTGCCATCCATCACTTCTGTGCATCCTCTTCAGCCTTGCGCACTTGCTCCTCGAATTCTCTCAGTACTCGTCCTGTGGCTTCCACATTTTTGGTGAGATACTTTATATCCTGCCTGAGCTGTTGGAGGTGGGGGTCTGCAGCCTCTCCACTTTGCAATTTGAACGTATCGTGATGCGATACGGCCTGCTCAAGGTGGGCTAGTATCTCTTTCTGTCGCGTCCAGACTGTGCGGATTTGGTTGGTGGTGATTTGTGGGCTATGCTGGTCCTCACTGTCAATGAGGATGTCGCTTTGAAGCGGATCGGACAGCGTGGGGGCAGCAGGGGCAGTAGAGCCACTGTGGTCCATCTGGCGAACCTGCTTGCGCGCGTCGGCGATGTGGAAAGCGAGTATTGCCTCGCGGCACATCAGCTGTTGAGCGACGCTGCTGAGGAGTTGGATTTCTCTGCGAAAAAGATCTTTTTCGTCGTCGTCCTCAACTATATCGTAAAACACGCGCTCCTTTTTGGCCAACTGGTACCATACGTATCGCGCTTCGTGGAATGTGTTTTTCTTTAGCTCCTGCAAGTGCTCGAGATAGTGCTCTACGGCTTCCATGTCCCTGGTCTTGAGATCATCTGTGTACGTTCGACTCGCTCCTTCAATGTCAGGCCCAGCTAGCTCTTCTTTCTCAAAATCAACGTTGATGGTCACAATACTCTGGAGCTGCTGTATGGTAGTAGGCTGTGGTCCCGGTGTTCCTTGTTGTGATCGTCTCTGTATCATACCAGACCTAGGTGCTGCATCCCATGCCGTGGGGCTTCTGAGAATATGGAGGACAGGCAAAGTGTAGAGCGTAAGTGCGAAGTTCCCGAAGCGGGAGAGGGATGCCTTCGCCTCTTCATTCTGGTGCAATCGATCGTAATTTGTGCGTCGAGCCATCGTATCTGCTGAATCAAGGACTGTCAGCAGTTGTGAGGGAAATCGGGGCAGCATCCGCTCTCCAACCAACGATCCAAAGGCAGCCCCAACCACCGCTGACCCTATGATGCGTTTCCATCCGAAGACACCGGGCAATGCGCGCGGATTCAAAGCAGTAAAGATTCCAAGACCTGCTCCGCCCAAAGCCGCGTCTTCCTCAGTCCAATGCCTTGTCCTTTCCCACAGTTTTCCCGGTGCTGGTTCGATGCCATCTAACTTGAACACGCCTCTGTTCAGCTCACGTCGTCCGTATAGTTGACAGGCCGTGAATGAGAGGTCTAAGACAGCGACAACCGCGACAGACCGGAGGAAGATGCCTGGACGCGATCGCCCCACGAGCGCAAGGAATCCTGTGATGCCGCCGGCGACAGTGCATGCTTTCCAAGGTAACGATGTGATTTTGCGCTGTGCAGCCAGCGCACCAGGTTGTCGGCGTGCTAGGGCATGCTGACCCTCTCCTGCACTGGATTAGCAAAGCGTGATGCAATTGTAGAGATACGCACCTTCAGGTACGAAAAGTCGCACCATTATAGCCTATATTCCCTTCACCTAATCAAGGGAAGGATGGGAGCTTCGTGGCAGCCATGAAGAGCTGGACTTGCTGTGCGCGATGTAGAGTGTTGGTGGAGCTATCGCGGATTGGAGCTTGCTCGACGCGTTTATGTTCGTCATTCGCTGATGGCACGTCCTCGCAAATGTACAGTTGAGACTTGTATCCCGCAGCACAACTGGAAGCTAAAGCTGATTGTCTTCGTTTTCACATGTCATCACTTTAGGAGGACCCCACTTCGCGTCCATCATTCCTTGTGCGCTTAGGCCCGTCTCAAATCTGCAACGTATCCATTGCCAAATATATATATTTTGCATTTTTCCTCCTCTCCATCAATCTTCAAAGCAGCACGCTTCACAGCATCAAGCTTCTGAAGTCCGGTCCTGTGGTCTAGTGGTATGATTCTCGCTTAGGGGTCGTCACGTGACTTAAAATCATGTGACTCTAAGCACATTTGCGAGAGGCCCCGCGTTCGAGTCGCGGCAGGACCCATTTTTTGCGCTTTCGTCGTCAACAATTGCCTTTTTTGCTGCTGAAGCTATATCGTGGAAATGTCTTATTCGCAGATTTTGGCCTATCTCGAGATTTCGATGATGCAAGCGGTAGCACCACGGTGAGCAGGGAAATGGGTTGACTGTAAGGTACTGTGCGCCTGAAGTCGCCCATCATGAATCTCGCAACACCAAGCCGGACATTTGGAGTCTTGTCTTGGTGTCATTTTCATGGAGATGGCCGTAGTGCTCAAGGGCATATCTGTGACCGAGATGGACTTTTTCGAAAACCATGGGACGCGACAGAAGTTTATTCGTACGAACATGGATAGTTTGTCGCAGTTGGTTGCGGAGCTTGGCCACCATGGAAGGTCGTCAGACAATAAAGCGGTTGGCGGGCTCAAAAATGCTTTCAACGGAACCGCAATCACGTCCGACTGCGTCATCTTTAGTCACTTCTATTACAACGATTGGACTCCAGGAGGGTGGGGTGGGCTTCTGTGGGATCTGTTGTGTGTCTACTGAAGACGACTTCTCTGAATTTGGGGACTAGTACGGTCGCGTCTATACTGTAAGAAGATACCAGCGGGCAGCCCTCTACACGGTGGGGGTGGTAGAGCCTGAAGCGCGTCTTTTTCTGATAACAAGCAACTACTTAAGTGTGATGCTGAAGCTATCCTATTGAGTATTAAAATAGCTCTCATTACGAATCATAATAAATACGGATTCGGATACTAAAACGCCATTAAGAAGGCCATCTGTCATAAAGTTCAACACCTCCCATTCTATCAATGCTGCAACACGACCGGCACACCCTTCTCCCATGAATGTATGCTCTCCCTGATATTGATCCAATATCTCAGCTTCACAGTCTCGCTCTTTGCCGTTTGGAGATCATCCTCCCGGAACGCCTGTTCTAGCACCTTCGTACTTTCCGCTATCCTCTCTTCATTGACAGTCTTCATTTCCACCAAATCCTCCTCTTTCTCCGCTTCCTCAATTTGTTCCCGGGCCTCTAGCACCTCCATCAGGAGTTCAGGGTCCTCCACCTTTGCAGTCTCATCCTCCGCTACCTCAATCCCCCTCAAGCTCAGCACGTACTGTGCCCGCCGCAACGGGTCTTGTAGCGTCTTGTAGGCTTCGTTTATTCGCGAGGAGAGGGCTTCGGCGCGCTTCTTGTTGGCTTGCGGGTGCAGGTCGGGATGTGCGCGCGCTTGGAGTTGTAAGAACTCTTTCTTCAGGGCGTTTAGGTCTATGGTGAAATGTCCTTCTGGAGGAGGGCCCGTCGGTACGGAGTTAGGGAAGAAGGCGTAGTGTGTTTGGGGTTGTGAAGACTGTTGCAGCGGTGATGTTTGCGCGTCAAAGGGGGTTTCTCGAGTATTTGAACCAGCTGATGTTGATTGAAAGCGATGCGCTGGAATTTGGGGTGGTATACGGTGCGCGCAGAGGAGGCATGGTGTTGCGCGATGCTGCGCGCGGAACGGCGAGATGGATGGTTCGGAGGTGAGAGATGCGCGGAGTCTGCGCGCGGATGTTGGGCGGATTGTTCGCATGTTTGACAAATTCGAAATGGCTATGTTTGGACTTGTCTATGCAGTGGCAGGTGTTAAAAGGACGACGCGGTGTTGGGTTTGTTCCGAGAGCGAGTTCGGCGGCGAGGAATTCCGCGGTCGAGCCGCGGCAATTTACGTCACCATCACCGCGCGTCATCGATAAAACGAATAGAAGTGCATACGCCTCAGAGACTACTAATGTTAATTTTGACGAGAAATCTATTAATTGTTATATGATTTTGCAGATAAAACATCTGGAGTGTCACAAAAGAGGCGCATATGTAAGGGCGTTGGGATGGGATATCACTCTCGAAATGATGGACCCATCAAACTCACGTAATTGTGACCAAGCAATCGGCACGCTGACATACTTGAAAACTATAGCTTACAGCTTCAATCTCGAGCTCAGCCAATCTATCGGGAACCTCCGACGCTTGTCTTCAACCTTCCTTTGTAGCCATAGCGGCAAGCCTCGGCTTAGCATCGTCAAAAGCTTCCCACGTTACGACTCTTCTTTCCATCTTCATTCACCATGACTACAACATCTCCAAACTTCAGTCCCGCTGAACCTGTCACTGAGAAAGATGGTTTGATCCACGGCGTTTCCGCACAGGAACTACAAGCCCTGGGCGAGCAATGCTTTGACGCGAAGACAAGGGCATACTGTGAGTAGGCACCACTTCAGGGCGTATTAATCATGGCCGACATAGTTGACTACCAATGAAGAATCCCATGTTAATTCTACTATCAGGCCCATATTCTCTCTTCCGCGTTGGCGCCTCCCTCCTCCTCGAACCCACCTCCTCCACAGCTCCGAATTCAACATCATCCTCCACCTACCCCACCTCACACATCATAACCGGCGGAAACGTTGAAAATGCCTCCTATCCAGTCGGCACATGTGCTGAGCGCGTCGCAATGGGAACCGCAGTCTTAGCTGGACACCGCCTTGGGTCGTTCAAGGCTGTCGGCGTCTCTACGGACATTGTTGATTTCTGCTCGCCGTGTGGTATGTGTCGACAATTCCTGAGAGAGTTCTTAGGACTAGAGACACCGATATTCATGTTCAACAAGGAGGGCAAGTGGATTGTTAGGACCATGGGCGAGTTGCTGCCATTGAGCTTTGGGCCGGACGTGCTGCCGCCGAGGGAGGAGATGAGGAAGACGCAGGAGGAGGATAAGGCAAAGGTTGCGTGAAGCCTAAGCCCTCACACCAATTGCGCGTCCTACCTGATATATATCCCTTATTACAAGAAACTCCTACTAAAGTGGACAAATTATCTAGACGTCTAACTCCTCATATATCTTTGAAGTTAGCTAACGGCGTACTTTAGAGGCAAGTAAGAGTAGGCGCTAATGTAGCGGGCTAATCGGTCTTTTCCGAGTGACGTACTGCTCGCTTCGCAGTGACATTCGACCCTTTCGACACTACATTTAGCGACATATACCATTACAGCTATCAGGGTCGTATCTCCACAGCATTTTTGCCATCTCAGTATATTCCTCCGCGCAACAGATTCATGATTATTTGCCCTTCACTTCGACGAACGGGTATCTGTACTATCGCGAAGTTCAGTCGCTATCAATTATTCTTTCGAACGATGGGTACAGTGACGAACGGGGATTTGAACAACACGGCAGCAGAGCGTGCTCGAACTGAACTCACGACAGACCCGGCATATCGCGGCCTCTCTCTTGCAATTCCGGCCCGCCAAGATGACGCTATCATTCGAAAAAAGTATCGACCCTTCCTGTTAGATGACAATACACACTCAGACCAAGACTGGGTTGGTCGGCTCGAGCTTAGCACAGCATTGGAGATGGTAGATCTCCAAGTCCTGAGGAATGGGGGCACCAGATTGAATGTGCTCGTTTTATATGGCAGCTTGCGAAACCGGTATAAACCCTACTGGTCGTGCGGCAATCTGCATGCGTGTAATTGAAGCTGATGTCGTGCAGGTCTTACTCACGTCTCCTAGCATTTGAGGCTAGTCGAATACTCTTTCGGCTTGGCTGCGACGTCCGCGTGTACGACCCTAGTGGACTGCCTGTAAAGGACGATGTTCAGCACTCACACCCAAAAGTGCAGGAGTTGCGAGATCTTAGTAAGTGGAGCGATGGCCACGTCTGGATAAGTCCTGAGCAACACGGAAACCTTGTAAGTGCCCTTGGATTGTTCCGTACCATATGCTTTCCATTGAGCTAACGAGCTTGTTCTACCTAGACTGCAGTTTTCAAGAACCAGATCGACTGGATACCCCTCTCAACAGGCTCCGTTCGGCCGACTCAAGGACGCACATTAGCGATTGCCCAAGTATCCGGTGGATCCCAATCATTCAATACTGTGAACTCCCTGCGCATTCTTGGACGGTGGATGCGCATGTTTGCTATTCCGAATCAAAGCTCAATACCCATGGCTTATACACAGTTCACAGGCGAGGACGCGAGTGAAGGAGGGAGTAGGCTTATGCCAAGTGGGAACAGAGACAGGCTCGTTGATTGTATGGAGGAATTTGTAAAGTATACGCTGGTAATGCGGCCACACTTTGATCTTTTCGGTGATCGGTACAGCGAGAGAGAGGAGAAGAGGGTGAAGGAGGAAAAGGCGAGGTTGTTAGACCTAAGGAATGGTCCATCTTTGGACGATATGTAAATGAATTAACGAGAGGTTGTATGCTTGATAACGGCCTTGCGCCTACGCCGGCATTTCAATAGGATATCATAGAAATAAGTATATAAAATGTATATAGCATAAATCAAGCATAGAAAGGGGATCTGATGACATGAAACATTAATATCAGATCTCTGCCTTAGCTCACTAACTAAAAACTTTTATGGCGTATGAATGTGCGCGGGGCAAGTGTTCGGAATGCTTACCGCGGGAGTGACATACTGCCGCGAGCAGGTGACATACTGAGCACCCAACCTGTATCTCAGAACCATAAAAGTCCAAGATGACTCACAACTTCCTCTCAGGATCCACTAGTACTCGCATTGTAAAAGCAGGATGGCAATTTCCCTGGCCGACCGATCATCGGCACCAATGAACGAATTCAATAGCATAGGAAACGATGACAACAGAGAAGAATATGTGCTTCCAGACGGTGGTTATGGCTGGGTCTGCGTAGCAGCATGCTTTACGATCAATTGCTTTACCTGGGGCACCGTCTCGGTAGGCATACACTGCAATAAACGCATTAGACAGGTTGTTGTGGTGTCTTCATACTACCTTTGACATCTTTCTACAACTATTACCTCTTTAATCAGCAATTTTACTGACTCGTTACTTAGGCATATGGCATCTATCTCTCACATTATTTGGCCGACGATGTTTTTCCTGAAGCAACGACATGGGATTATGCTTTCATTGGCGGCTTCAACTTCTCGATAGCGATGCTTATAGCGCCCGTTGTTACCATTCTTACTCGGAGGTTTGGGATACACACGACAATGCTTGCTGGATTGGTCTTCCAAATCGGAGGTTTCATTGCAGCTTCATTCGCGACTCGAATATGGCAGCTGCATATCTCTCAAGGCATTCTCATCGGCTGTGGCATTGGATTCCTATACATCCCCAGTCTTCCCATCCTTTCTCAGTGGTTCGTTCGACGCCGTAGTCTAGCCAATGGGATTAGTGCTGCCGGATCTGGCGTTGGCGGTGCTGCCTTCGCGTGGGGCACTGAGGCTATCATTCAACATCTGAATATGAGCTGGGCTTTACGCATCACCGGGATCATCGCACTCGCCGCCAATTTCGCCGCAATCATAGCAATACGGGACCGGAATCATGTCATCCAACCATTTCAGCTTGCATTCGACACTAAACTCCTTCAACGATACGATGTGATATTACTGCTTTCCTGGGTGTTCATTAGCATGCTGGGATATGTTACGCTGCTCTTCTCTCTATCCGACTTTGCCTTATCCATAGGTCTCACTAGAGCCCAAGCTACAGACGTGATCGGGCTGTTGAATGTGGGCACTGCAGTCGGACGACCAATTATTGGCATACTCAGCGACCGATGGAGCCGAATCGACACAGCCGGTGTTTTAACCCTGTTGTGTGGTCTTTCATGTTTTGCTTTCTGGTTGCCTGCTACATCTTTTGGACTCACTGGGTTTTTTGCAATCATTTGCGGGGCTGTCGTTGGGGTTTTCTGGATGGTGCGTTGGGTCACTTAACCCCTCTCCACTATCCATAGTGCATGCGCTAACATTGCCTCTAATACAGACTATAGGTCCGCTCTGTGTCGAAGTTGCGGGGATAAAGAACTTGCAGTCACTACTGTCTCTCTCATGGGCGACAGTTATAATTCCAGCTACGGGTAGGGTTTACCCACTATTCTTATGGACGTTGTAACTAACAATATTGCTTAGTATCTGAAGGCATTGCCTTGAAACTTAGACGGCCTTCTTCCTCGAAGCAGTATCTTTATACCCAAATTTTCGCTGGTATTACGTATGTACTCGCAAGCTTCTTTATCTTCCAACTTCGTAGAGTAAAGAGTCGCCAAACACAAAATCATCCGGCGTAGAGACTCGGACAATGTCTGAGCTATTACAATAGTTATTTTGCATTGTGACGAGTCTTGCTTGCTGCGCGACTTATTCAACCGCCTTTTCATAGCAATAGATGCTTCGAGCTAGGATATGCACCACCGACAGGGTCTCTACTTTGTAGGATGTGCATAGTCTCGCACGAACCAATTTGGGCTCGAAATCTATTTTCGTAATAGTTGGCTCGCACGGCTGATAATGTGGTACTCATCGGGATGAATTCGATGCTCAACAGAACATGCCGTAGCATCCCGCGTCATCCGTGTCCCTCGTCCATAACCTGCAAAACTGTGGAATTTTTGATGTTACAATCTCCTCGGTCACCACACCCAAGCGATGCACGAATTGAGTCCCTATCTCCATCCCCTCGCATTTCGGCGATGATTGTTGCGGCTGTCTCGCATGAGATTTCAAGTCCAGAGCTAACGGAATAAAATGGAACTGATGGCGCAGGAGCGCAGAAGCAGCTGGAAGAGTTCGGACATCCTGGAGGTTCGGTGACAGGGCATACGTAATTGCTGTCAATCGATCCATTATGGCCTTGAAGATCACAACATTGCTCTGCTACTTTGGGTATTGACTGTTCTGTTTGAACGCGTGTACTAGTATCGGTTTCTATTGCTTTCGAATGCCGTGCGGTAGATGGCTTTTGTTGGTGCGGTTCAAACTGTAGATTAACATTCGTAGGCCCATCACCGACGTACTGACTCTGAGCTTGATGCGAGGATTGTGTCGGACTTAAGCTGCGATTCAAATCTCTCTCAGGCATTCCATCTTGTGGGTTTACCAATGAGCCCTGGAGGGTAGGGACATGTACCTCGTCTGACAATCGTAGATAGGAGTCTACTTCTTCCTGCAAGACGCCGTGGAGCGCAAGCAGACTGCGAAGTCGAATGTTATCCTGGGCAACTTTTCGCGCAGCCTGCTGCATATCCTGTGTGGCTATAACGCCCTGCCGCTCAAACTCGTGCACGCGTGTCTGGAGGTCGTTTAGGAGTTCGGCGCGCCGGTTACGGGAACGCCTTTGGTTTTCGCGAATGCGCTTGGATGATGGCGTGTCGCTACTCTAGTACGTGGTCAGTTGTTCATTCGAAGATCAATGTGGGTACTCTTAACGGACCTTTCTCGACATGGTTGAGTGGTGAATGGCGGATGAGCTCACACTGTATATTGACTCGCCGGAGCTAGGTTGGCCGGCCTTGGCACCGCGACCACGGACATGATTACGGCCAACTTCGTCTGTAGCTACACCAACATAAGTTGACACTAAGCGGCCCTTCAGTCTCGACTTCAGACAGGTTCATATTAACTTTTTCAAGTCTTAGACCAAGGAAGCGACTCACAGCACCGCACCGACTTCAGGCAGCATCCTTCGAGCAGTCATCCCCAGGATTTTAAAGATGACAAGCAGTACTAACGGATCAACCTCAAAAGGAAAGGTACGGTCCATCCCATCTTCCCAAGTTCTGACTTGGGTACTGAACTTGAAGAATAGACTACAGATCCTGAGCGCATTCGTAACAACCAGCGACGTTGTCGCGCGCGCCAGAAAGAATACATCGCAAGCCTCGAGGATAAGATCCGTCAATACGAAAACGGCAATATGGAATCTGCAACCGATCAAAAGCTAGAGCAGCTAGAAACAGAAAACAAGTCGCTCAAACGACTCTTACAGTCTCTGGGGTTGCGCGATGACTTTCTCAAAGTTTACAATAATGCGGCCCACATCGCTCCAAATATTTCGCGGGTTCTACTAGATAACGAAAGTGGTTCCCAAGTCAAACTCTGCTCGCCTCATTTCCTGTCTATGAATAGTCTACAGGTGTGTAATTCTCATGATGTCCGGATCTTGCTCATTCCTAACCTCTACAAGCCGCACTTGACACAAATCATGAGCCACGAAGAACAAGCACAATGTACACCTGGATCATTAGGTCCAGATGTCATAGCTTCAACTCAGATGTCTCGAGATTCGCTCCAACTCGCTTCACCTCTCTCATGGGAGCTTCCCACCTTTCCTACTGCTTCAACTTCTGCCTCGGAGTTGCTGCAGACGGATGTCCATGCTGAAGGCGTTGGTCAGTTGACTATGGATTCTTTGATGATACAAGCATTTAGTAGTGCAGTACCCGCAGAAAATGTATCAGACACGACGACTCTCTGCTCCTGGGCCTTTTCGCTTGTTCTTAAGAATAACTTGAAAGGTTATAGCGCCGCAGACTTGGATCTCAAGCTTCGCGCAGGATACAGGCATGGTGCCACACCAACTGAGGGTTGCCGCATCGATAACAAAATATTACTCACTGTCCTTGCGGAAGTCTCGTAGAACTCGACCCAGTAATTCCGGTACGCTGGTGATGAATCATAGTGATATTCTGTAAGTTGGTCTAGCGTGTTCACTCGCCAGGCAGATTGTGCAATTGATGGCTGATGGCGATTTTATTTGGAGAGCTTGGGATTTCATTGCATAATGTATTGGATAAGTGCACATATTCTGCACTTTCCGTTCCAACACCATTTCTAACACAAAGCTACAAGCCTCATCTAATCTTTGCATGATACCGTTAGGAATTGGTAAATTAGGGGTACGGCGCCGACGATGTGATGGCAGCCTTTCCACCCTACAAGACTTCTACAAGCCGTGCTTCTCTCGACGGGGGCAATTTCTCGGGAACCAGGGACAGATATTCAGTCATGTTACCTTACCTTCCCCTCATACCTACTTTCTACTCTTGGTCTTACCGTACCACGCCTCATCTTCTTGTCGCTTTCTGGCTTCTTCGTCTTGTTTAATATGATCCTGCTTCTGCTTCTGCTCTTTTCGAGCCGCAGCATCTGCTTCGCCTTCGCAGCTTTTACACTTACCATTGGCGTAGTAGTCTATCTGGTGTTTTTCACACCTAGCTAAGTGCTTGCGACAATATCCGGTTTTGCCACACCAACAATGATGGGTTACCTTTGCGCCGAGTTTGCGAGCCATTTTCTAAACTAGTCTTTGAGGTAAGTTAGCTCGTTAGGTCGTTGTATTGTGGTCTTAATGACGATAATGGAACGCTGTATGATGAAATTGGAATGTAAGTTTGAGGGGGAGATATAGAGTCAAGCTATGTGCTCTTGCATTTGTTGGCAAATGCAGAGTATGTTAAGAGACAATGCTATTTTGGTACCTTTTCATCCTACAGTGAGGAAGTATGAACAAGGTATCAAAGGAAAGGAGCTATCCTTGACTCTACGCAGTAGCGTAGGAGACAATGAACAACGGGGCTCTAAGGGTGGCATATCCGACCTGGTAAGCCACAATGTATTCTTTGTCCCCTAGGTCAAACTTTGTGTTAGAATTTGTAGCTAACATATAGGAAGCCTTCCACATCTTGGAATAGCATTATAATCTTCCCGCTCTCACCCAATCTATTTCCAACTCAACCCAAACATGTCCAGCATATTCATAGAGCATATGGACCGGTTCATCAACAACCATGATACTATAGATGATGCTGCATCGATCGCTGTGTCCGAAATATCCACCACTTCGACCGAGATGTTCGAACATGAACCTTTCGAAACCCTCCAAACGAAAGTCATCGAGCTGAGCAAAAAGATGTGGCCGCGCCTAGCAACGGACGCCTTCCGGGTCACACGTATGGAGGGAGGCTCCTACAACCGCGTTCTTGGAATCCAAGTTGACTCCTCGAAGAAGCAGATGTCGTGGATTCTACGCCATGCTCAGAAACTAGCTCAGAAGGTTTGCCCAAGCTCAGGCCGCAACTCTCAGCTCCATGAGTTTGTGATTCGTATACCACGGTACGAGCATGCATGGGTTGAACAAGAAGTTGCTATACTATCTTTTCTCGCTGGCACAAAAGTCCCCGTGCCGAAGATAAAGTTCTTGAGTCTTTCTAGCGATAATCCGGTTGGAAGTCGATTCACAATTCAGCCTCGCCTGCCCGGTAAGTCAGCCGAAGAGGTGTATTTGGATTTGAATACCCAGCAGCGCATCGCTTTCGCGCGGGAGCTTGGTTCCGCCCTAGCGGAGATGGGAAAGTTGCGGTCATCATGCCCTGGCACTCTTGATCCAGACAGTATTCCAAACAGTGCTTCACCCGCCCAAGTCCTGCGCTTGCAATGCCCACCACGAAACGCCTTCCGACCCGGCTCAGGAGAGGCATTCACATACTCCGCTCCACAAAGCGTGTACGACTTCCTCACGTCTCAGTTTGCTCGTCAGCGCGAATACGACCTCTCGCTCCACCGCGAACACACTAATCCGTGGAAATCTTTCACTCCCATCATCGAGGAGCTGCACCGAAGGGGAATCTTCAAAGATGTCACATACTCCCTAGCGCACATGGACTTTGAGCCGCGCAACATCCTCATCGACATCACCTCGCCTGGCACTGCACACCTCTCCGCGATTCTAGACTGGGACGAAGCTGTCTTCGCCCCCTCATTCGTGAACTGCCGTCCACCATCTTGGCTATGGGATTTTGAAGGAGATGAGGACTTGGATGAGGCGCTGGCCAACGTGGCGCCAACTGATTCTGATCTTCAGGCGGTCAAGACCGCGTTTGAGGACGCTGTTGGGCCGGAGTATTTGAGGTACGCATATTCGACAGAGTATCGTATCGCGAGGAACATCTGTCGTCTTGCTATAACTGGATTTCATTCAAACGATGATTATGAAATGGCGGAGAAGGTGATCGAGGAGTGGAATGAGATGGAACCTGAGCATAAGGTTCGGGGCTTGTTTGATGGCGAGGATGATGATGACAATTGAGGTGCTACGCATACTCAGCCAAACTTCTAGAATAAAAGGAAGTGACAGCAAAATTGTGAGACGGTGATAGGAGCCTTGTCAATGCGTGATCAGAGAGAAGAGGGGTAGAATATCTCAAAGCCGTACGAGGCTCAACCTCTGTTTTTTGTTAACAGATTATCAGAGTACTTCCCACTACACAAATATCACATTCTACACGGGCACAGTCAAAGGATTCATGACCCCCGCCCCACCATCAACCCTCAGCTCTGCCCCCGTGATATAACTACTGAAGCCGCTCGCCAAAAACCCAGCAACCCTCCCTACTTCTTCTGGCCTACCAGCCCTCTCCAGCCCAATCGTCCTCTTCTGAGTCTCCCCACCCTGCAACGAGGCGGGCGGAAACTGTCCCTGCGCCATCTCCTTCACACCGCTATCCCTCAAATCGACTCCAACGTCAATCTGGCCGGCAGTGATGGCGTTGATGCGAACACCAGTGCCCTTGAGAACTAGCACACCAGAGCGCACGACGCCCAGAGCCGCGTGAGAAGCCATGGTAAAGGCAGGGGCCCAGCAACCACCATACGTCCCTGCAACAGACGTGATGACTATGATGCTACCGTAGGGTGCGTCTTTAGGTGCAGCGTTGGGATAGCTGCCTTTAGGCGCGGTTTTCTGCATTGCTGCAGGCGCGTACTTCAGGGCAAAGAAAGCAGGCATGGCGTTTGTCTCAAAGGCTGCGTACAGGTCTTTCGTGCCTGTCGTGGTGATTGATGGTGGACCGAGGAGCCCAGTGCTGGAAGTCCATACGTCGAGGCGGCCCCAGGAGTTCAGTACATCGTCGATTAGACCTAGAGTGTCTTCTTCTGAGTTGATCTTGTAGGGGTACCCGATGACTTTGGTGTTAGGGTATTGTGCGTTGATAGTTTCAGCAAGTTCGGCGTATGGGTCATTCGGGTTCGAGGAGCATGCGTATATGCATGCCGCGCCGTGGGCTAAATTCTGGTTAGTTTCGGTAGGTTTGATGAGACTGCTGCTTCGTGACTTGGAAGACATTGAACTTGCCTAGGACGTAGACTCACCAGCAAGCTCAGCAACAATTGCTCTTCCAACAGGTTGGGTCGCGCCTGTCACCACACAGACAAATCCATACTACACCAGACAAAAATGTCAGTCCAGTACTACGTGTGGGGCGATTACGATATTGCGAGTTCATGGGAGGTAACGCGTCCAGTCCTTTTAGGTCCACAAGATCTGCAAAGCTGGAATGCGACCTACTAGTTTGCCATCGGCTCTATATGGGGAGAAGTGCTCCGAGTTTACAGTGTTTGCGTGTCCGTTCGCTGCAGTCATTGTGCCTGGTGTTGAAGGTTGAATTTTGGTGAGTCAATCTTCAGATCGAGTCAGGGCAGTCAACGCGATGAATAGTAGTGAAGCATCTTTTTTTTTGACAAGAGAAACATTATGTCAGTGTACATATCCACGGGGCGCGGAGATGCGTAAACGTCATGCAACCGTTGGTTGATGGAGCTCTTATCGGGAGCTTATCTGAGTTGTAGGCGGCTGCGGGGGAGTGATCGCTTCCGCGGCGCAGGAGACCTCGCAGCGGCAATCCAACGATTAGCTCAGATATAACTATAAACATTAAAGCTTACACAAAGTATAAGATGTCACTTTGCTAGTAATGTCTTGGCTTCTAGAATGTGCTCTACTCTTCATCACATCAAAGGAAAGCCCCTCTATGTACGTTTAGACACACAACCTATGCCGAACTTCTTCGCTTTGGAACCCTATTTCATTTGCGACACTAAACCATACCTTTTTAGCGTCCATCCTGAGCTGGCCGTGGTCCATTTGCCATATTCCGGGGACAGTGAAGGGGAACTTGCAGGTCGTCAGGAATGAATGGGATATAGAAGGGAAAAGGAGGAACAACAGAGGCATTTGTACAGGTGATGAACATACTAAGAGCCTGAAAGAAGTCGCATGCATCTATACTGTTGTGGCCTGCGATGCACAGTACATGTTGTGTTGCTTCACCACTGGCCTGGTTACAAGCATCCCTGCACTCAAAATACCTCCATTGATTGGCGACAACTTAACAGGTAGTTCTGAGCGCCAAGTTCCGGTGAGGATGACCATGACAGAGCCCTATTATTGACGACTTACTGGAAGACACGTTGGACTGCATGAAGTGGCTCAACTCGCATATGGAGACCATAAAGGCAGGCTTCTCCTCCCTATTAACTTGAATTTATTTGCCTCATAGCTGTTATCTTCTTGTGGCCTTACATTCTTCCATCCTTTTCCACTCGGACCTGGACAGGACAGCATTCCATTTGATCAGATCCATCAATCATCACAATCAAGCTCGTTTGGACTTTGGGAGGCGTCAGCCCTATACAATTTGGCTAGTATTCGCATGTATAACTATGATGTCCTGCCTAACTTGAATGTAGTGGTTCCGAGGATCGAGACCTTCACGGCCCTATGTCAACACTACAGCCTCGATTATCTCCTATGTCTCCTCCTTGCCACCACTGTGGCGCGGGGCAAGGAGATCGAAATATCGTGAATCAAGGCAATAGCAATGGCAATGCAGGCCGACCGTACTATTTATGCGACCATTGCCATAGATGGATTACATGGGGCGACAACCGTGGTATATCTGGTGGTAATCCATTGTGCTTCTGTGGTGCCATCAGTCGTCAAGATCGAGCAGGTAATGAAACTAGCATACCTAGGTTGGGATTTTGGACGTGTGCGACAGGAAGTTGCGACTATTTCTCCAGGTATCAGAACGGTTGGACTGACGCGCAGTTCGCATCAGACCCTGAGAATCCCCAGTGTACCATGTTTCGCCCATGGTTGCTATAGATTCTTGGTCTCTGGGAGCTGCAATTGAGTAGGATCAGAATGCACATCATAAAGAGGCGAGGAAACGGGAAGACGAGGTACATCAAAGAGAAGTAGGTGGCAGCACTAGTAAGAATGGTAGCACTTGCCCCTTGTTATGAGAGAACAACAATGCGAAACTAACAGTGATGCCGGGACTAAAAACTCACTTCTTGTGTTCTAGCTTGCGATGCACTGTCTTGTCATATAAATCTTGGTAACTGTTGTGACTGTAGTGACCTAGGCACTTGAGGTTCGGGGATACAGCAAGCGGTTGTAAATTAGTTCCACAATATTTCTTCTTCCTCATTGAACTTATTTGTGGAAACCTACTACACAAGCTATAAGCTCGGCTTGATGGAAGTTGGTACGATAAAGTGGGTATAAATGACGAAAACGGGTTGCTTGGTCGTTTCCGGAGCACGTCCCGCGCCTAAAGTTGATGAAGGAACAGCGAATTGCAAACGCCATCATCTGCGACTCCCACGCCCTCGACGCTATCATTAATTATGGTCTCGAAATCTATGCTCAACACGCTTCTGGAGAAGCAATTGACTTACGAGCCCGAGCCGCAGCCCTATTTCAGCTTCCGCAATGGCTACTGGAGCTCTGTCAAGCCCGACGTGTCATTCCCGCGTTTGGCCGCAGGAGAAGGCGCCCCCTCGAAAGCCCTCCGCGTCATCACATGGAACATCGACTTTATGGCCTCGCATCCCCGCGCGCGCATGGCTTCGGCGCTTTCGCATCTGGAAGAGCTAGTCTCGCAGATCCCAGAGTCTTGCGCTGTGGTCGTCCATTTGCAAGAGATTATGGAAACGAGCGGCTCAGACGAGCAGCAAGCGAATGACCTCAATCAAATCATGAACGCGCCTTGGGTTCGCGAATGCTTCAATCTTACAGATGTCGATACATCAAGGTTGGTTGCACCATATGGTCAGATCACTTTGATCGATCGACGACTGGCAATATCCAACGTCTCCCGGATGTGGTTCGTGAGTGAGTACCAGCGCGACGCGTTGTTAGTGGATATACGCCTCGATACGCCACAACCAAGATATCTGCGACTTTGCAATGTTCATCTTGATTCCAGTTACGGCAGCATGCGTCCTGTGCAGTGGAGCGCACTCGCGAAGCATCTTCAGAATGCAGATGAAGGCATCTCAGCCAGCATTCTTGCTGGAGACTGTAATGCCAATCAGGCGCGCGATAAGACGGCCCCGCAAGAACACGGCTTCAAAGACGCCTACCTTGAACTAGGTGGCATTGAGGGTGATGATGTCGGAGCGACGTGGGGGTTTCAGAGTGGTGTTGGTGCGAGTAGGTGGGGACATCAGAGGCTCGACAAGGAAATATTTTGGGGTGGTGTGCATGTCGACCGGCTGGAGCGGATAGGGGTTGGAGTACAAGTGGGAGACGAGAGATTCAGGAAAGCTCTTGAGAGTGAAGGAGAGGTGGCCTTTGTGACAGACCACTACGGCCTTATGGGCCATTTCAACCTCGAAGACGCAATGAGGACAGCTAAACATGGCGACACATGACGAATAACATTCAAAGTGAGTCAAATTCTATCGTATATGCGACTCTATTCTATGAGAGGAACATACTGACGAAGTCCAGCGCCGGAAATGCATCAAAGCCTACTATGCAGTCAAGCAGAGGCAGTCTGTCCGTAGAAAGGGTAATCAACATAGCCCTTTTGGGGTGGGTCTGCGCCATAGAATGTGTTACGGTCGTACTGGTTCAGCTCTAGACCCTCGGCCAGACGTTTTGGAAGATCTGGATTCGCGAGGAACCATCGACCGAAGATGATGAGGTCAGCGTCGCCAGACTCAATCTTTGGCACAGCGTTATCCCGATCGAAACCACCAGCAGCGATGAACTTGACGCCACCCTTTTGCAAGATGCTGCGGAAGACGGCGAGGGTATTGCCCTTGCCTTTGGCTGTGGCTTCGGCCTCAACGCCCTTGCCACCCTTCGAGGTGTATGCAGCCAGAGCATCCAACTTGGCCTGCTCGTCCAGTACTTCATCGAAGCGAGGCTCGACCCTAGTGGGCGTTGTTAGTATTTATCAAGACAAATTGCTACGCAATGTGCTCACATGTGCACGTAAGCGGGTCTCTCATTCTCTGGTAGAGTAGCGATCTTCTCACTCAGGTACTCCCAATGCTCGTTGGGATTGCTGTCCTTGGTGTCCTGGAAGTAGTTGTACGGGCTGAGACGGATACCGACACGGTCAGCGCCGATAGCCTTGGAGCATGCCTGGATGACTTCAAGGGGGAAGCGACTGCGGTTCTCGATTGATCCGCCATATTGGTCTGTCCTCTTATTTACGTTATCATGCAGGAACTGGTCGAGTAGGTATCCGTTGGCACCGTGGATCTCAATGCCGTCGAAGCCAGCCTCACGAGCTTTCTTCGCAGCCTCGCCCCAAGTCTTCGTCCAGTGTTGGATCTCTTCGAAGCTCAAAGGTTTGGGCGGGTGCTCAGCGCAAGCCACGCCATCCAGCCAGCTTCCTTCCATGGGGATGTCGCTTGAACTGACTGTGGGGGCGCCAGCACGAAACGAGGGCGGCGAAGCGCGTCCGGTGTGCCATAGTTGGCAGAATATATAACCACCCTTTGCGTGGACGGCATCTGTCACCTTCTTCCAACCTGCAATCTGCGAGTCTGAGAAAACCCCTGGTACGCCTGGGTAACCGCTAGCCTAGAAGAATCAGCGAGTGTCACGACTCTCAGTCTCCTGCATCTTACATATTGGGCAATATCAGTAGCTTCAGTCAGCTGGAGACCGCCTTTGGTCGCGCGCTGGCTGTAGTACTCGACTTGCAAGTCGTTGGGGACGAAGACGCCATCGCTCTCCTTGGTTGCTCGCATGCGCGTAAGAGGCGCCTGTACGATCCTGTGCTCGAGGTTCAGAGGGCCCAGCTTGAACGGTGTAAACAGAGCAGTCTGCTTGAGCGACTTGAACCCAGACGGGCTATCTGCTTTCGGCATGCTGGCGTATGTGCTTCTGGATATGCTATGTGCTGGATTGGGAGTGCAGGAGCAGTTGTGGAAGCTCCCCACAAGATATCAAGAATTTTGGATGTACGCATATTTTGAGGTCAGGGTCCCCTATTGTACCTGCGCTAAATCTCCCACCCATAGTATCCATTGCCGCAAATCCCAAGTTTGTGTTGCAGGAATGGGGGAGGGGCAGTACTGCAAGCCTTACACTTTACGCCCTCGCGCCTTGCGCCCTACAGCCAAACGGCCCACCGTACAATTTTCTGCATGTAAGAGTGGGGTGTGCTACAAACCCTCCGATCGGGAAAGCTATCGAGACCTTAGCTTCACACCCAATCAGCGAGAGCATTACGTGAGGGGGCGTGAACGTCGCGGATTACTGAGGGGGTTCATATTGTGCGGTTGTGCAGGGCGTCGCATAGGCTGCGTCTTTCAAGTCGTCTTTCTCCGTTTCTTGGTTCATAGCCTGCCATGCCCCTGCTGCCAACTCCCCCCAAATCGGCAGCGGCGGACCCGCCGCGGGCCCGTTCCGCCGCCGATGCACTCACGCCGCTCATCGAATCGACGTACTTGAAATCGGATATTACGTGCTACATCAATGGACGGAAAACCATCATCAGCAATCCGAACCCACATTGGACGCTTCTGGACTATATCCGCGCGCAGCCAAACCTCAAGGGCACGAAGCTAGGCTGTGGCGAGGGCGGTTGTGGCGCATGTACAGTCGTGCTCCAAGTAGCACATGTACAGTCTGGGAAGAGGAGGATCAAACACCTGTCTGTAAACGCATGTCTCTTCCCGTTGGTGGGCATCGATGGCAAACATGTCATTACCGTGGAGGGCATCGGCAACGTGGACAGGCCACATCCCTTGCAAGAGAGGATAGCGAAGCTACACGGGAGCCAGTGTGGTTTCTGCACGCCTGGGATTGTCATGTCGCTGTATGCGGTCGTGCGAAATGCATACGACCCAGAGACGCACAAGTACCACCTCAGCGCGCGCGATATTGAGATGGAAGGTCATCTGGATGGGAACCTTTGCAGGTGCACAGGATACAAGCCAATCTTGAATGCTGCAAAAACATTCGTCACAGAGGATCTAAAGGGTCAGCTGGCGGAGGAAAATGAGCCGACAACCGCAGATGGGGAGCATCTTGAGAGGGATTTAGTTGACCTGACTCGCAACCGGGGCGCAGGTCCTTCCAAGGTTTCCTGTGGGCGGCCGGGAGGCTGCTGCCGGGATACCCCTTCTGATAGCAGCTCAAATGAAAGCAGGTCGAACACATCATCGCCACCAACAGAGCCCATCACCAGCTCAGACGATGAGCATATCCCCGCCATCGTTAGCGCGACGAATTGTCCCACGCAAGACCCAGCAATTGCTGGAGCAAGCTACGCCAAACCTTTAAAGAGCAAGGAGTATGGTGCTGGTGCCGAGACTAAAGCAACAACAGCACTCCAGGAGGCACTATCCGTGAATTCGGAGAAGGGAGTTCCAAAGATTGAGTTCAAGGAATACATACCAGACACAGAGATTATTTTCCCTCCAGCTCTGTGGAAGTACGAATCACAGGCTCTGTGCTATGGAAACGACAAGAAGATCTGGTTCAGGCCTACGAAGCTCGAGCAACTGGTCGAGCTAAAGGACGCTTACCCCTCGGCGAAGCTTGTCGGTGGAGCTAGCGAAGTGCAAGTAGAAGTTCGCTTCAAAAATTCTGACTTCGCTGTCTCTGTATATGTCTCGGACATCGCAGAGTTGAAGCAAACCAAGCTGCCGCTAGAAGCGGAGTTGGAAAATGCTAGGGAACTGGTAGTAGCTGCTAACACGCCACTCACCGAGTTGGAGCAGATCTGTAAGCAGATCTATGCCAAGCTTGGGAAGCGTGCAATGGTGTTGGAGGCGCTCCGGAAACAACTTCGATACTTCGCTGGTCGCCAAATCCGCAATGTAGCCTCTCTTGCAGGCAACATTGCCACGGCCTCGCCAATCTCCGACGCGAATCCGGTGTTGATAGCGGCTGGTGCAACATTAGAGGCCATCAATAAGAAACATGGCAGCGTTGACCTTCCGATACGGAAGTTTTTTGTGGCGTATCGAACGACAAATCTACCTCCTGATGCTATCCTCCATCGTATCAGAATACCGCTCCCACCGCCCAACTCGAGGGAAGTCTTGAAAGCCTACAAACAAGCCAAACGAAAAGATGATGATATTGCTATCGTTACTGCTGCATTCCGTGTGAGGCTTGACTCGGAAGACATTGTTGAGGATGCTTGTATCGTGTACGGCGGGATGGCGCCCATGACCAAAGAATCTCCAAAAACTCAGAGTGCTCTCTTGGGCAAGCGATGGTTTCATTCAGACACGTTGGAAGCCGCCCTCACTGCCTTGCTCGAGGACTATGACCTTCCATACGGCGTCCCAGGTGGCATGGCCGACTATCGCAAGACGCTGACGCTTTCGCTATTCTTCCGCTTCTGGCACGAGTCGGCAGCCGAGTTTGGTCTTGGAAACGTCGATGAGCAGGTCATTGATGAGATTCACCGGGAAATTTCTAGCGGTGTTCGCGATGACTATAATCCCCACGAACAGCGCGTGGTAGGCAAGCAGGTTGCGCACCTCTCTGCTTTGAAGCAGTGTACGGGGGAGGCCTTGTATTTGGATGACGAACCGCGACTAGACCGAGAGCTATTTGGCGGACTGGTCATGTCGACAAAAGCACATGCAAAGATACTGAGCATCGACTGGGAACGAGCGCTGGAAATGCCTGGCGTCGTGGGATACATCAACCGGAACAGTATACCGGCAGATGTCAACGTCTGGGGCTCAATCAAGAAAGATGAACCCTTCTTCGCGGAAGACAAGGTCCTTTTCCATGGCCAGGTTATTGGTATGGTGTATGCCGATTCAGCTCTTGAAGCACAAGCAGCGGCGCGGGCTGTCAAAGTAGAATACGAGGTTCTCCAGCCCATCCTTACCATCGACGAAGCAATCGCAGCCGAAAGCTTCTTTCCACATGGCAAGTTCCTAAGAAAACGTCTTGCTATTGACGACAAGATGGAGGACGCTTTCGCTCGGTGTGATAGGATCTTCGAAGGCGTCACTAGACTGGGTGGCCAAGAACACTTTTATCTTGAAACCAATGCTGCTCTTTCCATTCCAACAGGCGAGGATGGTGCAATGGAGGTATGGTCGTCAACACAAAACACTATGGAAACGCAAGAGTTTGTGAGTTCGGTATTAGGCGTGCCCAGCAATCGCATTAACGCCCGTGTGAAGCGGATGGGAGGTGGATTCGGTGGCAAGGAGTCTCGCAGCGTGCCATTCGCAGTTTACACGGCCATCGCTGCGAGAAAGGAAAAGAGGCCAGTACGCATCATGCTGAACCGCGATGAGGACATGCTGCTCAGTGGCCAGAGGCATCCCTTCCAGGCGCGCTGGAAAGTTGGAGTTACAAAGGAGGGCAAGCTGCTCGCACTTGAAGCCGATGTCTACAACAATGGTGGCTTCTCACAGGACATGAGTGGAGCCGTCATGGATCGATGTCTTACGCACTTTGACAATTCCTACGAGTGTCCGAACGTATACCTACGAGGCTATGTCTGCAGAACTAATATTCATAGCAACACTGCATACCGAGGCTTTGGTGCTCCTCAGGGAATGTACTTCTCAGAGACGGTCATGTACAACGTCGCGGAAGGATTGGGCATGGATGTGGATGAACTACGATGGAAAAACCTGTACACGCCAGGAGAACACACACCATTCTTCCAGAAGATTGACGAGGACTGGCATGTACCACTTCTCCTACAACAACTAAGCAAGTCTTCAGATTACGACAGACGAAAGGCCGCAGTTGCGGAGTTCAACTCCAAGAATCGCTGGAGGAAGCGAGGCATCTGCCTCATTCCGTCAAAGTTCGGGCTCAGTTTTGCGACTGCTCTGCATCTCAACCAAGCCGGGGCCTATGTCAAGATATATCACGATGGCAGTGTGCTACTACACCACGGAGGAACAGAAATGGGTCAAGGTCTCTACACCAAGATGTGCCAGATTGCTGCGCAAGAGCTTGGTACCCCCCTTGATGCCATCTACACCCAAGACAGCCAAACCTATCAAATTGCAAATGCGTCGCCCACCGCTGCCTCCTCAGGCTCCGATCTCAACGGCATGGCTGTCATTGATGCTTGCAATCAAATCAACGAGCGCCTGAAACCTTATCGTGAAAAGCTTGGCCAGGGCGCACCGCTCAAGGAGATCGCTCATGCTGCCTACCTTGACCGCGTCAACCTCGCTGCGAACGGATTCTGGAAGATGCCTAAAGTCGGATATACCTGGGGCGACACGAACTTGGAGACGGTGAAGCCCCTGTACTACTACTGGACCCAAGGAGCGTGCTGCTCGGAGGTAGAATTGGATCTACTTACGGGCGATCACACTGTGTTGCGGACTGATATCATGATGGTAAGCCACACACTTTTCTCCACACTATCCCTCTCGATTAACAAAACACAACAGGACGTGGGCAATTCCATCAACCCGGCAATCGACTACGGCCAAATCGAAGGCGCCTTTGTCCAAGGTCAAGGCCTCTTCACCATGGAAGAAACCCTCTGGACGCGCGACGGCCAGCTTTTCACCCGCGGGCCCGGAACCTACAAGATCCCCGGCTTCAGCGACATCCCTCAAGTCTTCAACACCAGCATGCTGCGCTACGATAACGACGGCAAGCCCTTGTCCTGGAACCACCTCCGCAGTGTGCAGAGTAGCAAGGGCATAGGCGAGCCGCCGCTTTTCATGGGTTCGACCGTCTTCTTTGCGCTCCGGGAAGCGATCAAGGCGGCGCGGATTATGAACGGGAAGAGTGTGACGGATGGGTGGGGGCTGGATAGTCCGGCTACGAGTGAGAGGCTGCGGTTGGCGGTTGGTGATGAGCTTGTTGATCGGGCGAGGGTGGAGAGGAGGGAGGGGGAGACGAGCTTTTTGGTTGCTGTTGCGTAGTTGTAGTGTAACAGGCAGATAATTCCGGGGTTTTCGGGACAATGAAGATTGCGAGTCTTCTAGATATGACAGAATTAATTCGTGTAGCTAAAGCTTTAAAAAGGTAACGAATTCCTACCACTATGAAATCAATCATCATTAATGCTGTCTAAGAAATTAGCTTCGTTAACGCTTACGAAAGTCACGTTATACTAGCTTGCATCTATGCTCAACTTCAACGTATATTCTAGTCCAGAGTCGTATTTTCTATTGTAAACAAACCGGCTATTGTTCGAACACCTCGCAAGTATTAGTCGAGTCGTGACTAAAGCGCAGGCCGCCAATGTGTCAAAAGCTATCGCAAAGCTATGGATAGACAACCCTCATTTAGTTGTCATACATATTAACCTTGCGTCGCTGCAATGCACTCGTAAATGTGCCGTCCTCCAACGGGGGCTAGTATAGTTCGTTGATAACGATAGGACTTGATTGCTAGTAATGTTGGTGTATTGTTAGCAGTTTCCTACTTTTTTTATTATGTCAGCTGTTAGCAGGTAGTACGAGACACAGCAGTACTCAGAACGAACTATACAAGTACTAGTCATGGCCTTCTTAAAGTTCTCCGAGCTGTTCATGGCCAACCATTGCTCACCCCCACTCTTGAGGTTGTGAGTCTGAAGGATCACATAGTGGCACGCTAATGTGCGTAGCTCCCTCTCAACCCCGCTTTCTAGAGGAACGGCTCCAACTGCCAAATCCGGTCTTGATATCGGATGTTTCGTTCCTGATAACACCCTAATCCTTCAAGAAGTGGGTCCTCAAAACCCCCATTAATCACCTCCGCACGCCCCCAACCTTCAATTGCACTTGCAACATCGACATATCACCGGCTGTTCATTTGCGTCATGGCATCCATTACTTCAGACTACGCTAGTTCAATGCCTCGAGGACGAAGGAGAAGGGAAGTAGTGGGCAGAAATGAGGGCAAGAGATTTGTTTGCACAAATGACGGGTGTGGCAGAAGTTTTACGAGAGCAGGTTAGTATAGCCTTGGGATGATCATAGCGCTACGTATTGACTGTATACAGAGCATCTCCAAAGACATCTGCTGAACCATTCGACTGGCGAGTATACATGCGATAGATGCAGGGCTCACTTTAAGCGGAGAGACCTCCTCGGTGAGACGCGGTTCCTTGCAAGTCTTCAGGTTCCCTGCACGTGCTCCAATCTTCTTTGATCACTCGATTCTTCAAGAGTGGATTGAATACTTTGCACGACCTTTCTATCATCTCCGACTCTGCGTAACACTATCATTATTTCGCAAGTGTCCTTGAACCGGGCCGAGCTTTGATTAGCACAGCAAAGGGCAAGGCTTTGTATGCCGTGCGCCCCCACTGTGTACCCAATTCGGATGCAACCTAGAGCAGGATACGTAAAGAGTTGTCTTTTCTGTAGAGCCTTACATTGTCACCGCTCTTTGTGGAAAGTGCTGACAGTATGTATAGAAAGGCACGTGAGTCGTCATCGTCAGAAGGACGAGGAAGCTGGTGCTGAAGGTTGCGGTATATTGAATACGAGAAAGCGCATGTGGAAGGATTCCACTGGCAGAATCGTCACTAAGAAGCCTACGTTGTCGAGCGGCGTGCAAATACCTCAACCTACTACGCAGCAGCCACATGACGTGGACCCACTTCAGTCATTATCAGACTTTGTGCCCTTCTCAAACCAGGAGGAAGGTGCCCCAATCTCGCCGCCTAGCTCACATAACGCCTCGCTTAGCCATTCCTGGGAAGATCATGATTCTGGCACAGGAACAAACTTTCCTTCAACCACATTGGACTCAAATCTCCTTTCTTCATCGGAATCGTACTCGCCAATAGACCAGAGATTTTGGTCTACGGATCTGTCGCAGCCTCTGCCTGAGCCGTTGGCCTCTACTGCATTCGGCGATGCTCCCTTTGACGATATCTTCAACCCGGATACGGCGAGCTCATTCAACAACCCATTTACCACGATGAGCAATTATAATTGGCTCTTCGACATGGACCTTCCACGGTCTGGTCAATTTCAACAAGCCGCTGTGCAAGAACCGTTCACTGCATTTGCCTTGAACACCACTACCATCTCACAACCAAGCCATGCCTTCGACCTTCAGCTTGATCATGTGAACGTTGACAAGACTTTGTCGACAGTCGGTCATTTTGGGTCGCGGACTGACTCACCACAAGATCATTCACCGTCTGCAACACTGATCTCGCCGCAACTTAGTGACGAGGTGCAGAAGAATGCCCAGGGTAAAGTCAACCAGCAATCGAGGCTCGAGCTGGAAAATGCTCCAGTGTCCCCTGGGATAACAAACCCGATACCGCACGCCGGGGTAGTCCTCGATGTAGAGCGTCCGATGTCGATGCTCTTTCCGTCAAAAAGTCTACCCATCATTGATGAACTGGCTCGCCAACAAATGCTAGACCTGGTTGATATCACGCAGCCCACTGCACCAGATGGCAGTATTGTGATGCGTGATCACACGCTACTTACCCTGTCATGTTTACAAACATATTGTGATCTCTTCTTTACGCGCTTCAATACCGCTTACCCTCTTATACACATGTCGACGTTCGACCCCTCGGAGGTGGACACGCTACTTTTGATGTCAGTCCTTCTACTTGGGGCCACATATGGCGAGAAGGATGCCCATCAGCTAGCTGTACGTTATACCGCGTCTTTGAGGCAAACCCTAACCTGACTTGAACAGGTTTGTATTCACGACGTATTGCGGCCGCAAATATTTGCGAATGCTGGATTTTCGGCGAAACCTAGTTTATGGGTCCTGCAAACGATTTTACTTGTTGAGTGCTTCGGTAAGAGTAGGGCGGGGCAAAAGCAGCACGAGATGTCTCATCTTTTCCACGGTTTATTAATTAACTTGATTCGGCGGAGTGACTGCCAGAGTATTCGCCCACCAACATTGGCTGATGCCACTGATGATTTGGAGGACGACTGGCGAACATGGCGTGAAGCCGAACAGATGAAAAGGTATTTTCGATATCTGTTAAACTTCACAATGACTAACGTTTGGTAGACTTGCATTTCTATGCTTCATGTGGGACACCCAGCACGCAGTACTGTTCTGTCAGTCTCTCTGCATGTCAGCTTTCGAACTTCGCTCGAACCTTCCATGCGACCAGTCATTGTGGGAGGCGGACTCGGCTGAGACCTGGCATCAGTTGCGCCAAAAGCAGCCTACTCCTCCCATATTCCTGTCGTGTTTGAAGATGTATCTCCACCCGAATGCTGCCACCGTACCCAAGAACATGAACGCTCTGTCAAGATCGCTGCTCCTGCATGGTCTAATGTCCGTTGCATGGGATATGCAGCGGCGAGATCAGACGTCCCTAGGTAAGTTGCGTAGTCCCAATGTTCGTAGAGCACCACTAACCATCCCAGGCGTCATCGACACCAATCCCCTGGGTAACTGGCAGACGCGCCTCGCCACGTCATACACGACATGGCACAATGACTATACAGACTTCTGCAACCAGTATCTTTCCCGCCTCCCTTCATCCGATCATTACCTCGCCAAGGAGTTCCAAGTCTCTCGCACCGCTACCCTAGCCCTCTACCACGCCGCTCATATTCTCCTTTGCACACCCTTTCTCGATCTACAAATCTACGCTGGCTCGCGACATATTCTCGGCCGGCCAGTTGCGCGCCAGGACTACGCACGCTCACAACGCGCTGTCAAGAAATGGGTAGCGGAAAACGTGCACGAAGCAGGAAAAGCCGTTTGGCATGCCGCAGCGCTCGTAAGCGAAGGTGTCGACATTCTCGATGGCGAACTGAGTTTTCATGATGTCGGCGGTGGACGCTTATGGCACCACCCTTGGGCTGTCTATCTCGGCACACTCGTTGTCTGGGGCGTGTGGTATGCACGCCCTGTCCCTCCTGTTGCAACAGATCAATTGCCCACTCACTTAAAGCATCTGGATGATGAGGAAGATGAGATTATCTGGGATCCCGCGGCAGAAATGAAAAGCCTGCTTGGCGCGATACTCCAGAGTGAGCCGGAGAAGTTGCTACAAAGTGGATATCAAGGAGGAATCGCGGGTGGGATGGGGAAGAGAGGAACGAATGGCCTTGCTGCAGTGGTTAGTAGGTGCTTGAGTAAAGTTCGATGGGCGGTTGTGCACGACGGAATGATAGTGCTTAGAGGCTTGGTGCAGTGGCGTTTGGTTGGAGGGGGTGGACTCGGAGGACCATAGTATTGCTCCACGATGATTATAATAAACGCTGCATATACCCCCGAATTGTCTTTTCGTTCGGCTGATTTTCAACATTGAACCAGTAATTGGTGTCTATCGCCCGGGATGTTTTCTGTGAGCACATATTCGCCGCATCAATGAAGAACGTGAAGCTGTTGTCATGTTATGACTTACTGATCTATCGTACGTTAAGTTCGTGGAGAGCTATGAAGTGCCCCGTCGCTATGTTAGCACCGTCATGGCACAGTAGTTGCGACACGGGGCGGGAAGGTATAAGTGTACCCGAGAGTCAAAGCTTCCGCTTGGTAGTTTAGCTAAAGCGGTGCGGTTGAATTATTGCGTTTTGGAATTACTGGGCGTTCACCATTTATGAAGCCTATAAGTGAAAGATGGAAGGATCTTATTTAAGGGAACGAACTTAGAAGCTAGCATCGCTTGATTTTGGTGTTTTAGCTCCCATCGCCTTTGAAAATCCCCATCCAAGGACGCAGCAAGTTGGATGTTACGTCCTCGCAAATCCTACATCTCCTAGTAGTCACATCTCCTCCCATACTCCACATCAACTTTTGCCATCACACTTATACGATAATCCCACCGATCTTTCTGATTCTTCAATCAAGCACATCCGCCACAGAAGCATCGTCCGCGATCATAGCCGATACTCCATTGGTTTGGAAAGGTGAACCAGCCGGAGTTGTACCAACCACACGCTTTCGTAATCTCCCTCGAGTAATCCTGTCTGCCACCCGCACTGCAATACTTCGCTTCGCGATCGCTGAAGTTGCAGAAGAAAGCCACAATATCGCCGCGGATAGAGTAATAGTTCATCCCAGGGTTGACGTTCACACCTCCTCCGCACTGGCGGTCCAGGTCCGCGTTGGCGGCATCCGTGTTGCCGTGATGGAGGTCCCGGGCACCTCCGCAGGAGTAATCGCGGCGTATAAGGCGGTTAGGTTGAGGCTCAGATGCGTAAGGCTTCGGAAGAGGGGCGTAGACGGTGGCGTTGGCGAGTTTTGTGTGGACCTCGACGCCGTCAACGAACTCGACAGCGTAGGTGCCTTCTTCCTGCCCTTCTGGAATGACAAAGCCAGAAGCTGTAAGCCCAATTGCGGCAATGGTGAGAATCCTGTTTAGAAGCATGTTTGGTGGTATTGCAATTGAGTTGGCGAAGCCTTCGAATGAGTAGTGGCTCTCTGGGGATCGACGCTCTGGTGATTGTGGATGCCATTCTTGCTCAGCAGTCTCTCGTCTACTTATACATCTTCCAAAGAAAATTGCCCACGGTCTAGGCATAGTCGTTGTCTACCTAATCCGAGGGCAGTTCGTTGGCGGTGCACGCCATGTCTCCATCTGTACCGTATGTCCGACCTTCAGGGCATCGAGCCCGTGGAGAAGGACCGAGAATGCTGGCATTTGAAGCACATCAATGGATTTAATATAATCTTTTGGTAAGAAAAGAGTCTCACTACATGAAAAACCCTCGGCGTTCGCCTTACCAGGGAAGTATCCGGAGAGGCATTCGGGTATTTGCTATAAGAGGCATGGGCACCTCGTATTGCACAGACATTCTCACCAATACTAGTACTACCTGGGACTAAGGGTCTGCGCACACTCGCACCATATTTACATTTCAAGGCATAATGTGTAACTGTTTAATGGCTGTCCTAGCGCAGTCTACCTAGCGGTAAGCTTACTTCTGCACTATTTAATTACTAGTGTAATTAGCTATCCAGCTTTAAAGTCTCATTAATGAAAAATGCCAAAGCAGAATTAGGGGGGCAAGGGTAAGACTCTAGCTGCGCCTTTTTATGCTTACTAGTAAAAAGCTAGTTTTAAATAAGTACTAGTATATTATACAATTTTTAAAAGTAAATTATTTTTTTATTATATAATTCTGTACTAAGAACTTTAAAAATAATAAAAGTATAAAAATAAGTAAAAGTATTTATTTTATAATTTAAAATAAATAATAATTTTTAAAAGAGGGCTTAATATATACAAAATATATTAAAAATAAAAATAGTTAAAACTATAATTATTTTTTTATATACTTTTTAAGTACTGCGCATTTTTAAAAACTAAAATTTAGATTTTAATATAAGTAAGCTTGCATTTTTTTTTAAAATTTTTTAAAAAAATTAAAAAAGCTAGCAAAATTTTTTAAAAATATTAAGTATTTTAAAAATAATTGCTTATACCCCTAATTTTTGTATTATTTGCTATTAGAGTAGTTTTTTATAGCTATTTTATATTTATTATAAAGAATATATTGCAGTTTTTATATTTAAAAATTAAAAAAATTAAAAATATAGCTTTAAATATTTATTTTTATTTTAGCTTAAAAAATATAAGTAGCGCATATACAAGCTTTACTTACTACTAATTTTAAATATTAAATTTATACTAATAAATATTATACTATTTTTTATAGTACTTAAAATATTAAAATAAAAAAAATAGTACTTATTTCTATTATTAATATAAAAAAGATAAAATATAATACTAAAGTAGTATTAATATTTTAAAAATAAAAGCTTAAAAGTACTAATATTCTCTACTTATATAATAAAAAAGTTTATACACTTAGTTAGAAAAAAGCAAAATAAGCAAAAATAAGTTTTTTATTAGCTTTTATAAATAATATGCTTAAAAATTCTAATATATAAATAAATAGCTAAACTATAGTTATAGTTTGCAAATGCACTAACTTCTATATTTTTAATTTAAATTATTTTTTAGTATTATTAATATTTAGTAAAAAAAATTTTAAAGTATTTAAAGTTTTTTAAAAAAATAGTAGTAACTTTAGTAGCTATTTTAATAATAAAAAAATAAATATATAAATATAGTAAAATTAAGTTTAATTTTTTTATATTTACCTTAATAGGCAGCAAATAATATTTAAATATTTTTAATATAAATTAGAAAAGCTTATAAGTACTAAAGTTTTAAAAAAATAAAATACTTAGTTAAAAAGAATAAATAGGAAAAAAGTAATACTATAAAATAAATTAGTATATTTAAAAATATATGCAGCAAATGCTTATAAATATAAAAAATATATATACTAAATTTATTTTTATATATATTAGGCTAGGGCATACTAGCTAAAGCTTAAAAGGAATAGAGTTACTTAAAAAAAAATTTAAACTTATAATATTTTAAAGCTAATTAATTGTTTAGTATAATTATAAGAGTGTAAAAAGCAAATATATAAAAGAATAAATTAAAAATATTAAAAGATAATTTTTTTTTTTTTTTTTTTTTTTTTTTTAGGTAGATATAGCTAGGCTTTAAAATATATAATATTTTTGCATTCCTACTTTAGATCTTATAACTTATTTTTTAATTTTTTTTTTTCTTTTTTTTTAGGGAATAAGGCTAGCCTTTAAAATATATAATATTTTTGCATTTTTACTTTAAATTTTACAACTTATTTTTTAATTTTTTTTAAATAAAGGGTAAAGGCTTTACTAAGCTTACTTTTAAAATTTATAGTATTATTACTTTTTAATAGCTAAATTATAAATATTATTATAGCTAAGTTATATTAATTTTATAAATATAGGGCTTTATATAAAGGGTAAGTACTTAAAGTATAAATAAGTTAATATATATTTTTAAAATAGCTAAAAAGTAAAAAAAAAAAATTTAAAATATTTAAAAATAAAATAAAAAATTTTAAGTGCAGATAATAAGCAGTGCTTATATTATTATAGTAAGTACTTAATATAGAACTTTAAGTAAAAGTAAAAAATAAAATAAATTTTTTTAGTAATACTAAAAATTTACTATATAAAAGTAAAATAAATATTTTGCTTTAGCATACTTTATATACTTTTAAAATTTTTAAATTTTTAAACTAAAAATGCAGGATGCGCAGATATAGTACTTATTTTTTTTTAAAATTTTAAACTAAAAAATTAAAAAAAATACTATTTTAGGCTATAGTGCATAAAGCAAAATAAGTTATAAATAAGTTAAAAGTATTCTAGTAAATTTTTAATTTTTTTAAAATTAATATAAAAAATTTTAAAAATACTACGCATTAGTTATATAAAAACTTATAAAATTTAATACTTAAAACTTAAGTAATTATAATTTATAACTTTTTTATACTTATATAAGTTTGCTAAATTTATTCTATTTTTTTTTATAATTATTATAGTATTTTAGCTTTGTATAACCTAAATTTAATTTTAAAATAAATATATTTAGTATAATACTGCAAAAAATACAAAAACTATACTTATAAAAAAATATAAGTAACTTTTTTTTAAAATTATTAAATAAAATTAATATTTTTTTTTATTATTTTTAATAATTAATTAATTAAACGTGTAAGTACTAACGTATATAAATTTTAATATAATTTAATATAATATACTGCTTAAAAATTAAAAAAGCTAAAAAATATTTTTTAAAATTAAAAAAGTAGCATTTTATGCTTACTAAGTATTTTTAAACTAAAGTACTTAATTTACTAGCTACTAGCTTTATAGTTTGTTTATTTAATTTTAGAATTTTAAAGCTTTATAAATAAAATTTTTAAATAATATAATATTTTACTATAAAATTTATATAAAATATATTTTTTTTAATATACTACATTTCTAATAAGGCAGCTTAAAATATATAAGCTATTATTATAAATATAAAGCTATAAACTATAATATTTTATAAAAATAGCTATAGAAGAAAAGTTCTTTTTTTTCTGTTTTATTTAAAACATCTTTACTATTTACTAAATTTTATAATAATAATAATTAGCAAACTAAATTATATAAATTATAAAATATAAAAAATATACTGCTTTCTAAATTTTATAGCTATAATAGCAAAGTTTTATAATACTACTACTTTAAAATACTAATTTAAACATATTAATTTTAAATTTATTTATAATAATATTTAAAATAACTACTACTTACTAAAGCTTTTCTTCTGTAAATAATAAATTTTTAAATTTTTTTTTTTATTTCTGCTGCTATTTAGCACAACGCTTAGTAGCTATAGTAGCTAAGTATTCTATTTTTAAATAATATTTTATTTTGCTTTTAATTCTACAATATTTCTAATACTTTGCTTATTATTTAATTAAAATTTATAATAAATTAAATTATATTTAGTTATAAACTTGTAGAGCAGACTTTTTAAATATTCTAGCATTATTACTATAATTGCTACTAGGCATAAAAAGTATAAACTAAAATTTTAACTAAATATAGCAAAAATTATAAATTATTATTTTATAAAGTTTAAATATATTAGTATTTTTTACTATAAAATTAGTATAAACTAAAAAGCTATAAACTAGTAAAGTATTCTAGTCTAGACTAGGTAAAATAAAAAGTAAGTATATATTTTAATATTTTCTAGTAAAAAACTTAGTATTTCTAGTATTTTTAGCTTTAATTAAAAATTTTCTGCCTAGCTTTTTAGTGCGTACTGCTTTTGTAATATATAAAAGCTTACTAGTTTTTACTACTAGTTTTACTATAATATAAAGCTATTATAAATATTTAAATAAAAAAAATGTATAATAGTACAATATAGTATTTACTAATTAATATATAAAAAAATAACGTTTATAGTAAACTTAAAAGTAAAAGTATAAAAAATAGTAAGTAAAAACTATAAAAAGCAAAAGCCTTATTTAACTTAAAAAATTACTTTAAATATAGTATTATTTACTAGGATACTAGTACAATTTATATATTTAACTATACCTTAATATATACTTAATTTATTAAAATATAGTATTATAAAAAATATAAAAATTATTAAAAATTATATTAAGCTATATTAAAAATATCTAGCTTTTTCTGCTGCAAGTTGTATAGCGCTGCTTTTAAGTTATTAAATTAAAGTAGTCTTTGTAGGAAGTCTAAAACTAGTTAAAAATACTAATTAAATACTAAATAATTATAGTACTATTAAAATTTTTACTTTAATTTCTATAATTATAGAATTATATAATATTTTAGTATATAGTAGTAATAAATTATTGCGCTCTACTGCGGCGGAATAAGTAGCTAGTATATAATTATACTTATTTTCTAATTTTATATAAATTATAACAAAATTTTTAAATAAAACTAGTATAGCTTTAGAAAAGCTTATTAATATAGAAATTTTAA